CCATACAGCACCACCCAACAGCCGACTGACCAAACGACATGACACTGACTCCCGCCCCGCTGCATATTCTCACGATCAATGCCAAAGGCCTGAACAAACCAGAGAAGAGATCAGGAGCACTGAGAGACTTTCATAAACAAAGGGCCTCGATAGTCATGTTGCAGGAAACACACTTTCAGAAAGGGGCCAGACCCAAACTAACAAACCAACACTACACACAAGGATTCTACAGTGACTACCACGGGGCGAAAGCTAGGGGAGCAGCAATACTTTTCCATAAGAGGGTGCCGTTCCAGGAGGGGGGCTGCTTGTCGGACGATGAAGGCAGGTACCTATTGAGGTGGGCACCACGAAACACATCTGGTGGGATTGCGCGTTGATCCAACCATACTGGAAGAGGATACACAAAATGCTAGAGAAGTTCGCGGACGCGCCCCCCCCCCTGGAACCGGCAGCGATGCTCCTACACCACACAACAGTTCCCCGATCCAAATACAAAAAATCCATGACCATTAGAATACTTAACGTGGCCAAACGAGTGCTCCCCCAATTCTGGAAACAAACAGTTACACCCCCACTTTTGACCTGGTTTAGCCAAATGGAAGAACTAAGGTCGATAGAGGAACTGACCATGACAGCCAACACTACACCCACTACCTACATGAGCATCTGGACGCACTGGATTCTAGAGATGGCAAAAGAAGAGTTCCAATTAGAACTCAGGCCTAACACTAACGGAAACCACGACACAGACAGATAGTACTCAGAACACACACCCCAGACGACGCTAGACGATCGACAGACAAACTGGACGGAACTTGCCCCCTTCGAAATACCCGAGCATCATCTTTGACTGAATCATCCCCACCGCACCCATAGCGACAAGGGAAACCATAATTAGGAACGATCAACAAACACGAGCTGGTACTTACACCCAGACCAGCCCGGGACGTCACTCCAAAGCCAAAATATGCGAACACCTGAGGGAACCCTGGACAGGCCCAGCAATGACACGGCTAATGCAGTATCCACACACCCAAGGTAAGGGTACCCTCTACCCGCAATACCACCATTCCCCTGGTTAAACACGGGAAACACCGATAGTAATAACGGGGGAAAACACAAGCCCACCACGGACGATGACACATAGCTAAGGACACAGGGCCCTGTGAGACGCCGTGGACAGGGGCCATAGGGGTAGCCTACAAACACTGACACCTAATCAAAGGCTGATTAATCTGGTTCAAGGACGATTACAAAGCATTATGTTCACCCAGTTCATGAAAACGTTATTTAACTTATATTCCCAAACAAATGTAAATACCAGAAAATGGGGACCTGCGAGTCCTTTTGTGATGGGGCCTGCGAGCCTAACTTGTTACCTTTTATATTAGCATGCAATGGAGACCTGCGCGTCTCACCGAACATTAATATACGCAAAATGAATAAAAATCATATTCACAAAAAAAAAAATTCTTCTAACTGTATTTAAATATAAAAATACAAATACATTTAGACTTATGTTACAAATACATGTATGTATCTATCTATATATCTATATATCTATATATATATATATATAAAAAATTAAAAAATAAATATATATATATTTAAATTCTACAAATATATTTTTTTATAATTACTTTTTATTAGAAAATTTTGTTTTATAATTACAAGACAGTTCAAAAAGTGCATACATACATTCATACAAAATAAATCCGATTAATCTTAATACATCTTTTTTATGTTAAGAAGATACTTTCGTAAAGATATGTCAATCAATCGGAGAGAAGAAAAAAAAAATTTTTTACAAAAAACAGGAAGTCGTAAATATGAAATATAGTCTATAGAAAATAATAAGAGGTATATCAGTGTAAATAGACACAAGTTTAGATACATATTACAGTGTAATTAGACACAAATTTAGATACATGTTAACAATAAGGTGAATTCCACTTCCCAAATGGAGTAATATCCTTCATAAACACATCACCTGAGAGATTTATAAATTACCATAAAATAGAGAACAGTTTTTTAGCCAAGTTGAATACCAGTCTCTTTTTTTTGAGAGCACTGACCAATTTTTAGCCATATCGTTTTCCATTGTCAGTTGGAATTTAATTTGGTTAATTAAGGAAATTTTCTGAAAAGGATCAGAAGATTTCCACTGTCTAGCTATAATGATTTTAGCTGCAATGAAGCAGTGAATAGCTAAACAAGTATGTTTACTTGATTTAAAAGGCCAGTTCAGATGAAGGAGGGCCGATACTGGATTTTTGTTTATGTCTTTAAATGATACCTCATTCAAAGATATTTCAGAAAAGATATTATAGGTCCAGGCCCATAATGGTTTTACTACTGGGCAGAACCACCATGTATGGATACATGTACCCGAGTAGGTACCACATCTCCAACAGGTAGAATCTTGAGAAATATACATTTTGGCCAATCTTGTCGGAGTGTAGTACCATCTATGGAGTAACTTAAAATGGCACTCAGTCAAGTTTAGACCATGGACAAATTTATTTGCTAGAATTATAGAGGAAAACCATTCCTTTGGGAAAATCACTAAATTGAGATCATTTTCCCATGATTTAACCAATTTGTAGGGAAAAGTATCTAAACATTTAAAAAGCATATTAGCAACCGAAACAACCTTGGGTACAGTTTGAAATGAAAAAAGAATTTGCAATTCTTTAGCCCGAGGAAAAGAAGATTGGATAACATGTTTCTGGATATAATGTTTGATACGAAAATATGTAAATAATTCTTTAGATGGAGTATAGAAATTATCTACAATCTGTTGAAATGGTAAGATATCATCACCCTGCATAATATCCGATAAAGTTAATATATCTTTGTTAGGACAGTGTCTCAATGATAAATCCTCTACATTATTTTCTAATATATTTAATTTACATGTTCTAGGAATTAAATGGCTTACACCTAAAAGTTTCCTAATTTCGGCCCATGTTTCCAAAGATTGAGCCAACGATATTGAGCAATTCGGCAATTCCCTTAAAAGCTTCCCAGGATCTGACCATATATAAGAATAAAGAGTGGATACTTGTAGAGCTTCAGACTCCAAATTATACCAAGGTTCAGAGAAGAAAAGTGGTTCTTGTAAGGTATATATATGTCGTATAGTATTGGCATAAAAAAGATTGGTAATACTTGGATAGTTTAGCCCTCCCTGGGACAATTTATTAGAAATATATTTTTGACTTATTCTAGGCTTTTTATTTTTCCAAATAAATTTATTTATGGCAGATTGTATCATTAGTAGCCACACCTTAGGGATTTTAAGAGGAACCATTGAGAACAAATACGACCATTTTGGTAAAATATAAGAGTTTATGATGTTAATTCTGCCTATCCATAATGTTTCTAAGTTTTTCCATTTTTTAAAATTTTGATTCATATCCTTCATTAGGTGCATAACATTCCTCTCCATTATATGGGAGGCATTGGCAGGGAAACTAAGACCCAAATAATTAATTTCTAAATCAGTCCAAATAAACTGAAAATTTTGGGATAGCCTTTTAATCTGAGTCAAAGGGAAATTAATAGTTAAAGCAGTAGATTTTGAAACATTTAACTTAAAATTAGAGATATTAGAGAAATTAACAATTTCTTCCATTAGTGCTGCCAATGATTCTTGTGGAGATGTAAGAGTTACCAAAGCATCATCAGCATATAATGCAATCTTAATATCTTGAAATTTCGTGGAAATATAATTATATAATATTTTTACATAAATAATTTTACTAATTACAATTTGAGGGACCTGCTTGACAACCCTTGACAGAAAGTCCAGATAATTTGGTTTGCAAGCCCTATTTTTAACCCTGTAACTGTCCAGGACACCATAAAACCTATACATTGGGGGTGGGGGGCACTGTTTTACTTGGGAGACTTCGCTGGACACAAATATTAGTGTTTCAAAACAGTAAAACATATCACAACGATGATATCGTCAGTGAAAGTGCTGTTTTTTTTTGCATTTTTCACACACAAACGGCACTTTGACAAAAGCTAGCATTCAAATTAGTTTTTTTCCATTTTTCAAGCACAAACAAATATAAACGCTAACTTTGGCCAGTGTTTGTAAGTAACTGGCTACTAAAAAAAACTGGACGTACCCCATATTGAATACCCTGGGTTTTCTACTTTAAAAAAATATGTACATGTGAGGTGTGATTCAGAGATTTATGACAGATAACAGTGTTAACAGTGTTACAGTATCACAATATCACTATTGATACATTTTAAAAATATATATTTTGAAACAGCAATGTCCTACTTGTACTTATAGCCCTATAACTTGCAAAAAAAAAAGAGCTAACAACATGTTAACATTGGGTATTTCTAAACTCAGGACAAAACTTAAAAACTATTTAGCACGGGTGTTTTTTGGCGGTTGTAGGTGCGTAACAGATTTTGGAGGTCAAATGTAGAAAAAGTGTGTTTTTAAAAAAAAATATCATCATATTTTAAATAGTAAATTATATGATATGACGAAAATAACTGTATCTTTAGAAAGATCATTCAATGGCGAGGAACATGGTATATAATGTGTGGGTACAGTAAATGAGTAAGAGGAAAATTACAGTTTAACACAAACACCGCAGAAATGTAAAAACAGCCCAGGTCCCAAACTGAAAGAAAATTGAAAAACTGTCTGGTCACTGAGGGGGTTAACATTTTTACTTCCACTCAAGGCTCCAGGTTCTAGAATTCTAAGTTCTAGAATTCTAGAACCTGGAGCCTTGAATGACAGCAGGTAACACTCAGCTCCTCTAGAACGCTCCAGTGGCAGCAGTTATAACTGCTTGGTCACATGGCCTAAGGAGATGATGTGATTGGACGCGGGCGTTTACTAGCGAGCCAATCACAACACAGTCTGTGACAAAAGGGGCTGTAACAAAATACTATTCCAGCGCCCCCTTTTGCCTTGTTGTCCAATCACGTTCCAGTGCAGTTCTCTTCATGCCGTCGTCACGGTCGCAAGCCCCGCCCCCAGTCTCTATGCTGTCCCCGCCTTCGCTTAGCTTCTCTGTGTCACGCCCCGCTGGTTGCCATAGTAACAGCGGCTCACCTCCCCCCTCCCCCTCTCATGCGGCGCTGCTGTCCGCTAATATTTGTAAACAGCCCCGGGGACCCCCCGCCCCAAAACGCCTCCCCCCACCCTCCGGAGCCACCCCCATCCAAGATGGCGGCGGGTGGGAGCGGCGGTCTGTCGTTCCCCGGGGTGGTGGGTAACAGCGCCCCCAGCAACCGCAGCGGATCCTCGGCCTCCTCGTACAACTACAGCGGCGGGGCCTCGGCCTCCTCCCCCGGGAACCAGGCGGCGATCTCCCCACCGGCGGCCCCTCCCCCGCCCTCGGCCGCCGCAGGCCTCCTCCACCGGGAGCCCGTGTACAACTGGCAGGCCACCAAAACCACCGTGCGGGAGCGCTTCACCTTCCTCTTCAACAACGAGGTGCTCAGCGACGTGCACTTCCTGGTGGGCAAAGGGCTGGGCAGCCAGCGGATACCGGCACACAGGTAACAGCCTCCCCCCCCCTATATATACACACACACACACACACACCTAGCCCCTATATACACACACACCTACAGGTAACAGCCCCCCCTATATACACACAACTACAGGTAACAGCCCCCCTATATATACACACACCTACAGGTAACAGCCCCCCTATATATACACACACACCTACAGGTAACAGCCCCCTATATACACACACCTACAGGTAACAGCCCCCTATATACACACACACCTACAGGTAACAGCCCCTTATATACACACACCTACAGGTAACAGCCCCCTATACACACACACACCTACAGGTAACAGCCCCCTATATGGCCACACACACCTACAGGTAACAGCCCCCTATATATACACACACCTACAGGTAACAGCCCCCTATATACAAGCACACAATTCCACAGGTAACAGCCTATATACACAATACCTACAGGTAACAGCCCCTATATACACACACACCTACAGGTAACAGCTCTATATATACACACACCTACAGGTGTAACAGCCCCCTTATATACACACACACCTACAGTGCACAGCCCCCTATATATACACACACCTACAGGTAACAGCCCCTATATATACACACACCTACAGGTACTGTGCCCCCCTATATACACACACACCTACAGGTAACAGCCCCCTATATACACACACCTACAGGTAACAGCCCCCTACATATACACACACCTACAGGTAACAGCCCCATATATACACACACACCTACAGGTAACAGCCCCCTATATACACACACCTACAGGTAACAGCCCCCTTATATACACACACACACACCTACAGGTAACAGCCCCCCCACACCTACAGGTAACAGCCCCCCTATACACACACCTACAGGTAACAGCCCCTATATATATACACACACCTGCAACAGCCCCCTATATACACACACACACCTACAGGTAACAGCCCCCTATATACACACACCTACAGGTAACAGCCCCCAATATATACAGGTGCACAGCCCCCCCTATATACACACACCTACAGGTAACAGCCCCCCTATATACACACAACACCCTATATATACACACACCTACAGGTAACAGCCCCTATATACACACACCTACAGGTAACAGCCCCTATATATACACACCTACAGGTAACAGCCCCCTATATATATAACAGCCCCCCCTAGTATATACACACACACCTACAGGCAATGTAACAGCCCCTATATACACACACACCTACAGGTAACAGCCCCCATACACACACCTCCACAGGTAACAGCCCCCCTATACACACACACACCTACAGTAACAGCCCCCTATATACAGGTAACACACACACACCTACAGGTAACAGCCCCCTATAGCCCCCTATATATACACACACACACACCTTACAGGTAACACACCACCTACAGGTAACAGCCCCCCTATATGGGCCACACACCTACAGGTAACAGCCCCCTATATATACACACACCTACATAACAGCCCCTATATATACACACACACACCTACAGGTAACAGCCCCCCTATATACACACACACACCTACAGGTAACAGCCCCTATACACACACCTACAGGTAACAGCTCTATACACACACCTACAGGTAACAGCCCTCCCCCTATATATACACACCTAAGCAGGTACAGCCCCCCTATATACACACACACACCTACAGGTAACAGCCCCCTTATATACACACACCTACAGGTAACAGCCCCCTATATACACACACCTACAGGTAACAGCCTATACATACACACACACACACACCTACAGGTAACAGCCCCTATATACAGCCCCCTATATACACACACACCTACAGGTAACAGCCCCCTATATAAACACACACCTACAGGTAACAGCCCCCAATATACACACACCTACAGGTAACAGCTATATACACCTACACAGGTAACACACACCTATATACACACACCCAGGTAACACACCCTAGCCTCTATACACACACCTACAGGTAACAGCCCCTACAGGTAACACAGCCCCCAGGAGTACACAGCCCCCTATATACACACACCCCCACAACAGCCCCTATATATACAGCCCCCCAGCAGGTAACACCCCCTACAGGTAACACCCCAGGTAACACCCCTATAGGTACACACACACCCTACAGGTAACACACACCCTACAGTCTCCTATATACACACACCCACATATACAGGTAACAGCTCCCCTATAGGTACACACACCCCAGGTAACACACACCTATAGGTAACAATATACACACACACCCAGGTAACACACCCCCTATAACACACACCTATATACACCCCATACACACACACCCCCAGGTAACAGCCCCCTATATACACACACCTACAGGTAACAGCCCCCCTATATACACACACACCTACAGGTAACAGCCCCCTATATTACACACACACCTACAACAGCCTCCCCCTATACACACACACACCTACAGGTAACAGCCCCCTATATATACACACACCTACAGGTAACAGCCCCTATATATATACACACACACCTACAGGTAACAGCCCCCCATATACACACACACACACAGCCCCCACACACAACCTACAGGTAACAGCCCCCCATACACACACACCCAGGTAACAGCCCCCCATACACACACCTACAGGTAACCATATATACCTACACACACACCTTACAGGTAACAGCCCCCTATATATACACACACCCCTACAGGTAACAGCCCCTCATACACACACTCCACAGGTAACAGTTCCCTATATATACACACACCCACAGGTAACAGCCCCTATATACACACAACAGGTAACCCCCCTATATATATATACACACACCTACACACACACCTACAGTAACAGCCCCCACACACCTACATATAGCCTCTATATATACACACCTACAGGCACATATACACACACACCTACAGGTATATACACACAGCCCCTCATATACACACACACCTACAGGTAATGCCCCTATACACACACCCACAGGTAACAGCCCCCCTATATACACACACCTACAGGCACAGCCCCCCATATACACACACCCACAGGTAACATATACAGGTAACACACACACACACCTGTGCACAGCCCCTAACAGAAGCCCCCTATATACACACACCCACAGCACAGCCCCCTATATACACACACACACCTACAGGTAACAGCCTATATACAGGTAACACCCCCACACCTACACACACACCTATAGGTACAGCCCCCAGGTAACAGCCCTCCCCCTATATACACACACCACAGGTGTAACACAGGTAACAGCCACACACACCTATAGTAACAGCCCCTACATACACACACACACCCACAGGTATATATACACACACACACCCACAGGTAACAGCCTCCTATACACACACCTATGGTAACAGCTCTTATATACACACACCCACAGGTAACAGCCTCCTATACACACACACCCACAGGCAACAGCCCCCCTATATACACACACACCTACAGGTAACAGCCCCACTATATACCTACAGGTAACAGCCCCTATATACACACACCTACAGGTAACAGCCCCTATATACACACAGCCCCCATATACAGGTAACCCCCATACACACACCCCTATATACACACACACCTACAGGTAACAGCCCCCTATATACACACACCTACAGGTAACAGCCCCCACACACACACACCTACAGGTAACAGCCCCTTATATACACACACCTACAGGTAACAGCCCCCTATATACACACACACACCTACACAGCCTCTATATACACACACCTACACAACAGCCCCCTATATATACAGCCTCCTATATACACACACCTACACACAGTAACAGCCCCCTATATACACACACACCTACAGCAACACCTATATACAGGTAACAGCCCCCTATATACACACACACACCTACAGGTAACAGTAGCCCCCCACACACACACACACCTACAGGTAACAGCCCCCCTATATACACACACACCTACAGGTAGCTCCCCCCTATACACACACCTACAGGTAACAGCCCCCCACACACACACCTACAGGTAACAGCCCCTATATAACAGCCCCCCTATATACACACACCCCAAGCAGGTAACAGCCCCTATATACACACACACCTACAGGTAACAGCCCACACCTACAGGTATATACACACACCTACAGGTAACAGTAACAGCCCCCTATATACACACACACACACGCTTACAGGTAACAGCCCCCTATATACACACACACGCCACAGGTAACAGCCCCTATATATACACACACACACCTACATGCTGTAACAGCCCCCCTACACCTATACACACACACACACACCTACAGGTAACAGCCCCCCTATATACACACACACACCTACAGGTAACAGCCCCCTATATACACACAGCTACAGGTAACAGCCCCCCCTATATATACACACACTAAAACAGGTAACAACAGCCCCACCTATATACACACACACCTACAGGTACAGCCCCACCTATATACACACACACACATTGTAACAGCCCCCTATATACACACACCTACAGGTAACAGCCCCCCCTATATACACACACCTACAGGTAACAGCCCCCCCTGTATACACACACCTACAGGTAACAGCCCCAGTCCACTGCCCTATATACACACCTATAGGTAACAGCCCCCGGCAGCTGCCCTATATACACACCTATAGGTAACAGCCCGCTGCCCTATATACACACCTATAGGTAACAGCCCGCTGCCCTATATACACACCTACAGGTAACAGCCCCCGGCAGCTGCCCTATATACACACCTATAGGTAACAGCCTCCCGGCAGCTGCCCTATATACACACCTATAGGTAACAGCCTCCAGCCCGCTGCCATATATACACACCTATAGGTAACAGCCCCGGCAGTTGCCCTATATACACACCTATATATAGATATAATGCCCTCTATATACACACACCCACCCATATATATATATAATATGTCCTCTATTTATAATGCCCCTATACACACACCCACATATATATATATAATATACACCCACATATAGATATAATGCCCTCTATATACAAACTCACCCATATATATATATATAATTGCCCTCTATTTATAATGCCTCCTATACACACCTACAGGTAACAGGCCCCCCCTATATACACACCTACAGGTAACAGCCCTCCCCTATATACACACCTACATATATATATATATATATATATATATATATATCCCTCTATTTATAATGCCCTCTATACACATACCCATATATATATAATCGCCTCCTATACACACCCATATATATAGAGCTCTCTATAGATATGCCATCTTTTTATTTATAATACCCTCTACACACACAGAATTATAACCCTCTCCATAAATATATATGTGTGTGTGTTTATACATACATAATATATAAAAGCTTTTACTATGAAGTCATAATTCCTAAACACATGGTGTCTAAACCCTTTGCTAAATTTTAGGGGCTAGATGATTTTGTTAAAACACCCACTTTGTTGTGATGAGACTCCTTGCGTGCACCTTTGCGGGTTGGTAACCTCTCTGCAACCCTGGGTATCAACTGGACATTGACACAATCAGTAACTATTAAAGTTAGACTGTCATTAATGAGTTCTTAGCACACAGTCCATTAACCAGTATGAGTTGGCTATGGGTTGTTCTTTTTTTTTGTTAACCCCTTCACCCCAGATGTTTGAGGCATTCTATAAAATTTTCAGTAAAATGTTCTGTGCTGTATGTATCAGTGCGTGCGCCCATACAGTACCAAAGAAGAATTGCCTGCGTACACATGCGTCTGTACTGTATCTCTGTGCAGAAGCCACAGCACGCATAAATCTAAACAGAGAAGTGATGCAGCGGTAATTCATATCCGTATACACCTAAATAACATTCACTGGGTTGGAGGAACAAGGAACTGTCTGAAATACAGTTACTCTTTAAAAGAACGCATTAAATGTGAATCATTAACTTAAGATTGCCCTTTTTAAAATTTCCTTTATCATTTTAACACAAAGTATAGGAGGAGGTTGCATTTTTGTACATGAATGTTAGCTGTAACCATTCTAGGAGGTGCTAGTTTAGTATCTTGTGTAGTCAAGATGTTCATAGATTAGGAGCAGTAGTTGGATAGTGTTTAGCAAAACTACGATATTGGATACAAAAGCAGAGTGAAAAGTAGGGTAAGTAGAACATAGCTGGAATTAACATTTTTATATTATGTACATATTCATATGTTTAACAAATATCAAACTGTGAGGTTTGAAAAGTGAGCTACACTGTAGAAATCCATACCTCTTCATGTTGCAAATGGGTATCTCCATTCTAGCTCCCTGTCAATCATTGTTTTAAGCTCCGTCATTTGTACCACAGTCGGCATACAGAAAAGAATGTTTCTATCGCCTCTTCATATGCAATGTTTGCCATGGCTTTCCCTTGTTTGAACTGGATTTTGACGGTATTTGCTAAATCTTTAATATTTTAAAGAAAACAGGATCTCCTGAAAGGAAAGGGTAACACAAGTTCTAGGTGATTTTCAGTGGTGTAAATTAAATAAAAGTGACATTTTTACTTTTAAGATAAACTCCCTAATGTGGGAATTTTAGGAGTAGATGGGAAATGAAATATGCGAATGATCTAATTAATTAAAAACAAATTGATGGGAAAGTTTCTTACTATTCTATTGGCCTTTTTTTTTTTGCCTCATGTTTGTGTTTCAGTTTTCAATCCGGTACATTTCAGAGTTTTACCAAACATTGATGTGTTTCAATGTAGGATACAAGTCTTGTGTACACATTCCTATAGCCCTTAAGTATATTATGTGATTACAGAGTAAAGTGCTAAATAAATGATTATGCAGGGAGGGATGTTAAATGTATATAGTTTAAAGCCAGTGACGTGTGTTGGGCAGGCAGGCTCTTTTTAGTCCTCTTATATATTTATTTTCTTCATTTACCCCCTACACGTAGGCAAATGGCAATGAAGGTGGTGTAGGGGAGGCTGCAAAAGTTCCTCAGATGGGACACCAAGGTAGTGCTTAGCGGGAGGTATATTGGCGCAAAGGTTTCAGGTGGACCCAATCACTTATGTATAGTATAGGGCTATTCCAGCTAGGGAAGCAAAAATATAAGTGTTATACTACACAGTGTTGCACTATGTTATATTTTTGCTTCCCTAGCTGGAATAGCCCTATACTACACAGTGTTGAATTGAAGATCGGAGGAGATCTGCGGGCATATCCTATGCTATTGAGGGAAGTTGCTAATATTTATATTTTCCCATTATAATCACTTTTTGGGAGAAACAGTGTTATTGCATGTGGACACCAGAAACACTTTTTGCAAATTTGTGAGAGATACTATTTTATCAAATTGTCGGACCCAGTCACTTAGTTGGTGGATGATGTGACTAATGTGGATCTCGCAGCTCCTGTCCTATATTTTTCCAGGTATATTTATTATACTGATAGATGGCAGTGCCAGGGAAGAAATGGTCACATTCTCCTGTGCCAGTGAATTACCTCTGTTAATACTCTCCTGTGTCTGGGAAAATAGAGGTACTTGGAACCTCATGTCAGGAAATGTCATATGCTTGAACCACATATCAGTGTTGCCATCTGACACAGGGGAATACCCAATCACTTACCTGTGTACTTTACAGTATATTGTTTAAATATTTATGTTGCTGGATACTCTAGTGCCAAAGAGGCTGGTTATTTTGCCAGTCTAGGTTTACATAATTTTTCCTTTTTCCTTTAGCCTTGCTAATCACTAATGCTTCAGATCGCAGCCGCTGGTATTCCTAGCATGTGCTCTCACTCTTTGAGTGCCGAAACTCTAAACACACACGCAACATGGCCATTGCACACATTCAGCATGCATACACTGAAGGGGGCAGAGGGCAAGATACAGGTTATTCACTAAACGCAGAATTTTTAGAAAGTAATTCTGAATGTTTTTCATTTTGATTTAATGGTAATTTGTGAAAATTAAAAGTCTAGTGAATATTATCATTGTCCAAGGCTCTATGTGGCCCCAATTTTTTTAAACTAAAATCATTTTGTGCAGGGCAAGTAGATTGGGCTACCGCTTTAGATTTTTTTTTTTTTTAAACTCCTCCCCCCCCCCTCTTTTCCTATCACAACTGTTATGGAAACCAAATTAATGCAGGAAATTTAATTTTATACCGCCAAATCTCCTGACTATGTATCTGAGCAGTGACAACTGAACTGCAACCCCCATAATACAAACTGGCCACAAACAACTGCGTTGCAGTGATTTATCAGATGAGATCAACATTGCCACAGAAAATCACTTAAAAATGTAATGGGGAGGAGTCATTAGCACGGTCAATGTCGTAGGAGTTCTCCAAATGGCTGGGAGACCTAATGCTGATTCCAGATGATTTTATGTCTCCATAGCAACAAGGCACCATTCACACTTGTGTGCATTATTCGAACTTGAATCTAGTATGCCATAAAGCAAACTGATGTGTAAAATGAACAAAACGCAGAGGCTACATCATAAAGAATAGTGCTAATTACAATTGCACCGTTTAGCATTTATGTATCGTGCAAGTCTACACAATAATTACTATATGTGCATAGATATTATTGCACTCAAAATCAAAGTACATATATAATGGAAAAAAGTATTGGTAGACTTTAATACGGTATCAGAAAAATATAAAAATGTTAGCCTAAAACAAAAGGGAACGTTTTAAAGATGTAAAATTTTTGCAATGTGGCTTTTTAATATATGAAATAAAAATGTCATCTCTTGTGTCTTTTATTTGGGATGTAAAAAAATAACACTTTCTTTCTACTCTACCTCACTCAACTTCACAGCCCTCCAGCCCACATCATGTAGGTGGCAAGTAAAGTAAATTGGGCGCAGAGTTTGAAATTGTAGCAACACACTTGTACTCTTGCAAGTGAAGAAATGAGACTTAAATGGGCACTCTGGGCAGCGATACAACTGTAATTCATTTTTATATAGATTTTGTCCTCATTAATATGCTGCATTTTTTTAATGCTGAAATCTTTTTAGTTTTTTTGCACAAAAAATAATGCTTTGCAGGATGCATCAGTATAAGCCTGCCTCTTTAGTCACGCCTCCTCACTCCATAAAAAGACTTCCTCATCAAATGTATGGACACAGCTCCGAGAGTACTGAATAATCTGAACTAGGGATCGACCGATATTGATTTTTTTTTCAGAGACGATACTGATAATCTGTTAACTTTTAGGCCGATAGCCTATCATTTACGGATATTCTGTATTTTTTTTTCATTAAGTAGTAAATGCAAAAAATATAAATACCAGTCAGATTTTTTTTGTTTTCAAGAATATTTAGTGTTCCTCTCCCTTTCTGTTCCAGATCCTTGGTGTACCTCTCCCCTCCCTATCCTGTCCCTTAGTGTTCCTTTCCCCTCACCTGTCTTCACTGTCCCTTAGTGGTCCTCTTTAGTGTGACATCCCCTTCCTCCCCGCCCCCTTGTGGTCCTCTCCCCTCATTGGGTGTGCCTCATTATCTTTCTTGTAGCGTGACCAAGCACAGCAGACCGCGGTACAGGAGCTTCAGTTTCCTGTGCCCAGTCGGACTGACAGGAAGTGCTCTCTCGTTGAGTACTTCCTGTCAGTCTGGCCGGGTACAGGAAACTGAAGCTCCTGTACCACAGTCCACTCTACTCAACTGTGTGACTGGTAGGGGATACCTGCCCGTCACTCGATTCTTGTGCCCCCAGAGCCGGTGCGGCCTAAGAAGGCTACCTGCGCAGCCTTATGGACGCGCCAGCCCTGAGTGCGTTGGGCTACCGCCGCCTCTCACATTATCGGCAATATCGGTATCAATAGTGGCCGATACCGATATTTGCCAAAATCTGGAATATCGGCTGATATTTCGATTATTGGTCTATCCCTAATCTGAACTACAAAGCATCCTGCATTAGGATAGAACAGCAGGAAGATATGGAAGCAATATAGTAATATCATCACTACCTGTTTGTAGGTTTTCTGAGTGTCTGCAGCGAGGTTATGAAATAAAAACAGATCACTCAGTGCTGTTGGCGATGAGACAGTGTGCATACATTTGATAAGGAAGTCTTTCTGGCCTTAAAATGTCTTGAAGTTGTTTTAGTGCCCGGAGTGTCCCGATTAGGAAGCTTCATACTATCGAATAAGATCACCATTGCTACGCGGTTCAGTGAATATTTTAATTGTCTAAATTACTTCCTAATTTATTGACCAAATCTCTGCAGATGCTGCAAAACCTAATTATTCGCAACAAATACAAGAACAGAATCGAAGTATAAGTTCTAAGATTTATTTTAAAATCTTTATGAAATGCACTGGGATTGCATTCGAATACCAATGCTGACAAGATATAAGACCAATAGAGAGAAGTTTGTTTTATTGTAAAGCTATAAATTAACAAAAGGATGACGAGCTTCACGGTCAAGTTTTTTTTATTATTATACAGCTCTTGCCAGCAGTGGCTATGATCTGGATCATTGCTAGATTTGATCTATATGGACAGGGGGACCATGTCCACCATGTTTTCAGGGACAGATATCATGAAAATAGTCACCTAGTAGTATGTAGAATTCAGAAGGTGTATAAGGTGAGTAATTATGAATAATCCTGCAGAATATGCAATATATATACTGCATGGCATCCTTTTCCATGCATTCTTTTTTTTTTTTTTTTTATTATATGACAAAATTGTGTGTCCCTGAAAACATGGTAGATCTGGTCACCCTTTCTATGGAAGCTTACACGATCTTGTGCATCCCCTTGCGCCTCTGCTGCATCCCTAGACTATCCCACATGTGGCAGAGACGCCATGCAAAGATCTCCAAAAGTGACAGCGTTGCTTTTTTTTTTTTAATTCTTTATTTTTGTTGTGCACAATATTAACAAATAACCTTGCTGCGCCGCAACAGCGACATCAGGGTGAATTGGTGAACATTTGCAATACAAGTTGTGGCATTCGCTAGACAGGCACATTTTTATGTTAGAGAGATCAGTATTTCAATAGGTTTGCATTATTCAGTACATAGCTTGGCAAAAACACATGTTAAGATTGCTGCACATTTTTTATAAGACAAGAAGTGTTAACAAAATGGTTATATTCATTGCTTATGGAGGGAAACTAGTGTGCTGCCTTATGGATATGATTACAGGTGTCGAGGATTCAAGCTGGGTAATGCAGCGAGGAGCTCTGTACAACTTGCCAGTGAGTAGGTAGTATAGGACATGAAATTAAACACTTATTCAAGGTGAGGTCGCTCATTAACGAAGCTCCTGGCACTAATCATCAGCTAGAGGATAGCTTAATTAACATATCAATGTAGCGTGCAGTAGTAAGTATGAATATTTATAAATTAAAAAGTAAAAATCAAAACCACCGGTGATAGACCTGGCCCTATGCATGACACTGTCCCAGAGTACTGCTTGTTCCATCTGTGTTATACTGTAACATAGGGGGGCACTGCCTGGTCGGCAAGTCCGAGGCTGGGGTCGGCCATCTTCATTGGGTGATGAGGTATGGAGGTCTGTGTATGAGAGTCTCATAGTGTGGGCGAGCCGCTTGTTGGTTAGTGGCGTTTAGTTAGCCGATGGGCTTTATTGCTTTGGCGTCGGCTTAAGTCATTGGTTTGGTAGGTTTTCCATAGGTGCCGCCAGTGGGTCGCTTCAGTCTACCCTTTTCCAGGCCCAGCCTCTGGGATGTCAGGTGAGTGGTGCTTCCATGGGCTCCATTCGCCCACGATACCCTCCATCTCCTGCCCCAACCTGTTCTCCGTGCAGTCAGAGGGCATGATCGTGTGCAGACTTATTTAGTAAGGGTGTGGCTCAGCGGGTTGTTTTCGTCTGCAGGCATGCAAGGTTGTGTGGTGTAGTGCAGATCGCAATGCTTTGTAGGGCGATGATTCCCTCCGGTGGGGACCGGGATAACCCCCCGGTCAATGGGGGGGGGGAAGCGAGGCCTGTGAGGTTCATCACAAGGTTGTTGCGTGGTGGCCAGGTTCGCAAACAGGACGGCGGCCATCCGTCCTGCTCTCCACTCCCATAGGCCGCAGACCCTGAAGTCCCATATCGCAGGGGGGTCTGGCACGCCCGATCTCAGGGTCCGCGGTGGCTCCAGCTTCTGCCCGGATGCTTGTTACAGCTTCAGGTCACTCAGCTTGCTTTATTGCTTAAGTTTTTAGTCATAGTGGACCAGCTCTATCAGGAGCCTCTCAGGCCTGTGACCGGGTCAGCATGGCGGTCAGGCCCCGCCCCCGACAGCGTTGCTTTAATGCAATAAAAACATTTTTTGTTTGTTTAAAGTCAATATCAAGCTGGTATGTTTCGATTGGTTGATTTTGTTTTCTGTTTTCCTGCTTTACATCCTTTTTTATTTCATTACATTTTCTTGGGGTTTGCCTGGGCTTTTTGTTTGTAGCCTTTAAGAAAATTCTAATTAATGGACACTGTAGGTTACACTTGTCTTGTTTTCCATTTGCTAGGTTTGTCTTGGCGGTTGGAAGTGCAGTCTTCGATGCCATGTTCAATGGTGGCATGGCCACAACATCCACAGAAATTGAATTACCAGATGTTGAACCAGCTGCTTTCCTTGCACTTTTAAAGTAAGTTTTGCATCATAAACCAAAATACAGTTCTACTCTAAGACACCACAAAATCAAAATGATCTGCTTTTAAATGGTGACACCATAATAATGTTGCTGAAGAACGTAAAGTCCAACACACCACATACTAATGTACTAAATGTTAACTTTCTAATACTACCAAGAGGGACTGATAGAAGAGTATGCCTTCCTAAATAAGGGCAAAGTTATGGCGCTTGGAGTCCATCAGTGCTGTTGGCTGGATAGACCAGACCAGTGGTGCTATAGTTGACTCAAATTAATTTTGTCCAAATTGTTAAACTTTAGATGGCTCACTCTCTCCTCTCTGGAGGTGGCTACACTGCAGACTGCTCATGAGTGGTCCTACACTCTGCACTAATAAACAGTGAGTTCAGCTGTTTGTAAAACGATAGCAGCTATGGTATGTCTGCCATCCTTTTATAATACAGTTCCATTCATCTTCTGTGATACGGGTTTGAATGATAAGATCACTCCCCTTAGACCAGAAAGAGATGCTCCTGATGGAAACCTCTCTGATGAGGAAGGAGTATGTGGGGGTGTAGCCTCTAAGCATTCATAGTAAGTGACAATCCCTCTAGGTTCAAAAGGAGGGTTCGTTTGTGGCAATAACCTTAATAGGATTTATAGAGTACCTGAAAATGTCTGCTTTGGGTATTGTTTGGAGAATGATAAATAACCCCAAGCAAATTAGATTTTAGAGTCCTCTATACCTTTCATAGAACTAAATGTGTTGCTTTTTTAATATATATATTTTTTTAAATAATCTAGCTTTGTTTGAAACTAAAAAGGATAAATTGACAAATAATATATTTAATGTTTTTAACAGAAACACAAATTATGGCATTAGCTTTACGTTCCATGCTTTAATTCTAAAACTGGTACAGTAACCTTTTCTTCAAATGTAAGCTGCAATATATCCCAAAATAAATGCTGCAAAACCCCTTCAGCCAACTATTTCCAATACCAAAGGTGTGTCTGTGGTATTTGGTTTTCTGTTGCTGAATCTTGAGCCAGAGATTCACGTGAACTATATACAGAAAGAGATGCCTCTGGGGAGCATGTTACAATGACACAATATCATGGTATAGAAAATGCTATTTATACATTATACATATATCATTCTATGTAAATCCCTTCATGCCATTAGGGCGGTCCATGTTGTCCTAAAAATATTAAAACTGTTAAGACTACATGGTATGTCCCGCATTTTTTTTGGTGAGGGTATAAGAACTAATAAAGTAAATATTGTGCTGTAATAATGAAACCCTTTTCTCATGCAGGCTTAAAAGGGATACTCCAGGCACCCAGACCACTTCTGCCCATTGGAGTGGTCTGGGTGCCAACTCCCACTACCCTTAACCCTGCAAGTGTAATTATTGCAGTTTTCATTAACTGCAATATTTACATTGCAGGGTTATGTCCTCTTTCACTTCCGTGTTCATAGAACATGAAAAGTGTTTCAAAACGACGCTGGACGCCCTCACGCTATGTGAGGAGCTCCAGCATCGCCGAAATCCCCATAGGAAAGCATTGTATAATTCGCATTAGGTCTCCCCTGCCGACGGCCGTGCATGCGCATTAGGTCTCTGGCAGGGGAGGAGTCTAGGCAGAGCCTGACGCAGCGCCGAGGGACATCGGCGCTGGACTCCGGTAAGTCACTGAAGGGTTTTAACCCCTTCAGCAACTTGGGATGGGGGGGTGGGAGGTAGAGGGGCACTGTAGAATCCCTTTAAGAGTCACTGTCAGGGGAGGTGTGGCTAGGGTTGTATAAATAGAAACCTATATGGCAGATACTTGAGCAGTGACGCTGCAGGCTGATAAAGGTTGCCTACCCAGATTAATAAACTAATACTGTTTTTATTAAGCAAAATTTTTGGTGCTTAGAGTACTCCTTAAGAGATAAGTGCATATCAATGTGCTTACTCATGTTAGTAGCTGAAACTTTGCCTTGAGTCATGATTCCTACAGATCATAAGCGGTTTTTGAGATTTATGCCAAAATACATGTCAAATACAGTAGTTCTTACATCTAACACAAACATTGCTTTCAGGTTTCTGTACTCTGACGAGGTGCAGATCGGTCCCGAGACTGTCATGACTACGCTGTATACAGCCAAGAAATACGCAGTTCCTGCCTTGGAGGCACATTGTGTTGAGTTTCTCAAGAAGAACTTGCGTGCTGATAATGCCTTCATGTTGCTTACCCAGGTATATAATATTTGGGGAGGTGGAGTTAATGCCATTTACCAAAGCTTTGTAATTCACCAATTTAACTAATTAACCCCTTTAAGGACACATGACATGTGTGACATGTCATGATTCCCTTTTATTCCAGAAGTTTGGTCCTTAAGGGGTTAACAGAGTTTCTCCTCCTAAAATGTTGTCAGATTAAACTATGTACAATAATCAGTTTCCTTTGACCATCGCCTTGGACAGCAATTTCTCCAAAATGAAACATTCTATTTACTTTGCATTGTACTATAAACATATTTAAGGATTAATTTGAGTCAATCTCTCTCCTGCTCCCCCTCCCATATTGTTTGGGGGGTTAATGGTTAGGTATATAGATATAATTTTAGTAATTTATTTATTCAAAATCTGAAACCATAAAAATCACTGCTGCATTGATTCCACAATGTCTGTCTTTTTTTTTTTTAAAATACATTTTATAATTACTTTTTTCCTTCCAGGCTCGGCTCTTTGATGAACCTCAGCTAGCCAGCCTTTGCCTCGAAAACATAGACAAGAACACGTCCGATGCCATAAATGCGGAGGGATTTACTGACATTGATTTAGGTAATTTCCTTAAAGCATTTAACCATGAGCACCAAAGGACTGGTCTGTTACTGGGAGAGTTTGTTAGTTTGGTGATGAAGTTATTTTTCTATGTCTTTGTTTCTTTGCTGTTATTGCATGTCCGTGTATAAGAAGGGTAAGGGTTGCAGGTATTTCAGTGCCTTACGCTGGTCATGATTTACCCGTATACTGTCACAAATATTATATATGCACTCACACAATGGAATGTAAACGTGTAATGTTAACATAATATGCATAACATTTCTGTGAGGTGTGCACTTGGGGATCACGTTAAAGAGGTGATGCCACATAATATGGGAGGGGACCCCACCTTCTTTAATAAACCCTAGTTAATGGTTTTGATGTAGCAAGAATTCTAATTGCACTTTATTTTGTGAAAACAATTGCTGATATTCAGTTACACCTCTCTAACTTACTATGCATATGTCACTCACAGTCAGCATGTATGTGTAAGCAGAAATATTTTAACCTCTCTGTAGTTGTATATATGTGACAGAAATATAGCATGATCCAGTTTATACAGCTGTATTGAAGTGGAGTGTTCTTTTAACTGGTTACTCTGTTACTACATTTTTAGTGTTTATCACAAATCTTAACAAGTACTTGAAAATATTTTCCTGAGTTCAGCTATTAGTCTTAAACTTTCTATTTCATTGTCAGTTCACCATTTCTTGGTTTAGTAAATATCCCCACAAGGTAAAACATTTTTTGAAAATCCACTTAATATTGTGTTTTCCTAATGAAAATTCATGACGTGTTAAAGGGTCAGTCTAGGCAACATAATCACTATCATAATAACTACCACCACTTTAGGACTCTGACTCTTAACTGGATGATGATACCATGGGACCTCTGGTACCGTAACCATAACACAGTGTGCTATAGTATTCATGGTGTGTAGACTGACCTGTTAATGGGTGAAAGGCTTCCTATTTTATTAGCTGTTAAACTGATCTGAGTCTTTATATCAATTTGCTAATATGGCTATTCACAAAATGGCTACATTTGGAAATCTGACCTCCTTCCTCCCTGGCTGAGGTCATCAGTGTCTATGAGCTCTGCCAATCCAGTGCTTCCCCATTAGGAGACCAGAGCACACTGCACTACGTTAATCAAATGCTCTCTATGAGAGTTATAAGCAAGTTTAACACACAGCATGACAGCCACTAGAGGTGCGTAAACCCTGCAATGAAAACCTTTCTGTTCCTGCAAACCGCAATGTTTTCAGTTACACCGTTAAACAGACTGGGACGTAGCACCCAGAGCACTTCATTGAGATGACCTGATCTGAGTGCCCATAGAGCTCCTTTAAAATACATTTTTGTTTCATTTACTTACACTTAATACATCTGTAACATTTAATTAGGGAAGTAATAGCTATTCAACGTGATGTAATTTCAAGTTGTTTACTGTTATTTACCTTTTTGTTAAAGTATATACCTTCTTAAGGATCTCTCCAGTGGCAAAATTAGATGAGGTGTCCAGGTGAGAAGAAAATTTCATGAACAGCTGCTGCACAGTTAGTTCTAAAATAGCCTTGAACACTATAACATTTTAACACTCTGTTTTCATTTTAAAACCTTTGTTGTCTGTTGTAAGACTGAAGCACCCTGTAAAACGTATTTATTTTTTTAATTATAATGTGACTGGATTTCTCCTGTGTATTGCACTGAGCTCTGCTTTTCCTTGATGGCCTACAGCACCGCTCCCTTGTGCTCTTCTTGCAGACACGTTGGTTGCGGTGCTGGAACGAGACACTCTGGGGATCCGCGAAATCCGACTGTTTAATGCAGTGGTGCGCTGGTCAGAGGCAGAGTGCCAGCGGCAGCAGCAGCCCATCACCTCTGAGAATAAACGCAAGGCCCTCGGCAAGGCGCTCTCTCTCATTCGCTTCCCACTTATGACTATCGAAGAATTTGCTGCAGGTATATGTAAAGTAATGTCTGTGGTGCCACGTGATTTAAAAAAAATAAAATAAAATTATTAGTGTCTGATTCTGTAATTGGATCATAATTCTGAAAGTGGAAGTTATATTTTAAGTTTAGATAAAGTACATATATTGTAGAGCTCCTTAAAATATCCTTATTTTTATAACGCACAATATAGCCAATGTAGCGTGCTTAGTAAATAATAAATAGTGTAAATAGAACATATTTTAATGACTTCACGGCAGATTGCCTTTCTTACCTTGTCATTTGAAATTGTGACACACGGCTTTAAGTGTAAACAAAGCTGATCTGTCCTGCCTGAGACAAATTGAGATACATACAAAGAAGCTAGATTCTTGGTAAGTGCCTGCTTTGTTCACAATTTGTAAATAGTAAGGTGTCATGAAAAAGTTCACTTCAGAACGCTTTGCCTTGCTGCATCAAAACCATTATGCTCATTTTGCCCAAAGCACAGAAATACCAAGATTGCTCTACAATATATATATATATATATGATTTTTTTGATGGAACTTCCCTTTAAAAGTAGAATTTGATTAAAGATGTTGTTTAAAAAACATCTGTTACAGGGTTGTGGACTGTGGAGGTGAAAGGGGTAAAAACGGCATCTATTTTCTTTAAAGTTCTTATTTTCTAACTACATGTATTCTAGTATCTGTGTGAATGTTCATGCAAGATATGTGCAAGGTGCGAGAATAATTTAACAAGTGCTAAAGCAGTAAAACCCGTATCATATTGTTCCTTATGTTTTAAGGGCATGTTTATTTTTAACAAGGATTGGTTATCTGAAAAAGTGGATATATGCAAAAATACATTCATGTTTAGATTATGTAGCTAGGGAATTGTATAAATTCTGAGTAAATCCCTTATTCAGGGCTTGCATTGACTCTCCCTTGGAGGCCACTTTTGTATGTTCTACAATAAAGGACTCAAATGGTCATATGTGTCTTCTCTGGACAGTGTGTAGAGGAGAGACAATTACGGATACAGAACTGTTCATCCTAGGAGCATACATACCACAAATTAATAAGCAAATTCATAATTCTGTCTTAGATTTATTTAGTAGTGTAACTTCCAAATATGTTCTCTTGTGTAAATGAAGTCTTGTTTATAACCTCACTATTTTTACACCGTCTTGAAAAGTAATACCTTGTATTCCATGCAGATTTATCCTACATAAGGACATTTTGGTGGATTGACCAGAGAATTTCAGGTCAAAAATGAGTTTGGGGGGCGGGGGGTGAATCTACTGTTGTACAGCTAGATATTTGCCTGGTACATTTCTGACCATTCCTGTTTTTAGTCAATAACCATGTGTTTTCAAATTTCACAGCAGTTTGGAAACAATAATTGAGTGAATAGTTCTCTGTATAAACATGTATCCTCCCCTGCTTCTGTGTCAGGTCCAGCACAGTCCGGAATCCTTACAGACCGCGAAGTGGTCAGTCTGTTTCTGCACTTTACTGTAAATCCGAAGCCCCGTGTGGAGTTCATAGATAGGCCTCGGTGTTGTCTGCGAGGGAAAGAGTGCAACATTAATCGCTTTCAGCAGGTAGAGAGCCGGTGGGGGTACAGCGGAACCAGTGACCGAATAAGGTACCGTGCAAAGTTCTAATCTTGTAGAAAACATTGCAGTTCTGTCACTAAATGTCTCTCTCATGCAAGACTGAACCTGATAGAGGATCATTTAGGCGATCATCATATTCTAGTCATTTGTATGACAGCAGAAGCGAGTTTTTGAAAACCAATTTCCAAACCGCCTTGCTCCTTAGGGTTGGCCCCTTGTACCTCTCTTCAGAGGTTAGGGAGGTGACATCCCCACTGCTTGCAGATCTGCCTTTACTTCACTGTGTGCACGTGCCTACGGTATTATTTATTTGTACAAAATCCTCTTGATAAAATTGTATCAATCCATTTTTAGCTAGTCTGTTAATACGCATAGGAAGCTTACAGCATTCTGCAGCACTCTTTTGGATTAATGCAGGATTAATAATAATACTGGCATACGTCACTATATGTGCACCGATACATGAAAATAAGATTAAATTCCAGCAAAATGTGAAATATTACCTTAACTTTCATCCTCCTCCTTACTATAAACATTTATCCTAGTGCAGTTATCGGTCTTCTAAACTTCCATGTATGTATGCAGTGCTCCTTGTCTTACAACTTTTTTTTTCTTTTCGAACCAGTAGTTGTGATTTTAATATAAACTTCTTTTTAATTATTCTATATTGAGAGACTACCTGCATCCTGGTGTAACCATTAATTATTATTATTATTATCATCGCCATTTATATAGCGCCAACAGATTCCGTAGCGCTTTACAATATTACTGGGGGGATTTAACTATAAATAGGACAATTACAAGAAAACTTACAGGAACGATAGCTTGAAGAGGGCCCTGCTCAAACGAGCTTACAGTCTATAGGACTATCGGTGCAAATATGTGTATGCAACTGAGATTTTCCCCTTGTGTTAATGTAAATCTAATAAATTAGCAGGGAAATTCTTAAACTATATTTTAAAACAGGGTTTTGTGGTTTTTGTGTTTTCCTCTTCCTCTCTTCACTAGTAGGCCCATGCATGAAATCCTGTGACTGAGATTACATCTTCCTCGATTTATCACCGCAATAGTAGCAAAGGAACAGGCACAGTTCTGTAACAAAGAGAGATTCTGGCATTCTGATCTAGTAGTGCAGAAGTAAAATGCTGTTGAATGTGGGAATGTTTGTTGAAAAGATCATACGGTGAGATATGTGCAAGAGTAGAGCTTAAGGAAACTGAGTGAATGTGGTTCAGGAAGCCCTGAGTTTGCAGGTGTTGAAACAAAATTCCTCTAGTTAAATTATTTAGATGACTGAGAACGGGGCTACCCACGTGACAAGCCATCAACCATTTGCTGTTAGTTTACTGTGTCCCTGGAGGAATAGCAGCAATTTTTGACACTTCTCCTCAAATGGCCATCTTCTAAACATCGGCATACTTATGTACCTGTCAGAACCATGTTATTTGGTGAGAGTCACGATAATCCTTTTGGTTAGTCACACCATGATTGCAATCCTCTGCGCATTTTGTCCTATGGGACTTTTTTAACTTCTTAAATACTACGTTTTAATACACTTTATGTTTGCGTTTTGTTTCACTAGTTCTTGTTACCTCCTCCATTCCTCTGTTTCTCTGCAATCCTCTGCGCATGCATCAGCTAGAACATTTTTTTTTTTTCCTGTTTCATGCTTATTGTACATTGTATTTCAAAGGGCATTTTAAAAGACCATTGTGGCTGTGGATATGCCACCAATTGTTGGAAATAAAAACCATTGCCTATGCTGCCAAGATCTGATTTGACAACCAATCTAGTCGAAGATTTGGCCGACGTGACTCTTTGCCCAGTTACTTTGTTAAAAGCAGTACTTTGTTACAGTTCTGTTTATGGATTTGTATACCCACCCAAGATAAAGGAGTGTATTGGCTGTGCTGTATGCTGATAACTTTAGTATGTAGTTTACTGATAAACTTAAAGAGTGTCTGCTGGCTTATTGTGAAATCTTTATCTCAAATTAAATTAGGTTGACACCCAGTTTAGAAGAAGAACCAAGTTGCTGATATGTCTGTGTTAAAACATTCCAGGTTTTCAGTTAACCGCAGAATATTTGTTGTGGGTTTTGCACTGTATGGCTCGATACATGGCCCTACAGATTATCAAGTTAACATACAGGTATGCATTATTTTAATTTATATATATTTTTTTTATATTTTTTTTTCTGTATCGCTGTATTGGATCATATGTTAAAATTAAAGAAACACTCCAAGCCCCATAACCACTATAGCACCCCCCAATTTTACTGTTAGCCCCCCCCCGGCTCCACTCCCCACCTTTTCTCAAGTCAGAAGCTCTGTGTTGAGCAATATGATTTATTGTTTTTGTCTTTTTATGCGTTTGGTTAAACCATATAATTGAATGGAGTGGGGAAAAATAGAAATGAGATATCATCTAAATGGAAACTTGCAGCTCTCTAATAGGTTAATGGCAGAGCTGGTCATAAATGCAAAAATAGGTACTTAAAGTGACACTGTAAAATCTTTATGTAATACCCATACTGTGACGTAATTTCACTGAAATTCCAACCTAAGCAAAAGATATATTGAGACAAAGTAAGGATACTGTGTCTCGGCATATTTCCTATACCTGACACTTCTAGATACTGGGCGGAGCTACCGCCGTGTAAATGTGTCAATCTCCCAAACACCAGTGGCGATGTCAGTAAGGGATCCCCAGACAGTGACGCTTTAAATGGTTTTATTAAAAATTGAGAATGAATAGATTACATTCCAATGAAACCATTCTAGTGCATGTCTCATTCATTATGAGAAACCTGCAGGCAGCACTCCCTTAGAAACTTATAGAAAATCAAGAATTATCTTAAATCTTGGTGTGTATGTGTGTTTTTGTTTTTGTTGTTGTTTTTTTTAAATATACTTTCTTATGTATGTTATCTCAGTGAGGGAGCATATACAGCCGGAGTGTCCCATTTTAAATGGATTAAATTTGGGGAAAAAAGATAAAATTTGAATTAATATCTAATTTTTTTATTATTCCATCTAATTCTTGTCCAATCCTTTATTTTTCAGATAATCCACACTGACAGTAACACCGTGCTTGGTCAGAACGACACTGGTTTCAGCTGTGATGGGTCCTCCAGCACCTTCCGGGTCATGTTTAAAGAACCAGTAGAAATCTTACCCAATGTAAACTACACGGCCTGCGCCACATTAAAGGTGCTTTTAACTAAATATGGTTATTGACCAGAAACACTACTGTGGATAGAACAGAGACCTGAACATTCCAAAGATGTTTTGGGTTTCGTGTTGAGAATTTTATGCCCTCAAACAATTGCACCATTAATAAAACTAACACAAATTATGGGTAGAACCCTAATTTGTGTTAGTGTTTGGTGAGTTATGGGTTAAGGGGATACCCCACTGGAGTGTTTTGAGCACCCATTACCATTACCACTGTGGACATCTTGTATTTTTAAATTGCACCACTACTACGCAAGTTACCTTTTCAGCGAATCATTTATTTCTCTTGGCAGAGAAGCATAATTAGAAATGGAATTGTCCTCTTAATGGGGTCTAAAATACCATAAGTACCAGCTATATTTTAAGGTGTAGTTCTATAGGCAAACAAAAGTAGTTTTTAGAAATGCAGTTGTTTGTATGTAGTGAATGTGCCCTAAAGTGTTACCTTTATAGGTAAATTAAAAAACAAAAACGGAAGTGAATTTTCCAGCTGCCCTTAGATCTAGATCCTTGTCAGTTTCTACTGTACTGATCTAGCGGGTGCTCTGCTTCACCACCACTACCATAAATTATTTAATGGGACCAGTCCATCAGCCTGCTGTTCCCCCTTCCTGTCCTTGGTTAAGTTACACAAGCAAAATCTCATGCCTTAGCCTCTTGTTTTAAATTTTAGCTGACCGCTCTGGCGCCTAATACTACCTTTGTATATCCTAAAGGCCCACACCGAGGCAAGGTACACATTTTTTCATCTTTTGTGATTCATACACCTATTCCAGTTTTTATATCATTGATCTGTGTATATTTCATAAATGTTTTTGTGATTTATTAACTTTGACAGTTCCTTATATTCTTTATGTTAAAGTTGTTTATTTTATTAGTTTTTTTTATAATGTTCATTTATTGACCGGTCTGTTTGTGGTGTTATAAATATATGAACAGGTCCATTGATTACTCTGTGGTGGTTCTTTTCCAGCCAGGTTGCTGCTTAAGAGATACTGCTACTTAACATAATTGCAGCATCCCAGCGTGGAAATATTTAGATACATTGTCACCTGCCACATTATATTCTTCGACCCGCCTCTGCTTTTTTTTTTATCTAAGAACACGATGGGAGGAACTATTTTCATTGAGTACATGTTATATAGGAACTAGAACAGCTAGGTTATACGTTGTATCTGATCTTTTACATATATTGTTTTATAAATTTAGTTTTTTATATTTTATTCGATCTACTTAATATTTTACTGTTGGGGAGCGCACATACACTTTTTTTACTTCTGCGTTTTTTCTCTCATCTAGACGCTTAGCAGCCCACCTTATATATTTTTTATTATACCTATTCTCATAGAAATATCCTAAAACCTAGAATATTTGGACTGTTTTTATTGGAGAGTTAACCTCACAGACTAAAACTGTAGAACTGTAACGTGTCCTGTGGGACACTTTCCCTCTCTATTTGATTCTCCTTCCCCCATCCACTTTTATATTTTATTTTTTACACTAGAATTTTTGACTTTTTTTGGGGGTAAGTTTCCATTTTCTTGATTTAAAAACAAGAAACATCTTTAGTTGGTTATGATCTGTCTTTTAATATATCTAAATGAACAGGAGTAAAATAACAAGAATTTCATGGAGGACTAAACTGTAATCTTGGAGCCAAGTGCAATTGGCCTACATGTAGCAATGCCCTGAGAGAACCAAGCTTGTTAGAGTGTATTAGGTTATTTCCTAGGAATTTTAGACTGCTGATGGCAAACCTAAGCATCACAGGTCTTTGTGATGTAAAAGGAGTTCAGCCAGATGTGTCCATGATTATTCAAGAAATCTTCCTTACAATGCAAAATGTTAATGGTTCTTTTACGCTCCAGATTGCAATGTAGTGACCATTCTCCCCTTGTTTCAATCAAAATAGTATTAATTACAAAGTAGTGTTGTACATTTGTCTTGTCTCATCTTGCTTTTCAGCCTGACTGAATATAATTATGTCTTTTAGGGTCCAGATTCTCATTATGGTACGAAAGGCCTACGCAAAGTCATTCATGAGTCTCCCACCACAGGTGCCAAGACATGCTTCACATTCTGCTACGCAGCTGGTAACAACAATGGAACCTCTGTTGAGGACGGACAGATCCCGGAGATCATTTTCTATACCTAGGTCAGAAAAACAGACACTCTCTCTCTCGGAATATCAGGCCAAGCCTCCATCCCTCTGGACTGTGGGTGCTAGGCTTGGGTGGCTTTGGCTGGCCAGTTTGTGAGCCTGGAACATGGCACCTTTTCTGTGGGAAATGGGTGAGGGAGCACAACAGACTTTAGTGTGGGAACAGTGCCCCAGTAGTGCCACCCACCATCCCTGTGCCACTTGGCTAGTCATTTGCTTTATCTGCTTTTGGCATGGCTAATAACATTATTTTTGTCCCCTTCCACTTCTCTGCCAGAGACTTACAATGCCAAAACAGAGAAGCCAAGTGTGCCACCTCAACAGGTAATGTTTCACTTCAGTGGTAGCTTACTTTACTGGTGGCACCTTAGTCTTTTAGTTGCTACTTTGTTGTTATGACCGTTACATTTTTAGTTTCTAAAGAGTTTACATGGGGATGACTGATGCTTTGAGTGGTGTAGATACATGGACATACTTTTAATTGGTGTGGATTTAAAAAACAAAAACAAACTTGTGCAGTGTATAGAAATGCATATAAAAATTTATGATACTGTAATGACCAAGTACAGTAGAAGAATTTGCCACTTTTATTTAAAAAGTCCTGCTCTGGCTGTAGAGGGATCATTTAAAATAGTAATTTGTTCATTTTCAACAAGACAACCAATTTTCTCTACCAATTTTTTTTTGTCTGTAACATTTCATTTCCTGGTGAGTTAGCACTTTGGTCTTGGTGTATTATAGCCAATATATTATTAACAATATCAGCTTCTGCCTTCCTCGTTACCTGTGATACACCATGTCTCTAACTGTTCCCGTAATGAAGGGATGTAAAACCACATGGGAGCACTTGCGTTATGAAGGGTAAAATTCATAAGCTATCCCTTTTCTGGAATGTTTTACATATTTAAAGTACTTAGCTCTGTATTTTCCTTCTAAAATATAGGATGATCAAGATTCATTGCAATCATTAATACTCCTGATAGTTAGGATGCTATGCTTATTAGATAAAAAGTGAAAAATCTTTTTTCTTGGGGGGAAACAAGTAAAACTTCACTGCACAAAGCAAGATTTTCAATAACTTCTACAGGGGGGGCAGAATTGACGAGGTCACATGATCTCAGAATCCTTTGTAATTATCTGAATGTACATACAGCGGTGGCCTGCTCTTCAGTCTCTTCAGCCTTGTAAAAAGAAAATGTAATCAAAGCCCAAACACTGTGTGTCTGTCTACTTGAATGTATTGAAAAGTCTCCCAAGATGACCATATTCACACTCCCACCTCAGCCTGCTTGTGTCTTTGTAAATAGAAAAGAATAAATATGTGCAACAGGTGATGTTTGTCTTGTTTTACTTGGATCATTTAATTATAAGACAAATGTTGTTTTCAAGCATTAGTCATACTCCCCATAGGATTTATTTTATTTACATATTTGTCCAATTAATCCTCACAGTACACTATGGGGAAAATGGAAGTAACCGATTGGTGGCAAGAAGAGAAAGTAGCAGCATGAATCCTTTTGGCTGTGCTGAACCAATCAACTGTCTGGAAATCTATGGACGAAGGAAATGATTTGCTGGGCTATCTATTCGTTCATAGCTAACAAGCCTTTGATTTGTTTAGTATCATCTGATATATGCAGGAGTCTGTGGAGAAATTGTATATTAGTACAGATGGCTATAACAGATCTATCTCCTTGTAATCATTAAAACGGTTTTGTGTGTGTCAAGGAGATACTCCAAATTTACTAAACACGTTCCATAGCTAAAAACACATTAGGTGTGCCATCCCGAGACTGTATGTGATTAATGTTGTAAAGATACTTTTGGAAAGTACAGTGAACATTGGCGGCATTAAAGATGTTACATAGCAAAAAAACCTCTATTTTAATATAAATATAAAATACATTTATAATAATTTAATCTCCAAAAGCCTTTGGTAGCATCAAAAATAGGCGAAAACAACTTTTTTTCTTTTTTTTTTTTTTTCCTTGAGTGTTATTAGGTCAGTCTCATTGAACATGTAAAGCTGATAAGAAACAATAGAAAGTGGTGTGCGCAAAGATTGTTTACTGCCTGTTCCTTCAAACAATATTTATTAAGTGATAATATTCTAATGGAAATTACATTGGACGTACAGTGAAAAGCTTCCTTTCGGCAGGACAGATTTTGGTACATTTTGGTTTTGCAACATTTTATCAAGTTCACCAAAATCAATGAAAATACCCCTTTGTCACATAGCATAATAAATGAGACACCTGGGAGATTGCATGTTATGAACTACTTAAGGATCCTTCGAACCAGTATCACTAAACACTCTCTATAGCTGAAAAACTTTGTGTGAAGTCTTGACACTTTTTTTTTTTTTTTTTTTAATAAATTGAAATGGTTACACCCCCTTGGCGTTCACTATCCTGGTACTTCCTGGTTTGGTTATCTCAGTGGAGCTAAATTTAAGAAGCCGCAATTACTCAGAGGATCTGCCTTGCAAAAGACGTCTCATAGAGCTGCATTGGGAAGTCTGTGATTGGACAGCCACAGAAAGACTAGATAGGGCTAGAAGGGGAGGGTTAACAAAAGCAACAGACACGATAACTGCAGGTTTTTCAAACTTTTTCTTTTAAATATACTTCCAATAAAAAATGCATAATTAATTATGTGCAAGTTTTCTTTTGGGGTATATCTGCTTAACGGTGATTTTTATTTATTTTGTATTTGGGCAGTGGAGTGTCCTTTTAAAATGAGACAAACTGATAAAATATATACAAAAATAAAATAAAACACATACAAAAAAATATATAAAAACAGCCAGGCAAAGTGAAGTAAATACAAAAATGTTAATACATTGAACATTTGACCCTCTTCCACTCTGCTGAGACTGCTCTTATTAAAGTTACTAATGACCTAATCGCAGCTAAATCCAAAGGCCACTACTCCTCCATACTAATTCTTCTTGACCTCTCTGCTGCCTTTGACACCGTTGATCATGCTCTCCTTCAAACGCTTCAATCACTCTGTCCTCTCATGGTTTTCCTCTTCTCTCTCCCAACGCTCATTCAGTGTCTCCTTTTCTAATGACACCTCCTCACCTCATCCTGTCTTGGTTGGAGTCCCCCAAAGCACTCTGTCCTTAGTCCCCTTCTATTTTCTCTTTATACTGCCTCTCTTGGCAAACTTATTAACTCTTTTGGATTCCACTACCACCTGTACGCTGATGACACCCAGATTTATCTCTCCTCACCGGACCTCTCCCCTGCAGTCCTGCAAAGTGTCACTGCTTGTCTTTCTTCCATCTGACTGGATGTCCTCCCGCTTTCTGAAACTCAATCTCTCTAAAACTGAGCTCCTTGTCTTTCCTCCTAATACTGATCCTCCTCTTTCGCTCTCCCTTCAAGTTAGTGGTATCCACTTCAGTCCATCATTGCAAGCGCGCTGTCTTGGGGTCATACTTGATTCTGGCCTCATCTGTAGATTCTATCTTAAAAACATAGCCCACATCCGCCCCTTTCTTATGCAAGATGCTACTAAGGAGCTTGACCATGCTCTAGTAATTTTCCGCATGGGTTATTGTAACTCTCTCCTAATTGGTCTTCCCAAAAGCTGTATTGCCCCCACTACAGTCTGTAATGAATGCTGCCGCCAGACTGATTTTCCTCTCTAGTCGGCTCTCACACCTCACCCTTCTGTCAGTCCTTACATTGGCTTCCTGTATCCTATAGGAGTCAATTTAAAGTACTAACCTATACCTATAAAGCATTGAACATTTCTAGCTGTCTTCAATCTCTTCACAGATCCATAGGTATGGCCCTTCTCAGTCTTTCCGCTCTGCCCATGACCTCCTCGCCTTACGGCCAACTCACGCTTGCAGGACTTCGTGCGAGTGGCTTGCTTCCTATGGAATAGCCTGCCTACCGCTATCAGACTCACCCCTAGTCTTCAATCGTTTAAGAAGTGCCTTGAAACCCATCTATTATGGCTTTCCAGAGTAATATCTACATCACATACCTGTTTTTTTGCTCTTTCCCAAAGTGCAGCACTTTACTCTCTCCTCCAGCTCTGCTTTACTTTGATTGCTATTTTCTGGCCTATTTTGTTTTACACCGCACCTCCTATAGACTGTAAGCTCATTTGAGCAGGGTCCTCTTTAACCTAGCATTACTGTAAGTTTTCTTGTAACTGTCCTATTTGTAGTTAAATCCCCCTTCTTATAATATTGTAAAGTGCTACAGAATCTGTTGGCGCTATATAAATGGCAACAATAATAATGTATTTAAAACTAGAACCCTTCATTTGTCCTGTTTTTATTTAATTTCATGCAAAAGGTGAGGCTGCTGGGGGGCAGTCTAGGGCAGCAGGATTCACAATGAGAAGGCCAGCCGAGGAAGTGTTATGCTCTGGGCAATGTTCTGCTGGGAAACCTTGTGTCCTGACAATCATGTGGATGTTACTTTTACACATACCACCTACCTAGAGATTGTTGCAGACGTTGGTGTTGCTACATCTTAATGTCAGCTTTACCCTTTTTAATAAAAATAAATTTATACTTATCCATATACTGTTAGCCTTCAAAATACCAATAGCAAAAAATTGAAAATCAGCACGAGTAGAATCTTAGCAATCTATATAAGGTTGTAAAACATCAATGGAAAATGGAAAAAAGATTGTTGCAGACGTCTTCATGGTGTTCCTAAAAATTAAAAAAAATGTCCAGGAATGGTTTAAAGAACATGACAAAAAGTTCCCCAAAACTCAATCTAATTGAGCATTTGTGGGATGTGCTGGAACACATCTTGTCGATGGAGGCCCCACCTCACAATTTACAGGACTTAAGGGATCTGCTGTTAATATCCTGGTGCCAGATACCACAGGACACGTTCAGAGGTCTTATGGAGTCTAGCAGCAAGACCTGCACGATATTAGGCTGGTGGTTTTAATGTTCTGGCTGATCAGTTTAAGTCCCTAATTTTGTTATCCTTATGAAAATGGGTGGATCTAAAATAGTTCATTTTAGTTTCCAAAGTTGGCCGAAATTTCGATTCGGAACCAAACAAATAATTTGATAGTGCTGCTGTATATATTATACCCTGAATTGCATTCTGATGAATTTATGTAAATACATTTCAATGTATGTTTTATTAAACAGTGCCACAAGGCCAGATGCAGTAATCTGTATAGTTTATATTTCAGCCCATGCTCTCAACAAGCCTTATCCGTGAATGGGAAGGAAAGAGCTTACATACTAATCTAGGTTTTATTAAAAAAAAAAAAGACTCCAGCCCATCAAGTGCAACTGTCCTCACATCTACAGTAAATATGTGTACGGTTGAACTTGATGGATTTGAGTTTTTTTTTTTTTTTTTAAGTCTAGATTACTGTTACATATTTTTATGATAACTTTATTTCCACAAGTTACTAGGCAGCACTTTTGTGTTCTACCTCAGGGGTGCCCAGAAGGTAGATCCCCAGATGGTGTAGAACTACAGCTCTCAACTAGTATGGCATGGATTCTTGTAAAAATCACTACCAGTGTAGCCCACTTTCGAACATGAGATTGAGTTCAGAGTCTTCTAACAAAAACTTGGCAATAATGGTGCTAAAACTGACCTTTTAAATAAACTACAAAAAAATGTGAGAGGGGAAAAAGTGCATGATAAAACCGTATGAAATTACTCCTTACCACAATATATAGTTATTGCACTATAAACAATACCAAACTTGAGGGTAAAGGATTTTCATTTACCAATAGTTAAATTTACTTGTCAGAATTGTTAAGGAAGAATTTTTAAAATTATTCACAAAGACAAATTTTTTGAAAATAAAATTAAAAACCTTCCTCCTAACAACTTTATTTCAACGTGTCAAGAAAGATTATTCTTTTAGATCGGAAGTTGGAATAATATCATATAAACAGAAATAATCCTCCTGATGCTGAGTATTGAATAAATGTAGAAAAACAAACAATGTTTCTACTATATCTTCAGGATAACAACCTTCTTGGTTTGAAACTAAGGAGGTGTCTTTCTAACAAAACCCTTGTCGGTGTCCATTGCGTTGAGGCAGCTCTGAAAATAAACAACTTTCTGAAACCCAAGTAAGATCCAGCTCTCCAGACACATGTCTGAGGATATCTGCCAACATGCGGTAAACGTGGTCAACTGTTTGAGTTTTAGAAATGTTTTTCACATGCCAGTGTTTTACACCAACATTTGTGTTGTGTGCTAAAACAGCCAATTTGATTCGGGCAGCCATTCCATCCTTGGAAAAACGTACATGCTTTGGGCAAAACTTTAAAACCAAACTGCGGAACAAATCTATACTGCCAGTGTGGCAAAAATGTGCCATTTGCTTAAGGTCTTTTTGCAGCTGTTTGTTCTTAACAAAGTTTGTAAGTTGTAAGTGGACTGGACTATCTCGAACTAACCAGGGTCTTCTTCCCATATCCTTTTCCGAAAGTTCTGAATGTGGGCACCCATCTATCAGAGTTCCAGAATCCCACCTGTGCTGATTAACAACATGCAGAAGAACAGAGTTCCACTGTTCCCTCATTAAATTGACATTGCCTTTACAGTGCAAACTTGACATCCACATTTGATTTATAATGGCTTTTCGCCAAGGTATTAGCTGTTTACATCTTTTCCGCTTGGTAAGTCTTGACAATTTTCTTTTAAGGTGCCATAAGTCAAACTGATGGTTTATTTGTCTGTATTCATCTCGCATGATTTTAGTTATTCCAATATGCCTGTCTGTTGCTAAATAAGCCACTGTCAATCCTTCGTCTAAAACATTTTTTAAACACTTCCGGAACACTTTGGATTCCGGATTAACAGATGACTTGGTTTCAGATACCTGAATGGTGTTGCATTCAATAATTTTTTGGGTAGATTCTTCTATGAGTGTGTACATGCAATATTTTCTAGAGCAGTGTTTCCCAACCCAGTCCTCAAGGCACACCTACCAGTCCAGGATTTAGGGATTACCCAGTTGTGTCTAAGGTGTTTTTACAAAGAAGAAAAAAAACACCTTAGACACAACTGGGTAATCCCTAAATCCTGGACTGGTAGGTGTGCCTTGAGGACTGGGTTGGGAAACACTGTTCTAGAGAACACAGGGTGGCCACTTTGTCCATCTCCAGAAAGGCAAATTGCCTTGTCCTTCAGATTATCAATAATATTATGTCGATCTTTGGTATGGTGAAGATGAATAACAGGAAAAATAAAGTGTTTTTGGTAATATGAGTGAACAGTTTTTGAAATATAGGGCATGCCTAAAATGCTAAACATTTCATGAACTTTGGAATAATGTAAACCACTTAACAGAACAGCCGCACTTGATAGGATATTTCCACAGGAATGAGTCCCTATCATGGGTTGGCTTCTCCAAAAAAGGTTTCTGTGATTATTTTCACATGTTAAATAAACAGTCAATAAAGTTCCAATGATGTTCTTTTCAACTGTGATTATGGATGATTTGCAAGTGTCAGCGTGGCAAGAGAATTTCACTTTTGACAACAATTGATCTAGACAGCTATCAAACACAAGAAATTTCTTTTCAGACACAAAATCTTCTGGTGTACGTTCAAATGTACGGTATCCAACATGTTCCTCGCATTCAGGGATCAAATCTGGATTGCCTGTGGTAATATGTTGTTGAGGCGTTGTCTCCACTGCAAGGGGTATACCTGAAATGACACCAACAGGTTGAGGTCTGAACTGAGTTTCTACCAATGTTGCAGTGTGAGGCTTTGACAGAGTAGACCGAAGCTCAGGAAACTGGATTGTGTTATCAGTCTGTGTAAATGCATCTGTAAAAGAGGGTTTCTTATAGTAATCTGATGATAATTTAATGTCGTCCTCTAAAGGTCCGGTCCATGTGAAGGCATCTTTCATGACACGGTCCTCTCTTGTTGAAGTCTGTGTGTTCCTTTTTCCTTGAAAAACAGAAGTCTGTGTTTTCAAAGACCTTTTTCCATAATAGTTGGATGTTACGGTACCCTTGTTTGATGTTCTGACCACCTCGGTATTCGAGGCTTTGTGAAACATGAACGTACTTGTTGAAACAGAGTAATCTAACTTTTCTGAGTAGTTGTGGTCCAGAAGTTCATTTTGAGATGGGTATGAGGAAAACATTCCACTGTTTTCTTGAATTTCAATGGTTGCTATACTTGGTACTAGATTCATATAAGTAACCACAGGGGCATCTGTTTCCATTAGCTCAGGTTTAATGCACAGATGTGGCTTTGGTTTTTCTTTTGAGGTTTGTGTGGTTTCATCATTACATGCAAAAATTGTAGGAACCGCATCGGGTTTTAGGAATTTTCTTTGACCAGCTGTGGAGTATGCCTCTGCTGCAAAATGATCGGAACACATTCTAAAAGTGTTTCTTTTTTTTTCATCATGGATGCTCTGGATTAAAAGATTAATATCTCTATATTCCTCACCAGTAGCCAACAGCCAAGACTTAATTCTTTTGGGTGAACACGGAAATGTGTGCAAAGAGAAAGGAGCACCAGTTCCCCTTTGCCTATTTTTGCATTTTTTCACGATACACTTGGGCATCTTTTTTTGGATATCTGAAATAATTACATTTGTTAAAATTAATATCATACATTTAATCTAACTAAATGAAATGTGTGAAAGCGATACAAGATTCAGTTTGGTAGAGAAATTAATAATGTCGGTCAGGGCATATTCAGGTCCTGCTCCCATCAATTCTGCCACAGAGAGTCTATAATTAAGTTCTTTTCCACCCCATATAGGTTTAATGGGGAACTGAAAATGTTAGGATGAAAAAAAAAAAAAAATGATAGAAAATGGAAAGAGAGGCTCGAAGAGTAAAGAAAGTATGCAGCGTGAGATGAAAAAGATACAGAAAGAAGACTTGGGAAGGGAGAATTAAACAAAAGGTAGTGGTTATGATGATTGGAGTAATTCCTGAAGTTATTTTGGTGTATAGATTGTGACCCTGCTCAGTTATCTGCTGTTAAGCAGTTACATCCCTTTATATAGGCAGCACTAACCAAACCTTCCTTGAGTGTGACTCGCACATCTTTCATAAAAAAAGGAAAAAAAGAAATTGGTTTAATTTTTACAGCACAATGTTTACTTTAGAGCTTTTCACCTCCTGCTCTGTTGCTAATCACACACACAAGACTGCAGTAAGCTATAGCAGGCTTTTAGCAAAGCAGTTGATGAATTCTAAATTAACCCACAATTTGTAATAAGGGAAGATAACATATTTTTACATTTTCTGTTTGTGGAGGCTGTTGGAGTCTGTGCACCTATAGTTGTTTTGGTTCCGAGAGTGTCCCTTTAATGCGGCAAGAAAGAAGGTGGCAGGCGAGGTACTTGTTTTTGTCAAAATGCTTGAGAATTGTATGACTGCAAACCATGGTGCCGCATCCATAATCTCTTGGCATCCTAACCTCTGCAATGACCTCTATTGATTACTGTGTTTAGTGTGCTCTTTCATATAAACTTGCTGCATCCATAACGTACCAGATATTTAGTTCAGATGTAGTTTGTGCTTTTGTGTGACTTATCCAAATTACTTTTGCGAAGGTCACTCCGTTTAAAAAGAAATTAATACAATTTATGTGTGCATACATATACTCTTTGTTTGTTTTTTGTTTTTATTAATTTTAAAGGGACCCTATAGTCACCAAAACAACTTTAGCTGAATGAAGCAGTTTACTTGATAGATTATGACTCTGATGTTTTACTATTTAATTTCTGTCATTTAGGAGTTAAATCACTTTTCTTTCTGTTTATGCAGCCCTAGTCCCATCTCCTATGGCTGTGACTGACACAGCAAAATGGTTTAAATTTTCAATAAGATGTTACTTATTTTAAAAGTTTGTATCTCCTGCTCTGTAAATTTAACTTTAATTACATACAGGGGGCTCCTGCAGGGCCTAGCACGCTATTAACAGAACAGGAGATAAATTCTAAATTAAACAGAGTTTACAATAAAGGAAGTATAAACATTGGATGACTCTTTACAGGAAGTGTTTAGGAAGGCTGTGTACGTCACATGCAAGGAGGTGTGACTAGAGCTGAATAAACAAAGTGAATTATCTCCTAAATGGCAGAGAATTGAGCAGTGAGACTACAGGTGCATGATCTAAACACCAAAACATCTTCATTAAGCTAGAGTTTTTTTGCTGATTCTAGTGTCCCTTTAACCCCTTAGTGACTGCGGACGTACAGGGTATATCAGACAAAAAAATGGTTGTTAACGATTGGCTGACGTACCCTGTACGTCCGCGGCAAATATGAGCCATCATGATCGCTTCCAGCAGTTACTAAGGGTATTGCAGCGATGTCTCGATGTCGAGGCATCCTGCAATATCCCCCCGAATGCCGGGCCGCCGAGTGATCGTTTCCGGGTTGCTCCACATGTCGTGCTCTGCCTGTCTGCTGAGTGCCTTGAGGGGTTGAGTCACTCCGTAAAATAAATGAAATTTAAAAATATATGTAAGTGACAATCCCCCTCAGGACCTTGGACTATTCCTAAATTATTTAGCCGATCGCCTCCGTTACCCCGCCGGCGATCGGTCTTTCTCTCCGTCTGGGGGGACTGTCTGACAGCCCAGACAGTCCCCCCCTCGGCTAAATAGGACCCCATGGGCCATGTGATCGCTCTGAAAGAGCGGTCACATAGCCGCAATAGGCGTTCATAGCGTTGCCTGCAGGAGGACTGCCTGAACTGAATTAATAAAGTTAATATATTTACAAAATATATATATATATATATATATATATATATATATATATATATATATATATATATATAAAAATAGAAATATCCCCTGCACTCACGCTTGCAGTATGGTCCAATACCGGGCGCACCACCAGCGCTCCAAAGCATGTAAAAGTCAACAAGAAGGAAGGCTGCTCTCCGGATTTAAAACAAAAAAATGTATTAAAAATATTAAAAACCACGACCAACGTTTCGGTCCCCGCTCGGGACCTTCCTCAGGGTCAAAAATAGAACAACAAGACATATATATATATATATATATATATATATATATATATATATATATATAATATATATACGTCATACTAAGTGTATTCTTTTATTAATATATACATAAATCTAAAAATACACTTCGTGTAAAATTACACACGTACATATATATTATTATTATAAAAAATGTAAAAATTATAATTTTATTTAATAAAAAATTATATATATGTAATTGTATTCTAACTGTATTTTGAAGTTAATATATATTTATATCAAAATACACTTAGAATGAAGTTATATATATATATATATAAAAATAATACATAATATACATATGTCCATATACATAATTATATAAACAATTTCATAAATATACACGTAGACTTCAAATATATAAATATGTATATATATTTAAATTCTACGTGCATATTTATGTAATATTTTTCCATAATTAAGTAATTTTATTGAATGCTATTTGGGGGACCTGCCTGACAACCCTGGCTGAAAGTCCAGAGAACTTAATTTGCTAGCAATATATTTAATCCTGTAACTTTCCAAGACATCCTAAAACCTGTACATGGAGGGTACTATTGTACTGAGGAGACTTTGCTGAACACAAATATTAGTGTTTCAAAACAGTAAAACATATTACAGCGATGATATTGTCAGCGAACGTGACGTTTTTTGCATTTTTCACAAACCAACGGCACTTTCACTGATGATATCATTGTTGTGATATGTTTTATTGTTTTGAAACACTAATATTTGTGTTCAGCGAAGTCTCCCGAGTACAACAGTAGCCCCCATGTATAGGTTTTATAGTGCTTTTGAAAGTTACAGGGTCAAATATAAGACTTAATTTTCTGTTTTTTCCCACATTGAAATATGCCACATTGGTTATGTTGCCTTTGAGAGCGTATGGTAGCCCAGGAATGAGAATTACCCCCATGATGGCATACCATTTGCAAAAGAAGACAACCCAAGGTATTGCAAATGGAGTATGTTCAGTCTTTTCTAGGAGCCACTTAGTCACAAACACTGGCTAAAGTTAGCATTCATAATTGTTTTTTGCATTTTTAACACATAAACAAATATAAATGCTAACTTTGGCCAGTGTTTGTGACTAAGTGGCTACTAACAAAGAATGGACATTCCCCATATTGAATACCCTGGGTTGTCTACTTTAAAACAAATTGTACATGTGAGGTGTGATTCAGAGATTTATGACAGATAACAGTGTTAAAATGTCACTATTGATCAATTTTAAAAATATATATTTCCTACTTGTACTTATAGACCTATAACTTTCCAAAAAAGCAAAGAACATGTTAACATTGTGTATTTCTAAACTCAAGCCAAAATTTAGAAACAATTTTTGTGTTTTTTGGCAGTTGTAGATGTGTAACAGATTTTGGGGGTCAAAGTTAGAAAAAGCATGTTTTTAAAAAAAGATTTAATCATATTTTATTTTTTTTGACAATCTTTATTTATTATTTTATCTTTTCTTTTTTTTTTTTTTCATCAATGCGGAAAGACAATACAATTACAATCTTAGATAAAGGCCTATAACATCGGGCCTAGAGAATCATTGTTATCGAAAAAATACAGCGAGATGGTAGCATCTAAGCAAAAACACATCGAAAACCACAACCGTAAACACCCTCCCGAACCCCAAGAATGGCCAGCCTCTCAGTACCCCTTCGGGGGTCACGTGAGGCGAGTAGAGAGTAGGACATGGTAATCGCAGCTATCCCGTTGGCGTCGTAAAACTGTGATACGTATCCACCACGTGTGTCTACCGCTACGTCCCCATGGGCCAATTGATGCGCCCGCTCATGTTCCCTAACCCCGTTAGCCCCCCTCTACTGCCCACCCGGTGTACCAATGTGCTTAATATATAATTTAACATCAGAATGGCATCCGGCCCGACAGCTCCCCCCCCACCCCCGTATTGCTGGATGCCCCTATAGAGCAATTCGGGCGTCTATTGCCTGGGTAGTCCATTTGGCTGCGTACCCCCCTACAGAGCCCCGACCCCATGAAGGCGCAACCGACCTCCTGCCCGCGGGCCAAATACCTTCCTTGGTGTGGGCCTCTCACCCATCCCTACCAAGATCTATAACCACATAGCCTCATCCCCTTCAAGTGCACGTCCGTCTTATTGCCTGCCGTAGCCTTATATCTCCCTCCCTGCGCTTCAAAATGATCCGTGAGCTTGGTTAGGGAGTCGGAGAATTCATAAACCTATACCCGTGCGATCCCCCCCGATTGTCAACCGTCGGGACGTCAGGACGGGGACTGGAGGAGGATAGTCATAGCTGTACTGTCAGGTAAGTGCCGCCCCCAAGGTAGTTCGGAATCCGTGTAGTTGTCAGTCTGTCAAGGGAGAAAGAAGTTGCGCGGTCGGGGGCGCCCCCCCCCGGCCCCTAAGCTTAATCATATTTTATGATTTATTTTTATAGTAAATGATATGATATGGTGAAAATAATGGTATCTTTAGAAAGACCATTTAATGGCGAGAAAAACGGTACATAATATGAGTAAGAGTAAAATTACAGCTAAACACAAACATTGCAGAAATATAAAAACAGCCCTGGTCCCAAACGGTAAGAAAATTGAAAAGCGGTCTGGTCACTAAGGGGTTAAGACCACTATTGCACCCCCAATGCACACATGGTATAAGCCAAGTATATGGAGTATAAAATATAGGTGCTCATGAAGCACTATGTTAATCGGCAGTGTGGAAGGTGAATATAAATGGATGAGAAAGAGTGAAAGGCACAGGTAGTGCAGATAATCACCAGAGATGTATTCGAAATTTACCTTTTTGCTGAGATTTTTTGTGCTTTCATAGTATTTTCCTGTAAAAGCAGTGTTGGTCAAACTGTGAAAATATTACAATAAATGTCAGTGAAATTTATTTTAAAAATTATTTGATAGAAACATCTGTTCATATGTATAATAAAATAGACGATAAAGACACCCTATGAAATGAAATACAAGGTCATTCACTTCAATAAGAATGTTTGGGAAATCAAAGTAAATTTAAAAGTTAAAGCCAAAGTAGCTAAACTCTGATCCCTTGCTGACTTCCAGCTTGGCTATTTTGATCTTCTATTTGAAATTCACTATGAAATCCTGACAATTCTCAGTTTAGTTAAAAACTCTGCAGGAAGCCAATACGCTAAGTCTGTACTGTGCTTCAGATATTAGATACAGAACGCTCTCTTGTATCATAGTATTCATAAATTTAGTTTTTCTGTTTTGTTTTAATAAAACAACTTTGTGTACATGTGTAAAATGCTTGAAGAATTGTACAATAGTGTTACTACTGGTTCTGAGATTTATTTGCAAAACAAGAATATTTTCAGGGTTAGTGAATTTCAAATTTAAGTTCAAAATAGCAAAAATTCTCAGCTGTGCTTTCAGTTCAGCTACTCCAACTGTAAATTTGAAATTTAATTTGAATTCTCACTTTACTGAATAACCTTGGTGTTATTTCACGGGATGCGGTGGTGCAATACTGTGTTTTTGATAACATTATGCTTGTTGGTGAGGAGGAAGATGTCATAAACCTGTCCTCTCCCATCATGGACTACCCAGATGTACACAGACTAGGCTTCGACTGTCCTTTTAATAGGGGGATTTAAGTGACCATACAATCCCCCAAGACTGATTTAAAAGAAAAACATGGTTTCTGGCCCAGTCCACATTATGAACGTCACTTATTGTACAAAATCAGTACTATTTATACTACAGAGCGTACAAGCTGAAATTCTGTTTTTCATAATGTAGGGATTATGACCAATCCAGATCTGTTGACTATTCATAATTACAACTGCCCATTTGAGTTTGTGGTACTTTAAATAATAGTTATGCATCCAACTAGTGCAGGTAATAATTTTTTTTTTTACTAGGGTATTAGGTCACAGGCAAATTGGTTATTAGACACAAACACTTTAGAAACTCACAGGGACACGCACTTGGTTTGCTTGGCAATTTAACCATACTGAACATTAGTATAAGCATTTATAAAGTGTTTAAAATTTCAAGTCCTATGGTACTAAAATGGTTACGCGTCATAGCAAGTCTAGAGGGACTGAATTTTCACTCACCAATGGCAAGCATAAATGTTGTGTAAAAAATAAATTTTTTATATATATATATATATATATATATATATATATAATCAGGGACAGGAAATATATAAAAAGGAAAATCGGCAGAATGTACGGCAAATAGCAAAAACTACACCATATGGTAGTTTAATAAATGTGACCAGCAGTTGGAACTATGCATTGAGATCAGAGATCACTATTGGTAGCGAAAACAACTACACTAGTTTACTAGTTTGCCTTTTTAAAACAAAAATAAAGTGTGTGCCAGTTTAAACAGGAGACATGCTATGTTAAATGGACTCTCCAGTGCCAGGAAAACAAATCCGTTTCCCTGGCACTGCAGGACCGTGCAGTACCCCCCTCCCATGTTGCTGTATGGGTTAGAACCCCTTCAATGACTTACCTGAATCCAGCGCTGATGTCCCTGGGCAAGGCTCCAGCCGGGGGGAGAGGGAGACCTAATGCGCATGCGCGGCAATAGCCGCCCCAATAGGAAAGCCTTATTTAATGCTTTCTTATTGGGGATTCCGTCGACGCTGGAGGTCTTCATGCATAGCGTCAGGACGTCCAGCGTCGTATAGCACACTTTACGTGTTTTTAAGAACACGGATGTCCCTCTAGAGGCTGTCTGATAGACAGCCACTAGAGGAGGACTTAACCCTGCAAGGTAATTACTGCAGTGTTTAATTACACTTGCAGGGTTAAGGGTGATGGGAGTTGGCAGCCAGACCACTCCAATGGGCAGAAGTGGTCTAGAGTGTCCCTTTAAGACAGGGAATTAAATAATAATAATAATTAATGTAAGTGGAGTGACCCTCACACAGTGTAAATTATTTATCCAATTATCCTTCTTTTCCTATGGTGAGCTGGAGGTCAATGTTAGAGGTAGCCCAGCCTCCCTGCCTGGGGGGAGGAATGGGGGGGGGTTAATGCAGGGTAACCATAGTTACTGTGCTGAGCGGCCCTACACCGCTCTCAGAGAGAGAGAGAGAGATCACCGGGACTGGGCGGCGCACACGATGTGACGTCACAGGCAGCCTCCAAGGCTGCTCTCACGGAGGCAGAGTCCAGAGCACCTGCACTGAGCGAGCCGGCGGCGCACGCGATGTGACGTCACGGAGCCGAGAAGGGAGGGCTGCACCATGGGGTTCCTGAAGGCGGAAGCCCCGCCCCCATACAGGCATAATGTAAACAAACAAGATGGCTGCACCTTGACTGTCACTAGCAGTTAAGTACCCAGTGTCAGATATCTGGGGGTTGCAGAGTTTGTAAAAAAAAATTTGAACTTTTTTTTTATTATTATTATTATTATTTTTATTTTTTAAAAGGTAACTTTTATAAAAATATAATTAATTTACATAAAATTTTTGTTTATCATATTTATCATTTTTACCACCCTGATTGACAACAGAAGGTCTAATCCTATCACTTCCTATTATTTTATTTTATTTGTGTATTTTGCTTTCAACAATTCTGAATTAAAGACGATGATAATGTATATATGCACAAATCACCCCCATGAATACACTAACTAGGACATCTTTTTGGAAAGGGCTGATAAGCTACATGTATATTTTCCCCTTTCTTTCCCCACTGCAGGGTAGCCTCATCATATAGAACAAGAGACCATAAGATACAAAACTGTTACTACATACAGTCCAAACTGTCAGCTACTGATGATCACAAATCCCATGCATCAGTAGCTACATAGTAACTGTCGTTGCAAGAGGCATCTCTAGCTTTCTAAACTGACATATGCTTTCTTATCACCGTTGAGATAGATTGGCAATTATACCCGGCATAAACTGATACTCGTGAAGCGTTATACACCTTCACTTATATGTCTGATTACGGGTTAAACACAATTCTGCATATTCATATTCCCTTGCTTTATGTTATATTCTTTTATGACATTAAACAGGACATTATACTAATAATTGCTTTCTTTCAAGATTACCCTTATTACAAATGATTAACACTTATTACTTACGTCACATTTTGCCCTTCTGTCCGGTTGGTGAAATTATTATCCAATCGGTGCTGAGGGCGGTATATTCAAACTACTGTTATACTTTGACTTGGTTCCCCTGGAAGAGCCGGTATTCGTCGAAACGCGCGTCGGGGTTACTTCAGCAGTGGGTGGCATGGGTAGATAAGGGACGATGCTGCAGCTACTACACACTTTATATCTCCTAGATTAGCCACCTCGCTATATGTTTTTAACTTGGTAATATCGTTCTTAGATATCCAGTTATTAGTTAGTTACGGCTAAACTTTTAGCAAGGGGTCAGAGGTCTGACGCTGTTTCGGCACTGTGAGTTGTGGGTTGGAGACGTGTGGGAATTTGATTAAACTATGGGTGGGTGCACTTGCAGGCACCTTTTTGGTTCTTTTGAATCTTTAAATTACTAATGTATTCCCCTCCATGGTCCCAGGTACAATATATGATTTGTACCTTTTAGCCGAATACCCCTCCCCATCCATGTATATATAGTACTTGTAGTCACTAGATTTTTAGGTTTTACAGTTATTTATTAAAGGTTACGTTTTAATTTATTCCTACTCTATATGGGTTGCTTTAGCACTTGTAAGGTTTAGGTCGAGAGATATTTGGATTTATCTTTCTCAGACCCTGCCTTTCTTTTTCATTCAACTCTCACTAACATATACATACTCTCACCGACATACACATTGTCACTTACACACACACACACACACACACACACAGAATAACTTACACATTGTCACTTGCACTTTCACTAACATACACACACTCTCACCGACATACAGAGTTACATTCTCACTAACACACACACCCAGAGTCACTTACAGTGTCACTTGCACAGTCTCGCTAACACCCACAGTTACACACTCTCACTAACACACACTGTCACTTGCACACACACACACACAAAGAGTTACCTAACACTCTCACTAACCCAGTGTCACTTGAACATTCTCACTAATACACACACACACACACTGTCACTCAAACACAAACCCACATCACAAGCTACTTCCTGTTCCCCTTAGAGTGCTTCCGGTGTTCACAGACAGGAGGCACCTGGGATACCAAGTCACACACTGGCTTCCCCTGCCTGCAGGAAGCAGTGTGCTCTGCTCGAATGCTCTCCCTGAGCAGGCAAGCGGCAGAGAGGAGCCCAGCAGGTGAATAGCTGCGCTGGGGGGAGGCTAAGGAGCCGCTCACTCAGCACAGCTTCCCCAGATAGCAGCAGGGCAGCCCACCAGGAAACCTTCTGGTGGGCGCTCCCCAGAGGCCGGCGCCCCAGGCGAATGCTTTTCGCCTAATTATAGCGCCAGCCCTGCATATCACTCATGACTATTAATTGCCTCATTTGTGTGACATGCATTGCACTTATGGCTGCCAGATCCAAACATGCTGGACTTTAGATATCTGCTAGTGCAACCATAGTCGTGATTGCAGGTGGTGCGGGACAATATTCAATTTAGGCATTGTAGCACTGTGATGGGAGTGGTCTCAGACTACTTCTTCCCAGCACTTGTGAACCGGAATCTGCACTGGAGTAGAGCTTCCTGCAAGGGTTATTGCAGTGCATGCACTTGGCCATCCCGGTCCCCACTGGACCACAGGGAAGCTACCCATAATGTTAGATATAGAAAGAGCTGCAGAAGAAGTGTCCCCATCCTATAAGTTATACAAACAGCCCACACACAAACACACCACCACTGACAATCCACATACAATCCCACATGCAGCCTCACACATACACACTACCAAACACACAATGTGACATATCCACACACACAATTCCACAAGCTGCCCCCATACACAGCCCACATTCATGGGTATCATACACGATGCCACAAACTACTCATAAACATATACAATTTAACAACCCACATATGTGCAAATACAATGCTACAAAGCAATGTAACACCCATAAATAACACAAGCAGAACACGGCAACATACAAATAGCCCACACACAAAGTATATTGTATGAGGGGGGCTTTCTTCTTGGCACCTCAATTTAACCTCTTCCCGACCAGGTATGTCCACCAACAAAAACTGTAGTAAATCGCTACTTACCTGTTCGCTGGCGACCCCCCGCCAGCAATCGCGATCCTGGGGTCTGCCTGGGAGCTCAGGCAGACACCCACTGCCCGATCTGGGCCATGTGATCGCGGGGTCCTCGTGGTCCGCACAACCACCAAACAACAATTGGGACCCGACAAGAACTGTCCCGTTTGTACCACAGGGCCTAACAAGGCTTTGTTGCTTCTACTTCAGTGAGCACCCTGTAGTCTCTAGGAATTGAGTGAGGTTTTTTTTCACAACATCTGGACAGTTCAACAACAGACAGATGGGTCCACTCCATCATAATAAAACAGCTTTACCATAGAATTAAATTCGTCCAGATGATTTAAAAGTTTCAAATATACATTCAGTAACCATGAGCACTCAACTTTTCAAAAGTGGCTTGCAAAAAAAAAAAGTAATCAAAGTCACAGGCTTAGAAAATGGGAAAGGCACTTAATTCCTTATGCACAGATTTTTATGGTTTCCTGATGATTCAGACCCATACTGGATCTGAAACATGTAAACCTCTATGTGACAAAAAAAGAGAGATCTTATGGAAACTATCCAGCATCACAAATCCTTCAAGAAAATAATAGCATTTCTGACTCTTCAAGACACATACATATTCCAGTCTCCATGCAAAGGAGGCAATACCAAAGATTTTGCATCAAGAAATGGCACGTTTGCCCTTTTTGTGACAAATTACTGGTGGTTCTAACTGCACATCAGAGAAAGCAGAGGAATTTATAAAACACGATACCTGGACAATTGGCTGCTGAAATATAGAACAAAGGAAAAACTATTGGAAGATGTGATTTGACCTTCACAACTCTGGCATGGTAATAAATTGGAACAAATTCAAATTAACCCTAACCAGAGAAACTGTTTACTTGGTTTGATCATAAATTCGGTCAAAATTACGAGTTTTCTTCTAAAGGAGAAACACACAAAACTTATAAGAGATCTATGTTGCCTTTTAAGAGAAAAAGTCATACATAGTGAGAGTGGCTATGAAATCACTGGACCTGTTAACAGTTTCTATACCAGCCATCAATTGGGCAAAGTCCCGCATGAGATTGCTGCAAGAAAATCTCCTTTCAGAAAGGAGCCACAGCAGTCGGAAACTGGACTCTGGGATGAATTTATGGACTCATACAAGAGTTAATTGACTTGGTCGTTGACACCACCAACAGGCTTTCCTAAGCAAAGAAGGTGAATGATACAACGAATTCAGCAGATGTCGGTTGGGAAACCTACTTAGGCAAAGTATATATTAAAGATAGATTGTCCAGGGAGGAAATACATCCCTGCTCAAATTAAAAGAAATTAAGACATCTAGATGACCTTCAGAAGCCTGGATATGATAGGCAGACAATACTACAGCCCTATCCTATGTAAACAGGCAAGGGAGAACAAAGTCATCAATCCTCTCTGGCCTTTGAAAGTTGATCATGGATTGGGCAGAAAGACATCTCGTGGACATCTCCACAATCCACATAAAGGAATTCACGAAGATCCTATTAGATGCCCTCAGCAGAGACCACCTGAAACAAGCAGATTGGTCCCTGTCTCCTCACATCTTCAGGCAGATAAAGAGATTTGGGACACTTACAGTGAATCTTATGGTTTCATTGGTGAACAGAAAGGGTCAAGTATTTGCTTTAATCAAACAAACCACCCATACTTTTTGGGTGCCCTATCCAAAGGAATTTCCGTTTGTCATATATTTTTCCTCCTCTGCGCCTGATCCCAAGAATTTTAGTTGTCTGGTTTTCAGATATAATGGAGATGTCGAAAGGTATTTACTAAAATCTTCCCCGGAAGAGAAACATATTGGTATACGATCTGGTTCCCCTTTCGATAATAGAGACTCTCTAACTCACAGCCTGTCCCCGATTGGATAGGGCGTTCCTCCATTTCAGTTTTTACACATTGAAATTTGCCTGATTGGTTTACTCTGCCTTGTTGTACTAAAGATGTTTGCCATGAAGGGCTGAATCATTTTGAGTCTGAAGAACTTATAATAAGTTGCATTTTCAGTTAAAATTTGGTAAACCACTTGAAGCATCCATTATGTTTATCTATCCTAATTGATTTTCTTTGATTTGTTAATTGCAAACAGCCAAAAGTCTGTAAATTTTGACAATGAACCTGATTTTCAATAGGGGTTAATTCTGATTACAATTGTGTGTGTGTGTATCTAAATAAATAATTTCCTTAATATATATTATATATATAGTTAATACAATGTTAAACAAAAATCTGCACACCAGTCAAGCCATAAGACTTGCTTTTCCCACAGAAATCCCAAATCAGCAGTGATGTTACAACCGCAAACGATTCTGGGTGGGCATATGCAAATTAGTTTAACAAAGAATCACATTTTTGCCTCATTCCATTTTAAACATGGATTCCTTTTTATTTGTGTTTGCAGTATACAACTGCTTGGAACACAATTTAGGATAAGATGCAAAACCAGTGAACCACTCATAGACAGCCGTTTCATTGTTAATGCAACTCATCAGCATGAGGTTGGTTACTGGTTTACTTATTGAGGCTTCGTAGTGCTTGGGAAGCAAAATCCAAATAGGTTATGGTGGGGAAAAATTGTGATTGAAAACCCCTTCCACCGGAAGACTATGGATAGTTAATACAATGTTAAACAAAAATCTGCACACCAGTCAAGCCATAAAACTTGCTTTCCCCACAGAAATCCCACATCTGCAGTTATGTTACAACCGCAAAGGATTCTGGGTGGGCATATGCAAATTGATTTAAGAATCACATTTTTGTCTCATTCCGTTTTAAACATCGATTTCTTTTAATCTGTTTGCAGTATACAACTGCATGGAACACAATTTAGGAAAAGATGCAAAACCAGTGAACCACTCATGGACAGCTGTTTTGTTGTTAATGCAAATTGTGTTCCATGCAGTTGTATACTGCAAACACAGATTAAAAGGAATCCATGTTTAACCCCTTAACAACGAGTGACGGAGGTCAGTCACTCGGGGATTGCCATAACGACGAGTGACGGACCTTGTCCGTCACCCGTTAAAATTAACCCCGGATCGCGGCAATCGCGGGGTTAATGGTGCTCCGGTCTGCCTCTGTATTAGAGGCAGACCGGGAGCACCCGATAGTGCTGCCCCAGCACATGTGCTCGCTCTGACAGCATGTCAGAGCGAGCACATGTGCTTAGTATACTTACCTTCCGCCTCCCTGCACTTCCTGGTTCTGTGTGAAGTGCAGGGAGCCGGAACAGTGCTGATCCTGCCCCCTGTTAAAAAAATTAAATAAAGTTTATTTAAAATCCCACCCCCCTTTACTCATTTTAATTAAAAATTAACCCCTTCCCTGCCAATTGATCACTGACTACAGTGATCAATTGGCAGGGATTACATTTTACTATGATCTGATTTTTTTTTTAACCCCTGAGGGTTAATTCTTTTTTTTTTACCCCTCAGGGGTTAAATTAATTAAATTAATTAATTAAATTATTTTTAAATTATATATTTAGATAGCTGGGGTAGGTGGAAGTTAGTGGGGAATTGGGGGATTTGACGTTAGGCTAACTAGGGGTTAACGTTAAAAAAAAGTTTTAAAATAAACTTTAAAAAGTTAAAAATTAAGCTTAAAAAAGTTGTAATAACGTTTAAGTAAAAAATTTAAAAAACGCCCCCCTTTACCCAGTCCAAATAAAAATTAACCCCTTCCCTGCCAGTCGATCACTGCCTACAGTGATCAAAATACAGATCACAGTATTATACTGTGATCTAATTTTTTTTAACCCCTGAGGATTAACTTTTATTTATTTTTTAACCCTCAGGGGTTCAATTTATTTAATTAATTTAAATATTTTATAATTATATATTTTGCTAGCTGGGGTGGGTGGGAGTTATGGGAAAATGGGGAATTTACTGTTAGTGCTGCTTACTGCTAGTTAGGGGTTAATGGTAAAAAAAAAAAAAAAGCTTAGAAAAATTTTACATTTGTAAAAAAGTTTTAATAAAGTTTAGGAAAGTTTAAAAAAAATTAATAAGCAAAACAAGTTTAAAAACTAGTTTTTAAAAAGTAAAAAAAGTTTCAAAAAGTAAAAAAAGAAATGTAAAAACGCTCATTACCACTACACCTGGAACAAACTAGAGAAAAAATGATCCCACGCTAAGGTTCAAAATATGCCTTTTGAATTACCCCAGGGTGTATTCTTTAATAAAATAGTTTGTGTTTGTGGGGAAGTTTCAATAACCAACCGTCCAAACTACTCCAAATTGGAACATGGACACAGTGTAAAACTTCAAAGTTAGAAAAAACCTGAATGGCTGCGTCTAAAACACCCCCTTCAACATCCACATATACCTGGCAAAGGTACATACGGGGGTATTGCTGTACTCAGACGACATAGCTGAGCAGCATATGAAGTATTATACAGTCGTAGCACACATAAGGTTTACAAAATATACTGTGCAAACTCACTTTGTGTGTCAAAAGGGCAAAAAAAAAAAAACACTTATTACCACTACACTTGGTACAAGCTAGCGGAAAAATGATCCCACACTAAGGTTCAAAATATGCCTTTTGAAATACCCTGGGATGTCTTCTTTAAGAAATGGTATGGCTTTATGGGGTATTTGGATTATATAGTCTGGTAAAATACTCTATAATGGGACATGGGCACAGCGTAAAAATGTAAACTTTGAAAAAAAACTGGACTGGCTGTGTCCCAAATGTGCCCCTCCGATGTCCACATATACCTGGCAAAGGTACATATGGGGGTATTGCTGAGTGTCTACTTTAAGAAATGGTAGGCCTTTGTGGGGTAGTTTGAATTTAAACCCTGCTAAGATGCTTGGAAATTGCACATAGGCCCAGCGTCAAAATTCAAAGTTCGGTAAAATCTGATATGGCTTGGTCTCCTATATGGCACTGTAGCGTCACAAAATAGTGCCAAAGACATTCATTGGGGGTGTCTTTTTACTCAGAAGACTTAGCCGAGCATAATTTGGGGGGTTTGAACTTAGTGGCACATGTGAAATATACAAAATGCCCAGCAAAAATGCAATCCATGTGTAAAAAAACGCACAAAATTATTTATCACATACTTTAGCATATATTGGTGAAAAATTGGGGGCATGTTAAGGCACAATATGCACCTTATGAGATACCCTGGAGTGTCTGCTTTTACAAATGGTAGGCCTTTGTGGGCTTTTTTGAACAATCAAACTGTTATAATACCCCAAATGGAAGCATAGGCTCATTAAATCCGTCTCTCAAAATTCTACTGTGAATACTGAAAAGAACAGGCCTCCTATATGGCACTGTAATGGTGCCAGACATACAATGGGGGTGTCATTTTACTCAGCAGATGTAACTGAACACTAAATAAAACTTTGTACAGGAATAGCACACACCAACTTTACAAAATATACATGAGAATTTCTTTGTTATAAGTTTGTGTGCCAAAAACCAAAAAAAACACAATTTTACTCCAATATTTAGCAGAGGTTGGCGGTGAAATGGCTACGTATTAAGTGTCAAAACCACCTTAGGTAAATAGCATGTGATGTCTACTTTATATAAATATATACTTTTGTGTGGCAATTTTGTTTTCTTTTATGGCTATTAAGCTTACAAGAATTACATACCAAATTCTAAAATCGCTCCACATTAAAAGTTTATTTTACTCCTTGTGCTTTGTGACCTGTAACTACCAAAAAAACCTGAAAATCCCAGACACATTATATATTCTGTAAATCAGAACTAAATGAATTTATTTTTTATTAATTTCCTTAACCTGCACTAATTATGCACACATTATGAATGCAAAAAACAGTAAAAAAATAAATAATTTTTTTTCCATTTTTTGTATTTTTTTTTATAATAAATAAGCATTTATATATATATATATATATATATATATATATATATATATATATATATATATGTGTGTGTGTTACATCAAATTAAAGCCCTTTCTGTCCTTTAAAAAACGATATATAATGTGTGTCGGTGCAATAAATTAGTAAAATGCAAATTGCAGTTGAACGCAAACCGCAAAAAATGAAACAAATGCTGTTGAGCTTCTGAAGCTCTGTCCTTAAGGGGTTAAAATGGAATGAGGCAAAAATGTGATTCTTAAACTAATTTGCATATGCCCACCCAGAATCCTTTGCGGTTGTAATATCACTGCAGATTTGTGATTTCTGTGGGAAAAGCAAGTCTTATGGCTTGACTGGTGTGCAGATTTTTGTTTAACCCCTTAAGGACCAAACTTCTGGAATAAAATGGAATCATGACATGCCACACATGTCATGTGTCCTTAAGGGGTTAACAATGTATTAACTATCCACAGACTTCAGGTGGAAGGGGTTTTCAATCACAATTTTTCCCCACCATAACCTATTTGGATTTTTATATATATGTATAGTGCTATTTTAAAAATTTTTTTTTTTACTATTTCCCCCATTATTTTCACTTGGAGGGACTGTCTGACAACCCAGGGACTGGCTAGCCTGCCCAATTGGATGCAGGGCGACTGCTTGGGATGTCAGGCAGTTTCCCCCAACAGGGATCGCCGGTGTTGGTAAGTGTAACCTGCCAGGAGAGCCCTGGCAGATTACATTTACCAACACCAGTGATTCACTGCATGGTACACCCACCTTTTTTAGGGTGGCATGTTACGCTGTAATGGGTAATTGGTTAAAGATAATCCCTTAAATTACGGTGGAACAAACACACAGCACACATTCTAGATTTTGTTTTGGTTCAGAAGTTGCACAATTGCATCATTCCATCAATATATGTTACTTTCTAACTATATGGATGATAATCTTGCTACAAGAATGCCAATATGGAAACATTGTGACAATGGGTAATACTGTTTATGGTTTGTTATATTTATTTGTTTTAAATTCATTTTAAGAGTGAGAGAATTGTGTGTGTGTATAAACAGACATAGTTAATTAACCATGTAGAATAAAACATTTATAATTATACTAACCCACGCTTTATCTCAGCAACTACTTTATTTAGTATGCCTGTTCTCTTTTGTGAAAATACATGATCATTATTTCTGAGGGTAAGAACACCTTGTGTTCTTAAGTGGTCATGGTACCAGAAGTCTACAATGAAACACTACACATACAGAGTTTAACCTCTTTTGTGCCAGAATTTTAATCCTACCTCCGGCAGCGTCATTGGGGCATCATTAGCCATCCAGCCATCCAGCCAGCCAGCCTGCCTGCCAATATCAATTCTGTGCATTTTTTTTTTTTTTTTTACAGATTTGCATTCATTGGCTGCGAACGGTCAGCTGCCACTTTCAGCCAACGAATAACCCTTTACTGAGACAGTCCAAGTGGACAGAAAGGCCATCAATATTAAAATAACCACTTTACACATTGTAGAACATCATCAGCAGATCGTCGTCTATGTATCTGTCAACTGTAACAGGTAGCCTACAATTATCGGACAACTGCCACTACTCCAGCCACAAAATTTGTAATAAACTGCATGGATCCATCATATCTTGTGTCAACTGTACAGGCTTGTAATGTGATCTAAGTATGATAAAAAAACAAACACACACATTTGTTCACCTTAATATTGTATGAGCATCATTTGCATTCCACAGGATATAATAAGCTTTGCAGCATCTTTTTTTTTTATAGCTACAATCCATTCCCAATGTGTGGACTTCAGGGGTGCCAAAAAGGTAGATCCCCAGATGTTTTAAAACTACAGCTTCATGGCACTTTGTCATTCTAAAGGCATGCAAAGCATCATGGGAGTTGTCGTTCTACAACATTTGGGGATCTACCTTTTGGGCACCCCTGGTATTCTTATCCAGCAGAATAACTGCACCAAATTACAAAAGCACTCACATTTTACCAAGCTGCCTCAAAGAACATCTTTGAGATTCAAGCTAATGGCCATTGCTGGCACAAACCCCAGATCTCAAATGGATAAGGCACACTGTTGAGAATCTTAAAAGAGGAGGCCTCAGCCAGGTGTGCTGTTGATTGACTGAGTGTCAGCTGACAATATAAACCAACCAGTAAGCCCTCCCTTCTTCCCCCCCCACAGAGCTTGAACAGTAAACTGGCACCAGGGATTTCCTAATACCATAGCAACGTAATTCCAAGTTCTAGTGCCTGGAGTGTTATTTCATTGGTAAATCACTTGGAAAGTTGATCTTTTTAGCATTGAATCACCGGGAAAGATTATAAAACCAAGTCCTATGTTTGGAGAGATTTAGACTTTTTTTTTTTTTTTTTGTGTGACTGGTGGCAACAAGGAGTCTCTTACCCAATATTAGGCAGGTTCACCAAACCAAATGGTCACCGAGTATATGTATGAATATAAAAATAAAACGATTTATATGTATAATCAAACACACATATATGCATACATGCACACAGAAAATGCTTAAAAAAAAAAAAGTCAGCCCACTGATCAACATATCAAAGCTTCACTGCAAGTTTTTTTTCACTTTGCCGAAGTTAATGAAGACACATACAAGGAAACTCATATCAATATGCAATATGTTAATGCAATGCAAGTGAAGATTTTTTTTATGTACACACGACAGACTGACATAAGTAAGTGGATGGGATGCAATATAAGATATTACCTCTATCAGCTTTGCCTCTCCCTGCAACATTCATACATTTTATTGACTCCCCCCCTGCATTGTAATACACGATTACAAAGATGTGTGAAAACAGTGCTAAGTGGATCTGTATGCCCATACAGTGTATGCTAAAAAAATACTGCTGGGCTGTAATAGGGACTAAGAGGACAATGCCACATTTAGATCTTAAAGGAACACTCCAAGCACTATAGCAATTTCATTGAAATTAAGTTGTTATGGTGCCAGGAGGTCCCTGGTAATTCCTTACACATAGGGGTTAACTCCAAAGTTTGCTCTCGAGCTCTGTTCCTCACTGTCCACATCCTCATTCTGCAATACAGCTAGAGGAAGCATGGATGGGGTGCTGCTGGGCAGGGACGCCGCTAGTTGGTTAAGAGCGTTTAGCTGACACTCCATGCCAATCTGTAGCACCCCATTCATAAAAAATGTACATATGGGTAAGGAAGCTCCAGGGACCAACTGGCAATATAACAATGTCATTTTGATGAAGCTGTTATGGTGCCCAGAGCGTTCAATGAAACAAGGTGAGAAAAATATAAATGCAACTTTGAATTTTGTCATCTATGTGTCCTATATTCAAGGAAATTGAGACAAAAAAAACCTCAATGTGCCTCAGCCATCCCATCTATCTTCATTGTTATGCGATAACTCAACTCCAGTTTCTTTTTAAAGAGTAGTAAGGTTGTTATAAACTGGAGTGCTAACCATTTACACCCCCAATACATTTACAGAAAACAAAAAAACATGATGCTGATAAACTGGACAATCCTCCCAGAATATGATTTAGTTTGTTATATTCTTCAGCAGGATCCTGGTTTTCCTGTCCACTCCAGAATCCCAACGATTCAAGAAAATAAGAATAGCAATTACGTGGGATAGAGAAAAAAGGAATCAAAATGTCTCAACCCGTTAGATTTGCAACATTTCTGTTTTGACAGTAGAAGTGATGTGGAGTATTCCTGGGTAGAAGTCTCTGTAATCCAAAAATAAAGTACAGCTGCTCTATAAGAAGTATTTGAAGGTCCAGAAAACTTAAGTCATTTTTGCTGAATGTTTTTCCTCTTCCGCCTTTTGAAGAAACAACAACATCTGAAAAGTGAGGGGGAAATGAAAAAAGTTTCATGTATTGTAAGCAGTGCAGAAGCAAATAAAACAAAAATATATGATGTTTGGAAATATGTAAGCAACATATACGGTATGCAGGACAGGTCACTAAAACTAAACGCAGACCAGCAACACTTAAATGTTTACTCACCAAACAGTAAAAAGTGGTTAAAATTTCAACCAAAATAGGGAAAATGGTGGTGTTGGAGAATTCTTCTAACTTGGCTAATTTGGTCAACATCCCTTCACCGTCTAATCTCTTTAGAAACATTCTACAAAAAGCTGTACTCCTTAAATGTGCTACTGCAAGCTTTTTACATGTATGAGAAAAAAAAATAGATGTTTATCACAAAAAAAATAAAAAAACAGCCACAGGGGCAGGAAAGATGATTTATGTCATAACATACTTTGAGTATAAATAGATTTCACTTTTCAGCTTGTATGTTTGGACATAATTGAAGGTTAACGATAGCACAAAAAGGGGCAAGCCTAATAATATTTAATTTCATTTTCTCTGAGATTCTTTATAACATCTGTATGTGCCGCATCTTTTTTATTTTTTAAAGTTTTGCGTGTTGGTTGTAAATGTTCCCAACAACTGCTTAGTGATCAGACCTCTGCATATAGGCAGGTGCCTTTAATATTTCTGTTCCATATACCTGTTTACCACACAGATATTGGGGGTTAAAAAAAGATTTTGCCCTAAGGACAGATTTATACTCACTTGGTATCATCTGCTACCTCCACCCCTGTGTGCGCGGTGATGGGAGCGTTGGAATGTCCGGCTGTTGGGTCATCTATATTGAGATCACCATTCGTAGAATTTAAACCCTAGCGCACAGAGAATATGGTAGTTATTAAATGTGAGCACCCTCTGGTTCCCTCCCACCTTAACATCAAACCAGTAACCCCCGACCTTTGCTTTACCTGGTGTTTGAGGTGCAACTGAGTCTTATTCTGCATTTGAGAGGTGGCTTCACCTGATATTGAACCAATTGGAGTGGGCTGGAAATAAAGACAAATTAGAGAAGTATTTTAGCATTTTTTTTTCCCCTCGGGATCTGCACACCTAACAATAATCTCAGAGCCAGAGATTTACTTAGGGATGCCTATAATTCCCTAGCATGCTCACCAGTGTTTTTCCCACCCAATCATATTCGTAGTCAAAGATGAGCCCACGTCGATCCAGCAGGTCAGTGAAAAGTCGTCGCAGGTACTCGTAATCTGGCTTCTCAAAAAAATCCAGACGGCGAACATAGCGGAGGTAGGTAGCCAACTCCTCTGTGAAAAGAATCGAGAGATTTTAGAATAAACATAAGCTGGTTAGATATATGCATGCCTCTGAATACAGAAAATCTAATAATGTTTTTACAGCAAATAAAAGAAAGATGGTCTAGTACAGGGGTAGGCAACCTTTTAGCAGCACTGCCGAAATAGGATTGTGATGTCCTGTAGCGTGCCGGTCCTATTTTTTTTTAAATTGAGGTGTGTATGTTGCTGTATTCTGCTTGTTACATATCCTGTAGTTGCTTTGTATCGTATTTGTGCGTATATGAGCTATTATATTGTATATGTTTATGAGTAGTTTGTGGTATTGCATGTGAGAGGCTGCATGTGGGGTTGTGTGCATGTATGTGGAATGTCAGTGGTGTTAAGTTTGTGCGGATTGTGTGTTGTGTTTGTGTGTGGGCTGTTCGTATTATTTGTGTGAGGGGAGGGTTATTCTGCAGTGTAGGTGGCTTCCCTGGGTTCCAGTGGGGACCAGGACGGCCAGGTACAGCTCAAGGACAGGAGCTGCAACAGCAGTTGCTGGCTGCTCTACTCCAGTGTGGATTCCCATTCACAAGTGCTGGAATGAAGTGATCTGAGATAACTTCCTCTATGCGCTGCAATGCATGAATTAAGGATTTCCCTTCACCACCTTTTTGCATTAGCAGATATCTGAAGTTTACCTGGGATAGGCCAGAGCCTGTTTGGCTCTAGCAGCCCTAAGTGCTGTGCAAAGACACCTCGAGTGCCATGCATGGCACTAGTGCCGTAGGTTGCCTACCCCTGGTCTAGTATATGTAATGCCACAACAAGTGAAATTCAAGTTTTGACGCAGTCTTAAAAATAAATAAATTATATATATTTTTATTCATTCCTTGTGTATTACAAATAATATCTGGGGGGGCGGGGCCGGGCCGCCGAGCGGAGCGGCAGCCATCTTCGCTAGCTCCTGCATCGTGCCGGGCCAGTGGGGGTTGTCCTGGCCCATGAGTCCCTGCTTCGACGACACCCAAGGGGATCAGAAGGGGTCGGGAGTGCCAGCGGCCTCCCACCCAGTAAAAGGAACTGCTACAAAAATTCATTGCAATGCAAGCATGTAAGGGGAGACTCACCTTCATAGAGCGGCTTCCCCGCATTGCTTCGATGGCCCCAACAGCTGCTGCCCTGCAGAGGGATACCCTGGGTGGCCTGCCCCCTGGAGAAGTACCAGTCTCTGCCCTTGGGTTTCAGGGGTGGCCCAGGTGAGATTGTCCCTGCCGCAGTGAGTCCTGTGGGACGGGAACGCACAGACCTTTCCGGTGTACCGGTGGCCGTGAGGAAGGTGCCCCAGTCCTAAGTATGTGGCCGGCGCCAGGTGAGACATGAGGGTCCAAGTGCTTCACAGAGGCTGAAGTGGTGCTGGGGAGGTGCAGGAGACGGTCAGAACCTGGACTCTTGGTGTGGAAGGTCCGGGGGACAGATTTGGACTTTAAGTGCCCACGGCACCACAGAACACTAAACCGGTGGGATGGGTCAGCCCCAGGGATGACCGATGGAGGACATGCATGCTTGGAGCCCTATGGGGGCAACCACGGAGGTAGCTTACTTACGGTGCAATCGACACCGCTCTCCTAAACCTATTATGTGCAACGACACAGCGCAGCATGTTCCTACTCCCCACAAAGTGACTCACTTTTTCCCATCACTGTTGGCAGCAAATGCACTATGACACATCTGCAACCTAGGTTTAGGTTATAAAAACCTTGTTTGCCTTCAATTACCTGCATTGCATAACTAACCACTGTCTACATCAGATTGCACGCTATGTGATGAATATCTCCATTGAAATTGCAATCGCCTGTTTATTCATTCCTTCACTTACATTGCATATTACTACTAGCCTCTCATGTTATAGTTCTTACAATTGATTTTCATTTCTTTTGCATTCATTTTTGTTGCAGGCCTATGCCATAATTCATTAGACGCAGTTAAGAGACAAACGGCTATGACCTATCACAGCCTTATGATGCTTACTTAACATATTGTAATAGGCGTGGAAACGCTGTTTATGCTGCAGTACCTACGAGCTACAGTCTAGGGGCGTAAATCATTGCATACATAACCTTTCTCAGAATGACAGCAAGCATTCTGAAAATCCTCCTTTTTTTTTTTTTTTAAATTCTCTTAGATAGTTTAGTTAAACAACACTTCCAAATGCCTTCTTATAGCAACACTACATTTCTTTACAGGTTCGTTAACTATTAATGCTTATATTAGAGGCATTCCTAATATCCAAGTTAGAGTCACAATAGACTAAACGCTATTTGAACACATCACATGATAAGTCTCTGTACCTAATCACTCGGGTTATAAATCCACAAGGTAACACGTCGCCCTCATCCACTCGCTGCATAATTACCTACAGTTCCTAATGCATATGTTGATTACGTAAATGTGTGTACCGTAACTCAAACCAGAATATGTTCTCCACGCTACATGGCTTCAGCGGACATAGGCTGCATGTTAGCCATAGTAATCAACTTACTTGCAAACGAAATGCAAATATGGCATGTAGTACAACTTATATTGGAATTGTCTATAGGATGTCACAAGTGGCTTTAGCAAGCACATACGACATCGGTGCCCTATAGTACCCAAAGGCTATCTGGTACGATGCTGTAGTTAGTTATCTATCTTCTGACCCATATTAAACTTATTATAGAAAGGCAAAGTGTACTTAATTACATATAGGGTTACATATACTGAAAGCTTTACCACATGCTTAGTTAGACACAATTTGACCGCATAGTGACATATGAGGCCCCCTCTTGAACTCAGCCGATGCAGGGAAAAAAAAAAAAAAACATATTTCAAGTGTACCACATTATAGGGCTATAACATGCTATGATAAACTTGTACACATAACTACTCATGTTTTTCCATAACAAATGCATTGTTTACGCTTTATCCCCTGCGTGGGAAAGCTGCTTATTGTGTTGACCTCAATAAAAACAGATTTAAAACAAATAATATCTAGGTATAAAGATTCCAACCTGGAAAATTATCACAAAGGACCTCCACAGGAGTGGATCTTTTTGTGTCACCTATTTTCTGATACCTTTCTTTCAACGTGTCAGCCTAAGGGATAGAAAAAAACAATAAAATCGATTAGGCGTTGCCATCTTTTCTATGAAGAGAGTTGGATTTCTAGTTGAAGAGCACACATGGAAATTGTGTTCAGGTATTTTACTATTTAGAGATATACATGCAGACTACACTTGATATTTAGTGAATAAATCCCACACAAAAAAAATTCCTCATCAATAGTATTGGCAAACGTCTCTCCATTCACACTGAACTGAACCTAACCGATAACTGAATGTAAGATGTTTTTCCTAAATGCATATCCTGTGTTTTACTGCTTGAATGTTTACAATAACTGTGCCACGGAGAGAAGGTTTGCTATACCATATTCCACATCCTGAAACAGGAAGCTAAAAGTCAGGCGGAGATAAAGTCAATATTTGCATATACAGTTGGTTGTAGAAAAAGTTAAGAAGTTTGACTGATAGAAAAATTATTAATACTCTCTTCATGACAAAATAGCCTAAAGGAAATATGCTTATTAACAAAGGGAAAAAAATAAATAAAGAATAAATGAATACATAAACCAAAATGGTAATCTAAACACAAGTAGTAACCTTGGAGAATGCAACAACTCAAGTGAAGGGAGAAGGTGTGGATTAACCATCCCATCACAAAACCTAGGAAACCCATTCTTCCTTATACCTTTGTTAGTAGATAATTCTAAGTTATGATTTTATCATTACTTTAATATACCTCGTTTTATTGCTTAGTTGTTGCATTAGTTGTTTTAAGGACATATTTCATCTCTTTCGTTTGGACTTGTGCTTTCTACTCTACTTCCTTGTTATTTCCTATATTTTGAGTTACTACCACCAGTAAAAGACCAATTTGCCAATAACCGTGACATCCTATTTTTTTGGAATTGTTGATTTTCTATGGTGTTTACATCTTGATCCTCGTACAACAGAACCCACTTAAATGTTAAAGCAAAGTTCTAAATGATCTGTTTTTGTAACATGACATGAGGTTGAAGAAAGGAAAGTTCTGATACAAAGTTTCTTTACCTTAAGACCTTGCCATGGCAGACTTCCACGAAGAAAATACATGAACATGTGGCCCAATGCTTCTAGATCATCCCTCCGGCTTTGCTCTGAAAATAGGAAAATAAAGATAACAAATACTGCCTCTCTTAGCAAACTTATTACCTCTTTTGGATTCCACTACCACCTGTACATTGATGGCACCCAGTTATATCTCTCCTCCCCGGACCTCTACCCTGCCATCCTGCAACGTGTCACTGCTTGTCTTTCTTCCATCTCTGACTAGATGTCCTCCTGCTTCCTGAAACTCAATTTCTCTTAAACTGAGCTCCTTGTCTTTCCTCCTCCTAATACTGATCCTCCTCTTTCGCTCTCCCTTCAGGTTTGTGGTACCCACATCAGTCCATCCTTGCAAGCGCGCTGTCTTGGCGTCATACTTTATTCTGGCCTCACATCCAGCATGTTGCCAAGTCCTGTAGATTCCATCTTAAAAACATAGCTCGCATCCGCCCCTTTCTTACGCAAGATGCTACCAAGGAGCTTGTCCATGCTCTAGTAATTTCCCACGTGGATTATTGTAACCCTCTCCTGATTGGTCTTCCCAAAAGCCGTACTGCACAGCTACAGTCCATAATGAACGCTGCTGCCAGACTGATATTCCTCTCTAGTCGGTTCTCTCACACCTCACCCCTCTGCCAGCCCTTAGATTGGCTTCCTGTATGCTATAGGAGTCAATTCAAGGTACTAATTCACACCTATAAAGCACTGAACAACTCTAGCCCCTCTTATATCTCTTCACAGATCCATAGGTATGTCCCTTCTCTGTCTCTCCGTTCTGCCCATAACCACCTCCTGTCCATTGTCCGCACCCGTACGGCCAACTCACGCTTGCAGGACTTCTCACGGGCGGCTCCCTTCCTATGGAATAGCCTGCCTACTGCCATCAGACTCTCCCCTAGTCTTGCATCTTTTAAGAAGTGCCTTAAAACCCATCTCTTTAGGAAAGCTTATGGCCTCCCAGAGTAACCTCTACCTCACATACCTGTCTCTTGCTCTCTCCTAAAGTCTCTTGCTCTCTCCTACAGCCCACCTTGTTTGACTGCAAATTCCTGTCCTAATGTGTTTTATGTAAGCTCGATTGAGCAGGGTCCTCTTCAACCTATTGTTCCCGTAAGTTTTTTGTAATTGTCCTATTTATAGGTAAATCCCCCTCTCAAAATATTGTAAGCGCTACAAAATATGTTGGCGCTATATAAATGGCAATAATAATAATAATAATAAAATAACAGGTTACACTGAAATCTGTCTTTTAAGCCATACAATGGAACGATCGACAAAACAAAAATATGTGAAGTGACAATATTCCGGAGAGGCAATATAATATTGTGTTTACTGTGCTAGTAATATTTTAGCACTTGTATAGTTTTGCTATTATATAATTTAAAAAGTACGGGAAAACTGAGCCTTTTCTGAATTCTTTTTCTTTTCTAAAAACTGTTGAAGTAGGCTGTGCCATTTCCCTTGCACTCTGTAAATCTTCCGGTGTTTTAATACTGCCTGCAGAAACAAAGAAGGATCTAGAATTTTGGTCAGGTTCTTAGTACGGATACAAAGAATAAATGTAAAATGAAGTGGGTAGCGCAGAAACTTACTGTGCTCCCATAATGCACTTGGCTGAATCGCAGTAAGCAATGGCATCACAGCACATTTGCAGATTCATTCCATCAATATAGAGATTAACAATAAAAACCTCTCTGTATTAGAGGCAGACCGGGAGCACCCGATAGTGCTGCCCCAGCACATGTGCTCGCTCTGACAGCATGTCAGAGGGAGCACATGTGCTGCATATACTCACCTTCCGCCTCCCTGCACTTCCTGGTTCTGTGTGAAGTGGAGGGACCTGGAACATTGCTGATCCTGCCCCCTGTTAAAAAAACAAAACAAAAAAAAAAGTTTATTTAAAATCCCACCCCCCTTTACTCATTTTAATTAAAAATTAGCCCCTTCCCTGCCAATTGATCACTGACTACAGTGATCAATTGGCAGGGATTACATTTTACTGTCATCTGATTTTTTTAACCCCTGAGGGTTAATTCTTTTTTTTAACCCTCAGGGGTTAACTTTATTTAATTAATTTAAATATTTTAAAATTATATGTGTAGCTAGCTGGGGTGGGTGGAAGTTAGTGGGGAATTGGGGGATTTGGTGTTAGGCTAAGTAGGGGTTAACGTTAAAAAAAGTTTTAAAATAAACTTTAAAAAGTTAAAAATTAAACTAAAAAAAAAGTTTTAATAACGTTTAAGTAAAAAATAAAATAAAACACCTCCCTTTACAGAGTCCAAATAAAAATTAACCCCTTCCCTGCCAGTCGATCACTGCTACAGTGATCAAAATAAAGATCACAGTATTATACTGTGATCTAATTTTTTTTAACCCCTGAGGATTAACTTTTATTTACTTTTTAACCCTCAGGGGTTCAATGTATTTAAATAATTTAAATATTTTATAATTATATATTTTGCTAGCAAAACAAAACAAAAAAAAAAAGCTTAGAAAAATTTTACATTTGTAAAAAAAGTTTTAATAAAGTTTAGGAAAGTTTAAAAAAAATTAATAAGCAAAACAAGTTTAAAAACTAGTTTTTAAAAGTAAAAAAAGTTTCAAAAAGTAAAAAAATAAATGTAAAAACGCTCATTACCACTACACCTGGAACAAACTAGAGAAAAAATGATCCCACGCTAAGGTTCAAAATATGCCTTTTGGGGGGCGGGGCCTGGACATCATGGCGGCTGGACGCACTCCGTGTGAGCTCCGAGCTCAATGCCTCAACTAAGCCTGAATCTAGCCAGCCAGCCAGCCATAACGCCACAAAAAGAGACTTACCTACCTCTGGAGCCAGCAGAGGAACCCCGGGTCTGTCGCCCGCGGGTACACTACACGGCTGACGGAGGTCGGAGGAGTGACGCCTAGTACGGCCGTCGGACGGGGGAAGCGGCCGATCCCCTGCTCGGTGTGCAGCTGTGCAACCCCAAGCTCTTCTCTCAGCCCTGTTTCCCCCCCCTTTGGACCGGCGGGGGTCATCCCGCTCCGACCTGGCTAGCCTCACGCACGGAACAGCCCCACTAAAATACAACCTAGCAAAGCTCACAAAATGGCGGCCTGTAATATCCAGCGGGAACCAGCCATCACGCAGTCTGAGACGGCACTGCTAACTCCCGCGCAAATAACGCAGAAGAAGCTGGATGACATTTTCGACTGTTTCTGGGCTAAGCTGGAAGCCCACCAAGCCGCAGCAGCAATTCAACACAGGGAGGTTCACGGTAGGGCGGTGATTTGGCCCCCTCTGATCCCCTACACATTAAACATACATAAGCCTATTAGTCAGAGATCACTTAGGCCGAGGGCCGAAACGGGCACAGCCCCACGGCATCACCCACGCAGACGGAAGATCGCCCGCAACCGGCAGCGGAATACCATCACGACCTCCCGTCTACCCTATGCAGGGGAGGACTGGGACCCTAGGAGCCCACACGTCCGTGGCAAGAGGATGCTGGCCTACCAACCGGCCTGGGGCGGGAGGGATGCTCAACTAAACCGCCTGAATGCTGCAGCCTCCCTAGCCCCCGAAGTGCAAGACTTTCGATTTCCTACTTCGGGCATTGGCTAAGCGCTGACAAGCTTCTTGCAGCCGCACCATCATTGGAGTCCTGATCACAAGCGGCAACCGTCACGGATGGGACTCGCACTCACTAATGCCAGCCTCACAGTACTTCCTCACGTGAATGCAATCAAAGGCATCCGAATGTTTCTGTCCATGGTTTATTTCTGATTTGTTTATGCCTTAATTATTTTGTGCTACCTCTGTGCTCCAGGTCTACCTGTACATTAGACCACTGCCTAACATATGACACATAGCATGTTCACACATAATCTTGCACCTATTCTCATAAGAGACCTGCTTAAATACCACGACCAATCATATTAGGCGTAAATCTTTAACTAAGTATATTTAGAGGGCAACTATTGAACTGTCGCATAGGCACAACCCAATGAGACAGTCTGGCTTCTCAGCTAGTTACTCAGCAATCTCAGCAACGTTAGGCCTCATGCACCTGTACCTATACCACGCATGTTTTATGGTTAACTATTCAACCTGTAATTACTACTGTACACATGACATTTTGTATAAGGAAAACTACGGTAAAACTTAACTAATCCCATTACTAATATCCAAGCTTGCATACGTAGACTAATTACGCTATTATAGTCCTGCTCAAGTATTCCTAGCCTGTTTACTTTCATAAATATAAAAATGTGCTGTATTACTCTGCTATGACACTGTTTGCTATTGAAATGCCTGTACTAGCTGTCGTGGCGCTACAGGCCCATCTGTTATGTTTTCTTATGCACAAGAAAAATAAAGAATTTAAAAAAAAAAAAAAAATATGCCTTTTGAATTACCCCAGGGTGTATTCTTTAATAAATAGTTTGTGTTTGTGGGGAAGTTTCAATAACCAACCGTCTAAACTACTCCAAATTGGAACATGGTAAAACTTCAAAGTTAGAAAAAACCTGAATGACTGCGTCTCAAATGCCCCCTTCAACATCCACATCCACCCTGGCAAAGGTACATACGGGGGTATTGCTGTACTCAGATGACATAGCTGAGCAGCATATGAAGTATTATACAGTCGTAGCACACATAAGGTTTACAAAGTATACTGTGCAAACTCACTTTGTGTGTCAAAAAGGCAGAAAAAACACTTATTACCACTACACTTGGTACAAGCTAGCGGAAAAATGATCCCACGCTAAGGTTCAAAATATGCCTTTTGAAATACCTTGGGATGTCTTCTTTAAGAAATGGTATGGCTTTATGGGGTATTTGGATTATATAGTCTGGTAAAATACTCTATAATAGGACATGGGCACAGCGTAAAAGTGTAAAGTTTGAAAAAAAACTGGAATGGCTGTGTCCCAAATGTGCCCCTCCGATGTCCACATATACCTGGCAAAGGTACATATGGGGATATTGCTGAGTGTCTACTTTAAGAAATGGTAGGCCTTTGTGGGGTAGTTTGAATTTAAACCCTGCTAAGATGCTTGGAAATTGCACATAGGCCCAGCGTCAAAATTCAAAGTTCGGTAAAATCTGATATGGCTTGGTCTCCTATATGGCACTGTAGCTTCACAAAATAGTGCCAAAGACATTCATTGGGGTGTCTTTTTACTCAGAAGGCTTAGCCGAGCATAATTTGGGGGGTTTGAACTTAGTGGCACATGTGAAATATACAAAATGCCCAGCAAAAATGCAATCCATGTGTAAAAAAACACACAAAATTATTTTTTAACACATACTTTAGCATATATTGGTGAAAAATTGGGGGCATGTTAAGGCACAATATGCACCTTATGAGATACCCTGGAGTGTCTACTTTTACAAATGGTAGGCCTTTGTGGGCTTTTTTGAACAGTCAAACTGTTATAATACCCCAAATGGAAGCATAGGCTCATTAAATCCGTCTCTCAAAATTCTACTGTGAATACTGAAAAGAACAGGCCTCCTATATGGCACTGTAACTTCACGAAATAGTGCCAGACATACAATGGGGTGTCATTTTACTCAGCAGATGTAACTGAACACTAAATAAAACTTTGTACAGGAATAGCACACACCAACTTTACAAAATATACATGAGAATTTCTTTGTTATAAGTTTGTGTGCCAAAAACCAAAAAAAACACAATTTTACTCCAATATTTAGCAGAGGTTGGCGGTGAAATGGCTACGTATTAAGTGTCAAAACAACCCTAGGTAAATAGCATGTGATGTCTACTTTATATAAATATATACTTTTGTGTGGCAATTTTGTTTTCTTTTATGGCTATTAAGCTTACAAGAATTACATACCAAATTCTAAAATCGCTCCACATTAAAAGTTTATTTTACTCCTTGTGCTTTGTGACCTGTAACTACCAAAAAAACCTGAAAATCCCAGACACATTATATATTCTGTAAATCAGAACTAAATGAATTTATTTTTTATTAATTTCCTTAACCTGCACTAATTATGCACACATTATGAATGCAAAAAACAGTAAAAAAATAAATAAAATTTTTTTTCCATTTTTTTGTATTTTTTTTATAATAAATAAGCATTTATATATATATATATGTGTGTGTTACATCAAATTAAAGCCCTTTCTGTCCTTTAAAAAACGATATATAATGTGTGTCGGTGCAATAAATTAGTAAAATGCAAATTGCAGTTGAACGCAAACCGCAAAAAATGAAACAAATGCTGTTGAGCTTCTGAAGCTCTGTCCTTAAGGGGTTAAAATGGAATGAGGCAAAAATGTGATTCTTAAACTAATTTGCATATGCCCACCCAGAATCCTTTGCGGTTGTAATATCACTGCAGATTTGTGATTTCTGTGGGAAAAGCAAGTCTTATGGCTTGACTGGTGTGCAGATTTTTGTTTAACAGGGGTTAACAATGTATTAACTATCCACAGACTTCAGGTGGAAGGGGTTTTCAATCACAATTTTTCCCCACCATAACCTATTTGGATTTTTATATATATGTATAGTGCTATTTTAAAAAATTTTTTTTTTTACTATTTCCCCCATTATTTTCACTTGGAGGGACTGTCTGACAACCCAGGGACTGGCTAGCCTGCCCAATTGGATGCAGGGCGACTGCTTGGGATGTCAGGCAGTTTCCCCCAACAGGGATCGCCGGTGTTGGTAAGTGTAACCTGCCAGGAGAGCCCTGGCAGATTACATTTACCAACACCAGTGATTCACTGCATGGTACACCCACCTTTTTTAGGGTGGCATGTTACGCTGTAATGGGTAATTGGTTAAAGATAATCCCTTAAATTACGGTGGAACAAACACACAGCACACATTCTAGATTTTGTTTTGGTTCAGAAGTTGCACAATTGCATCATTCCATCAATATATGTTACTTTCTAACTATATGGATGATAGTCTTGCTACAAGAATGCCAATATGGAAACATTGTGACAATGGGTAATACTGTTTATGGTTTGTTATATTTATTTGTTTTAAATTCATTTTAAGAGTGAGAGAATTGTGTGTGTGTATAAACAGACATAGTTAATTAACCATGTAGAATAAAACATTTATAATTATACTAACCCACGCTTTATCTCAGCAACTACTTTATTTAGTATGCCTGTTCTCTTTTGTGAAAATACATGATCATTATTTCTGAGGGTAAGAACACCTTGTGTTCTTAAGTGGTCATGGTACCAGAAGTCTACAATGAAACACTACACATACAGAGTTTAACCTCTTTTGTGCCAGAATTTTAATCCTACCTCCGGCAGCGTCATTGGGGCATCATTAGCCATCCAGCCAGCCAGCCTGCCTGCCAATATCAATTCTGTGCATTTTTTTTTTTTTTTTTTTACAGATTTGCATTCATTGGCTGCGAACGGTCAGCTGCCACTTTCAGCCAACGAATAACCCTTTACTGAGACAGTCCAAGTGGACAGAAAGGCCATCAATATTAAAATAACCACTTTACACATTGTAGAACATCATCAGCAGATCGTCGTCTATGTATCTGTCAACTGTAACAGGTAGCCTACAATTATCGGACAACTGCCACTACTCCAGCCACAAAATTTGTAATAAACTGCATGGATCCATCATATCTTGTGTCAACTGTACAGGCTTGTAATGTGATCTAAGTATGATAAAAAAACAAACACACACATTTGTTCACCTTAATATTGTATGAGCATCATTTGCATTCCACAGGATATAATAAGCTTTGCAGCATCTTTTTTTTTGTAGCTACAATCCATTCCCAATGTGTGGACTTCAGGGGTGCCAAAAAGGTAGATCCCCAGATGTTTTAAAACTACAGCTTCATGGCACTTTGTCATTCTAAAGGCATGCAAAGCATCATGGGAGTTGTCGTTCTACAACATTTGGGGATCTACCTTTTGGGCACCCCTGGTATTCTTATCCAGCAGAATAACTGCACCAAATTACAAAAGCACTCACATTTTACCAAGCTGCCTCAAAGAACATCTTTGAGATTCAAGCTAATGGCCATTGCTGGCACAAACCCCAGATCTCAAATGGATAAGGCACACTGTTGAGAATCTTAAAAGAGGAGGCCTCAGCCAGGTGTGCTGTTGATTGACTGAGTGTCAGCTGACAATATAAACCAACCAGTAAGCCCTCCCTTCTTCCCCCCCCACAGAGCTTGAACAGTAAACTGGCACCAGGGATTTCCTAATACCATAGCAACGTAATTCCAAGTTCTAGTGCCTGGAGTGTTATTTCATTGGTAAATCACTTGGAAAGTTGATCTTTTTAGCATTGAATCACCGGGAAAGATTATAAAACCAAGTCCTATGTTTGGAGAGATTTAGACTTTTTTTTTTTTTTTTTGTGTGACTGGTGGCAACAAGGAGTCTCTTACCCAATATTAGGCAGGTTCACCAAACCAAATGGTCACCGAGTATATGTATGAATATAAAAATAAAACGATTTATATGTATAATCAAACACACATATATGCATACATGCACACAGAAAATGCTTAAAAAAAAAAAAGTCAGCCCACTGATCAACATATCAAAGCTTCACTGCAAGTTTTTTTTCACTTTGCCGAAGTTAATGAAGACACATACAAGGAAACTCATATCAATATGCAATATGTTAATGCAATGCAAGTGAAGATTTTTTTTATGTACACACGACAGACTGACATAAGTAAGTGGATGGGATGCAATATAAGATATTACCTCTATCAGCTTTGCCTCTCCCTGCAACATTCATACATTTTATTGACTCCCCCCCTGCATTGTAATACACGATTACAAAGATGTGTGAAAACAGTGCTAAGTGGATCTGTATGCCCATACGGTGTATGCTAAAAAATACTGCTGGGCTGTAATAGGGACTAAGAGGACAATGCCACATTTAGATCTTAAAGGAACACTCCAAGCACTATAGCAATTTCATTGAAATTAAGTTGTTATGGTGCCAGGAGGTCCCTGGTAATTCCTTACACATAGGGGTTAACTCCAAAGTTTGCTCTCGAGCTCTGTTCCTCACTGTCCACATCCTCATTCTGCAATACAGCTGGGCAGGGACGCCGCTAGTTGGTTAAGAGCGTTTAGCTGACACTCCATGCCAATCTGTAGCTCCCCATTCATAAAAAATGTACATATGGGTAAGGAAGCTCCAGGGACCAACTGGCAATATAACAATGTCATTTTGATGAAGCTGTTATGGTGCCCAGAGCGTTCAATGAAACAAGGTGAGAAAAATATAAATGCAACTTTGAATTTTGTCATCTATGTGTCCTATATTCAAGGAAATTGGGACAAAAAAAACCTCAATGTGCCTCAGCCATCCCATCTATCTTCATTGTTATGCGATAACTCAACTCCAGTTTCTTTTTAAAGAGTAGTAAGGTTGTTATAAACTGGAGTGCTAACCATTTACACCCCCAATACATTTACAGAAAACAAAAAAACATGATGCTGATAAACTGGACAATCCTCCCAGAATATGATTTAGTTTGTTATATTCTTCAGCAGGATCCTGGTTTTCCTGTCCACTCCAGAATCCCAACGATTCAAGAAAATAAGAATAGCAATTACGTGGGATAGAGAAAAAAGGAATCAAAATGTCTCAACCCGTTAGATTTGCAACATTTCTGTTTTGACAGTAGAAGTGATGTGGAGTATTCCTGGGTAGAAGTCTCTGTAATCCAAAAATAAAGTACAGCTGCTCTATAAGAAGTATTTGAAGGTCCAGAAAACTTAAGTCATTTTTGCTGAATGTTTTTCCTCTTCCGCCTTTTGAAGAAACAACAACATCTGAAAAGTGAGGGGGAAATGAAAAAAGTTTCATGTATTGTAAGCAGTGCAGAAGCAAATAAAACAAAAATATATGATGTTTGGAAATATGTAAGCAACATATACGGTATGCAGGACAGGTCACTAAAACTAAACGCAGACCAGCAACACTTAAATGTTTACTCACCAAACAGTAAAAAGTGGTTAAAATTTCAACCAAAATAGGGAAAATGGTGGTGTTGGAGAATTCTTCTAACTTGGCTAATTTGGTCAACATCCCTTCACCGTCTAATCTCTTTAGAAACATTCTACAAAAAGCTGTACTCCTTAAATGTGCTACTGCAAGCTTTTTACATGTATGAGAAAAAAAAATAGATGTTTATCACAAAAAAAATAAAAAAACAGCCACAGGGGCAGGAAAGATGATTTATGTCATAACATACTTTGAGTATAAATAGATTTCACTTTTCAGCTTGTATGTTTGGACATAATTGAAGGTTAATGATAGCACAAAAAGGGGCAAGCCTAATAATATTTAATTTCATTTTCTCTGAGATTCTTTATAACATCTGCATGTGCTGCAACTTTTTTATTTTTTAAAGTTTTGCGTGTTGGTTGTAAATGTTCCCAACAACTGCTTAGTGATCAGACCTCTGCATATAGGCAGGTGCCTTTAATATTTCTGTTCCATATACCTGTTTACCATACAGATATTGGGGGTTGAAAAAAAGATTTTGCCCTAAGGACAGATTTATACTCACTTGGTATCATCTGCTACCTCCACCCCTGTGTGCGCGGTGATGGGAGCGTTGGAATGTCCGGCTGTTGGGTCATCTATATTGAGATCACCATTCGTAGAATTTAAACCCTAGCGCACAAAGAATATGGTAGTTATTAAATGTGAGCACCCTCTGGTTCCCTCCCACCTTAACATCAAACCAGTAACCCCCGACCTTTGCTTTACCTGGTGTTTGAGGTGCAACTGAGTCTTATTCTGCATTTGAGAGGTGGCTTCACCTGATATTGAACCAATTGGAGTGGGCTAGAAATAAAGACAAATTAGAGAAGTATTTTAGCATTTTTTTTCCCCCTCGGGATCTGCACACCTAACAATAATCTCAGAGCCAGAGATTTACTTAGGGATGCCTATAATTCCCTAGCATGCTCACCAGTGTTTTTCCCACCCAATCATATTCGTAGTCAAAGATGAGCCCACGTCGATCCAGCAGGTCAGTGAAAAGTCGTCGCAGGTACTCGTAATCTGGCTTCTCAAAAAAATCCAGACGGCGAACATAGCGGAGGTAGGTAGCCAACTCCTCTGTGAAAAGAATCGAGAGATTTTAGAATAAACATAAGCTGGTTAGATATATGCATGCCTCTGAATACAGAAAATCTAACAATGTTTTTACAGCAAATAAAAGAAAGATGGTCTAGTACAGGGGTAGGCAACCTTTTAGCAGCACTGCCGAAATAGGATTGTGATGTCCTGTAGCGTGCCGATCCTATTTTTTTTAAATTGAGGTGTGTATGTTGCTGTATTCTGCTTGTTACATATACTGTAGTTGCTTTGTATCGTATTTGTGCGTATATGAGCTATTATATTGTATATGTTTATGAGTAGTTTGTGGTATTGCATGTGGGGTTGTGTGCATGTATGTGGAATGTCAGTGGTGTTAAGTTTGTGCGGATTGTGTGCTGTGTTTGTGTGTGGGCTGTTCATATTATTTGTGTGAGGGGACGGTTATTGTGCATTTCTGTGTATATCTAGCAGTGTGGGTGGCTTCCCTGGGTTCCAGTGGTGACCAGGACGGCCAGGTACAGCTCAAGGACAGGAGCTGCAACAGCAGTTGCTGGCTGCTCTACTCCAGTGTGGATTCCCATTCACAAGTGCTGGAATGAAGTGATCTGAGATAACTTCCTCTACGCGCTGCAATGCATAAATTAAGGATTTCCCTTCACCACCTTTTTGCATTAGCAGATATCTGAAGTTTACCTGGGATAGGCCAGAGCCTGTTTGGCTCTAGCAGCCCTAAGTGCCGTGCAAAGACACCTCGAGTGCCGTGCATGGCACTAGTGCCGTAGGTTGCCTACCCCTGGTCTAGTATATGTAATGCCACAACAAGTGAAATTCAAGTTTTGACGCAGTCTTAAAAATAAATAAATAATATATATTTTTATTCATTCCTTGTGTATTACAAATAATATCTAGGGTGGGGTGGGGGGGCCGGGCCACCGAGCCGGCAGCCATCTTCGCTAGCTCCTGCATCGTGCCAGGCCGGTGGGGGTTGTCCTGGCCCATGAGTCCCTGCTTCGACGACACCCAAGGGGATCAGAAGGGGTCGGGAGTGCCAGCGGCCTCCCACCCAGTAAAAGGAACTGCTACAAAAATTCATTGCAATGCAAGCATGTAAGGGGAGACTCACCTTCATAGAGTGGCTTCCCCGCATTGCTTCGATGGCCCCAACAGCTGCTGCCCTGCAGAGGGATACCCTGGGTGGCCTGCCCCCTGGAGAAGTACCAGTCCCTGCCTTTGGGTTTCGGGGGTGGCCCAGGGGAGATTGTCCCTGCCGCAGTGAGTCCTGTGGGACGGGAACGCACAGACCTTTCCGGTGTACCGGTGGCCGTGAGGAAGGTGCCCCAGTCCTAAGTATGTGGCCGGCGCCAGGTGGGACATGAGGGTCCAAGTGCTTCACAGAGGCTGAAGTGGTGCTGGGGAGGTGCAGGAGACGGTCAGAACCTGGACTCTTGGTGTGGGAGGTCCGGGGGACAGATTTGGACTTTAAGTGCCCACGGCACCACAGAACGCAAAACCGGTGGGATGGGTCAGCCCCAGGGATGACCGATGGAGGACATGCATGCTTGGAGCCCTATGGGGGCAACCACGGAGGTAGCTTACTTACGGTGCAATCGACACCGCTCTCCTTAACCTATTATGTGAAACGACAGCGCAGCATGTTCCTACTCCCCACGAAGTGACTCACTTTTTCCCATCACTGTTGGGAGCAAATGCACTATGACACATCTGCAACCTAGGTTCAGGTTATAAAAACCTTGTTTGCCTTCAATTACCTGCATTGCATAACTAACCACTGTCTACATCAGATTGCACGTTATGTGATGAATATCTCCATTGAAATTGCAATCGCCTGTTTATTCATTCCTTCACTTACATTGCACTTACATTGCATATTACTACTAGCCTCTCATGTTATAGTTCTTACAATTGATTTTCATTTCTTTTGCATTCATTGTTGTTGCAGGCCTATGCCATAATTCATTAGACGCAGTTAAGAGACAAACGGCTATGACCTATCAAAGCCTTATGATGCTTACTTAACATATTGTAATAGGCGTGGAAACGCTGTTTATGCTGCAGTACCTACGAGCTACAGTCTAGGGGAGTAAATAATTGCATACATAACCTTTCTCAGAATGGCAGCAAGCATTCGGAAAATCCTCCTTTTTTTTTTATTTTTTTTTTATTTTCTTAGATAGTTTAGTTAAACAACACTTCCTCCAAATGCCTTCTTATAGCAACACTACATTTCTTTACGGGCTCGTTAACTATTAATGCTTATATTAGAGGCATTCCTAATATCCAAGTTAGAGTCACAATAGACTAAGCGCTATTTGAACACATCACATGATAGGTCTCTGTACCTAATCACTTGGGTTATAAATCCACAAGGTAACACGTCGCCCTCATCCACTCGCTGCATAATTACCTACAGTTCCTAATGCATATGTTGATTATGTAAATGTGTGTACCGCAACTCAAACCAGAATATGTTCTCCACGCTACATGGCTTCAGCGGACATAGGCTGCATGTTAGCCATAGTAATCAACTTACTGGCAAACCAAATGCAAATATGGCATGTGGTACAACTTATATTGGAATTGTCCATAGGATGTCACAAGGGGCAAGCACATACGACATCGGTGCCCTATAGTACCCAGAGGCTATCTGGTACGATGCTGTAGTTAGTTATCTATCTTCTGACCCATATTAAACTTATGATAGAAAGGCAAAGTGTACTTAATTACATATAGGGTTACATATACTGAAAGCTTTACCACATGCTTAGTTAGACACAATTTGACCGCATAGTGACATATGAGGCCCCCTCTTGAACTCAGCCGATGCAGGGGGGAAAAAAAAACCAAAAACATATTTAAAGTGTACCACATTATAGGGCTATAACATGCTATGATAAACTTGTACACATAACTACTCATGTTTTTCCATAACAAATGCATTGTTTACGCTTTATCCCCTGCGCGGGAAAGCTGCTTATTGTGTTGACCTCAATAAAAACAGATTTAAAACAAATAATATCTAGGTATAAAGATTCCAACCTGGAAAATTATCACAAAGGACCTCCACAGGAGTGGATCTTTTTGTGTCACCTATTTTCTGATACCTTTCTTTCAACGTGTCAGCCTAAGGGATAGAAAAAAACAATAAAATCGATTAGGCGTTGCCATCTTTTCTAAGAAGAGAGTTGGATTTCTATTTGAAGAGCACACATGGAAATTGTGTTCAGGTATTTTACTATTTAGAGATATACATGCAGACTACACTTGATATTTAGTGAATAAATCCCACAAAAAAAAAATTCCTCATCAATAGTATTGGCAAACGTCTCTCCATTCACACTGAACTGAACCTAACCGATAACTGAATGTAAGATGTTTTTCCTAAATGCATATCCTGTGTTTTACTGCTTGAATGTTTACAATAACTGTGCCACGGAGAGAAGGTTTGCTATACCATATTCCACATCCTGAAACAGGAAGCTAAAAGTCAGGCGGAGAAAAAGTCAATATTTGCATATACAGTTGGTTGTAGAAAAAGTTAAGAAGTTTGACTGATAGAAAAATTATTAATACTCTCTTAATGACAAAATAGCCTAAAGGAAATATGCTTGGTAACAAAGGGAAAAAAATAAATAAAGAATAAACGAATACATAAACCAAAATGGTAATCTAAACACAAGTAGTAACCTTGGAGAATGCAACAACTCAAGTGAAGGGAGAAGGTGTGGATTAACCATCCCATCACAAAACCTAGGAAACCCATTCTTCCTTATACCTTTGTTAGTAGATAATTCTAAGTTATGATTTTATCATTACTTTAATATACCTCGTTTTATTGTTTGGTGGTTGAATTAGTTGTTTTAAGTACATATTTCATCTCTTTCGTCTGGACTTGTGCTTTCTACTCTACTTCCTTGTTATTTCCTATATTTTGAGTTACTACCACAAGTAAAAGACCAATTTGCCAATAACCGTGTCATCTTATTTTTTTTTGGAATTGTTGATTTTCTATGATGTTTACATCTTGATCCTCGTACAACAGAACCCACTTAAATTTTAAAGCAAAGTTCTAAATGATCTGTTTTCGTAACATGACATGAGGTTGAAGAAAGGAAAGTTCTGATACAAAGTTTCTTTACCTTAAGACCTTGCCATGGCAGACTTCCACGAAGAAAATACATGAACATGTGGCCCAATGCTTCTAGATCATCCCTCCGGCTTTGCTCTGAAAACAGGAAAATAAAGATAACAAATACTGCCTCTCTTAGCAAACTTATTACCTCTTTTGGATTCCACTACCACCTGTACACTGATGGCACCCAGTTATATCTCTCCTCCCCGGACCTCTACCCTGCTATCCTGCAACGTGTCACTGCTTGTCTTTCTTCCATCTCTGACTAGATGTCCTCCTGCTTCCTGAAACTCAATTTCTCTAAAACTGAGCTCCTTGTCTTTCCTCCTCCTAATACTGATCCTCCTCTTTCGCTCTCCCTTCAGGTTTGTGGTACCCACATCAGTCCATCCTTGCAAGCGCGCTGTCTTGGCGTCATACTTTATTCTGGCCTCACATCCAGCATGTTGCAAAGTCCTGTAGATTCCATCTTAAAAACATAGCTCGCATCCGCCCCTTTCTTACGCAAGATGCTACCAAGGAGCTTGTCCATGCTCTAGTAATTTCCTGCATGGATTATTGTAACCCTCTCCTGATTGGTCTTCCCAAAAGCCGTACTGCACAGCTACAGTCCATAATGAACGCTGCTGCCAGACTGATATTCCTCTCTAGTCGGTTCTCTCACACCTCACCCCTCTGCCAGCCCTTAGATTGGCTTCCTGTATGCTATAGGAGTCAATTCAAGGTACTAATTCACACCTGTAAAGCACTGAACAACTCTAGCCCCTCTTATATCTCTTCACAGATCCATAGGTATGTCCCTTCTCGGTCTCTCCGTTCTGCCCATGACCACCTCCTGTCCATTGTCCGCACCCGTACGGCCAACTCACGCTTGCAGGACTTCTCACGGGTGGCTCCCTTCCTATGGAATAGCCTGCCTACTGCCATCAGACTCTCCCCTAGTCTTGCATCTTTTAAGAAGTGCCTTAAAACCCATCTCTTTAGGAAAGCTTATGGCCTCCCAGAGTAACCTCTACCTCACATACCTGTCTCTTGCTCTCTCCTAAAGTCTCTTGCTCTCTCCTACAGCCCACCTTGTTTGACTGCAAATTCCTGTCCTAATGTGTTTTATGTAAGCTCGATTGAGCAGGGTCCTCTTCAACCTATTGTTCCCGTAAGTTTTTTGTAATTGTCCTATTTATAGGTAAATCCCCCTCTCATAATATTGTAAGCGCTACAAAATATGTTGGCGCTATATAAATGGCAATAATAATAATAATAATAATAAAATAACAGGTTACACTGAAATCTGTCTTTTAAGCCATACAATGGAACGATCGACAAAACAAAAATATGTGAAGTGACAATATTCCGGAGAGGCAATATAATATTGTGTTTACTGTGCTAGTAATATTTTAGCACTTGTATAGTTTTGCTATTATATAATTTAAAAAGTACGGGAAAACTGAGCCTTTTCTGAATTCTTTTTCTTTTCTAAAAACTGTTGAAGTAGGCTGTGCCATTTCCCTTGCACTCTGTAAATCTTCCGGTGTTTTAATACTGCCTGCAGAAACAAAGAAGGATCTAGAATTTTGGTCAGGTTCTTAGTACGGATACAAAGAATAAATGTAAAATGAAGTGGGTAGCGCAGAAACTTACTGTGCTCCCATAATGCACTTGGCTGAATCGCAGTAAGCAATGGCATCACAGCACATTTGCAGATTAATTCCATCAATATAGAGATTAACAATAAAAACCAACTGCCTATAATAACTTTATACAATGGCTAGCATGAAATGCCAAGTCTTTTCTCCTAAGTTGTCAAAACAGACAAAATGGACCAGCGTTGCATTCTGAAAGAAACAGTGTCAGTACAGTGCACAAAAAAAAAGAATAGTGACTTGGGAACTGTAACGGCACCCCCGGTATAGAAGGGGTTAACACCGCCAAAGATGTTCCCTTCCCGAATACAAGGTCAGCTACCGAACACTTCTAAGCACCAAATAGGAAAACACACGAATAATCCCCCCCAAGTACGAGACGAGGCTCTGTATTGAGAGTCAAGCAGGAATCTCAGCAGTCTGAGGGTTTATTGTCTTATATGCAACTTTTCCCACAAGGTTACCACCCACATGGGCTTGAGGAACAGCCACTCAAACACATTACAATACATTCAGACAGTCCCAGTCAAGGCACACAAACCCTCCCTTTTGCCTGTGATAGAATTACTAAACACAATGGGCTAACTTAAAGGGACACTCCAAGCACCCAGACCACTTCTGCCCATTGGAGTGGTCTGGGTGCCAACTCCCACTACCTTTAACCCTGCAACTGTAATTATTGCAGTTTACATAAACTGCAATAATTACCTTGCAAAGTTAACTCCTCCTCTAGTGGTGTCTACTAGACAGCCACTAGAGGGCACCTCCTGCTTCATAGCACAGGTTTTCTGTGGACCTCCAATATCGCTCAATTCCCCATTTCCTATGGAGAGCTCTACTGCGCCACGCATGCTCATTAGGTCTCCTCAGCCGGCGGTGGTCTCAGGTAAGTCACTGGAAGGTTTTTTCACCCCTTCAGCAACCGGGGATGGGTGGTGGGAGGGAGAGGGGACCTGCAGTGCCAGGAAAATGCATCCTGTTTTCCTGGCACAGGAGAGTCCCTTTAATTATCACAGGCAGAAAATATACAGTTTTACACAATATTCATAACTTTAAAGCTATACATGCAAGTCACATAAAACATACATTTTCAGAACAAGCATACTTGGGGGAACAACATATTCGAAAATCAGGGCAATCGTTTCAGGGGTTCAAAAGTTAGCTGGAAGCCATATATGACCGACCGCAGCATGGCTTTCCTGCCCAAAACGGTTCCACAGATTTGGGCTGTTCAGCCGGTCTATTCCCCATAGTTCACATAATGTTCAAATGTCTTTCGAATGCACGAATGGGGCAGTTCGTGCAAATAGCCAATGTAAAAAGTGGTTTTCGAATTGTCGAACGCCGTTCCAATCCCGCCGAAGTTCCAAAGAAGGTAAGGTTCACCGGTGTTCGCGCCATCGTGTAGCAGATTTCAGTTCCATGAGTTCGACGGCAAAACACCACTGACCGCATTCGACAAAACAAGATGGCTGCCGCCACGTGTTCGACTATACGAACCACAGCTTCTGGGAGGTAAATTGCCTGCACACTCCACATGCAGGTGGTCCGGCTGTTCGTTCGGTAAATTCCATTTACCGAACCCCATAGTAACAAAGCATGAACAAAGTACTTGCACAGTCTGGGGACACAGTTTTAAAGGAGCATTGTTCCCAAAAGTCTCCATATGCCCCAATAAGAGTTTTAAAGGGCCGTACACCACAGGGCCATAATCCTGAGGCAAAAGGCAAGCAAACAGGCCCCTCCAAAACCCAGTGGCGAGGTTCTTTTCGCCACAGAAACCTTCTCTGGGTCTTGGGTACCATTCATTACAAGGTACAATTAAATTTTACATCTCTCCATCATCTCTTTTGAACATTCTACTTCACAACTTCAGTTTAAGCCCATCTATTTTTTGATCTTGGGTTCCCAACTTGTATTTGCATGTATAGTTCATTGGTTGGTTAAAAGGCAAAATGCCATAATGTTAATCTGTCCCTACTTTGTCTCTGTATATCTTTTGACTGTGTTGGAATTTTGGATAGGGCGGAGTGGGTGGCAGTCTTGCTTTATGGATCTTTGCAATATCTTTGTTATCTTAAGAATGGGTTTTCATTTTCAAGGATTCCCAGGGTTAAAGCGGCACTGTGACACTGAACGTACCTTTCTTCTATAGTCTTCCTCTCTCAGAATCTGTTTTTCTTCTCTTTATTTATGATCTAGTTTTCTTTAAAAACATGAGACAAAATAGGGACTACTTTAATGTATTTTTCCTATATCTGACTTTCTTTGCCCCAAGGAAGAGCTTAAGTCAGCTCCATTTCATGTGTCAATGAAAGTTTTTCCACAATACTCACCCTACTCCTTGACACAGGAAATAGAGCAGATTTAAGCTTCTCCTTGTGCCATAGAATGTCAGGCGTAGGAAAAATACATAAGACAAATATTTTGTCTTATGTTTTAAAGAAAACTAAATCAGGAAAGAACAGATTCTGAGAGGGGAAACAACATGAGAAAGGTAAGCTTGGCATGACAGTACAGATTTAAGGACATTTGTAAATTTCGTCAAAAATTATTTTGTATTCGCACTGAACATATCTTTGCTATATCCTAGTTAATGTCTTACCTTTTCCCAGGTGAGTGTTGATACTCATATATCTTGCAGTTCCAGTCAAGCTTTTATGTTCTCTGTATGGAATATGTTTTTTGGTTTCTGGGTCCCAATACTCTTTGGCCAGACCAAAGTCAATAATGTGGATTATTTTTTGACGTCTGCTTCCAGGACGACCAAGCAAGAAGTTTTCTGGCTTCACATCCCGGTATATCAGGCTCTTTGTGTGCACATACTCCATACGTGAGATCTGTATAAACACACATTACATTGGTTAAACATACTTTGATTATATAAAGTACGTGTAAAGATCAGTGATCGGAAAAGACACATATGAGAGAAACGAGCATCCTTTTTGTCATAGCAACTCAGACTGGAAGGACCAGAGGCACCTGACACAGCAAAGCGAGCGTGAAACAGTTCATAAATGATTTGACAGAATACCACCATAATTAATACAGTGCGTTCTGGATTATGGCGCTGAAAATTTCCCTTTAATCCTACAAACTTTTTAAGGGGAAGGATTATTAAAATTAACTTTTAATATACTGTTATATTAAAAGAAAAAAATATACGCATGCTTCTAATGGGCACAATAATTCAGTATAACCAATATTGTATATTTTATTATACAAAGTATCCTGCCTCCAGTTGTAACTGTTGTGTTTCTTGAGCATTCTACAGACAGCAATAGGCTCGTCTCACTGTTTGGAACACCGTCAAAAAGCTCGATATGCACAGGCTGGTGCCTGTTGGATGTTCAGTGACCCTTGTCATTGAATTCTTTTACAATTATGTAATCAAGAGAGGCTGAGGAAAGGAATAAAACCAAAGTATATATTTTAAACATAATGGTTATGTTCATTAGATACTGCACTGTAGTAATTATTTATACTACAGATCACAGGTTATTTTTGGGATTTAATCTCCCCAGTTCAGTATTTAGCACAAAAAAATACTTTTATTTCATTGGGGAGGAATGCACACAGATAGATATAGTTAAAATAATGTCAGTTAAAACAAATAAATCGGCAACATACCATCCAGAGTCTGACTGATAATATTTTCTGTTTTTTTACTGGTACTGTGCGTTTTCTAAATCACGATCCAAAAAATGTCAAAGCCTTTTTGTTACTTTAGAAAATGAGTAATTTAGTACATTAATGGAATAGGCACCTGTGCCAACATGACACTGTGGGATAATTTAATGTTGCACAATTTTAAGAGCAGAGCAATCAGCAAAAAAACATTATATAGTTATATAATAATATAATATATATAATAAATGGTTCTGTTTAAATCCAAGGTACTCACTAACTGGACTGCTATCATCAGCACGGTTTTAAGGGTGAATGTTCTGTCACAGAGGTCAAACAAATCCTCCAGACTGGGCCCGAGCAGCTCCAGAACCATAGCATTGTATTTTCCACAGGGTCCAAAGTAATACACCTGAGGAAGACCCTCTGAAACAAACATAAAAAAGGGTGAATTGAAAGGAGGATGTGGAAATATTTAAGACGTCAGGGAAAAGAGGTTGCAAATAGTTAATCGGAGATATTTAAGTTGACCAAGAACTCAATGTATCCATCGGTCATGTGCAATGAGCAGATTAAGTTACAATGTAGAAGATATCATCACTTGTAGCTCTATTTTCCGAAGACACTGCACATCAAATATTTCAATGAGTTGTGGTTCAAGGGTTACTCCAGGCACTATGATAATTTCAGTGATTTGAAGTGGTCATGGTCCTGGAGTCTGTATGTGGAAACGTTTCACTTTGATAAAACACTGCATATACAAAGTTTAACCCCTTTGCTGTCAGAGTTGTAACTCCCCTTCCAACAATGTTGTTGTGGTGTCATCAACCAGGCCGACCCAAGAGTTCCAGACTGACCAATTAAAATTCTGTGCAAATCCCAATGCGCTCAGCCTGTGAAGTGGCAGGATCGGCATCCATTGTAAAACCTGCTTCAGAGGAGACCAGTTACCCAGCAGGACCAGGTAACAGGGCAAATTGTTCTAAAAATATTTGTCCCATTAACGGGGAACGACACATCATAACCACTACAAGAGGCTGCAGTGGCTATGATAGTTGGAGTAACTCCAATCACCATGACCACTAGAGGTCAGTGTAGAGTTTATATTGCCAGGAGTGTCCTAGCCTCCTCCCACTGTAAACAGTGAAAACATTTTAGGTGTTAATAGGCCAACGGCACGGTCTTCTGGACAAACTCTTTGAGCGGTTGAGGCTCCCCTCACTCACCATATTCCTAATGAGCAGGCATTAGGAATATCAGTCTCATTAATATATGGATGCCAGTGATATACTAAGAATCTCAGCTGCGGTAGGTATTCTGCTTAGACGGTCCCTTTAACACAACCTTAGTGTCTCAATATAAATATGCAAATACTACATGCTCTAGGAATCCCTGTGCTATTCTCTGACTAGAATTAGACACATCATGTATCATAATGTCATGTGAGCTTGATTCTTGTAACAGCAAACTTGTCTCTGCTCACTGTTGAATTATTGCAGTAGTTTATCACTTCCGTCTTTAACTCCAAGTGTATTATCTTACAGTACTGATTTGGATTTGCACTGAACAGAAATATATATATTTTTTTTTCTAACCAGAGCTACAATTTTATCTTTTTATTTTCACGATCTGAGGTCGTATTAGTTAAACTCACTTTCCTTTAAGTAGGGGTGAAGGGTCAAAGCAAGACACACAAGAAACATATTAAGAAAGGATGTAAATAATGCCGGGAGGGATTTTGGGTGGGGAGGAAAAATAAAGGAATAGGAAATAAAGACCCTAGAGAGAAAGATGGTTCGGCACACAGTAGGCTGAGAGGAGTGCCATGCAAGGACTGCTCAGAAGGAGACTGGAAGGAAGGAAGAGAGAGAGAGAGAGAGAAAAAAAATCAGCAAAGGCAGAGGAGCATCTAAACAAAAAAGACATGCAAATCAGTGCAGGAAGATAAAATTAGTTAGGAGAGATAAGGAATGTTAGATGGTATGTGAGACAGATGAATGCAGTGTTTCACAGGAATGTTACAAAATGCATCCTGCATGATGTGGCTTCTACATCTAAACATCTCCATGGAATCTCACCTGAATTCCCAAGCTGCTTATAGAAGCGGTACTCCAGGTGCAGCTGCGGTGCTCTTGATTTGATTGGCTCCTGAGGGAAAGCAAGAGAATTATAAGTACATAGAAACAATCTTGCACCCTCTCTCTCTTCTCAGCAAACCTCCAAGTCATGGCGGGAGGAGGGAGGAAGGGAGGACTTCCAATTATCTCTGACACATTGTGTATGTCTTTGTGTGTGCATGTTATACATATATGTTACTGTACCTAACCTAAAAAAAATATATACATTTATATATACACTTTAAAAAAAAAAGGTAAACTACGCTGAAGAGCACACGTAGGAGAAAATAAGCTTAGCTATCCATAATTCACTCAAGCTTCGGTCTTATAGTATATGCCAAATGTCTCCCTCAAAATGTCAAGCTCTAATCACTAGCTGGGCCTAAAAGTTACTCGCCCACATAAATGCATACAAACTGCATGGAGTGTTCATAAGTGTGTAAAAATAGGGTCAGTGCGTATCAATAAATGGGTATTCTACACATGTGTGTAAAAGGGCATTGTATACATATGTGTGAATGCAATCTGCCTGCAAATTTGGTGGGATTTAGACAGGTCATCTCTTAAACTCCTCCACATTGATAGTGGGATGTCAGTCATGTCACTGTTCTTATTTCCCCTCCATCTCACATACACCCACATCAGGGCTCAAAGTTTCCACTCACCGCTAGCCTTTGGTGAGTGTAAATTTAGTCCTGGTGAGAAGAAAGTCACCCTTGGTGAATATGCCATGGACTCTCCATGCTTGCAGTGGCAAGTCAATTTTAAGGCCTGGCTAGTTGCATAGGACTTGAAATATTAAGCCAAGCCCACATTCAGTTTGATAGATATATAAAAAAAAAAATATTATATATATATATAAACATTTTAAGACTCCCTTCCTGGTCTTCTATGAGTGCAGGCATCTAGAGCTGTACTTCTTTCATTACAAACCACTGCACAACTGCCAGGGGCTCACACTGCTGTGAATCATAACATTTGATCATGGCGTCCAGCTTTACTAGTGTAAGTCGCTAAGAGCTGAGCAGCGATTGATAATGAAAGAATCACAGCTCCAGACCGCTGCACTTCATACCACGTGATGTGGTGCTTCAAGCATGCTTCAGAAAGTGCACCTACTGGAATCTTAAAGGGACACTACACCAGAACAACTACAGCTTAATGTAGATTTTGGCATAGTGTGAATGGTACAGGCTGGTGATCATGGTGCATTGATGTGGAGAATATTTTCTTGGCATAAATATGAATTCCTAATACCACTGCATCCCATCGTGGCCACTTTGTAACTAGAATTGAATGGATACATACAGCAGTACAGTGATGCATGACACAAAACACACATTGTTTCACAAACATAGAAGTGACTTTTAATTACTCTGATTGACAACACAGCCCCCAAGTCTCAGACTGTGCAGCATTATGGAAGAACATTTCCTGCACCTTGTTGAATCCAGTACCAGATGAGATTTGTGATAGAATAAATACTCTGCAACTGCAAAACACACTTGTGGCTATTTTTTATTCTAATCATAAGATCTGTCAAAATTTCAACCTCAAAGAGGTCTGGATCAGGTTTCCAGGGCGCATGTTTAATGACAAGTTTTTGCTACATTTTGATTACCAGGATCGCAACATCAGAAGAAAAAAAAAAAAAAAAATCAATCTATATGGATCTCGCATAACAACTGCTCCTCTGGATTTGGGACACTAAAAAGGCACGGTTTTGCTAGAAATGCGATAAATAGAGGAAACAACCCCCCTCCCCCTCCCTAAAAAAATTAAACGAAATCCCACGCTGAGGCCAAGTTCTCCCCTGAGACTAATCTTCCTTTACTAATATTACTCCCCCTCCCAGAAGGAGGGTAGATTAAAGGGGGGAAGCACAGAGGGGGAAGCCATGTTGCCATTGGCTACCTGGTGCCAGCATGCTCGCGCCAGGGCCCAGTTTTGCATAGAATTTATATTAGCCAGCCCAAACGCTTGTTCTGGACAGAGTAATGACTCCCCCAATGATGCTGCCAAAGTTGAAATTACAATTCAGTCAACAGAATGGTTAATCTCCGTATGTGCAGTGTTTTAAAACAAAATTCTGCACATACAGACTCCAGGCACCATGACCACTTCCAGTCACTGAAGTGGTAATAGTGCTTGGTAACTCTTTAAACATGAAGACAGAAATGTTATGACAGTGTAACAAAGAGATACTCCACTGCCCAAACACAAAATAAATAAAAATCACTGTTTAGTAGATATACTCCAAATGAAAACTTGCATGAATTTAATTATATATTTTTTCATTGGTGTTATATAAGAAAACAGTTTGAAAAACAAAAAAACAAAAAACCTTATAACTCCGCCCATACAAATCACAGGCTTCCCAATGCAGCTTAATGAGAAGTCTTTGCAAGGCAGGTGCTCTGGGCAATTGCTGCCTCTTGCGTTTAGCTCCACAGAGCTAACCAAACCAGGAATTGACAGCCAGGGTGTGAACCAGGTTAATTTAGAGGAGTGTACATTTTTTTGAAATCTGTTTACACTCTTCACACAAAGCTTTTCAGCAAACTAAAGTGCTTCAGGGGTCTGGAATGTTCCTTTAAAAATAATAATTCGGGTACATGAAGGTCACATTTAACTTTAGCTTGCTCCATACTCGTCTAAACACTTTATTTTGGGAGGGAAAAAAAAGTGTGTATAGAGATGCACACGGACAGTATATGCAATGACACTTACCAGCTTGATAGCTACATATTCATTGGTGTACAAGTTTTTTCCTAAGAAAAATAAAATAAATAAATGATTGACAATGAAATATGCAAGTTCTCAGTCACCGTGTGAAACATCATTTGAAGTGATTTTACCCATTCCCATTTAACTATGCCCATCCACTAGCATAGATAAACAAATACACTGACTCCAAGTATAATAGTAAAGGAAAGATGAATTACTGACACTGAAAGCCCCAGTAACAGCCCCAGACAAATAGTAAAGAAGCAAAAAGTGGATTGTCAAGGGAGGATGCATTTAAAGATTCCTTTTATCATAAACAATACAATATCCTGTGTATTGCTTCTAATGCCTATTCAAGTTAGTTGGGCAAACAATCTCAATATAAGTAGATGCATCCTCTAATAAAAGGCTGGTGCAAACTTAAAGGAACACAAATGTGTATTCCCGACCTCAAGAGTTGAAAACACATGTAGGATTCCTAGCCTCCCTTAAATAATAAGAAAACTTACCCTGTTCCTAGCTCCGAGCGGGTCCATATTTGCTGGCCTCACCCCGATCCACTTCCTTGAACTGATGATCTTAGCCAATTACAATGCTTTCCCATAGGATGATTTCAGACGAGGAGGGGTCAAATGCCTAGCCTATCAACATCTTCAGTGCTGCAGACCAAGTAAGTACCTCTAGTGGCCATCTGAGGAGTGGCCACTAGAGGTGTTCCTACGCAGTAATGTTCAGTAGTCCTCTGAAAAGGCAGTGTTTACCACAAAAAGCCTGCAGGGACTGACTATAGTCACCAGAACAACTACATTAAGCTGTAGTTGTTCTGGTAAGTATAGTGTCGCTATAAGGAGAATAAGACACATGACTGAAGTGTTGCCACGGCAATTCTATAGCCTATGGTAAGGGTTCTAGTGTGTTTGAAAATCACTGTCAGTGCTCCTTCACAATCTGGCAGTTCCTAGACAATGACTTAAGCAAGGAGACTGGAGGAAGCACAGAAAATGATCTGCAGGTATCACAGATGCAAATCATAAAGTCCATTAACCTTCACGCACAGAATAAAGCTCCCATGGGTAGTGGCACAGGGGAGACATGCCTTCATTGCTAGCAACTGTGCAGCAATAGCGGCCCATTCTCTTGGTTTTTATTACAGTGAGCAGACACTGGCTGCTTGCTGTTTAGCAGATATCCCACCACTTGGGGGCATGTGAGAGAATTAAAACTCTGACTTGTACTAAAATGGAAATGCATAGTGACCACCCTGCAGACTTTTATTAAAAAAGATATATATATATTTTATATTGCCAGGGAAACTCATTAAAAAGGTCAATTAATGTACTTCCAAAACACATTTTTATGGACAATAGTTCTAATGCAGCCAACCTCTTTTTTTTTTGAGTCTGAGAGTTGACTGTTTTAGCCGATAAAATGAAATCAAAGCTTTATAAAAAACCAAACACATTGTCAGAGTCAAAATAACAGGGGGGGAAACCAAAACTAATAAGCAGACAGATGTGTTTGACTCCAGGTCCAAATAGTTAAATGCTGGTTAAGATTTTAACATTTCTATGCAAAACATGAAATAAAATTAGTTTCATAAAAATATTAAGACGTGTGCACTCACCAAGACGTAGCTCTCCAAAGTTCCCACACCCAATCTTCTTTCCTACCCGGAAGTTTGGTCCAACCATTAAGACCCCGGAATTGGCCCCAGTGTTCCGGTTACCCCTCCCTGCCCCTCCCCCAACTTTAGACATCCTTCTTCCAACTTCCTCAGATTCACCTTTTCCTTCTTTCTGGTCAAAATCCATCAGTTTGTGGTAACCGGGCCTCTCCACGGTTACGGTGTCTACCAGGGGATAGGAGCCAACCTGGAAAGACACCCACCCCTCCTGCTCCCCACCCCCGCCACTTTGAGCCGTCAACAATGAAAAGACATTGCTTCCCACAGAAAGGGAAGAGCAGTCTCCTCCCAACTGGGTGTCTTCAATTGACCTGAGGATAAACTGGAGTAGAAACAATGTCTCTTGAGCAGAGTTCTTGATTTCCACCAGTCTCTGTGAAGGAAGTCATGTTGATGAGATGTTTTGGTCACTGTATATGGTCCTGAGCTCCTGAAAGAAACACAGACAGGTAGACAAATAAGCACATAGAAGATCTAGTACCTATTTCAATGGGAGAGATGGAATAAATGGGAGTGACATACCAATGTCCTAAACACACAAAAAAATATCTATCTGTATTATTGTTGCAATGTATGAATAAAATATATATATATATATTTTTTACTTCTTTTTTGATTATATTTTTTACAAATTATACAAATATATAGTCGTGTCGTGAATTAAGCACAGAATATTAATATTCTATTATAATGTATACAAAGACTTACAACCTAAAAAGAAACATTACAAAATAAAACAACCAAATAATGGGTCGGTCATCGGGAGCAGGAGAAGGAATAGTCAGTTACTCTTCAATTAAAATAATGACATAAGGTAGAGCCACCTTTGAAGTGTTATTATCAGCGTTTATTTTGCCAAAACATCAATGCCAGGGTTAGTATATTGCTTAAAGCATGAATACTTTATTCTTTATGATAATCAAACCATTTTCCCCAAATCTTATTATAAGAGCTGATGTTATTATCCTTAAAATATACCGCCTTTACCATTAGGCCTTGATACTGTATCTGGATTTTGACCTCTGTCATAGAAGGAGAAATATCCTGTTTCCATCTTCTAGCAATACACAGTTTAGCAGCCATCAAAATGTGAATAGATAAATAATAGAAAAATTTATTCATTTTTGGTAAATCTAAATGGAATAAAAATCTTTCTGGTGATAGCGTAATATTTAATTTTAAATCAGTAAATAGTTTAGATATTGCTAGTTTAAGAGTGTCCAAACCCAGACACTCCCACCACACATGTTTAAATGAGCCAATTTAGTTATTACATCGCCAGCAGATATTTGAGGAATTAGCTTGGACTTTGCCTATTTTCATAGGAACCATATACCATCTATGGATAAGTTTAAGGTATGTTTCTTGTATATTTATACAATGGACCGATTTTCTCAAAGCTTCAAAAGCCTTTTGCCATTCTTGGCATGAAAAAGATTTCCTTAGGTCACTTTCCCATTTAGAGATCGTATTATATTTTACCTCTTGCTTTAATGCCTCCAGAGATCTAACTGCTGAAGATTTATTTTTAACATTTTTCAAAAATAATCTTATCAAAGGACGAATCTATTATTATGGTTAATTTGGAGAGAAAGTTTTTTATTCTTAAATAGGTTAAAAAAAAAAAATGTATCCGCAAGGCCAATTTTTTCATTAATACTTAGGAAACTGCTAATTCCAGAAGGGTCATACAAGTCCAGAATTTTTACCCCATCTCTAAAAGATAAATTAAGATCTTGAATAAAGAATTGTAATATCTCCAGAGGGGCCTTTGAGGAAATTTGATTTTGTGCAAAAAAGTATTTCTTAATTGGTGTTATGGATTGAAAAATTTGGGAAATGATTAAGTTATCAATAGATAGGTTTTTAAAGATTTTTTTTTTTTTTATCAATCCAAAAAAGGTCAAAAGGGTCAAAGGTATTACAAAAGGTCTTTTCATATACATACCAAGCTTTTGACTTTGAGTTACTATTTCCCCATTCTAAATAGTGTGAAAACATAACTGTATCATGGATGTAAAAAAATGTTCGGGAATGATAAGCCTTCTTCTAGCTGACATAATTTTAAGAGCAATCCTAGGTTTTTTATTACCCCAGAAATAAGATACAATTAGACCATGAAACAATTGAGGAATTTTCCTTGGAACTCTTAATGGTATAGTGCGAAATAGATACTCTAATTTTGGAAGTAAATATGCTCTAATGAAGTTTATTCTTCCGAGCCAAGATATTTGAAATTTGGACCATTTCAGAATTTCTGAATTCTCTGAGAAATACGGTATAATTATCTTCGGTCCACTCTGCAATGTTAAAGTTTATATTTATTCCCAGATAACGTAAAGAATTGGACCATTTGAATTTGCAGTTATGATTCAAACATGAATAAAATATTTTTATGTACCATATTAATTACACAATGTAGGAGAATAATTTTTCATATAAAATAATTTACCACCAAAATCCTACTCTACCCATTTGTCAAGACTTGTATGTAAAGGGAATGACATCTGGAAAGGAGAGCCACAATGCTACGCTTACGGACTTGGTTATTGAGGTGGCACAAAGGAGATGTAGTAAGTGAAAAACTACTCTCCGAAATGGCATGTTTTTTAGACAATTCCTCCAAATATAGGTAAATGTGCCCACAGAAGATAGGCAGCACCAACATAAGGGAGAAGAATTCAGACAGAGTTTGTGTTTCCTCTCTGGTGGGAGATACAATCTATAATTGAGTTTCTCTATGTCTCTATGTGATTATAAGTTATAACATTTAGTTAGTCTTCTAACCCCCTTCCTTCTCCAACTGAGATAGACAGGATACCTTTTGAGGTAATTGCCCTGTATGAGAACATAGCATTTGGAAAGAAGTTTAGATTTAGTAGGTGAATCCCAGCACAGAGTTAGGATTTTATTTATACTGATTATGAGTGTTATCAGTTTCCGATGGGAAATAGGCAGATCATAATATGAGACGCTTTAATTAGTAGATAAGGAAATATATGTAGATTCTAAGGGATGTATCAGTTGCAGGGCCTCAAATATTATATCCTACTGTGATGTAGAAAATGAGCTACAAGGTAAACTCCTTTCTGGGACCATTAGGATAAGTGGAACTCTGGGGCTACACAGATGACAAGGATGCCAGAGACAAAACTCTGTAACCTAATTTTAACTTTGAAATCACCAAGTCCCAAATGTGAAATGAAAGCATTGTGGTTTGGTAAGTGAAGGTGTTTTGGGGACATGATCCATTGGGGTTCCATAGTAAGGGTAGAAGTAATTTAAGATACCGGTGCCCGTGCAGGTTATTCTGACCATTCTAATAAACATTTATGTTTATTTAATACAAGCATATAAAAATCTTGCATTTTAAAGAAACAGGACACTATTAAAATGTGCAAACATCTGGCTATTAAAATATTTCTAAATGAAAGGTGATCTGTCCCTTCTTTATAAAGGTGGAACAAAAAGTATGGAATATTGAGAACGATTTTATTTAAAGGCATTAGATCTGAATATTTGTGGATGAGCCAGAAGTAAAAAGGTACTAGCTTGATAGGTCAAATGTGTGTTTATGCTTAAAGGGTTACTGTGGTGGTGCTAGGAGTGACCCTTAAATATATTCCTTAGGATTTTTTTAAACATGTTTTTTGTAAACTTGGGGTGACCAACCTGCACTGGATTTGCATAAAATTAGTCCTGAAAGTGTTAACTATAGTAATTTTCACCTATAAGCAATAAACGTCTACAAAAAAGGTGTTTAAACAACAGCAGAATATATAACGGTTCAGTCACTCCGGCATAACAGAAATAGCAGCTTTATTGGGGCAAAAACAGCAAAATTTCGACCCTGCAGGGTCTTTATCAAGCCTAATAAAGACCCGGTAGGGTCAAAACATTGCTGCTTTTGCCCCAATAACGCTGCTATTTTACTCCTGAACTGTTATTTATTCTGCATATCTTGAAAGGGAGGCCTGGCCAGCACTAGCTTCGGGGGACATGGGTTATTTGGTGAGTGCGATATCCAGTACGTTTCTACTAATTAACCCCTTAAGGACCAAACGTCTGGAATAAAAGGGAATCATGACATGTCACATATGTCATGTGTCCTTAAGGGGTTAAGCTACAGCAAACATGTTCATGAAGAGATTTGTAAAAATAAAATACTTATTAAATTAAGTTTTTATAAAAATTCTCAATATCGCCCAATCCCTTGACAAGACTCCAACCACTCTCTTGGGCAACCAAAATTATTTCTATTTGGCCATTTTAAAAAAAGGCAGACCCCGTCCTACACCAGAAAGTGATTCTCCCCAATCTGTAGAATATCATTTTGATTTATAAGGAGTGAAAATATCCCATTGTCCTCTGTACAGCAGGAGATTACGGGATAAGCCGTTAAATCCCCAAAAGGTGGTACCATCAACACACAGAATGTCTCTAACTGCCCAATAAACGGATACCAGTAATACTCCAGATGCTTTCAGTCTATAGATAGTACAGTTCACAGTTTAATAAACCAGGCTGTGTATTACCAGGACTGCCCTGGATCATCTCTCACTATGGGAAGGGGAGTGAGTAAGCCTTCCATACTGAGTGGAAGGTGTGCACACAATAGGAACAAAATTGAGACTGCCAACCTGGACCTAAGCGTGCCATCTTAAAACAGCAGTGCTTTTTCTAAAATCACCATCAATATAAGCCACTCTCAGGCATGAAAGTGAGCCAGGGTCCTCTAAGCACCATGTACTTTAAAAACCCTCTCTTTTACAACTTCTTCCTAACAATATTTGCATAAACTTTATCCATTGTCAAATTTTTCTTGAAAATTCTAATTTTTCCACTCTGTAAAGTGCTGTCTTCAATAAAGGGAAGATATTTAAAAAGCTTGATTTCTAAATTAGAAAACATGGTAAGTTTATAAGGCCTTGCAGAAGCAATGAATACTATAATCCAGCCCGTTGCATGTGCCCTTTACTCACACACACTGTTTACTCCCACCATTTCTGTTTTAGTCTCTGGAGACACTAACAGCTATCTGTCTGCCTACATGCAAGTTGCAAGCAGCCTGCTCAAATATGCTTGACTTCCTGTGCTCTCAAAGCAAGACACTCACTGAAGGGGAAAGACATAACGTCAGACAATCTAGACCTCCTAGAAAAGATTGAGTGCAGGACAATTCCTGTATTTTGTTGACAATAATTTGCAGTTTCGAAGATGCTGACATCATTTATTTCTTCCCACCCCACCTAACAAGAATCCCTACTTCCAGCTTTGACCTAGAAAACCGTATTTAAACCCACAACATTAAATTGGTTTGGCAGGACAGAACTCAAATAAAACACACTGTACAGGACTCGAAAAAAAACAAAAAACAAAAATATATCTCCACAAAAGTGTCTGTGTGAGAACGGACTGTGTATATTAAGACTTAACTTTTATTATAATAGGTTAAAATATACACAAAAAAAGAAAAAATTATATAAAATAAAATATGTAACAGATACGTTTCCACTATATAGTAGTGATGGGCAAAAGTACCTAATACTCATAGTACCCAATATAGTTGGTAGTACTAGAAGTAAAAAATATATGTATATATAGGGGTAACTGTAGTTTCAGTCACTGCAGCTGTATATGTGTTAAGACTGACACCTATATTATACTAGGATTGCTACTCAAGTCGCTAACGGCTTCAAAGTGGAGAGGAGAGAAAAAAATATATATATTTGTAAATAGAAAGTTAGTAGTAGCCCTAATCCAGATAGAAATAAAGGCTCATGTACCTTCGAGGGCACCCTTTACCCAAAATGCTACTCTCACACTTAGCTGCCCACCTTGCCCGAACCTACAGTTAATAAGAGGCAAGAAATTTGCAAAAGAGGTAGCTAAATATCAGTTGCTGGGGCTAAGCACTGGGCTTATTAGACATACAATTACTAGCTCTATAGTAGTAACACCGACTGATGTCAGAAGATGTATTGTACTTTAAAAGACACATTACTGGGAGTATTATTGCTGTGGTGCTCTGTGATACAGTCAGACACACCAACAATATGGAGCTCCGAGAAATAGATGGACAACGGCTAAAATGAGGTATAGCGGAATTTAAATAGGGGTTCTTTGGAGGTCTGTACCAATGAGATCACTAAAAACATATAGCATCCTATAGGAAACTATTGAATTTTAGTGAATTATTGAAATATCTACTCAAACCTGTGTCATGTGGAGCCACTTATCGTCCACTTTATTATTTCAAATGCTGTTGTCTATATCATCATCAATATGTTTAACTACCTACTCCGGGACCTCAAGAAAACGATTAACCCTTCCCCCCCCCAAATAAAAAAAATTGTAGGTAGTACAAAATTATTCCAAACCAGATTTTTAGTTTTATTTTTTGACATAAAACGGATCTAATCCATTCTTAAACACTTAACCAAAATACATACCTTTTCAGTAATTTTATGTATAGACTAAGAGAAAAATTGGTATCCAAGACTACAGAGGTTGCTATTGCTCCACTCACCCCTGATGTTAAGACCCATCCTAGAACCCAGCCTACTTGTGCCTGCCAGTCATCGGAGCATTGAATTGTAAATAAAACCCTGCTTGTGGACATCAGATACGATGCGCACGTTCATTTTTAAAAATGATAACTTTGATATAAAATGTCTTAAAGACTCTTAACCCCTTAAGGACTCATGACATGTGTGATATGTCATGATTCCCTTGTATACCAGAAGTTTGGTCCTTAAGGGGTTAAAGGACCACTCTAGGCACCCAGACCACTTCAGCTTAATGAAGTGGTCTGGGTGCCAGGTACTTCTAGGGTTAACCCATTTTTTCATAAACATAGCAGTTTCAGAGAAACTGCTATGTTTATGAAAGGGTTAAGCCTTCCCCTATTTCCTCTAGTGGCTGTCTCATTGACAGCCGCTAGAGGCGCTTGCGTGCTTCTCACTGTGATTTTCACAGTGAGAGCACGCAAGCGTCCATAGGAAAGCATTATGAATGCTTTCCTATGTGACCGGCTGAATGCGCGCGCAGCTCTTGCCGCGCGTGCGCATTCAGCCAACGGGGAGGAAAGAGGAGGCAGAGAGCTCCCCGCCCAGCGCTGGAAAAAGGTACATTTTTACCCCTTTCCCCTTTCCAGAGCCGGGCGGGAGGGGGTCCCTGAGGGTGGGGGCACCCTCAGGGCACTATAGTGCCAGGAAAACGAGTATGTTTTCCTGGCACTATAGTGGTCCTTTAATAGAAAATATCACAAATAATTGTTTCAGTGCCTTTAATAAAATATTTTACTTTGCTAACCAGAAGTTACTCTCCAGTGGAAGCCTGGAGGGCCCACTGCATTATGACGAAGAGTGAGTTTCCACTCAGCTGTGGCTAATGGGCGAGTGGAAATGTTCTGCCATGCTATTATTCTAAAATGGGACATCAGGCGCTCATTGTACAGCGCTGCGGAATTTGTAGGCACTATATAAACAATAATAATATGATTGATTAAAACTACAATACAATATCTATTGAATGACCTCTAGTCAAAACAAGTAGCTTAAATCTTATAAACATTGCAAGTATTCACCCCATCTAACAAGTGATTCTAAGGCCTTTGTTCATCCACTTGCACTTTTAGTTCACACATTGATTATTGCAAATCACTCCTCCTTGGTATTCCCATTAACCACGTCGCACCATAATAACCTGTTGCGAATGCGGATACAAACATAAAAATCCCTTAAAAGGAATGCTCTACCTCCTCCTATCAGACTTTAGCCAAAGTACCATCTTTTCAAGAAATATTACTTTCCTGGGTATCTCCTCTTGTTACTGTAGACCACCTGGCTCTTCAAACATAACCTGTGTTTCCCCAGTCCAATTTACTCTCTCCACGGTTCCATCATGCACCCCTTTCCCAAGATTAACAAGACAGTCATTATACCGGTCAACCTTTTCTCTCCTTACCTAATTTATTCCTAGATTGTAAGCTCAGTTTAACAGGGCCCTCTTCAACTCTTCTCTCTGTCGACAATTTGTGATCACATATATCCACTGGAAAAGGCTACAAAATATGTTGGTGCTACATAAATAATAAAAATCAACAGTATAACCATGTTCCTAGAGGAAAACGAATAAAACAATGTTATAAGGATATAAGTGCTGTGGTGCAGTAAGTATTTCCAGATATAGGCAAGCTTTGCTTTGTGAAAAGCTTTGTCCTGCGTCAACAGCCCTTGATGACTATGCACACCTGACTTGGATAGCGAGAGTTATAGGATTAAATGCCAGAACGTGTAACTAAACATGTCCTGGTATGTCAAGGACTAATTTTCTCAGTTACACTTACAGTGTCCAAATCAGAGATCATCCTAATGTCACTACACTGCTGGATAAAAGGGTCACTGAACACAAGGGGCACACCTAGGTAAACCGCATGATCCAGAATAGGTCGAGGTTCCACACATGCACAGCCCGTGGATGGGGGGTAACCTTTCAAATGGAGGATTAAACTCGAGGGTAAAAAGTACAATGAAACATGAAGAGCTTGGCGTGACACATTCAGAAATCACAGACATGCACATGATATTTATATAAACTGTTTGGGTATTTAGCTATGGACAGAATCAGATGATCGATGTGGCATTTTCATCACAAAAAAAAAAAAAGAAGCCAATATAGAGAGAGGGCAAGTGCCTTGAAGGAACCCAGACCACACTATCTCAATAATGTGCCATGTGCCCCCCTCTGCCCCCCCCTGTTTTAACCCTGCAGTTGAAATCAATACCATTCTGCAGGATGGTAAAAGGTTAAAGGAACACTCTGGACTCCTGAAGCAATTCAGCTTGCTGAAAAGCTTTAAATGAAGAGCGGGTCCTATTTTCTTTTCATTTTGCCAAAAAATTCAAATTTCGATAGAATTTTACACTTTTATAAATTAACCTAGTTACATTCCCCCTGGCTTTCAAGCAGAAAACCGGTCTTTTTACTTCCTGGTTTGGTTAGCTCAGTGGAGCTAAACCAAGAGGCAGCAATTGCCCAGAGCACCTGCCTTGCAGAGACTTCTTATTGAGCTGCATTGGGAACACTGTGATTGGACAGCCACAGAAAGTATGGGCGGGGTTAGAAGGGGAAGCCCTGCAAAGGCACCAGATAAGAGAACTGGAGGTTTTGCAAGCTGTTTTTAGATTCAACTCCTAAAAAAATGCATAATTAAATGCATACAAGTTTATATTTGTGCTATATCTACTAAACAGTGATTTAAATTAATTTTGTATGTGGGCAGTGGAGTGTACCTTTTAATCTGCCTCTAGTAGTACACCAATAACCACTAGATAGTGTTAAACCGAGACGATCGGTGCTGCCAGGAAGGAAGAAAGGTAAGCAAACTGAATGTTTTACCTAGACTAGTGCATTATGGTGTTAGGATTATAAATGTATATTGCTAACGATACAGTGTTTATTTAAAGTGACACTAAAGTCATCTTAATTGAGTCGTCTGGGTGCAGTCATTCGGTCATTTTCGCTCTGCGATGCAAAACATTGCAGTTTGTTTTTGTTTTTTTAGGAAAGAGCACCACTAGTGGCTTTTTCCCTACAGCCGCTAGAGGATTCCTCCTCCAGAACCAGTCAAAACTTCATCCTGGAATCAAATGCTGCTCATAGTATCATTTTATTGGAGGAGAAAAGCGTTTCGCTGCGCATGCATATATCCATTAGAATTCCAAGATTGGAGGAGATTTCAGAAGACGTCAGCATGCCCAAAGGCAGAGTGAGCTGGAAAAGCGAAGGAGTCCCAGAGCTAGAAAGGAGGTAAGTAATCTTTATTTAACTTACTATTTTAAAAAACGACTACAGGTTTATCTTTAATAAAAACAAAGGTAAATTAAAAGTCCCAAAACAAGAGTCTAAACTTAAGTGATTGGACTCTTGTTTTGGGACTTTAAATTTACCTTTGTTTTTATTTACTTCAAGATTTGAAGAATAAAGTGTTTTTACCCCTCGTAATTCTGCATCCTGGAGGTTTTACATTTAAAAGGAGAAAGAAGTTCCCAGTGGAGGTCCTGTTTGTATATTCAAGGCATCCAGTTTGAGCCAGCTATCTAAGTGGCTCTGTCTATGTGAGTGTGATTGACACCTACTGTAAATATATTTTATCAGGTTAAACTACTCTATGTCTTTTTTATTTGTTTTTTTTTCCAGATTAATTGACTGCAGTGTGGGTAGTATTTCCTTACTTTGTGTGCTCTCACCTATTTGTTATTATTCACTTTGTTATGGTTTGTGTGGCCCACAAAGGTGATAGTAGCACCTATTAATTTAGGGATTTATTCACTATATTTGTTATTGGTTTTACACATGGTTGTAAGGTTATTATAATCTACTGAGAGACCATCTTCATTTTTACAAGACTGTATTCTATTTATAAATAATACCTTGCTATAATTTGATTTTCCTATATAGCAATGTAAACATTGTGTCCATTTAATATTTGTGTTATTGCCTAAAAGTGCCCTCTGTACATGCAGCACTGTGCTTTTTATAATTTGTTATTCTAATCAGTAAACATGCGTTTATTTTTATTTATATAAATCTACTGCTTTATATTAGAAGTTAACGTTTGCCTCTGTATAAGGGTCTCTGTGTTTTCTTGAACTCTGTATTAAGTGTGATGTTAACGCACATGATTGTAAGGTTATCATAATCTACTGAGACACCATCTTTACTTTTACCTGACTGTACTCTGCTTATAAGTACTATTTTGCTATAATTAATTTTTTTTCCCTATAAAGCAATGTATACATTATTTGTTTTATTATCTGTAACATGGTGCTGTTTAGCATTTATTATTCAACTCACTAAACATACTTTTATTCATATAATCTACTTCTCTATATTAGAAGTTAATGTATACCTCTATATTAGAAGTTAAAGCATACCTCTATATTACAATTTAAAGCATACCTCTATATTACAATTTAAAGCATATCTCTATTTAAGATGTTAATGTATTCCTCTATATTAGAAGTTAATGTATTCCTCTATATTAGAAGTTAATGTATACCTCTATATTAGAAGTTAATGTATACCTCTGTATTAGAAGTTAATGTATACCTCTGTATTAGGAGTTAATGTATACATGTATATAAGGAGTTAAGGTATACATGTATATTAGGAGTTATGGTGTACCCCTGTATTAGGAGTTATGGTGTACCCCTGTATTAGGAGTTATGGTGTACCCCTGTATTAGGAGTTATGGTGTACCCCAATATTAGGAGTTATGGTGTACCCCTGTATTAGGAGTTAAGGTGTACCCCTGTATTAGGAGTTATGGTGTACCCCTGTATTAGGAGTTATGGTGTACCCCTGTATTAGGAGTTATGGTGTACCCCTGTATTAGGAGTTAAGGTGTACCCCTGTATTAGGAGTTATGGTGTACCCCTGTATTAGGAGTTATGGTGTACCCCTGTATTAGGAGTTAAGGTGTACCCCTGTATTAGGAGTTATGGTGTACCCCTGTATTAGGAGTTATGGTGTACCCCTGTATTAGGAGTTATGGTGTACCCCTGTATTAGGAGTTATGGTGTACCCCTGTATTAGGAGTTAAGGTGTACCCCTGTATTAGGAGTTAAGGTGTACCCCTGTATTAGGAGTTAAGGTGTACCCCTGTATTAGGAGTTATGGTGTACCCCTGTATTAGGAGTTATGGTGTACCCCTGTATTAGGAGTTATGGTGTACCCTTGTATTAGGAGTTAAGGTGTACCCCTGTATTAGGAGTTAAGGTGTACCCCTGTATTAGGAGTTAAGGTGTACCCCTGTATTAGGAGTTAAGGTGTACCCCTATATTAGGAGTTAAGGTGTACTCCTGTATTAGGAGTTATGGTGTACCCCTGTATTAGGAATGAGGGGTCTCTAGCTCTCCATATTGTGTTCTAGAACTCTGTATTAAGAGTGATGTCATTAAACACTGTATCCCTGCCTGTATTCATGGTTATGTGGGTTAATCCGGGTTTCTGTGTTAGTATTTGATATCTGTATATTCCCTGTGTCCCCGTGTTGTATGCCAGGTTGTGTGAAGTTGTGTAGCACACACTGGGTGGTGAGGGTTTATGTATGTTTGCGTTACCTTCTCGTCTCTCCACTTCTCACCGCCTGGGGCCTTGGTTTCAGGGCGTCCCCGGACTCTCCCGAAATCTCATGCCGCCTCCCGTCGCACTCTACTCCGCTGTTTCACTCTGGCGAGCTAACGTTACGTAATTGACGTAAGGAGCTCGAGACTGGCCGCCACGGGCGGCGCGCATGCTGCGTAAACTCGTTTCGTGAATCGAACCCTGGGAGAAAAACCCTACGGCTAGGCTTCTGTTGGTTTACTCATGCGCAGGTCCCCCGGGTTGGGCATTGCACGGAGCCATCACTGAATCCCCGTATCAAAACTACATTACGCAATCCGCGTAACTTCACTTCGGGAATAAGCCATGCGCTGAAGGGATTTCTGCCAGAACCTCCCAGTTCACGACGTCTTGGGTGCTTTACGGCATACCTACACATTGGTTTAGTATACATTATTCAAAACAAAAGTTAGAGCCAACACTTTGCATCCAAATATCACTGGGTATCTGTAATATGATTTGGGAAGAGCTAGGTTTATTATCACTTGAAAGTGATATCACCTGTAACAAGTATTCTGTTATAATCCCACAGTATTATTATTTTTTAATAAAGTTATACTTTTAATTTATTTTTTGCTAATTTTTTTTATATAAATAGTGTCTCTTGCACTAAGAGCATTATTGACTAAACTGAGCTTTTTTGGGAACTGACGAGGGATTTTGTTTCCCCCATGTATTGGCCACTATAAAAATTGTCAAATATTAACCAATCCAGCTTTTTTTCACTGCTATTTTGGGTTAGAATGTGATAAAAAAATATGGTCAACCATGTTTTGGGATTAATATTGGTATTTATTAAAGTAATTCAGTCGGAAATTCCTCTTATCATTCCCATTTTTGTTAATATTAATTTTTATTTTTCATCATATGAAAAAAAACATGCAGGTATACTGAGAAGTGTACTACATTCTACACTGGGGTTTAATAACTAAATTGCAGCACTCTGAAATCTTAAAGGGATACTATAGTCACCAGAACAACTATAGCTTATTGAGTTTGTTCTGGTGAGTAGAATCATTACCTTCAGGCTTTTTGCTGTAAACACTGTATCTTCAGAGAAAATGCAGTGTTTACATTACAGCCTAGTGATAACTTCACTGGCCACTCCTTAGAAGGATGTTAGAGATCCTTCCTGGGTCATGGCTGCTGTTGTGGAACCAATCAAATAATTGATAATCTTGCGTATCTGCCCCTGGCCAAATTAAAGTACGCGTGCACGTTCCTGACGTAATTCACACCAGACACAAGTTTCAGGTTAATGAAAGACTTGAGGAAAAAAGTTTATTCCAGGGGGCCGGCGTGCCCCTTATAAAGCAGAATTACATCATATGCATTGTCAGAGATAACAGAGCATAATACATCAATAATTGGTTAGGTGTCAAGTGGTTCATCTATTGCTCATCCTACTGGGTGCGATGTCCCTGGCATCATGGAGCTCTCCTCCAGATTCCAGCGCCATCTTTGATGACAAAGGGAAACTCCCTAGCGGCCATCTTATGTAATTTATGAATACTGCTGAATAATACTGATTTTATTAAGACACGGAGGCTCCTATTATGACGCACTCTTTCTTTATTTCCCTCAGCAGCAAAGAAAATTTTTCAAAACATAACCAGTATATAACATTAAAGTCTGAGAGTAGTATCTCCTTAGCAACAGGAACAGCCAATCAGGTTCCTCTCTCCAGCCTAATAAATAGGCATTTTACTAACGTTAATAAAGTTAATATTTTTGTCCACATCAGCTGCCTAAAATGCATCCAAACATTCAGTGTCTCTACCCTCTGCATGCAGACACTGAACTTTCCTCATAGAGATTCATTGATTCAATTCACCTCTATGAGGAGATGCCGATTGGCCAGGGCTGTGTTTGAATCATGCTGGCTCTGCCCCAGCTCTGCCTTCTTGTCAGTCTCAGCCAATCCTATGGGGAAGCACTGTGATTGGATCAGGCTACCATGATGTCAGCAGACTGCTTGCTTTTCTGAGACAAACAGCATGCAGAGTTACAGCTTCAGGCTTGAATACAGTAAGAATTTGCAATATTTATGGAGGCATGAGGGGCCCGGGGGCTAGATGGCGGTTTTAACACTATAGGATCATTTTGGTCTATATTTTAAAATTCACCGTAGGGGTTATTAACTAAACATTGAATTTCATTTAGTGAAATAGAATTGCCCCCATCCCTTATCATGTCAGTATCCCCCACCCACTACTAATGTGTGGAGGGGAAGAGGAGAAAATGGTATGTTCACCCACTGCATTTGTCCTCCCCATCAAACTACCCATGAGTTACATAGTTGTCTAGGTTGAAAAAAGACTAAAGTCCGTCAAGTTCAACCGTGAAATCCATTCTTTTATCTTGTTGATTCAAGAGGAGGCAAAAAACCCCAACAATTGAGCCATTTCCAATTATGCAACAAAAGGGGGGAATGCTTCTTAATTCCATACTGGCAGCTAGATTTCTGCTTGGAACTACAACCCGTTCACGTACATATCAAATATTTGACTGAATATGCTATTTTACACATTTGTATTCCTGACCCTATACTTTTTCTTTAATCTCTTTAGTTGACTTACAGAGTAATTGGCAACTGGCTAGTGCACTTGATACAGAAACTCTAGTAGCAATGTATCAGCCAAGATGGGTAGACACCTGCTGTTAGACAGACTGGAGACACTGAAAACAGGCTGTGGACGATCTGGTACCCTAATAAGATCCAAATTATCTTATGTTACATAGATCCAAAAAGGTCCTGATAGAATATTGGACCACTAAAGCAGGTCCTACATTCTCATATGTTCTGCCAATCTATATAATAAAGAATAGCACAACCATAGTGCTCACTGTTTAAACTTTATTAAAGTTGCAAAAAAAAAAAAGATTAAAAACACAGAATTTAGGAGATCGACATGACCTTAAAGGGACACTAGACGACCACTTTAGCTCATTGAAGTGGTCTGGGTGCAGTGTTCCTATTGCACTTAGTGCTGCAATTTAAAACATTGCAGTTTCATAGAAACTGCAATGTTTACATTGCAGCACTAAGTCTGCCTCAAGTGGCTGTCTACCAGGGGGAGCAATAGTGCCTGGAATACAGCTTAGTATTCCTGACACAATAGTATCCCTTTAAGAAGACTTCCATTGACACTGTCTGCTTCGTGATAATCCCTCACTTGTGCCGGCTCGAAGGGAAAATGTTTTTTGCAACCCGCCACTTGCTGTATTTTATTACAGCGTGTGTTCCACTGTCTCGAGTCCAGTGTTTCACTGCGCTGCGTCTCTCTATTTTGACATTGTAAGGGCTAAAATCAGGTAAACTATTTTTATTCCAGGTCCAGATGAGTCATCATGGCAGTTCCAATCCACATCCTGTGAAGTTAGAGTTACTGATGACTTTGTTCAATCAGATGCTTCTCATATGCAGGCATTGGAACACATAGTGCATGCATGGCCATTGCTCAGGGCCAGATTAAGAGCCCAGTGAGCCTGGTGCTGACAATTATGGCGGGCCTAATTACAGAATCATATCGACCAAAAACAGTAAAACACTCCCAAGCATCATGTATCTGATGGAGATAGTGCTGGAGAGAAAGAAAACAGCAGCTCTAAGAAAACACATACCCTAGGCTAATCTCTCTCTAATTTATGTTTTCATCTTTCAAGTAAATCCATAACCCCTAACAGCAGTGTCCAGTCAAGCAGGAAGTCAATGGGCATGGTAAAAGGGTGTGCCACTGACACAAATCACGTAACCTACCAAAAGGGGCGAACATGCCCAAAAAGAGGACATGTCTGCTCAAAGAATTAGAAGTCCAGCCCGGCATGAATGCATGTCAGGCTGCCTGCCAATCATGCAGCTGGCCAACTAAGGGCATACTATGCAGACAGTACCCTGAGCTTGGCATAAATGCATCTAATGATGAGCACACTCAACGCTTTCTAAGGACTGTCCCCTAGCACTCGCTGGTCCACTTGTCTCCTTACCTTCTTACTAGCAGGCAGAAGCTCCTGGTATATGGTCTGGGACAGAGAAAAGCTGTATGTAGTGAGTGTAGAAGAAAGGGAACATGCCACAGTGTTAGAGAGATGAAAGTCAGCATTACCTTAAAGGATCACTATAGGGTCAGGAACACAAACATGAATTCATGACCCTATAGTGTTAACACCACCATCTAGCCCCCCTGGGCCCCTCATGCCTCCATAAATATAGCAAAATCCTACTATATTCAAGCCTGAAGCTGTAACTCTGCATCCTGTTAGACTCATAAAAACAAGCAGTCTGCTGACATCATTAGAAGTGGTGGCCTGTTCCAATCACAGTGCTTCCCCATAGGATTGGCTGAGACTGACAAAGAGGCAGATCAGGGTCAGAGCCAGCATGTTTCAAACACAGCCCTGGCCAATCGGCATCTCCTTATATAGATGAATTTAATTAATGAATCTCTATGAGGAAAGTTCAGTGTCTGCATGCAGAGGGTGGAGACACTGAATGTTTGGATGCCTTTTAGGCAGCCATGACCCAGGAAGGATCTCTAACAGTCATCTAAGGAGTGGCCAGTGAAGTTATCACTAGGATCTAATGTAAAGACTGCATTTTCTCTGAAAAGACAGTGTTTACAGCAAAAAGCCTGATGGTAATGATTCCACTCATCAGAACAAATTCAATAAGCTGTAGTTGTTCTGGTGACTATAGTGTCCCTTTAACTATATTCATTGTCAGCCAGTCCACACAAGTTTTGTTCCCATACATCCCTCTTAAGTTTCCATACTTAAGTAAGAGTATGTGAAAAGTAGTTAGGGTTGCCACCTTTCTTGGAAAAACATACCGGCCTTACTAATTTGCATAATTAAATGTGTGGGTGACATCACATTATGTAAATCACAAGGAGTGACATAAGAGAAAATGCTGTAAAATCACCCAAAAATTACTTAGTTTAAATCTGCTGTATAGATGGATTTCTTCCAGTGCCCCCATGTGTCGATTACTCCAGGTCTCAGTGTTCCTATGTATCAGTGTTTCAGTGCCCCATGTCTCCCAGTGTCGTGTCCCCAGGTCTCCCAGTGATCCTATGTATCAGTGTCTCAATGCCCCATGTCTCCCTGTGTCCCCATGTATCCCAGGGTCCCCATGTCACTAGGAAGACGGGGAAACCTGGGGACACAGAGACACCAGTGACACTGGGAGACTAGGGGACACAGACACCAGGGACAAAGATACTAGAGACACTGGCTGGGGGACATTGAGACATGGGGACACAGACACCAGGGCGACTAGCCTGGGGACATTGTGACACTTGAGGCACTGAGAGACATGGAGGTACTAGGAGACATGGGGACAGTGAGACACTGGCAGACTGGGGGCACTGGGAGACTAGGGGGCACTGAGACACTGGCTGGGAGACATGGGGACACTGTGTCCCCATGTGTCGGTGTCATAATGTCTCCCAGTGTCCCTCAGTGTCTGCCATAATGTCTCCCAGTGTCCCTTAGTGTCTCAGTGTCTGCCATAATGTCTCCCAGTGTCCTCTAGTGTCTGCCATGTCTCTCAATGTCCCTTAGTGTCTCAGTGTCTGCCATAATGTCTCCCAATGTCCCTTAGTGTCTCAGTGTCTGCCATAATGTCTCCCAGTGTCCCTTAGTGTCTGTGTCTGTGTCTGCCTTAGTGTCTCAGTGTCTGCCATGTCTCCCAATGTCCCTTAGTGTCTCAGTGTCTGCCAATGTCCCTTAGTGTCTCAGTGTCTGCCATAATGTCTCCCAATGTCCCTTAGTGTCTCAGTGTCTGCCAATGTCCCTTAGTGTCTCAGTGTCTGCCATAATGTCTCCCAGTGTCCCTTAGTGTCCCAGTGTCTGCCATAATGTCTCCCAGTGTCCCTTCTGTGTCTCAGTGTCTGCCATAATGTCTCCCAGTGTCCTTTAGTGTCTCAGTGTCTGCCATGTCTCCCAGTGTCCCTTAGTGTCTCAGTGTCTGCCACAATGTCTCCCAGTGTCCCTTAGTGTCTCAGTGTCTGCCATAATGTCTCCCAGTGTCCCTTAGTGTCTCAGTGTCTGCCATAATGTCTCCCAGTGTCCCTTAGTGTCTGTCATAATGTCTCAGTGTCCCTTAGTGTCTCAGTGTATGTCTCCTTGCAGCCTTTCCCCCATCCCTCACTTCCCTGAGCTGTAGGCTGTCTCTGCAGGGTGGGAGTTGCTGTCTGGACTCTCTGTAGCTGCACCCCTGCAGATCAGTGAGTATAGATAGGCAGGGAGGGATATGCTGGAACTTCCTATCCCTGCCTGTCTCCACATACAGTGACCCCTACTGGCCAGTGCTGGTATTGCATAGTAATCTCTTGTTTATACTGATAAAAATACCAGCATTTGTATTACCATTATTACTGAAACATTTGCACCAGCCAGGCAGCCTCAAATACTGGCTGTGCCAATAAAATAAAAGCCAGGTGGAATCCCTAAGAGTAGTGTGTGAAAAAAAAATAATGTAAAAAAATATATTTTTTTAAAATTTTTTAAATCAATGGGCTTATTCCATGGGCCTGGAGCTGCAGCTCCATCAGCCCCTATGTTAATCCGGCCCTGCCATTGCTGCATTCCCACTAATGTAGCTTCTCATAGAGAAGCATTAAAACAAAGATAAAGAAAAAAGATAGAGAGCTATAGGCACAAAATAGTAACTCTCTCTTTAAACAGAATGTTACAGGTAGCAGCGGTAAGCCAAACGCAAAGTACCAAAGAGGGATTTAGCAAGCTCGTAGTTAGGGGAAGCCAAGGTCAGGGGCAACTAGCGCAGGTTTACATATGAGGTTACAGGAGAATAGGTCAAACATCAAGGAGACAATAGAAATCACAGATGTTTACGCACTGGGAGCACAGTATAACGGAGCACTGAGACATGGTTAGATGTGGTTCCCAGCGCTCCCACACCATTGGTTAATTGGTCTTTGTCTTTAATGTCCCGTGCCACTTTAAGATGCTGTCATTTGGGCGCACTTGAGCCTATGATGTCATTGAGCCCCCTTTGTGTATGGAACAGTTCCAGATCGTGGATTAACTGCGGGCTGTGGCAAGATGGGAAGAGCCACGGCACCACTGTTGTACAGAATGAAGACGTCGGCCCTGTTTCCTTGAAGGTGAGAACACCGGAGCCTCCGGCAGGCACCAAAGAGGGACTGCCTTGGCCGCGGCGAGGAAACCCCAGGTAAGTGCAAAGAGGGTCGTGATACAGAAACACATATGGGAGATATGGGGTAATTAAAGAGAATCTATAGTGTTAGGAATACAAAGTAGTGCCTTGTGTTCCACCCCTTCCTGCCCCTGCCCCCAGCACACCAAGGGTTAAATAAGCCTTTATTTTCTTACCCAATTTCAGCACCGATTTCCTCCAGCACTGAGTCGCCATCTACCTCCTCCGACATCATCTGATGGGGGGACCTAATGCGTATGAACGGTGCCATGTGTCTGGCTCAAGTTAGTCCTTCCCCATAGGAAAGCATTGATACTTTTGCTGGATGTCCTCATGCAGACCGTTAGGACATCCAGCATCGTTTAAGAGAGCCAGACTATGTTATAATCCAGGAACAATAGGTAGTCTTCGTCCTGCAATGTATGTATTGCAATTACTTAAACTGTGATGTTTTGCAGTGCAGGATTATGGGGGACAGGAACAGTGCAGGGAGACCACTTCAATGAGATGAAGTGGTCTGAGTGCTTACCCCTATAGTATCCCTTTAAGGGAAGAATATCCCAGTGTGGTGATGCATCTCTACAATAGTATAAGAGTGTATAGGAAGATGGTGATGCTTTCTACCTTCTTAATGCAGAAGAGGTAAGTGTCCTTGCATTTGTCTCCGTCACACACTTCAACTTAATAACAACTTGATTAACATTTACAAGTGTGAATAAGAAATAATCCAACGCAAAAAGAGTGCTCAGATATTGCTGGAAAACAGTCTATAAAATTTTTTACCCCTGAAGTGTCACATTTTAAAGGTTCTTTTACATGTTAAGCCCTAAAGTATGGTAAAGTATGTACCATTTTAACAAGCACAGATGTCTTATTTTGTAATAGTATTTTGTAACGTTTCCATGCATGGTTAGTTTGGCTCAACACAAGCAACTATAACGCACTTGGCAAATGCAGCTGGCTGGCATGATCCCATCTCTAAATCTGTTCAACGAATTTCATCTGCAGGTGCAGGTTAGTACCACCCACATCAGAGGTAGTCAAGTAAATGCCTGATAAACCTTCATTAGAGCTTGTCAGTAGTTAGAGATCCTGTAGCTGAGTGCTCCTAATAGCAGCAGTATTTAACTGAAATACTTACTTTACTATGTGCCAGTAATGCCCAGTGCTGCGATTTGTAAATACAGAATCATGGCAGCTTGAAGCTTGCCCATCCTAGCTGCCAATAAGGCATTCTCAGTTCCAGTTTAACTGAATTCAGTTTCTGCAGCTTGTGAATGTGTACCAAGCAGAATATCAAATTGAATACTCGGTCAAAGTAAAACTCGGTCATATGACTGCAGCCCCCATAAGAAAGATTCGATCAAATGCTTTTGATGCGCATGCGGCACTTGCCGCGCATACACATCAGGTCCCCAATGCTTTTTAATGAGGAGCATTAGAATGAATGGCACCACAACAAATATAAAACCATGTCCTGTGCTGAATCCGCTTTCATTACAGGAAAAGACTTTCTAAAGGCTCTCTCACGCTTTGAAACCTCAGTAGAGCACCTTGATTGGATGGCTTTAGGCATCAGGGGCCCCACCTTCCCAACATACATATATATAGCGATTATCGATATATATACACATATACATATATCCACGGGAAAAATAAAGTTCCCCCCCATTGGAATTCTCGGCCGTTACATATCAGGACATAATAACAATCATCTGTTACTTAGCAGGTCTATACCACTATACACTACAACCATTCTAACATGTTACATCCACCACACACACACACACTACATCCACTATAAACACAAATATATATAGGCAATAGGCGTAGATCTGCTAGGGAAAATAAGAAGAAAGCACAACATAGTGCTTAAATGTGTTATTGAAGAAAGTGGCCACTCACACTTTGGATGTTAAATTCAAGCCTTACTCACTTCCACATGTAAAACAAGCTTATATAGGCCCCATCACCTGGTCGGACCATGCTCTGCTAATAATCGATACTCCAATCACTACTCAATGGGCTGCGCACAAAGCTGTAATGAGAGGGAACTTCATACAATTAGGTTCCTCAGAAAAGAAAGCTCGCAAGCGCATTCAATATAACCTTGAGCAAGAAATCTCCGTCATGGAGAATCTACACAAACAAAACCAAACTACAGCACGCCACAACAAACTGGGGAGACTTAAGTCAGAACTGCATTCAATTCAACTACAGGACACTGAGAAACATATGAGATATCTAAAACAAAATTGTTACATAGCGGGGAACAAAGCGGGTAAATTATTACCTAAAAAGATTAAACGACACCTTCAAACAAAAATCCTGTACATATCAAAAGACAGGGACAAACTGTACAACCCCCAGGACATAGTGAACACACTAGCTGACTACTACGAATCCCTATATCAACTTCACAGAGACCCAACAACCCACAAATGGGGAAATAGCACAGTTCCTAGACCTGGTGGAACTCCATCGCGTGATGGACGACCAGGGCAAGCATCTTGAGAGGCCATTTACAGAAGACGAGGTTAAGAAGGTGATACAATCCCTAACTACACACAAAGCCCCTGGCCCAGATGGCCTAGCCAACTACTACTACAACATTAAACTTGCCAACCAGCTCACCCCACATCTCACACAACTATTCAACGCAATCAAACAATCAGGGTATCTGATCATAGTAACGCTCCCTAAACCCAATAAATCCCCAACAGTTTGCGCAAACCTTCGGCCTATTTCCCTTCTAAACTCGGACTAATCTCGAAGGAACAGGCAGGATTTGTACCCGGGAGACAGGTGGGGGATAACACAAGGCATTTTGTTAACCTCATAGATTGGGCAAACCGTTCCTCACAGGAGGGTCTAATAATGGCGCTTGACGCGAAAAAAGCGTTTGATCAATTACACTGGGGATACATGGAACAAACCCTATCCAGGATGGGATTCCCATCCTCGTTCCTAATTAGCATTAAAGCTCTCTATCAGGACTTGTCAGCCAAAGTATTTAGCACAGGTTTTCTATCCAAACCCTTCACCATCCAAAACGGGACGAGACAGGCTGCCCACTGTCACCACTCATTTTCATACTATGTCTAGACCCCCTCCTGCGCCTCATCAAACAAAACCCACAGATAAAAGGCCTAGACACACCTGAGGGACCAAAAAAAAAAAAATAGCCCTCTTCACAGACAACATACTTCTATTTTTAACTGAACCAAAATCCTCTATCCCACATTTGGTAGGCCTACTGGGACAATACGGGATGGTGTCCTACTATAAAAACAACTCTGCCAAGACCCAAGCATTATCCATTAACCTACCACGAGCTGCAATCACACACCTAGAGAGCAAATTGAACTTTGATTGGCGCAAAAAAATCACTACAATAACCTAGGTATACAACTGACCAAAACCATACAAGCCATTCCCCAAGAGAACCACATACCATTACTGAAGAAAGTCGAAACTAACCTGGGACAATGGGCCGCCCTGGAGATCTCGTGGTTGGGTCGCATTAACTCCCTAAAAATAATGACACTCCCGCGGATTTTATATCTCTTTCGTACACTACCCATAACATTACCAACCAAATTAGTGAACAGATTCCAATCCACAATTAATGCACACGTCTGGAAGAAAAAGCCTCCCAGAATTGCATGCCACAAACTGGGGCTCCCATACACGAAGGTTGGTCTAGGACTACCTGACATAAAAGCATATTACAGAGCATTAATACTAGCGCAGGGTATAAGACTCCTCAAAGCTCCACAGGCACAACAAAGCCCTGTCTGGTTATCACGAGAAAACGCATGCTTACCTCCATACGACATAACTCACTCCCTATGGGTTAGCACGAACCACAAGAAGGCAGGCGCGAGGCCAATACATTGTACTGACTTTTTGCTCTCCTCCTGGGTAGCCTGGAGCCCAAGTAGATTATCCACTAGGGAACCAATTAAGGCGGCCCCAGTAGAATCTCTAGCGAAACTCACCGGACTTGGCAATCAAAACATGGACAGCGAAGGGGGTTCTCAAGGTGCGAGATCTGTTAGAGGGGGATAATATAAGAACCTTCCCGGCTCTCCAACTACAATATTCCCTGACACCAAGAGACCTATTCTTACACCTCAGAGTAAAAAAATATATTGACGAACCGACTAACACTAATTGATGCCCCTCCCTCAAATGCTATCTCCAAACCAGTCGAAGCCCCTCTCACTCTGCTACAATGCTATCCTGGGGGGTCTGGCTCATGAGAGACTATCATACATGTCTCAGTGGGAGAAGGAATTGGGTATAAAGTTCCCCAAAGAACAATGGCAACGACAAAAAAAGCCTCCAGAAGCCTTCCGCTGTGGGAGGCATATTGTAAGATAGCTATGAGATGGTATTTAGTGCCGCACAGACTAGCCCGCATGTACCCAGGGACTTCCGAGATCTGCTGAAGGTGCAACAGAGGGGTAGGAACAATACTACACATGTTCTGGGAATGCCCAGACTTACAAAACTATTGGGAACAAGTAGAATCAATGATTCAAACCAAAACACAAGTGAGACAAGCACGTAGGCCAGAACACTACCGCCTGCATTGGTGGGACACCCCCACAAAAAAGTGATCATAAACATACTGACCCTATAAAAAAAGTCAATGTAGCGTTGCATTGGAAAAGTAAAACAACTCCTTCTGTGGCAGTCGTTAAACAAAAACTAGACGTAATTAGACTCCAGGGATGTGAAGAAAAATTTGCAAAGGACTGGGGATGCTGGATATCTGTATAAGATGCGATAAAAGCCAATAGAGCAGAGCTGTTGAGAGGTCAAGAAGACCAAGGTAGTCAAAATAAATGTTGTATAACTGTATCGATGTCAAATACTGTGATGCATGAACTCAACTCCCCCTCCCCCCCTTTCCCCTATGTTCATGATAAAAACCGAACTGTCATGCTTACGTTAGAGTATCATAAAAAAGGACAGCACAGCTAGAGAAGATGCAAACGTAGGTGGCAAGGCGTGATGGTGGAACACTACTTATCAAAAAACTCACCAAGATGATATTATAGGTATGCTAAATTCCCATGTTAACCTATGTTATGTTGTTTGCCGCTCACCAATATATGCATGCTGTACCGGTCCTGAAACCAACGTATTTATGTACCATTGTGATGACACTTCAATAAAAATTAAAGATGAAAAAAATAAAAATAAATTCAAGCCGTATTTACTATGGATTTTTTTGAATCTTTGATGGTTTTTGCATTGTGCATGCGTTACAGGAATTAAAGTTAAATCAACACAAGTAACACTAACCTGCTAATTGCTCATCCATATCACATGTAGCAAAGTTCTTCTTACTGGACTGCAGTAATTCTCTGCAGCCGTACTCTATAAATCTATACCTCCACTTTGATGTATCCATACACTATCGTATACCGCAAGTATGTTTGCCAATATACTATCCTACTATCCAAGAACTAATGGGCCGTAATTGCTGCATGTACTTAGTTATTGTTCAAGGGTCAATCACCTTAGGGGATGTCTGCATATTTAGCACATGTCCCCAAAGGTGACATCTCTGCTTGGTGTGTGGAAGCCTGTGGTTGAAGCTGAAGACAAAAATACAGATATGAAGCGGTCTATCATGGGGGCTGCCATCTTCTTTGTACAGCTTCGGGCACTTCAACCACCAGAAGTACACAAGAGAGTATAGCGGAGAGGTTGAAGGAGGATCAAGTGAGTCCATGGAATCCTCCATAACCCACCTATCACGACACACAAGAAGATGTCCATTTCGCCAATGACAGCAAGTTGAAACTTGTCAAATTAGTCAACTTCAACTTCTATGGAAGACAAATGAATCTTTACTTTGTCTTATGATTCCTTTTCATTGTGTTGGAATTTCAATGCAGTCACTGGTTATTTCCATCATAAAATCATCTCTGAAATACTAACATTATTGCAACGGCAGAGTTACTTTAAGAAATCTAGCTATTCCAGGTTTATTAAATTTTTTTAACAGACAAATAAGATATGCAATGATACTCAATATTCTATAATGTTTATGAGAGGTTGACATGTTACAAAATAATTCCAGATCTGAAAACTCACCACAACCTTCTGCACCGCATCTTTGTTTAAAGCAGTTATGCACTCCTACAGATCCTCTTATTCAACCACAAATTTATATGTAATTACCATTAAAAAAAAAAAATGGGGAAAAATTATTTAAACTATAACATCTAATACATACAGATTATAAGACATACCACTTGTTATGTGAACATTTTATATTGTGGTTAGTGAATTAAAGGAGTAAACTTTGGTGGGATATTAATATTAAAAAAATAGCAGTAAAACACATGAATACATAGAGAGATTATACAACAAACTACAAAAGATTTTATATTAAAAAAAAAAACTACACAAAACAGTTTACAAAACTGAATTTGTGAAATGAAGATAAAAAAAAAAAAATGCTTGAAATGTATTCCAGAATATAATTTCACATAAAAAAAAAATAAACAAAAAAAACCAATCACTTTTGCTTTCTGTTTTACTGCCCAAATAATAATAAATATAAAAATAAATTGGAATCAATGTAATCACTTTTGCATGTTGTGACTTTCCAGTTTTGGCATTTGGTACATCACCATGGAAATCTATGTTCCATTTTAACCACCATGTTCTCTTTTCACAGTTAGACTTAAGCACATTGACAGGGAGATTTTTAGAAGTGCTGTGAGATAATTACGTACTGCTTCAGGATGGTTAGTTTCTCATGTGTTTACTTTAAAAGCCCGTCTTTGCGTTCTGATGCAGTCAGTCTGGGTCCATTTCAGACCATCACAGATGTTACAAACAAAAGGACTGCTTTAAGGGGAGCAGCAGATAAGTTCAAGTGGCCGGGAGACACTTCACCTGTAACAGCCCAATTGCAGGAAACTCAGGGCCATTGACCACCTGAAGGATAGCTTGGGACTGTAGGATACTGAGGTAGAGTGGGGCCAGCAAAATTTGAATATTGTGGTTCATTGCTTGGTGGTGCCTTCCATGTTCCGCTGTTCCACTCTTGCTGGGCTTTCTGGAAACTTCCACCAGCCCCTCTGTACCACCGGTGCACCTTGAAAAAAAATATATATGTGTAATTTAATATTACTTTGTATTTTTAATAGAATACTGTACCCTGTTGTAACAATGCAGTATTTGTGGGCCCAGGACATATTTGAAAAAGAAAGAAATCTCAATGTATCCTTCCTGGTAAAATAACACACACACACACACACACACACACACAGACACAGACACAGACACCTTAAAATCTGAAGACAAACTACTAGCCAGGCCACTCGCTATTGCAAGCCTAGAGTGTCCAAGTCAGTCACTATTGGAAATGTTGAGCGCTGAATATATATCAGGGATCAAAATTTCCACTAGCCATTGGTAAATGAAAAATGTAGTCGTGGCGAGCAAAAAAGTGTGCTTTGGTAATTGCAAGTTTAGTAGCACAGAACTTAAAGGATCACTAAAGGGTCAGGAACACAAACATGTATTCCTTACCCTGTAGTGTTAAAACCACCATCTAGCCCCTCATGCCTTCATAAATATAGTAAAAATCTTACTGTATTCAAGCCTGAAGCTATAACTCTGCATGCTGTTAGACTCAAAAACAAGCAGTGTGCTGACATCATCAGAAGTGGTAGCCTGATCCAATCACAATGCCTCCCCATAGGATTGGCTGAGACTGACAAGGAGGCAGATCAGGGGCAGAACCAGCATGATTTAAACACAGCCCTGGCCAATCAGCATCTCCTCATATAGATGAATTGAATCAATTAATCTCTATGAGGAAAGTTCAGTGTCTGCATGCAGAGGGAGGAGACACTGAATGTTTGGATGCATTTTAGGCAGCCATGACCCAGGAAGGATCTCTAACAGCCATCAGAGGAGTGGCCAGTGAAGTTATCACTAGGCTGTAATGTAAACACTGCATTTTCTCTGAAAAGCCAGTATTTACAGCAAAAAGCATGAAGGTAATGATTCTACTCACCAGAACAAATTCAATAAGCTGTAGTTGTTCTGGTGACTATAGTGTCCCTTTAAAATTTAAATATGCAGGGCTTAAATGTAATGTAAGAGCAAAAAAAAAAAAAAAAAAAAAAAAGGTCTACCCACATTTATCTACAGATCACTAGTCTCTTTATTTCATAAAGTTCTACACATGGTATTTAGGGAAAAGGTTGTCCTCCTGGAAGTCACCTGTTCTTCAGGAATTTCGATGCAATTCCTTAGCTAGTCAGATCAAATTTGGGGATTTGAATCTTTGAAAAAAATGTTCTCAGGGGCTTTCAGTTTAGATGTTCTACAATAAAGTGAATTTCAGTCAAGTGAAGAAACAAAAATTGACCAAATTTTCCGTGTTCAGATTTATTGCCAGAGAGATTCAACTTTGAATAAAATAACCATCTATGTTATTTTTCTCTTGTTCCCATTTAAACTCTACTCCCCATCGTCCCTTCTTAAATGTTTCTTATGTCTGTCTATGGTAAACTAACTTAATTGCCGAATACAAGACGTATAACATATGAGGAAATGGTACGTACCCGGAAAAGTGCCAACGCAGTTGCTACAGCAGACACTGTGAACATCACAGCGGGGAACAGCATGATTATCGCAACTGCCACAGCTGTGCTGAAAAAGCTCACTGCAGCCAGCCAGCCGCTGGAACAGAAAGGAAATAAGCAAACGGAGTGAAATCTTAGTTTAATAGACCAGGATGATAATATTTTTTGAGACAGCTGAAAAGCTCTTAAGGAACAGTACAGCATTAGGAACACAAAGCTGTATTCCTATTACAGAGCGCTTGTCTCTAGTAGACAGATGTGACTTTCCACCTCCTTTTTTAAATAAGATTTAAAAAAAAGATCAAGATTGTTTTTACTTATCTCTCCCTCAGCACCGCTGACAGCTCTGCGTCCCTTAACGCCATCGAGGAGACATGGCTTCCTCCATGATGGCCTCAACAAGGGGTGCCCAAAAGGTAGATCCCTAGATGCTGTAGAACTCCAACTTTCATGATGCTTTGCATGCCTTTAGAATTACAAAATATCATCAAGTTGGAGTTTTAAAACATCTGGGGAATCTATCTTTTGGGCATGATATAAACCAATGCTCCTCACAGAGCTGCTTCCTCCTCAGGGTTCCCCGTACAAAGCATTGTGTTCAGTGCTTTCTTATGGGCTTCCGTATCACGCGTTTTACTTAGTCAGTGCAGGGGTAGCGCCTCTAGTGACTGACAGGAAGAAAGCCATTAGAGGTGGACTCAATCATGCAACGTAAACATTGCACTTTCAAAAACAAAACAGAAAAACGCAATGTTTTACATCGCAGGGTTACAAGGACAGGGACATTGCACCCACCCCACTTCATTGAGATGAAGTGGCGTTGGTGACTTTAGTGTCCCTTTAATGTTTAACTACATGTCCCCCCGGCTTATTTTATAAAATAATCGATTTCAACAAATATCAGCACTTTTATAAATGCCTTTAGTAACATTTTTGTGTTGTCAAGCAGACCGTTGGTGTTTCCTGCCTGACTTGCTTTGAGTGCTGTTCCATGAGAAGCATTGTTAGCGGGTCATGGCAATGGCCGTGCATGCGCTGCGTGTCCCAATACTCCTCCATCCAATTGGACACAAGTCCTTAGTATGATTTCACAACAGGACGAGACTCCCAGCACTGGAATAAAAGTGAGTTTTATAGCTTTCATTCCAAAATGAGAGACCCAGTAACCTAAACAGATTAAGGAACACTCCAATTTAAAAAAATACAAATAAATAAGATGTTTTGGACTACCTCTCCAAAATGCATCTCGCTTGGGGGCATACAATAGCCCTCTTTGGTCACCACTTATCTGTTAAGACCACATGCATTCTGAAAGTCTGAAACTGTCCCACAGGGCATTTTTATAGATGCCTAGCACTTGCACATTATTTTAGTAGTTGTGAATCTGCCCTTGCTGTTGATTAACTGCACATTTTTGGTTGGATAAACTGTGCTTCTGACCAAAGAGAACTTAGATGGCTGCCTCCACAGTACAAGGATAACCACTTAAAAAATGCATTAAAATATATAAACTTGTAGCTGTGCTTTACAAAATAACACACACAAAGGATATAAGTACATGCAATGATTATTTTCAGTAATACACAATAATACGTTTCCCTTTAAAATGTTTTGGGTATAAACTGGAGCATGCAGATTCAGTAGTGGCCACAGGAGGTGGATTCCAGAAAATAGGTTGTTACCATGCACCCCATCCTGAGATTCCGATTGCCTGGATAACCGAAAGAACAAACTGAATCCCGCACACAAAGAAAAAATTCATGAAGTTGAAGGAGCTGTCCGACCTGAAGGATGAAGAAAAATACATAAAATAACAGGTTACTGGTCATCATGAGGACGATGGTCTTGTTCCCACCATATATGCATCACCATTGCTCTGAAAATGAACTCACCTGAAGGCTTTATATGCTGGACGGAACCAGCAAACATATCCGCATGGACTAAAGAGAACCAGCCAAAGGATCGAAAAGCCAAAATTGACTCCATTGCCTCCACCAATCCACCAAGCCAGACAGGCAACTACATTCACGGCAAGGGTTAGGCAATAAACTGGGGAGATTACAGAAGGTCTGATGAACATTTCTAATGGAGTATAGCACACATTCAGAATACATACTAGCAAAATTTCCCAATATTTATTCAAGTGTGTGTTTGGCAAAATCGACACTACCGATGATATAAAAATGCCTCGGGCTCCTGATAATCTGCACAATTCTATACCATTTAAATGAAAACATTGGAGTCAAATGTTCCTAAATTCAGGGTTCATAAATTTCCACTTCCCCACTAACCACTGGTGAGTAAAAATTCAGTCCTGGCAAGCAGAAATATAACCTTTGTTGCTGTGCCAATGATCCTCTAGGCCAGTGGTAGGCCACTTTTGGCAGTCCAGACACTGTGGAGTACATCTCCCATGATGCATTGATAGCATTATGGTTGTGAGAGCATTATGGAAGATGTAATCAAAAACATTTGGAGTGATGAAGGTTGCCTACAACTGCTCTAGGCTTTAGTGGCAAGTCTCAGACTAATCAATTAACGAAGGACTATAAATTGATAGCCCTGCTAAGGCAATGGTTAGCAATCTGTGACTCACCTGCAGAGGGCACCTCAAAACAGGAGATAGATGAATTTCTACAGTAACAGCAGGCGAAGCTATAATTTTATTAGCTTATTCTTGCTTTCTACCTCGGGTTGAGTTATTGTCAGGACTTTGAATGAGGAAGTGTTGGCCCTCCCCCAATCAACTAACATATAGTAGAACTTGGGAGACATAACTTATGAGAAGACACCTTCCTTGCAAGTATAGATAGACTTTCCTAAAAAAAGTAGGAATATATATATATATATATATATATATATATATATATATATATATATATACAGGGAGTGCAGAATTATTAGACAAATGAGTATTTTGACCACATCATCCTCTTTATGCATGTTGTCTTACTCCAAGCTGTATAGGCTCGAAAGCCTACTACCAATTAAGCATATTAGGTGATGTGCATCTCTGTAATGAGAAGGGGTGTGGTCTAATGACATCAACACCCTATATCAGGTGTGCATAATTATTAGGCAACTTCCTTTCCTTTGGCAAAATGGGTCAAAAGAAGGACTTGACAGGCTCAGAAAAGTCAAAAATAGTGAGATATCTTGCAGAGGGATGCAGCACTCTTAAAATTGCAAAGCTTCTGAAGCGTGATCATCGAACAATCAAGCGTTTCATTCAGAATAGTCAACAGGGTCGCGTGTGGAAAAACCAAGGCGCAAAATAACTGCCCATGAACTGAGAAAAGTCAAGCGTGCAGCTGCCACGATGCCACTTGCCACCAGTTTGGCCATATTTCAGAGCTGCAACATCACTGGAGTGCCCAAAAGCACAAGGTGTGCAATACTCAGAGACATGGCCAAGGTAAGAAAGGCTGAAAGACGACCACCACTGAACAAGACACACAAGCTGAAACGTCAAGACTGGGCCAAGAAATATCTCAAGACTGATTTTTCTAAGGTTTTATGGACTGATGAAATGAGAGTGAGTCTTGATGGGCCAGATGGATGGGCCCGTGGCTGGATTGGTAAAGGGCAGAGAGCTCCAGTCCGACTCAGACGCCAGCAAGGTGGAGGTGGAGTACTGGTTTGGGCTGGTATCATCAAAGATGAGCTTGTGGGGCCTTTTCGGGTTGAGGATGGAGTCAAGCTCAACTCCCAGTCCTACTGCCAGTTCCTGGAAGACACCTTCTTCAAGCAGTGGTACAGGAAGAAGTCTGCATCCTTCAAGAAAAACATGATTTTCATGCAGGACAATGCTCCATCACACGCGTCCAAGTACTCCACAGCGTGGCTGGCAAGAAAGGGTATAAAAGAAGAAAATCTAATGACATGGCCTCCTTGTTCACCTGATCTGAACCCCATTGAGAACCTGTGGTCCATCATCAAATGTGAGATTTACAAGGAGGGAAAACAGTACACCTCTCTGAACAGTGTCTGGGAGGCTGTGGTTGCTGCTGCACGCAATGTTGATGGTGAACAGATCAAAACACTGACAGAATCCATGGATGGCAGGCTTTTGAGTGTCCTTGCAAAGAAAGGTGGCTATATTGGTCACTGATTTGTTTTTGTTTTGTTTTTGAATGTCAGAAATGTATATTTGTGAATGTTGAGATGTTATATTGGTTTCACTGGTAATAATAAATAATTGAAATGGGTATATATTTGTTTTTTGTTAAGTTGCCTAATAATTATGCACAGTAATAGTCACCTGCACACACAGATATCCCCCTAACATAGCTAAAACTAAAAACAAACTAAAAACTACTTCCAAAAATATTCAGCTTTGATATTAATGAGTTTTTTGGGTTCATTGAGAACATGGTTGTTGTTCAATAATAAAATTAATCCTCAAAAATACAACTTGCCTAATAATTCTGCACTCCCTGTATATATATATATATATATAAAAAAAAAAAAAAGCACAAAAAGTGACAAATATTAATCACCCATTTTAATTTACTAGGCTAGCAAACCTTAAAGGGATTCTATAGTCACCAGAACCACTACAACTTAATGTAAGTGGTTGTGGTGTCTATAGCATGTCCCTGAAGTCTTTAGCACTGTAAACGCTGTTTATATTGCTGCCTAGTAACACTTCTAGGTGCAGTCACTGAGACGGCTAATAGAGGTGTTTCCTTTGTCAGTGCTGCACTGTGTGGAAATGCTGAACGCTCCTCATAGAGACACATTGATTTAATGCATCTCAATGCAAATTGGCGCAACGTGGTGTTTTACCACGCATGTGCAATAGCCTCCCAAGATTGGCTGAGATCATCAATACAGATGATCTCAGGCATGGAGGTGGGGCCAGTCGCGGTGAGATCTGCATGGCGGTGAAGAAAAGGTTAGTAAAACCACAATTTCCCTCCACAGAGAAGGGCCCAGACACCTAAACAGGTAGTTTAGCACCATCCCGCTAGGAACACGTTTGTATTCCTAACATGACAAGCATCTGCCTCTAAATCGGCCTAATGTGATACTGCAAGCACCATAACCACTACAGTTCCCCGTAATGGTTACCAATGCCTAGCACTATTGCCACATGCAAGGTTTTGCAGTGTATGGATGTCAGCATTTGTGGGTGTATGCATGGCAGTCATCTTGGAGACGTAACAAGCTTAAAGGTACACTATAGGTTCAGGAACACAAACATATCTAGCCCCCCCCGGCCCTCTATTACCCCTGTAAATATAGCAAAATGTTACCTTTATTGCAGTCTGCTGCTGCCTCCTCTGCCCCTGATCTGCTTGCTGTGCTGACATCATCAGAAGTGATTCTTTGAGTCAATCAAAATGCTTTCACATAGGAAAGCATTGGATTTGTTGAGCTTGTCAAATAGGCAGATCAGGGGCAGAGTCAGCATAAGTCAAACACAGCCCTAGCCAATCAGCATCTCCTCATAGAGATTTATTGAACCAATCTGCATGAGGAAAGTTCAGTGTCTCCATGCAGAGGGTGGAGACACTGAATGGCAGTGCTGCTTCCTATGCAGCACTGCCCCAGGAAGCACCTCTAGCAGCCTTCTGAGGAGTGGCCAGTGGAGGTATCCATAGGCTGTAATGTAAAAGCCTGAAGAACTGATTATCCTCTGATTAAACCATAACAAATACAATAAGCTTTAGTTGTTCTGGTGACTATAGTGTCCCTTTATGAAGATTTTTCATTTACTCATTTGCTGGCAGTTTTACAGTCACAATGTACAGATCTGATTTACATTATCTAAAAGAAATCAGCCATAAAAACAAGCTTAAAAAAATGATTTTATACTCAGCAACTGAAAGCATTTTGTACAATATGGACTGCAAAAATATATCTGATCATGTTATCTAATATATTGCGTTCCATCGAGGCAGATCTGGAAGACTTTGATCATAAGATATACAGATTTATAACATCTAAGTTTCTCACAGAATTTTAAATCTAATTTGACTTGTTGCAAGCCAACATGTGAATGACTGAACATTATGAAGAATGTGTTTGTTAAATTGTCAGGGTACTATTTATGTAAATATCCAACAAGTGAGTTCAATCATAGTGTAATTATATATTAAGTTTATAATATAATTGCATTACCACATTAAAGGCATTTGCCTAAATGTAGGGTTTTGTTTGCCTTTATTCTAAGCTGATTTTAAAGTTGATGCACCACTTTTAACTTCATTATTATTAGCATTTATATAGTGCTGACATATTCTGCAGCGCTGTACAATTATAGAATGGGAAAATTTGACAAATAATTGACATAGAGGCTATAACAGGGACAGGAGGCGAAGGAAGCCCAGCTCAAACAAGCTTTCAATCTATAACTTATAAGCTATTTAGAGAACAGAGGGGATAGGGTGAGCCATATATAGGATTAGTACACAGATGAAGGGGGATAACCCCAAATGGAAACAATATATGTTGAGGGAAAGTAGTGTACCAAGGAAGGGGCTGGGATAATTGTCAAATACAGAAGAAAACTTAATAGATCCAGGCAAGGAAAGAAAAAATATCTATATATATATATATATATATATATATATATATATATATATATATATATATATATATATATATATATATATATATATATATATATATATATATATATATATTAAGAAAATCTTATTAATTGTAAAAACTATTAAAATTGCCCAAAGGCAAATACAATGGTACTCGTGTATTGTGAACAAACCAAAAGTGAAAAAAGTTATGCAAATAGAAAAATCAAAATGAAAAATAAAGAATAGGTATACGACAGGTTAAAATAAAGTCACCACCTAGTATGATTGCTCTATGCGTGGTATTAATAAATCCTATCGTACTACCTATTGCGGGATCAAGGTAAAGCGTATCACCAACGTAGAGGGTATAAATCTATGTACACGTCTGTGCCAAGATTAATTACAAAAATATCTCGATGGGGTGATACAAAAGGGAACAGCCCTTAATACCAGGATCGGCACCAAGTAGATATTCCAGTGCAACGTGTAGCAGGATAATATCCAGCTAAATATTAACAGTAAGTATAACTCCCATCAATATTAAACATAAGCTCCCTGCCTATAACTGTTAGAATAGATACTGGAGCATAGTGTATAACAAGGTAATGTACGGCTAGATACGGACATAGAATCCAACTGCCATCAATGGCAGGATGAGACTGAGGAAATTGAAACCAGGCATATCTAAATAGAAGATATTAATGGATGTGACAATAAAGGAAGCCTTCCAATGATATACGGAGAAGGTGACTATAGTGTGCCTTTAATGCGGTCTATATTTTCTTGAAGTCACATACCTATCTTTAAAATGTGGTTTATTACCGCAATTTTGTTATTGCCTTGTGTAAACTTATTACCACACTAAAACCCACATATGGCAAAAAAGATTTTTTTTAAAATTGTGTAAGCCAAACTATTAAGATTTCTTTTCTGATCTTCGAATGACTCTTACACTTGTTTTCGGTCATGAGCAGGGTACAAAAATTGTAATAACGGCTTCTTTAAGATTCCCACATGCCACCGTGCTGTAGGCATTACATTTACATGGGGATTGCACAGATTAGTGGTTTAGAGTCATGTTTAACAAGGACACATATTAAAGGAACACTATAGTCACCTAAACAACTTTAGCTTAATTAAGCAATTTTAGTGTATAGATCATGCCTCTCAGGTTTCACTGCTCAGTCACTGCCATTTAGGAGTTAAATCACTTTGTTTCTGTTTATGCAGCCCTTGCCACACCTCTCCTGGCTATGATTGACAGAGCCTGCATGAAAAAAAACTGGTTTCACTTTCAAACAGATGTAATTTACCTTAAATAATGTTATCTCTTGCTCTGTAAAGTGAACTTTAATCACATACAGGAGCCTCTTGCAGGGTCTAGCAAGCTATTAACATAGCAGGGGATAAGAAAATCTATTTTAAATAGAACTTGCAATAAAGGAAGGATAAACATTAGATGACTTTACAGGAAGTGTTTAGGAAGGCTGTACAAGTCACATGCAGGGAGGTGTGACTAGGCTTAATAAACAAAGTTATTTAACTTCTAAATGGCAGATAATTGAGCAGAGAGACAGCAGAGGCATGATCTATACACCAATACTGTTTAATTAGGCTATAAAGTTGTTTTGGTGACTATAGTGTCCCTTTAACATTTTGACCAAGTTTCGAAAACCACCAAATGTTTTCCCAGTGTCATGGAGGCTAAAGCTGCAATTGTGTTGCTACAGAAAACAACCTACTGAAGGCAGTAGGCTGTGGGCCTGACAAACTTAGTGGAGGATTTTTAAAAAGATTGTAAAAAAAAAGTGGCGCAAAATTGAAAAAGAGGAGGCATCACCAATCAAATGCGCCTGCTGGTTCCACTTGTTTCCATCCTCACTGCCCCACTTTTAGCACTTTAGACCATTTTTTAAAGTGATAAAACCTTAATAAGCCTAAGCAACCTTTGACTTTCTAGATATTGTGGACTGCATCTCCCCTGATGCTCTCAGGTATCATGTTAGCAAAGCATTATGGGAGATTTAATCCACAATATATAGAGTGCCAAAGGTTGCCTACCATGACTATATAAAGGCTACCAATATTAAAACCAGAATTCAATGTATATTAAAACCAGTATTCAATGTAAAGCCACTTTTGATTGGTTTAAATACATATTAATTTAGCATTCGCTTTGAAAAGTGTTTTTTGTTTTTTTAACGCCTTAAATATAATTTACCAAAATAATTAAATAAGTGAACTCACATAGCCACAGATGATAAATCCTTCGCACCAGAGTCCTATGCTCGTCAGGGATCTCTTCCTCAAAATTCTGATAGAAACAGGGTCGCAGGCGGGTGAACTTAGGCAGCGGTGGAAAATTATTGGCACGCTCTAGAGGTAGGAGAACTCGAGTTGGTTAGGGACCAGAATTAATTAAAATAAAATTAAGCATTCATAATCCGGAAACTTTTGTCTAGACGAACCGGCAGCACAACTATTATTAAATATTACATTTCCCAACCTGACTGGGGGTAATAAAATCTGAATATCAATAGGAAATATTTTTTATCAGTAAAGCATGCTTTAAAATATATACAATTTTAGGAAGCCATTTCACAGCACAATTAGGAACCCCTTTGGCTCCCAATAGGAGTTTAGAAATGTGTACATGTATTGACCACCATTTTAGATCACATAATTTAACCCCTTAAGGACACATGACATGTGTGACATGTCATGATTTCCTTTTATTCCAGAAGTTTGGTCCTTAAGGGGTTAATTAGTAGAAACGTACTGGATATCGCACTCACCAAATAACCCATGTCCCCCGAAGCTAGTGCTGGCCAGGCCTCCCTTTCAAGATATGCAGAATAAATAACAGTTCAGGAGTAAAATAGCAGCGTTATTGGGGCCAAAGCAGCAATGTTTTGACCCTACCTGGTCTTTATTAGGCTTGATAAAGACCCTGCAGGGTCGAAATTTTGCTGTTTTTGCCCCAATAAAGCTGCTATTTCTGTTATGCCGGAGTGACTGAACCGTTAAAACACCTGTTGTTTAAACACCTTTTTTGTAGATGTTTATTGCTTAGAGGTGAAAATTACTATAGTTAACACTTTCAGGACTAATTTTATGCAAATCCAGTGCAGGTTTTAACCCTTAAGGGGTCACCTTCCAGTAGGTCATGAAGATATTTTTGTATTTATGAAATATTGAGACGGTCTGTTTTGCAGTTTCATTTAAATTCCCTACACAATCAGCAAATATCACAGGACAAATTTGGGACAACTTTGTCTTATAGGCAATGTCAAGGCTGAGAGAACTAGACGCTGGAAGCTCAGTCTTTCGTCAAGTTTGATAGTTTTCTAGCAGTTGTGCCTAGAGGTGGAATCTGTTTCTGTATTGAGAGAGATCATCTATGGAGACTATTCTATTGACCTGCTTTGTACTTTTGGACACAGTTACAGTGATGCTCCATGTAGATTATTTAAAGACTGAACGCAGAAGAAAATGGAGGCACCCATAGCGGAGAGCTACGGTTAAGTATGTGGTCCTTTAGCTTCATTGAGGCTGCCGCACATCAAGCAGGTATGTTACCTTAGGACAAGGGTGCCCAAAAGGTAGATTCCCAGATGTTGTAGAACTACAACTTCAATGATGCTTTGCATGCCTCTAGAATGCTTTCAAAATGACAACGTATTGTGAAATTTGTAGTTCTAAACCATCTAGAGATCAACCTTTTGGGCACCCCTGCTTTAGGAGGTCTTTGCAAAATATATGTAGTGAAAATACAGAAGTATCTTGGAAGGAATAGTTTCCAAATGATAACATCAACCTTGAAAACCAGCTATACCAGAGGACGACAATCCAATCTGCAACCCAGAAACGACTAGTTTGTCTAAAGAAATATAATTTCCGTAGGTCTCTCCCATACGGTGCTTACTTGGGAAAGTAAGGCCTGCAGGTTCAGCAAAAAGATCATGGTCTAGAACAGGGGTTCGCAATCATCGGCATTCCAGATGTTGTGGATTACATCTCCCCTGATGCCTTGCCAGCACTATGGGAGATGAAGTTATAAACATCTGGAATGCCGAAGGTTGCCTACCCAACGTTTAGAAGGAAACTTTGGTAACTGTCTTAATAGTTACACTCAGAGGTACTTTAAATTCACGGGTGACCCTTCTCATTAAACAACTCAGGCACTAACATACATACATGATTAAAAAAGGATTTACAACTTGTAGTTAATTGGGAACAAAACACTGGCCTCACTTGTGGGTTCTCAAAAACTACTTGGATCTTTTTAACCCCTTAAGGACACATGACATGTGTGACATGTCATGATTCCCTTTTTTTCCAGAAGTTTGGTCCTTAAGGGGTTAAATAACAGAGCCTAGGTAACTACTTTGAGGGCAACCATATTATTAAAAATATCACTTGAATAGAAATGAAAGAAATTTAAATATTTAAGTAGGGGAGCTGAAAGAGAGTCTGCCTTACTAAAATATTTTAGGCGACTCACTACAACATGGACAAGCACACTAAAGAGACATTACGTAAAATTGCTTACAAATCATGTTTGCTCAGATCTCTATACATTTATATTGTGCAATGGAAAAGCCATTAACACCCTGAATGCATTGTTCTCGAGCAAACAACATATGTCTAATACGCAGCATTATTTATTGTGAACAAGGTATAGTTGACAGCACAAAGGCAGTACGTAAAGGAAAAGCAAATATAACCTACTCTAACCCAAATTTACTCTGTATAAAACTTTTACTAAGTTTGGACAGAGCATGAAGCAAGTTTAAAAGTACCCAAAATAGTTATTAGTTATTAAACACAAATTATTTTCAGTCAGAAACTAAGGCCTCAATTTAATATTGCTGAATAAGCTTTTCGAATGATTTCATATTTTTGGATAAACTTTTAAAATGATTTTTTGGTCAACCCATTAAAAAAAAAGAAAGTTTAATAAAAAAAAAAATATATATATATATAAAAAAAAATAATCGCAAAATGTGAATATCTAGTCAGTCATTCTAAATGTCTATCCAAAAATATTAACTCAATTGGAAAGCTTGCAAACGATATGAAACCAAGGCCTAAGTGACAAAGAAAATAACTAAGTTACCAGTTAGTTAAAATTGTCTGGATTCCAAAGTGAATTTAACCCCTTAAGGACACATGACATGTGTGACATGTCATGATTCCCTTTTATTCCAGAAGTTTGGTCATTAAGGGGTTAAAGCCAACATAGAACTTCTCCAAAGCAGCGATGCTACCAATTTGGCTAATCTGGCCTTTAATTTGAAATTTGCTTCGGATTACCAACAATTCTCACTTTTGTGAATAATAAATTGATTATTGACTTCGTATAGGTCTTTTTTTTTTTTTTTTTTTTAATAGAATAGTGAGAGATACTCTCCTTACCTGTCATTTTTGTGATTTGTCCCAATTAAAGGTAGTATCTGCAACTTTTGTACCTACAATGATAAAATCACAAGCAGTTAACAATGCGTGTTTTTTAGATTCTATTTATTAAGTCAATGCTACTCCTACTCACTACCAGTAAGGAAGTAAGCGTGCAGACTCACATAACAGTAACTGATCCTAGGAACTTTGGATTTACACAATCAGCATCTATTCAGCTGAATTAGCTCATGATGTGCCTAGGATGCGCCGGATCCCTGCAGCCCTACACACAGCTGGGATCAGACAGCCATGCCACCTCACTGACAGCAACTGGTGGGCTATGAACTACACTACTGTGTGGGGGAAAAGTAAATAACATAAAATACCAGGAAAAAAAGAAAGAAAAAAAAAACAGTTTGTGAAAATGGGTGAAACCATTGCTGGCTGACATTGACTAAATGGAAAAAGTGCAGAGGATGTTGCTGCTTATGAATGTAGAGGGAGGTTACAGTTACTGCATGTAAATGATTAGAAGTGGTTAGAATGCAAGTGGAACGTTGCTGATACTATAATGTGAAACATTCTATGTAGATCTGTATTGGAATGATTCTAGTGGACTCTCACAGCTGCTCTGATACAATACAGAACAAGACTAGTCACATAAATTGATCAGATGGCAGTATCCAGTGATCAATAAAATCAAACTATGCCTAAACAAGGACCCATATCATCTGATGGCACACTAAATACTGAGATGCCATATACACACTATGTATACAAGGCTGCTGTTAGCTATTACTGGCGCTATTAAACAATGCATTCATTGCAATATGCCTCGCTCACCACTCACTCCAGCGCAGCAAGTCGGCTCCCCCGCCCTCCGCGCAGTGCATGGTGGGAAGGAACCGCTGGGAGAAAGCTACACAGATCGGGGCCGCTGAACTACAACTCCCGGCATGCCGCGCGGTCCAGACATGTGACCTGCTTTGGTTTGAGAAAAAAAAATTGGGTTTAAAATCTGTTTTGTTTGTTTTTTGTGTGTGTCATGTGATGCATTCATGACACCATTAAAGGGAGATTTATTTATAAGAAAAAAAGATAGATCTTAAAGAGGGTCTTTTAGTGGGGGGTTGGGAAATCTGCTTTAATCAATTAAAATTAGCAAAAGTGCGCTTACTTAAAAATTAAAAAAAAAAATTGTCATGTCCTCAGTTTTAGCGCAACTTAATAGTTATCTGAAATTTAGCTATAGGTTGCGCTTTTAAAAAAAAAAAAATTTTCTAAATTTTCTCTAGTTTAGTTCTATTTTAAGTTTTATATTTAAGTGTGTAAATGGATTAACTGTTGAGGTGCAATGCACATGCATGCATACAGCACTGCAAGGGAATCCTTTAGATCAGTGGTAGTCAACCTTTTTCTACCTACCGCCCACTAATGCATCTTTTTGGTTGAAAAAATTTCCTTACCGCCAACCAGTTTTCGCGCAAGTGCAGAATATTTTTTCGAAAGGAGGGTGTTTTAAAAAAATAAATGTACGTACATTTATCTTTTTATTTCTACTTAATGCATGTTTATAATGTTTTTAACTTTATAAAGTTTAATGAGAAAACAATAAAGTAAATTGAAATTACCTTTACTAGTGATTAATGAGTTCCTTGTGGTTGATGCTGCAAGACTAAATATTTGATATCTGGTTCGATTTTCGTAAGGAACAAACAAAGGTCTCCTCTTTCGGTGATATTTAGACGACTTCTCTGTTTGCGCATAATATGATTTCTCATCTGTGCGTCAGCTCCCCTCCTCTCCCTCCTCAATTCCCCTCTCCACCTTTTTCCCCCCCTTTTTTAATTTTTTTTTTAACCTTCCTTATAGCAATGCTCAGTAGGAAGGCTGAGCTAGGTATCCCACTTACTATTACTTACTATAGCCCACTATAACAGACAGGCACACATACATACATACACACATAGACACACACACAAGACACACATACATACAGACAGACAGGCACACACATACATACAGACACACAGACAGGCACACATACAGACACACACACACACACACACACGACACATACATACAAACAGACAGGCACACATACATACAGACACACACACAGACATGCATACAGACACACACATACAAAGACACACACATAAGACATACATACAAAGACACACACACACATACAGACAGACACAAGACACACATACATACAAAGACACATACACACACACAACACACATACAAAGACAAGACATACATACACACATATATACAGACAGACACACATACAGACACACACACACACGACACATACATACAAACAGACAGGCACACATACATACAGACACACACACAGACATGCATACAGACACACACATACAAAGACACACACATAAGACATACATACAAAGACACACACACACATACAGACAGACACAAGACACACATACATACAAAGACACATACACACACAAGACACATACAAAGACACACACATACATACAAAGACACATACATAAGACACACATATATACACAGGCCCGGACTGGCCATCGGGCACACCGGGCAAATGCCCGGTGGGCCGTGGTGGCCATGGGCCGAGGCCGGCAGGGGAGGTCTCAGGATCTCCCCTGCCGGTCTATGCAGGGCTGGCACTCTCCTAGCGCCGGCCCTGCTGTTTGCCACGAGGGGCCAGTGGGGAGATCAAAGCTCTCCCTCACCGGCCCAAATGCGGCTGCCGGCGGGGAGAGAGGGAGGGAGACAGCCGTCAGGAGAGGAGGACCCGGCGGAGTTCTAACTTGAAGCTCCGCTGGGTTCCTCTCGCGAGATCCGGCGCGTTGCCATGGCAACGACCGGATCTCGCGAGAGTGAACTCTAGCCCCACAGGCTAGAGTTCACTCACCCACGAGGACCACCAGGTAACATCGCCACCCCGCCTCCCAGTCCCAGCGTGCCGGACCCCCCACCCCAGGCTAAAGGCTAAGAAGGGATGGGGGGGGAATTTAATGCATGTTTTTTGTTTTTATTTATCCCCCCCCTACACACACACACAATCCATTCTAACATTTATAAAGCACTCTCACACCCATCACACACAGCACTCTCTCACACACAGCACTCTCACACCCATCACACACAGCACTCTCACACACAGCACTCTCTCACACACGGCACTCTCACACACACGGCACTCTCACACACACATACTGCACCCCTCACACACACACAGAACCCCCCCCCAACCCACTGCACCACACACATATACAATACTTCCAAATATATATATATATATACATATATATATATATATATATATACACACACACACACACACTACACTCTTAACATACACACTCTGGATCCCCTATACACACACTAGATTCCTTGTAAGCAAACACATACTACACCCCTATATACACACACACACACACACACTATAGCCTGTATGCACACACTTGCTATATCCCCAATACACACATTCTCTACAGCCCATAGCCACATATGCATCACATTACACCACTTTACACCACAAACACAACATGACTAAAACCAACCTTATTACACAATTTATAGAGACACCAGAGACAAGCTGCAAGGAAACACAGTGCAAGCATGTTATTAAATTTGCTTGCACTGTGCAGAACAAATACAGAGCTTTCTTCTCATGCTAGAGCTCTTCAGCAGAGCTCTGCGCATGGTCTGCCCTGGAAGAGCATTGAACCAACATGCTCACTTTGAGAGGAGGCGTGTTTGTCATTGGTGATGACAAAACACACCTCCTCTGCCCCGCCCCCTTCTTAGTGGGCCGCTGTGTTAAAAAAATGCCCGGGCCGAATTTTTCTCACAGTCCGGCCCTGTATATACACACACATACATACAGACAGAAACACACAAGACATACATACAAAGACACATACACAAACAAACACACAAAATAGTTTAGTCACCCTCCTGTTTCCTACCTTTTAGGTGCAGGAGGGTGACTTTCCCTGGGGTCCAGTGGTGGCTTAGGTGGATGGGAGTTCCCACTCTGACTCCTTCCAACTTCCTCCCGCACGGTCTGTGTGTTAGCTGGGAGGAGTGACGTGCAGTCACTTCCTCCCAGCTCTGTGATGTAATCACAGGGGGCCCGGTTGCACTGTTAAAGCGCCCAGCGCTGACCGGGCCCCTCACCATCCACATCCATCGGGTGGCCCTGACAGCATGGGCCACCCGATGAACCCCTCCATATGCGGTCCCGGCGGTTTGCCACGCGGGCTGGGGCCGCAAGTGGTAATGGCGGTACCCAGTCGCAGGGGTACCGCCGGCTCGCACCCGTCCACCCAATCTCTCAAAATTAGAAAATCCCTACCGCCCCTGGAATCCTGAAACGCCCACTAGTGGGCGGTAGGGACCAGGTTGACGACCCATGCTTTAGATTGTAAGCTCACGGGCTATCTACCTATGCACTTTGTATAAAAGAGCTTAAATGGCTAGATTTCATCTTACGGGCAGGGTCCTCTCTATGTTTTGTATTTGTTTGTGCATATTGTATGTTCTCCACTAATTGTACAGCGCTGCGGAATCTGTTGGCGCTTTATAAATACCAGTAATAAATAAATAAAAATAAATACGTCAACCAACAGCATTTCTTAAGTAAATGCTGACTGTGCATGTCTAAGGTATTCATAGTTGTCAAATGTAAATGTAAGTAGGGTTGCCACCTTTTTTGGAAAAAAATATATAAGCCATGCTAATTTGCATAATTAATTATATATGTGTGACATCACAGGATACTATGTCACCTGATGTTACGTAGCGTCTCAGAGAGTTACATAAGATAAAAAAAAAATTGACTAAATCACTAATAAACTACTTGTGTGTACTTTGTCTGACCGTGTGTGTAGCATTGTTTATATGTAGAAGTGTGTGTGTATACGTCTCAATGAGTGTGTCTAAATGCGTGTATAACAGTGTGTGCATACTGTTGTCTGAGTGTGTGTGTCAGTGCCTTTATACTGTGACTGTGTGTGTGGGAATGTGTGTCTACTACTCTGTGTGCTTTTGTTTGTATAAAATGTGTGTCGATAAATTTATTCTATTTCTTTGCCTTCAATGGGGAAGAAGATGGTCTGGTTTGATGAATCACGTTTTCTTTTAGACCAAGTGGATTGCCAGGTGTGTTTATCTGGTCAAAAGATGGCTGCAGGAAGCACTAAGTAGGCGGGCCGGTTGAGGCAGTGTTATGCTCTGTGCAATGATCTTCTAGGAAACCTTGGGTCCTGGAATTCACATGGATGTTCACATACCACCTACCTAGAGATTGTTGAAGACCACGTACACCCTCCCATGCTTAACATTTTGAGTGTGTTGGGGAGGCTGCTTTTTGTGTTTTGAGTGTGTGGAGGCAGCTTGTTAGGTTGTGTGTGGAGGTGTTGTTTGTGGTGTAGCATGTGTGTATGTGTTGAGGGGCTGTATGTGGTGTAGTGTATATGAAGGCTGTTTATGGTGTTAAGTTCTTGTGTGGAGGCATGTGGATGAAGGCTTCTTATGTCATTGCTTGTGGTGAGAGTTTGGTTATGGAATTCTGTGTGACAGAGCTCCCCTACTCCGACAGAATAGCTCTGCCTAGTCCTCTTCCTAGCTCTTATCAGGGAACCTGGAACCAGATTGCAGCCCTTTCTTCCCAGGCAGGTATCATCCCCTCTGCAGCTCCTCTCCCAGGTAGGTGTCCACACCTCTGCCTTGTATGTACGTAGTGGGGAATCACGATGCAGCCTAGAACAAAAACTAACCCCATTCAACCCAATAACGACAGACCACTTAGTATGGATGAAACAGGCCACAGCATTTATTATCACAAACTAAATTACTGCTTAACACATCCATAACTTTATTTATTAAATCTCTTCTTTTTCTGTAACCACAAACGTTAGATTTAAATAAGCATATATTAACATATATAACTCCACACATAGTGTTATACAGTGACCCAACTGTCCTTGCCAATAAACATACAGTGGTTCCTAATCACCACTTCCTCTCACCTCCCCTCTCGTCATAAAAATCATATCTTTCCAATGCCCGCCATCAGCAGACCTTATCCACGCTCGATCGGCACGACACCTCAGGCAACCTAATGTTAACCATTTGAAGCAGGGGAGGTTGAGACCTTAAAAACTTGTTCATCTCATTCCATATACTTGAACGTAACCCCTTCAAACTCTGAGACAAACCCCAGGCTAGCTGTGACTAAATATACTAATAGGACAGGCGGCAGGGAAGATGTTTGCTGGCCCGAATTCCAAGTGGCACTGAGGTAAGACCTCCCCCACACTAATTTACACAGAACATAATCCTACCCACACACTCCTTCCCAACTAATCCCATGCATCTATCCCCACACCCCTACATGTGCCCTTGTCTGCTTAGCTGCGCTATCTCCCCAGGGCCTCAACTGTGATCAGCTACTTCCTTTAAAAAGACACTTGTGGCTTTCAGGCCTAACTCTTTTTGACTTGTCCAGGGACTAAGCAGCCAACCAACAGGTTCATAGACACAAAGTTCCAAAAGGAACTAACATACGATACTGGATTTTGAACTAGATCTAGCCTTTGCCGACTTGTTCTTAAACATACAGTGAAAAGCATATAAAATACAAATATACAGAACATTGGAGAACAAGCAATTATAATAATAATACATGAACTATATAACACAAGTAAAATTTTCAAAAACAATACAAAGCAACAATATATGCATTTAACAACTTCTTTGGCTTCCCTAATTTCCATACCAGCAATATGTAAATATAGGCATTTTTATTCAGTCAGTAGAGGGCGCTTTTCTAAGAGCTCCATATTGTTGGTGTATCTGAGTGTAAACCAGAGCCCCACAGCAAAAATACTCACAGTTATGTGCCTGTAAACTACAATAAATGTGTTTAAATAAGATCCATTGTTCTTGTTCTAAATGACATTTTAGTGTTATAAATCATTAGTAATTTGCATAAATCTTCTCAGAACAGCCACACCCCTTGCCACTCCCACTCACACCCCTAAAATGAAAGTTTCCCTCTTCATCACTTTCAAATGTTGGGAGGTGTGCTTTCTACAGGGAGGGGGCATAATCCATGGTGGTCCAGTGATGGTACGATCCTTGAGGTCCATATAAACGATCTTCCATTTTGCAGTTCAGTGCTCAATGAGTGTCGGAACCTTGAGGGAGCAGTGCTTCCTGTGGTAATTTGTTATTTAGTATATTGCTAAATTAGCATTGTACTAAATAATGGTTCTGCTATAGGTGGCTAAATAGCGACTGATGTGGCCCAAGTAGTTCCACTATTGCTCTACTCCACTCTGACATGTTTTCTTCAGTCTTGTGTTCCTTTGCCTCTGTCTCAGATTATAAACTCAGTTGAAGGGTCACCTATGCCAAGATTACTTACTTGTTAAACAACCCAACTGCAAAAAACGTTGGCACTATTTAAATGCTAATAATATTAATATGTTAGGAAAGCTGAGTCTGAGACACATACATGGTTTGGATGAAGCATGTGTACATTAGTGTAGCAGTGAAGACTAGTGGGTGATGCCACTGATTTAAACATGCCCAGAAATGATCATCTTTGGTCATTTGTTAAAGGTGCCATTTATATCTTCTTGTTTAACAGTTTTAGTAAAATTACACTGGGTTACCAACTAAAGTAGAGCGCTCACTATTTTTTTTTAATGTCATTAACTATGATAGTAGTTGTATGGGCGTTAGTGGGTAATACTAGGATATAAATCTCTTTGTAAGACTTTGTAGGTAATGCCCAAACGTTAAAATATCCTAAATTAACTGGACCATTTGTAGCAACATTCCTTTTCTAGACACTTTTGTTCTGTTATATCATTCATCTTCAAATGAAGAGTGCTGTAGTGGTTATAGTGCCATGCGCATCCCCCAGTTGTATATAGTCAAATGATGTTAGAATGGCTTTACTTTCCAATATCAACCGGTCTCCACTACATCCAACAGAGAACTAGAAGCTTTCTGTCTGAGCTAAGTGTGGCAATGGTGATGATAACCCCCCTTCCTGCTAGACCTGTGTGATTAAAAAATTCCCGGGCCGAATATTTTTCTCAGTCTGGCCCTGCCAGTGGGTGTGTGGAGGCATGGGGAGTTTTGAAATTGGGGGCCCAAAGCCCATGCACAAACCTTTACAGCAAGCATGTCAAACTCTCGGCCCATGGGCCGCATGCGGCCCACAAGGATCATCTTTGCGGCCCGAGTACATGCTGGGGTTATAGCAGAGTAGGCACCTGCTTTCCCCACATTGCAGGTGCCTACTCTTCTAAAACCTACCCAGCCGAGGAGGAAAGGATGGTGAATGCAGCGAGGGAGCTCAGTGTTCCTGCTCCTCACTGCCCCCTCGCGCGCGCCGTCTGTAGTGAAGCTGGGCGCCAGAATATGACATCATATTCCGGCACCCGGCATTCACTAAACTGCGCGCAGGAGGGAGCAGTGAGGAGCAGATAAAGATATTCTCAGGGAGATGCCCCACATTGGCTCCAAAAGCTAGGGCGCAATAAACAAAAGTATGTGTGTGCAAGAATGTGTGTGTGTGTGTCTGTCAGTGAGTGTCTGTGTGTCAGTAAGTGTGTGCATGTGTGTCTCTCAGTGTGTCTGTCGGTCAGTGAGTATGTGTGTGTGTGTCTGTCAGTGAGTATGTGTGTGTGTCTGTCAGTGTTTGTATGTATGTGTCTGTCAGTGAGTATGTGTGTGTCTGTCAGTGAGTATGTGTGTGTGTCTGTCAGTGAATGTGTGTGTCAGTAAGTGTGTGTGTGTCTGTCAGTGAGTATGTGTGTGTCTGTCAGTGTGTCTGTATGTGTGTGTGTCTGTCAGTGAGTATGTGTGTGTCTGTCAGTGTGTGTGTGTGTGTGTCTGTCAGTGAATATGTGTGTGTGTCAGCGGGAGGATCAGATTTGGCACAGGGTGGTAGAGGGGGGTGCTGTGGTTTAGTAGAGGGGGATGCGTTTTTTTTTTATACTGTACTTTTTAAAATAAATCTACGTTTCTATGAAAATTTAAGGTATTTTTTTTTTGCGGCCCACATAAACTTAAACCTTCTTTATGTGGCCCGTGCCAGACTTTGAGTTTGACATGCTTGCCTTACAGTGCTGGACAAGCAACAGGTACTCACAGTCTCACTGCTGCAGAAATCTTTTAACAGGCATCCTACTGTACCGCCAATTGCCTTCAGTCAGCAGGAGAATGACATGGGGCTGTAGCCCGTGATAGTGGCCTGGGGAACAATTGCCTCCTTGTTAAGAACAAGAATAATGTATCTTATTGACACAGACTGATTTTTAAGCACATTTATTATAGTTTCAAGACATATTACTGTTAATATTATTGCTGTGGAGCTCTGTTATACACTTAGACACACCAACAACATGGAGCTCTTAGAAAAGAGGGACAGAGGGATCCTGGCCCAAATGGGACTGGCTATCCTAAATAGCAACACATTTTACAGGTATGACACTCTGAATTCCAGCAAATCACATATTAATCTGAGCTTAATGATTGAACGTTTATTAAGCTCACAGATTTATGATTAAGCCTGTTTAGAGAAACATCTAACAATGACTGCTGTTCCTGTTTTTTTTATGTGTGGTTATAAGCATGTGATACACATTTTGGAATTTCTATTTATTATATTCAAAAAATGGGTAGTGCAGTAAAAAGTACCGTTTTCAATTTATGGTAAGATTAAAATAACTTTTTTACACATGCTTGTGTAGGTAACTGAAAGTTCACTCTCCATAAATTACTTTTTCCTTGGTATCAGCGGCAGTACAGTAGGGATATTGAAATGCATTGGGCAAGTAGCCTAATGAAAAACAAACTTTTATCTCACCCTCTTAGCAGCCGTAAATACCAGAATTAACCGAACCTCTATTTTTATATTAAAGAATACACCACAACAAAATTATGCCAAAGTAGCAAAAGAAGGGAAGGGGATATATGTTTGAGCGCTAACATTAAGGAGAAAAATAATTTACGGTAAGCAAAATATCTGTTTTTCCCGGCGTACAGTGGAAGCCCAGTAGGAAAATAGCAAGAGACTCCTTTGAAGGGTGGGAACTTAAGTCATGGCTGCTTGCAACACCTTGTACCCAAAAGTAGCTTCAGCAGAGGCAGAGATGTCTAGCATGTGGTGCATAATAAATGTATTAAATGAGGATCACGTAGCAGCTTTGTAAATTTCTTTTGATGAGGAATGACTTTCTCTGCCCAAGACGTGGCCATAGTCCTGGTAGAATGAGCTTTGATCTTTAGTAGGAAGAACAGATCTCTGTACAGAATAGGACAGCTGAATAGCTTCTGTAATCCATCCAGCAATAGAGGACTTAGAAGCCTATCGGCCTTTAGACTTTCCCTGGATATTGATGGAAAGACCACCTGTTTTTCTCCACTCTTAGTGCTTTGCACTAAGAGTGCCCAGGAGGAAGCACTTGATCCCTTATTGTCGGGCACTGAGAGTCGTCAGTCTGCTCCTTGTCATGGGGGAACCTAGGCAGCAGTGGGAAGCACAGCTCCTTGTTTCCTCCATTATAAGGAGGGAGTTGAGAGCCGGTAGCTCCCCACTTGTAACCGGCCTTTACAAGCAAAAAAACTGATTGCATGGACAAAATTAAATTCCAGCAAACAATGTTCTTCATATCATTCTTCATTTGTACTCGTTCAATTGTCTTTCAGACAAATGGACGTATTGTCAAAAATTCGGACTAAATCTTTATAGTCCAAAAACAAATGCCCAAGTCTAAATTTGCATACTTTTTTCCTGCATCCATCAGGAAGTGGCGTAGCACTCACAGCACAAACTGCCCTATCTAGTGCCTGGATAGAAATGTAAGACCATGGCAGGTAATCATCAAGGACAAGAGTGATATTCCAACATGTCATAAGTCAACCTCTGCTCAAACAACTGAAAGATCGCACCGCTGTACTGCTCTTGGCTTCCAAATGCATATTCACATAAACACATGACAACGGATTGGATAAAACGGGGAAAATACACACAATTGCTCAAAGAACACAACAAATGATTTTTCTTAAACACTTGCGTTTTATTAAATTAGAACCTCAAATGATCCTATGATGAATATTAATTACATACACATGAAGCAGTAACTAAAATATCAAAACAGTAAAGCATAATAGGACATTCTAATACATCTATTATTCATTCCCAAGTTGTAAACATTCGTATACACCTTTGTAAGACACAAATCTATTTTTATTTTTAATTTTTTTTTACAAGATTTCACTTATTTTTCTTACAAAAATATACATAATCCGTAACGATAAGGGACATTCGGAGACAGTAAATACAGTCATTACTTTTCACCTTCATGTTTATTTGGCTTTTGGCAGATAATTGTAATTGGAACGGATACAATCCATAGGTCCCTTCTGTCTACCAGTGTCTTGGTCAGCCTGTGGTTGGTCTACGATATATGATTATGAATATAAAATATTTGTTTAATAAGATTTTACTTACAGCTCACAAACCTATGTCTGCAAGAGGAAAATACAAGGCAGAGGCAGAGCTATCATATGTGCAGTGTGCATAGGCCCAGTGATAAAGAGAATTCTACTGCTGGAGGGAGCATACATATATATATATTTCTCATGTTTCCTTCCCGTCCTCCTTACCACCACATACTAGATCTCTGTACAGAGAAAAGACTTGGGATGTGGCTGAGCCAAACGCCGGCTTGGCCAACCAGCATCTAGTCATAGAGATGGATTGAATGGAGATGATGAACGGTAGAGGAATCACCTCTATTAGCCATCGTAGGAGTGGTGACTAGAGGTGTCCCTAGGCTGTAATATAAACACTACCTGTTCTCTGAAAAGACAGTGTTTACAGCAAAAGGCCTGCAGGACAGGCTATACTCACCAGAATAAGTACATTAAGCTGTAGTTGTTCTGGTGACTATAGTGTCCTTTTAAACACTGGAGGTAGGGGATAGGTTAAGGAATATTATATTTGAGCATATTCTGCTATTGATGCAGCCTTTACACTAAAAGCCACTAACTTTCTATTTTAGCGTTAGTCCGTTCTGTAACAAAGACTCAATATCCCAACAGTCCCTTCTATCTGTATTTTCACGTGATGCAATATATAAATAAATTCAAGCCTTTAGTGAAGCATGTTAAATATTACATTCAATTTTTCATTCCCATCAAACCACCAGCATTTATTGACAGGTAAAAAGAAGATGCAGTATCGTTGGACATTCACAAGAATAAAACTATGCAATAAAAATATATATTTTTGTTTTGCTTCTGAATACACAGTGCTAGGGTTTTTGGTATTAAGTGCATGCCCAAAAAAGGGACGATCTCCCCAATTACCCATCTTCACTTAAAGTGAAAACACGATTTTAATACTCTGATACGGTTTTCAAACCTGCACAAAAACATACACCTCTACTGCAATGCTAACCTAACCCTTACACTGTCTTGGATGCGAAGAAAGGAACAGAATTGATTTAATTGCAAAAATAACAGCATACTGAACAAACAATATGCAAGAATAGAGTTTGCAGTCATCAATATGTATAAAGTATATAAACAGAGGATGTATTCAGAAGAATATGTATAGTTTGGTTGTTTATACAGAATATCGAACAGACATTTTAAACAATTTTGATCTACTTACACAAATGCTCCGATAATCATCTTACTTTTCATCCTCTGGTTTGAGACCTTGGCAATGTCAACTTGTAGGTTGTTCGGAACAAACAGTAGTGTATTATGGGTAAAGAGCCCCCGTGAAGCATCAGATGCTCCTCGTAGAGTTTCTCTTCTTACATACAAAGCAAACAGGGTATTGTACATTCACGAATGGTCAATACTTCAAGTGTTTTAGAGATGACACTACTGAATCAATATAAATGGCAACTCTGACTAACGATTCCATTTGAAGCTTTAATGTGAGCATACGCAAGTGGTCATTCTTGTGGATAAAATGTATCCATATTAAAAGAAGTTGCAGACAATATTTCCGATGTGCAAAGTCAATACCTCTTTCCAACCAATCCCTTCTTTGCATCTTTCCGAAGAGCAAATAGATAATTAATGGGATATGTCCACGGCATACACCAATGATCTGAAATATGAGAGAGCATTTAGGAAACAAATCCTCAGCACATTCTTCCTTATGTCCCGGCCTCTTCTCCAGTGGTTGATGCTCGAAGGGGAAAGGAGAGATTTACAAAAAAAAACAAAGAAAAAAACCCCCAAGAACATCACAATTCATTTTGACGAGCTCCAGGCTCCTTTAACTTTCTCTGAGGTCAGTATATTGAAGTTCACAACTGAATACCTCCTTATACAGAGGGGGGAAAGTGTCAACTATGTGAGGATGAAGGAGACGGAAAAATTCAAGCTTGTCCAAGTGTAGATTGCAGATCGTTTTCATCTGGGGGAGTTTGGAGACCATCTGACAATGAGAAATCAGGCAAAGAGAGTTTACATTTGTCTGGACAGCAGATCGGTCAACACATTGATGGAGATGTATCAAAGTATCACAGAATGTTTTTGTGAAAGATCGATTCCCATTTTATTACTTTATTTTTTTCCATAGTTTTAAAAAAAAATTATTTTGTGTGACTTTTGTATAAATATTACATTTAATTTTCCATTCCCATCAAACCACCAGCATTTATTGACCGGTAAAAAGAAGATGCAGTATCGTTGGACATTCACAAGAATAAAACTATGCAATAAAAATTATATATTTTTGTTTTGCTTCAGAATACACAGTGCTAGGGTTTTTGGTATTAAGTGCATGCCCCCAAAAAAGGGGCTATCTCCCCAATTACCCATCTTCACTTAAAGTGAAAACACGATTTTAATGTAGAGCACATTCCTTTTATTATTATTACAACTTATTTTGTGACCCCCAAAATTATATTTTCTATAACCTTTTATTTAAGATAGAAAGGAGCTGAAATGTTGGTATTCTTAGTTAGATGTACGTAAGTGGTGAGGGTACAAAAGCTGTCTGAATATACAAAGAATGATGACGACACTTATTTTGAGACTGCTTTTAAAGCACTTTAATAAATTAGAACATATTTTACAATCCCCCCCGCAATAATACACTTTTTTAGAACCATTTGACAAATCTCCCTCATTATTTATCGTAGTCAATTGATTTGGGAAGTTAAGGTTATCAATCTGTTATAACATAAGCCACGCTATTACTTCATACCTAGAGAACCAAATTTTTTTTTGTTTTGTTAGAATCTGTCATGAAAAATAAACCACACCTTGTGACATATGTCTTTTATATTTCATACATTTCAGCTCACTATATAGCTCAACAAATCTATCAAAATTAATGTTTATTTATTTATTTTTTTAAATTATTCGTTTTTTTAAAAAATTCTAAATGGTCACTACACCTTATAGCTTTTGTAATTCCTGAGGTATTAATTCAGTTTATTAAAGGGACACTATAGGCAACGTCAGCTAATTGAAGTGGTCTGGGTGTTTACTCCAAGGTCCCTTAACCCTGAAAAGGTAATTATTGCAGTTTTTAATAACTGCAATAAAATACCTTTAAGGATTAACTCCACCTCTAGTGGCTGTCTACCAGACAGCCACTAGGAGGACTACCGGGTCGTTAGGCGACTTTTGGTCGCCTGACACTGGAAGTCTTCACGCTATGCATGAGGACATCCAGCGTCACCCAAAACCCCATAGGAAAGCATTGTTTAATGTTTTCCCGAGGGACTGTTATAATGCGAGCGCGGCCATTGCTGGCTGACATTGGTAGGGGAGGAGCGAAGATGGACCCTGAGCTAGCGCCAAGGGACATCAGTGCTGGACTTAGGCAAGTGGCAGAAGGGGTGTTTAACCCCTTCTGCACCACGGGGAGGGGAGCACTATAGTTTCCCTTTAAAATGAAATCTAAGACATGGTTATAATATTTATCATTGCTATATATGCCCCTTTATGACATTTAAATACTACTGAAATGTTTTGGGGTATTTTTTGGCTTATGGTGGGCACATTGTTTTATATATATATATTTTTTTTTTTTTTTTCTTGCAGCACAGAAAGTTTCAAGCAAAAGTAACTCACTAGTTTTGTCATATACACAACACATATTACATATACAAAGATTGTCTTTGATTAAAACTTTAAATTGTGTTTGATTTCATTAAACATTCTTTTTATCATTAAAATAGTAATTGTTCCACATGTGATAACGATTTCAATGTTTAACATTTCCCTTTCTAGTACTCTATGGTATTCTTATTTTACAGTGTCTGATGATAAGGTAAAATGGGATCTTGCGTATTAAGAAACATACCTTGGATAAAAGATCCTCATTGCAATGTCTCTTCTGAATCTCCTTTTGCAATGCCAAAAATATTCTGTCTTGAAGCTTTTGCACTTTGCTGGATTCTGTTAGCCACCTGCGATCTAAGCAAGAGATGAAACTTATGCTTAGGTGCCAATAATGCTTATATTTCTATAAACGTAAATTGGGTCTATCCAGAAAAGTTTACTGCGGACTGATTTTATAACCAGTTTCATTAAACTCAGGTTTACAAACCAGATGTAAAACCTACTTAAAGTCAGCTAGGCACATGTTAGAGTTGGTGAATAAATATATTTGACTCTGATCATTGAGTTGGCACATGTAATTTTGCTGTCAAATGGTTAATATGCTAATAGATATATAGCAAACATTTCACTCTCCAACAGCCATTGGCTAGTGATAATCCCACCCTGGTGAGCAGACATTCATTCCTAGCAAGTATGTCTTGGACATACTTTAAATTTTAAGCCTTGCAGATAGCTATCTACAACACACCAACATCAAACTGCATTGTAAATTTAATCTTGTATGGATTTAAAAAAGCCTACTCTAAAAGGGGGTTTATAGGATAACTGACTTTTTTCAAGTAACATTTAAATAAAAAGTTAAAGAGCCACTATACTCACTAAAGCAACTTTAGCTTAATGAAGCAGTTTTAGTGTAAAGAACAGGCCCCTGCAGTTTAACTGCTAAATTCTCTGCCATTTAGGAGTTAAATCACTTTTTATTGTGTTTATGTAGCCCTAGCCACACCTCCTCTGACTGTGACTCACACAGCCTGCATTAAAAATTGTTTCATTTTTAATTACAGGTCAACTTGCTTTAGAAGTTTTTATCTCCTGCTCTGTAACTTGTACTTTAATCACACACAGGAGGTCTAGGTCTGCATGGTCTAGGAGGTCATTGACAGAGGAGGAGATAATAAATTCTAAATTAAACAGAATTTGCAATAAAGGATGTGCAAACATTAGATCTCACTTTACAGGAAGTGTTTAGGAAGGTTTTGTAAGTCACATGCAAAGAGGTGTGACTAGAGCAGTATAAACAAAGTGTTTTAACTCCTAAATGGCAGAGAATTGGGCAGTGAGACTGCAGGGGCAAATCTATACACCAAAACTGTTTCTTTAAAGTTGTTTTAATGATTATAGTGTTCCTTTAAGCATCTGGCATTCAAATTGTTCAGAAAAATAAAAAAACAAATGCAGTCAGGTCCACATAACATTTGCAGTGGACCAGGGGCAGGTCCAGATTCCATGAATTGTCATTGTGGCGTTCATGAGCCAGTGTGAAGAAGTTCATAGACACACTGCCTCTCCTTCCCCCCAGAATGCCCGTGGTAAAGGCTTGTTTTTTTGTTTTTTTTAAGAAGTCCCAGTTATTAGTACCTGGGGACATAAGAACTGCTGCACTGAATAGAGCAATTACTTCGTCTGACAGATCCAAGCGGCACAGTGTCCGACCCAGGTCAAAGATGGCGGCTACCAGATCATCACATCCTTAGGGAAAAAATAAAATATAATAATAATAAATAATAATTGGAGGGAAAAAAACACTAAAGGGATAACAAAATAGCAACAAAATATTTGATCAGTTCAATTCAAAACAAAATAAAACCTGAAAAATATGATCAATATTGCCAGATTTCATGCACAGCTAAACATATGGTTTATTAAACAATTTTTCTTTACATTTTTTTAAAAATTTTTATGCACTTCCTCTAACTTTCTTTCATTTGTTTAATTGATGCCATAGTAACAATGCCCAAATACGTTACTTACCAAGAGAGCGAAACATCTGGATTCCGCCAAATTTTCCTTCAAAAAAGACGGTGTTGTTTAAAGGATTAAATATTCGGGTCATCCTAATAAGCAGGACTTCCAGGCACCCTAATGCAGAGACACATAAAGAGCCAGAGGGGTGTGGAGAGGGGGGTGTTCCCAGCATCCCAGGAAAAAAAATAATAAACCAAACATTAAGGAAATGGGAAGGGGAATTTAAAGCTCAATACAATGAAATGAAAACAAAAAATCCCACCCAATTTAAAATGAAATGTTTAATTATAATCCCAAGAAATTAAGCTCTCACCCACAGACCGAATAAAAGAAATAAGATGTACGTGGCATATAGTATGTTAGGTAGGATGTAAGAATCAAGGACCACGATTTGGAATAGGATTCATATTCCGTTTTTTTAGGGGAGGGGTCGTAGATGGGTTTGATAGAAATAAAATAAAAAAAATTAAAAAAAGAAGGGGAAAAAGGAGGAAGCCAGATTTTAGAGTGATTGTCAAAAAACATGAAGAAACATTAGAAACCGAACATCTGAATTGCAGAATTATGTTTGATATGATTTCAGCTGAAATCAAAATGAAGATTTATAAACCCAGACTGCAAGATCCATTACATTTTGTGATTTCACACTGCAGTACTTTCTTCTCTATCAGAGAAGTGACCGGGACTGTTATTAAGCAGTAGCTGGGGCCAGCCGTGGTGTGCAGGGGTTACAAGTAACGGTCGGTGGTTCATGGGCCAATGGCAGCCAGTCGCTCCTCGTGATGCAGAGAGCGCAGGCTGCCGGGATCCAAGATGTCAGACCTTAAATATTGCTTGCCAACTTGTGGCAGAGGATTCCAAATACATTACTGCCATATCGCTGCACTCTTAGTAACTATTAAAACTGCACCACACAAAGGATAATGGGAAGATAGGTAAACTTTTAGGAGAAAAAGATAAAAACTTTATTATTAATTCCGTTTATTAAAGGGACACTATAGGCACCCAGACCACTTCAGCTCATTGAAGTGGTCTGGGTGCATATTCCCAGGTCCCTTAACCATGGAAAGGTAATTATTGCAGTTTTTAATTACTGCAATAATTACCTTTATGGGTTAACTCCACCTCTAGTGTCTGTCTACCAGACAGCCATTAGAAGGACTTCCGGGTCGTAAGGTCGACTTTATTAATAATAAAACTTTTAATAATACAACTTTATTAGTCTGTTGTTCCACTTGACTGTACACACTTAAAGTGACTGGCTGTCCACACTCTCAGCTGGTGTCCTAAGTGCTCAACAATATTCATCATCCCTTGTATTAATACATTTCACCCTGTGTTCTAGTGCTAGAATGCAGACGTTTGGCTTTACATCTGCTGCTCTACAATCTCCAATTCAAGGCCATTTTCATACCCATGATCTATTATAACAGAATATTTTCTCTCTTCTCATCTAATGCACTTTTATTCCATGGTAGGAGCTGTGCCGCCCTTCTCCACCGCCCTGGTATTTTAAGTTTATTTGTTGCATGTTCTTACCCGCTTTAAGCAGCACGATCTGGTCATTCTGGCAAAGTTCCATGAAACCATCCAGCCTTTTGGCGAACTCCACCACGTACTGGATAGCATTAGAGATGTGGATGGCACAGAGCTGCCACATCGTCTCACATGTCTAAGGAGAAAAAATAAGGTAGGTGTCTCTTATTACAACTAAAAAGTCACCAGAGCTGGTCAGGTAAAATAAATATCAGCATTACAAGTAATTTGCTTAACTTTGGGTCATCAGGGTTAAATCCTTTATTAGATGTGATTGATGGGATATATTTAAAAAAAATGTCCTCCTAAATTACCATTAAAATCATAAAAAGATGAAGAGTGTATGGTTATCGCACAGTGTATAGACAGGTGCATTCAATGCCTGCTGTTTTGTTGGAGAGTTTACTTTTGTCTAGTGGAGTTATTTTGTTAATGTTTAATATATCGAAAGTTACAGTTTTACCTTGTTCTGCAAACTGCGCACGTCCTCCTGTGAGTGAATGTTCCAGGTCATCCTGCTTAGCTCATCACTCGTGAACTGACAAGTATCTAGGTGAGAACGTATGATGTTCTGCGAGACATGTTCTGTAGACAAGAGACAACCAAAAAAATTTCTGAACCTGGAATAATTCAGTCAGATTTACTTCTCCCTAATTTCAGTTTGTCTACAATATTAAAAGTAAAGAATATTTCTTCTCCACAGTTTCACATCTGTTCCTCTTATTAATTCACCCTGTTTTTTTTTTGTTTCTTTCTTTTTTTTAAATTCATCTGTGCTTTTTTTAAATTCATTCATGCTTCCACTAAACCTGAAATAGCTATTCTGAAATGTTTGCTTGGTTCTCTCAGGAAATTAGTTGTGAAGTTTTCTTGGGCTTAACAGTACCACTCACAATTATGACTCTTATCTATAGATCTACAGCTGGGTTTTTAACTCCAGAACATCTTCATTTAAAGCTTTTAAAAAGAAGTCCTACAGGCTCATAAACATCTAATATTTGACCCACATAAACCTTACCTAAATACCTTCTACTGGGGATCATTCAGGATGCTGTGAAAATGCTAGGTGTTTTAAACATCTCTGTAGGTACCTACCTATGTCTGCAGGGCTGATGTCTAGCAACCGCTGATCTTCTCCGAGTTCATGAGGGCAGTTGCCAGGGAGGGGGTCTGTTGTAGCCCCATTACATGGGTCTGGAGAGGGCTGTGTTGAAAGTGGAAGCTCCAGGCTGTAGTAGGAGCTACCCCCATCTGGAGTGAGGGGGAATTCAAAGAGGAGGCCATCAGACAAACCACTGAGATCATCTAGGTCAGACAGACCACTGCTAACACTAGTAGGATAGCCCCGGGAGATGGTATCTGCCCCCTCACTGCCTAGCACTTGCTCCTGGCTCTGTTGGTGCTTCTGGACTTCAGCATACAAGATGTCCCTTTGCTTCTTAGACATTCGACCAAACTTCACCGCTGAGGAGAGAAAGAGATTTATAGCACATTGTATGCATAAGTATTAGTTTATGAAGTGCCAGTAAGTTTTTTCTGTTAACTCACTCTTAATTTATCTTGAGTCCTCAACAGAGCTAAGCCCAATACTTTTCTCTTTTCTACAACTTTCCTACCAATTTTATTACAGTCAGCTCTAAACCCATATCCTCTACATTATTTTATCACATTTTTCCTATCTCATCAACTTATCTGCTGTTAAATGTTTCCTGGTAGTTTAAGAAGAACAAATCCCAACATGAGCAAAAAAGCCGCTACAACCAATTCTCCACTGACTACACATACATTGATCAGCCACAACATTAAAACCACATGCCTAACATTGTGCTGCCAAAACAGCTCTGATAAATCGAGGCATCGACTCTAAAAGACCTCTGACATGTCCTGCCATATCGGGCACCAAGACATTGGTAGTAGATCATTTAAGTACTGCAAGCTGTGAGGTGGGGCCTCCATGGATCAGATTTGTGGTTACAGCATGTCCCACAGATGCTCAATTGGATTGAGATCTGGTGAATTTCGAGGCCAAGGCAACACCTTGAACTCTTTTTCATGTTCCTAAAATAATTCCTGAGAAAGTTTTACAGGGTTCATTATCCTGCTGAAAGAGGCCACTGCCATCAGTGTACACCATTACCATGAATGAATGTACATGATCTGCTCTAGGTAGGTGGTACGTGTAAAAGTAATATCCACATGAATGCCAGGACCCAAGGATTCCCAGCAAAACATTGCCCAGAGCAAAACACTGCCTCCATCGGCCTGCCTTCATCCCATAATGCATCCTGCTGCAATCTCTCATCAGGTAAATGATGCACACGGACACGGCAATCAACCTGATCTAAAAGAAAACATGATTCATCAGACCACGCAACCTCTTCCATTGCGCCATGGTCCAGTTCTGATGTTCACATCACCAATGAAGGCATTTTCGCAGTAAATGGGGATCATAATTGGCATGCTGACTAGTCTTCAGCTATGTAGCCCCATATGAAGCAAACTGCAATGAACGATTTTATCATGGCCAGCATTAAGTTTTTCAGCCATTTTAGCTACAGTAGCTCTTCTGTGTGATCGGACCAGAAGGGCTAGCCTTCACTCCCCACGTGCATCAATGAGCCTTTGACGTCCATGACCCTGATGCTGGTACACCGGTTGTGCTTCCTTGCACCACTTTTGGTAGGTACTAACCACTGCATACCAGACACACCCCACAAGACTTTCTGTTTTGGAGATGCTCTGACCCAGTCATCTAGCCATCACTATTTGGCCCTTGCTAAGAACACTTAGATCTTTTCGTTTTACCATTTTCCCTGCTTCCAACACATGAAATTCAAGAACTGACTGTTCACTTGCTGCCTAATATATCCAACTTCTTGACAGGTGCTATTGTAACAATATAATCAATGTTAAACACTTCACCTGGCAGTGGTTTAAATGCTGTGGCTGATTAGTGTATGTTAGCTTAAACATGGCTAGGCAACAGTAAAGCCTTTAATGGTGTGTCAATTCTGAGCCTGATAAAATGTAAGCATGAACACTAAGATTTCAAAAACATCTGCCTAAACATTTCGCATTAATAAGAATATGTCACTTGTTAGCCATTCTAATTGAAGGCATTTAGCTAGATATTGGGGAATTGTTCTGGAGATTTGCTTTCATTCGGCCACAAAATTATAGGCTGAGCAGTGATGCTGAGCATTTATGTATTGTGCTCAGTCAGCATTCAATTTCAACTTAAAGTGGTGAAATCAGAACAGTGCATGCCAGTCAATTTCTTTCTTCACACTAATTAACAAACCATTTCTGCCTCAACCTCACTTTTTGCATGGGGACACTGTCAAGCTCAATCATGATAAGGTCTTTGTCCTTTATTGACTGTCATTATTCTAGGATGAAGGGTCCCCTGTTGAGGCTGCAAAGTGCAAACAACGGGTTACATGAGTGTCAAAAATAGTTAATTAACTCATTACTCCAAACCACGGAGTTGCAACATTTTGGCCTAAAATGTACCTTTGTCAAAGCCAATACACCACTGTAAATGGTATTTAGATGTGAATTTATGTAATTTGTTATGACATGTAATTGGTTGCTCTTCACCAGTTGCCAAACTTCCTGTTCGGTGCACTTACAAAGGTTCAATGTGTTCACTGGTGCATTTAGCTTGACAGATAGCCCTCTGTGATTTGGATTAAAGTGTCTCAATGTTACTTAGCTATTTTTGAGTTCCTAAACCTTTCTTTTGTCATTTGTGATGTGGTGATGGCACTCTGATTTGATTGGCGACAGGTGAGGACTATTTAAGGGGACACTATAGTCACCAAAACAACTTCAGGTCAGTGAAGCAGTTTTGTTGTATATATCATGCTTCTGAAGTTTCACTGTTCATTTCAATGCCATTTAGGAGTTAAATCACTTTTGTTTCTATTTATGCATGCTTAGCCACACCTCCCCTGGCTGTGACTGAAACAGCCTGCATGAAACAAAAATTGATTAATTTTCAATCAGCTGTACCTTATCTCCTGCTCTGTAAATTTAACTTTAATTGCTTTCATGAGGCTCCTGCAGGGTATATCAAGCTATTAACAGAGCAGGAGATAAGAAATGCTAAGTTAAACAGAATTTGCAATAAAGGAAGTGCAAACTTTAGATGACTCTTTACAGGAAGTGTTTATGAAGACTGTGTAAGTCACATGCAGGGAGATGTGACTAGGGTTGCATAAACAAAGTAAATTATGTCCTAAATGGCAGAGAACTGAGCATAAAACCTACTTCATTAAGCAAAAGTTGATTTGGTGACTCTTGCGTCCCTTTAATTGGTACGCATCATAGTTCTGCTTTGCCTACACAGTTGTCAGTGTTTATTTTGCTCAAACATTTTTTATATATGTTACATTCATTCATGGAAATTGGCCAGGTAGAGTAAATTCTGAGGATTTCTGCAAGATAAGTACTTGTCAGGACAGAGGAGAATTTGAGAGCACACTGAATGCAGTATTACACACGGAGAGTGCATTGGAAATGAGAAGTGGGAACCCCACCACCCCCTCAACCCATTCAATTAGATGCACAGCTGGCAAGTGTAAATTAGTACTTACTCATAATTAACGTGGGTCATTCACAGAATGACAACGCTGTCATGTGCCATGTAAACACTTACTGGGTTATTCCATAAAGTGAGAATTCTTGGAAATTCTAAATTAATTTCAAATTTAAAGGAACACTATAGGCACCCAGAACACTTCATCTTAATGAAGTGGTCTGTGTGCTCTGTGTTCCCACCATTTTACCCTGCGGCTAAAAACATTGCTGTTGTACTGACAGCCATTAGAGTCGCTTCCACAAAATAATGGAGTATTTCTATGAGAAAGCAGGGGATTGGCTGAGATCATCGATGATTTCAGCCAAAAAGTCGGAGCGTCTTCTATGTGAGAGACAAAAGGTAAATAAACTACCTTTTTTAACCCTTGCAGCAGGGCCTGATGACTGGGGCACTATAGCGTTAGGAATATATATTAGTATTCCTAATGCTATAGTGTTCCTTTAAGGCCAAAACAGCCAGACTGGAAACCTAGCTGACATGGATCATTTTTTCAGTTTACCTTCTTTGGCTTTAAATCTGAAATTCACTTTGATTTCACAGCAATTCTCACTTTAGTGTATAAACCCTGTTTGTGTCTACAGCAATTCATATATATAATACACGTACGACAATGACTATGCCCAAGAGCTACCTGTGAGTAAGCGGGTACCCACCATCTCGGGACATGCCAAGTTCAAGGCACTTTTGAAGTCGGCAGTGCTGACAACGATTGCGGTTGGTCCGATCGATCAGACAGTTGCGCTGGCGAGAACAGGAGTAACTTGCGTTGTTTTGCTGGCTCCTCCGGAAAAAACCCTGAAAAATCAGCCAACGGTGATACATAAGGTCAGAAAACACAGAATACAGTGGGAGGGGGAGCAAAGAGTCAGATGTCAATGCTTAGTGTGTTGTGTTTTCTAAGGACTGAAGCCTGGTATTTGTTCTGTGAGAGTGAGACGTGAGTACTTAAATATGATCAGCAAAATATTTTTTTTAAATTCTTTTATTTAATGTTTTGCAAATTTTTAAACATGACATCAAATTACATAACATGAATAAAACTTTTTTTTAACAAACTTAGTAAGGATAACAGAAAAAAAGGGAAAAGTGAAAGTTATAGGGGGGAAATAATGTTAAGAATAAAATATTAATTATACACAAATCTGAGAATGATATCCCATCTGTGGATAATTAATTGTGGGGGAACAATTTTACGTTGGGAACGTTATGGTAGCTTGAATCTTTATTATAGATCAATGCAACAATATTTGCCATCTCTTCTCATATGAACCAGCAGGCCTTCAGAAACAGCATTGACATGGGAGTCAACCTTTAACTATACAGCATATTCTGTCCACAATTTTCTTTTGAAATATATTTTTTTAACACTGTACTACATTTTCGCAGTATTCCATTATTTACAAAATTACTACAACTTGACATCTTCAAGAGGTTGATGATATGGAATCGGCTGATGACCTACTCCATAACATATAAACAGGTTTTTCTTCTTCAGATACTTGTTTACTCAAAGACTTTGCTGGAAAATGGTTGCAACTTAAATTTTTTCTATAACTAAGGATTAGTTGGAAGGGGAAGGAGAGCACGCTTGAAACAAGAAGTGACAGAGTAGGTGATTGTGATGTGTGTTGTGTATTGAGCCACAATACCAGGAGCGGAGGGAGTTGCCAGGTGGTACAAGCCCAGAACACATAGGAAGGAGTTACATATCTACATTTTGTTTATTACATTTTTGCTTTCTGTGTACATTTGTATTTATTAAAAAGGTATTTTGTAACTTTTACATTTCAGAAAATGCTTTATAGTCAATGTTTGTCCTTTATGGGTTTTAACAGTTGCTAAAATTGACTTTAAGACAGATTCTACTTTCTAAATTCTCACCGCTGATCACAGTTGCTGTGATGATCAATAAATGATTTGCATAGAATCTGTTGGCCTTTGTTTTTTTTATGCTAACAGTTGGAGGATCTTAGTCTGGGATCAGACCTGCTTGGCCCTTGGGTACTCAACTTGGCTGGTCATCTGAAAGGTAAGCCATACCATTATAACATTGCACTAGTGTAATTTGTTGAGTGTCTAAGAGGTGCAGTGCAGAAGGGAGCAGGTAAATCCAGTTCGTTGTGACCTGGTTTTAAAGCCTTTGTTGATTGTTTTATCCTGTTGTATTTGTAATATTGTTGTGATTCTAGAATCAAAGGTAGCAGTGACCTAAAAGTTCTTTGGAGAATAATCTCACAGACATAAGGAGACTTGAGGGCATTCACAGGTTTAAGGAGTCTGGTTGGTGTAGAATTTCTTTGATACTATTATAACCCTGCCAGGTAGTTTGTGGGTAGCATATGAGAAACAGCCTTGAGAGTTAAGGGGTTTGGTTGGCATTTTGATAATGCTGAATTTCTGTTGGGTGGCTTGTGGCTAGCACACGAAGAAAGATAGAGCTTCGCAAACATAAAGAAGTTTGGAGGGATGGGTAGCACTATGATATTTATGCAAAACTGTGTCTACACAAAGCAGTACATGAAGTAACATAAAGGGTACACTATCAACCCACTTAATCTTAAAAAAAAAACTCCCATAAGGTTATAACAAGGTGAAAAAGTCTCTCAACGGGTGATAAAGTTTGGAGGCTTGAATATCAAAAAAGACAAGGTAAAATCAAGGGGAGAAGCTCAGCCGCCAGCCTCAATGACCTGCTTATTTCATGAGTCATCGTGGTTCTATCCCTGACCAGTGAATGGATGCCTTAACAGCTTGAGAACTGAGCCGGGACCCACTGAAGGGCAAGCAATTTGAGTTGTTAGAATAAAAAAAAGAAAACCCCAATCACTATGTACATTTAAATGACTGGGTTTTTTTTTATATTACTCTAATGGCATTAAAGTGTAAGCTCACGTGCCACGTCAAGGCAAAACCTCTACACTAAAAATTCACCTTGCTTCTCTGAGCTAAAAGGCAAAATCTCTAATGAGACAGAAAGTGGTATTTTTATAAACACTTTTTAACCCTTAATATGTCACACATGAGGTGGGTGGCAGCACTGTAACATGGCTGTTTATGTCTGTATTTGAGTTGTTGTCTGTTCTCAATATTTTCTTGTGCCCTGTTTTAGCTTGACGCTGCTGATGGCACAGACTATGTGATTAACCATAATGGAGGTGTATCATCAGAACCGGCTAGAACACCAGGCTGACAGACAAACCATTCCGTATGGGTTAGAATGCCCTGAAACTTTGAACAGTTTCAAAAGTGCTGCTCAGGCTGGGTTATGAGCTCGAACTCCCCCTCTTTTTTTCAGAGGCCCGAGGCAAACCGTCGGGTGATTGTGATCGTGCTAAATCAGGATGTCACATGGAGGAACTGTATAAAACCAGTCAGCAATACTCACAAAACAATTTTACTTCTGTAAAAGTATTACTTGACTGATAAATACTTTTTTTAAGTTTAGTTTGGCATCATCACTGGTTTCATGATTATAGTATAATAATATTTAATTAATGCGTAATATATTTAATGCAAAACACCGACTGAAGAAACAGCCTGTCAGATCAAAAATTGGAGAGAAAATAATGACATGCTTCCAAGACTGCCCAGTTCATTAAAACGGAAAATATTTTCTTGTTTTTAACATAAAATAGTCTTTATTGCTATCTGGCTATATGTAACTTCATGCGTTATATTAAAATGTGTGCTTTTGATCTCCCTGCTGGTTTGACGAGGGACTTATCACACCCAGAACTCCAGTCCGAGACAGGGGCTCATGAGTCCTCTGTCTATACCCAGGCCTTAGTTTCCTATAGGGTAACCCAGCTCTGCCTGTGGGAAGCCTCTTCTGATTTCCCTGTCACTCAGTCCTTCGACATATGAATCTATGCTGAAGAACTTATTGATTGATAAAAGAAACACCTATTTGCAAATATATTTTTCTCCGAATCTATACATTTGCTAGCAAATCTCTTATCACGACGTATAGATAGAATGTTATGCTTTTTAAAAATAAGTTGCATCTACCATGACAAGTATCTTTTAAATAAATTTTAAGGTGTATGCTAAGCAGGTCATACTGAAGAGGCTGCATGAATATATGATGTCACATCACACACATCCAGCAGTCTTTTTCTAAAAAAAAATCATTTATGTTGAGGCCACATGGTCCCCACGTGATTTCCAGGAAATTTAACTCCTTGCTAGACCACAAGGAATTATAGCCCCCTCCTTGCAGAAATCTACTGAGGATGGGGACAAAACACAGACAACACAATAAACATTATACACACAACACTCACATTACGCACAGCTAACAGACACTACACACAACCTGCACACATCAATCACAATAAACACGTACCACACACAACAAGTACACACAGTCAATACACACATTACACACAGTCAACACACACACAGTCTGCCGCGCACACATATTACACACAATCTGCATTGACACTATGGGGGAGGGGAACAGAGGGAGAGACTATTGGGGCAGAAGGCAAGACAATCAGGTTATTCACTAAACGCTGAATATCCTGAATCATCATTGTGACAAAATAAGCAGTCAGATCTTATATAATTGGTTTTAAATGAGAAAGCTTACCTTACACCCCTCACAGGTAATCACTCCATAATGAATACCCGATGACTTGTCCCCACATATTTTACACGGGATAACTTCTATCTGTGCTGTGGAAATAAAAAAAAGAAATGGGTTATGCACTGTGCAATGCCAACATTTATAATGACCTAATGACTGTATAAAAGGTAACAAAGAGGTGTATATTAACCTATACACGTGGTATAAGTTAATATACATGGTATACACACAATGTGTGTTCAATATAAAAATGGGACTCTCTCTCAAGATTATATCAAGGATTACCTCAAAGAACCCTCAATCTCACTTGTGACTGACACTTGCTTTATTTCATTTTACATAAATACAACTTCTCTTATCTTACAGATATATATTCATGCGGGACTACATGCATCCTATCAGGGTTATTCACTATACACAGTACACTCTTCCCAGTACAGCCCCTTTCTCTCCCCCCCCCCACCCCCACAGTGCTCTCCCTTACACCTCCAACAATGCAGTCTCTTAACTATCCACAATGCAGCCCCTTACATCCCCACAGTACAATACGTTACCCACCCCCACAGTACAATACCTTACCCACCCCCACAGAGCAGCCCTTTACCACCCCAAAACAAAAGCCCCATTACCCCCACAGTGCAGCCCCTTACACCACCACAGTACTGCCCCTTACCCCACCCACAATATAGCCCGTTAATCATCCACAATGTAGCAACTGACAACCCTACAGTACAGCTCCTTACCCCTACCCCCAGAGGAAAGTAACTTACCCTGCCCCAGGAAAGCCCAATTACAATCTCCCCTGACAGTACAGCCCCTATCCACCTATACACAAACACTGTATAGCTCCTATCTCCCCTGACAGTACAGTCCCTATCCACCTATACACAAACACTGTATAGCTCCTATCTCCCCTGACAGTACAGCCCCTATCCACCTATACACAAACACTGTATAGCTCCTATCTCCCCTGACAGTACAGCCCCTATCCACCTATACACAAACACTGTATAGCTCCTATCTCCCCTGACAGTACAGCCCCTATCCACCTATACACAAACACTGTATAGCTCCTATCTCCCCTGACAGTACAGCCCCTATCCACCTATACACAAACACTGTATAGCTCCTATCTCCCCTGACAGTACAGCCCCTATCCACCTATACACAAACACTGTATAGCTCCTATCTCCCCTGACAGTACAGCCCCTATCCACCTATACACAAACACTGTATAGCTCCTATCTCCCCTGACAGTACAGCCCCTATCCACCTATACACAAACACTGTATAGCTCCTATCTCCCCTGACAGTACAGCCCCTATCCACCTACACACAAACACTGTATAGCTCCTATCTCCCCTGACAGTACAGCCCCTATCCACCTATACACAAACACTGTATAGCTCCTATCTCCCCTGACAGTACAGCCCCTATCCGCCACACAAACACTGTATAGTGCCTATCTCCTCTGACAGTACAGCCCCTGTCCACCTACACACAAACACTGTATAGCTCCTATCTCCCCTGACAGTATAGTCCCTATCCACCTATACACAAACACTGTATAGCTCCTATCTCCCCTGACAGTACAGCCCCTATCCACCTATACACAAACACTGTATAGCTCCTATCTCCCCTGACAGTACAGCCCCTATCCACCTATACACAAACACTGTATAGCTCCTATCTCCCCTGACAGTACAGCTCCTATCCACCTATACACAAACACTGTATAGCTCCTATCTCCCCTGACAGTACAGCCCCTATCCACCTATACACAAACACTGTATAGCTCCTATCTCCCCTGACAGTACAGCCCCTATCCACCTATACACAAACACTGTATAGCGCCTATCTCCCCTGACAGTACAGCCCCTATCCACCTATACACAAACACTGTATAGCTCCTATCTCCCCTGACAGTACAGCCCCTATCCACCTACACACAAACACTGTATAGCTCCTATCTCCCCTGACAGTACAGCCCCTATCCATCTACACAAACACTGTATAGTTCTATCTCCCCTGACAGTACAGTCCCTATCCACCTATACACAAACACTGTATAGCTCCTATCTCCCCTGACAGTACAGCCCCTATCCACCTATACACAAACACTGTATAGTCCTATCTCCCCGACAGTACAGCCCCTATCCACCTATACACAAACACTGTATAGTTCCTATCTCCCCTGACAGTACAGCCCCTATCCCACCTATACACAAACACTGTATAGCTCCTATCTCCCTGACAGTACAGCCCCTATCCACCTATACACAAACACTGTATAGCTCCTATCTCCCCTGACAGTACAGCCCCTATCCACCTATACACAAACACTGTATAGTCCTATCTCCCTGACAGTACAGCCCCTATCCACCTACACACAAACACTGTATAGCTCCTATCTCCCCTGACAGTACAGCCCCTATCCACCTATACACAAACACTGTATAGCTCCTATCTCCCCTGACAGTACAGCCCCTATCCACCTATACACAAACACTGTATAGCTCCTATCTCCCCTGACAGTACAGCTCCTATCCACCTATACACAAACACTGTATAGCTCCTATCTCCCCTGACAGTACAGCCCCTATCCACCTATACACAAACACTGTATAGCTCCTATCTCCCCTGACAGTACAGCCCCTATCCACCTATACACAAACACTGTATAGCTCCTATCTCCCCTGACAGTACAGCCCCTATCCACCTATACACAAACACTGTATAGTTCCTATCTCCCCTGACAGTACAGCCCCTATCCACCTACACACAAACACTGTATAGTGCCTATCTCCTCTGACAGTACAGCCCCTGTCCACCTATACACAAACACTGTATAGCTCCTATCTCCCCTGACAGTACAGTCCCTGTCCCAACACTAAGCACAGCTGTACAACAGGTGCAATTGAAAAATGTATATTTAAAATTCACTTTGTTAAATAAACCCGTAGGATTTGTGACTACGTGACAAAATAGGCAGATGTCATGGTGAAATGACTTGCTGCTTGTTTCCAATTAGTTGCTAAGTTTTCCCATAAGCAGCTAATTGATATAAAGATTGTTTCTAATGTTAAGAGTGAACTGCCTTTTCATACTACAAAATCAAAACAATTTATGGACATAGCAGCAGATGGTAACATTTAGCATCTTTCATTGAAGCTAGTTAGTAAGCAGTGATTAACATCTCCTGATATTTTCTAAGATTCTTGTCATCTGTGTATTCCAGAGTATTGTAATTGTTATTAAAGGGACACTATTTATAGTGCTGTATTCCTGGCACTACAGCTACCCCTGCCTCCCTCAGACCTCCCCCCCCGCAACCATCACATTGGTAAATAAAAGGTTAAAACCCTTTTTATTACTTACCTTACCCCAGTGCCAATGTCCCTTGGACCTGGGTCGTGGCTCTGCCTCCTCTGAAGTCCCGTGACGAGCGGGCAATAATGCATGCATTAGACCTCCCCATAGAAAAGCATTCAATCAATGCTTTCCTATGGGGAAAAATCTGATGTTGGAGGTCCTTAATGCAGAACATGAGGACGTCCAGCGTCAGATACCGGACCAAAGGTTCATTTCGACTCAGGAAGTCCTTTAGTGGTTGCCTGGGAGACAGACAATGGATGCAGACTTTGTGCTGCAATGTAAACATTGCAGTTTCTCTGGAAACGCAATGTTTAACATTGCAGCACTAAATGGAATAGGGACACTGCTCCCAGACCACATCAATGAACTGAAGTGGTCTGGGTGCCTATAGTGTCCCTTTAAACTTCCAAACTTCTTCTTATAGGTGTCAAAGTCGGAAAATTTGTGGATTCCATATACTGAAAATCTAGCTTATATTTTACAAAGGGCAGCATCATACAGAAATATACTGCACACTATGTTTATACATACATATATAAGAACGTGCATAACTACTAAAGCTATTGGAACGGCATATGTAAATATATATTAAGATCACAAAAAAATTAACCTGCATTATTGTAAAGAGCCACATGGTGTCAGTGCTGCACATTTGAGTCTTCAGGCTTAGTCTGCTCAGCAACCTTATAAAATCCTGTCTGTGGCTTTAAGAACCTTGTAGGATAATGCATGTCTTTATTGATGCACATTTTATTATTATTTATTATTATTATTATTATCCGCACTATTATTTTCATCTTGAAATATCCAAATAGAGGCTGGCTGCTTCCTGGTGTTTGATGACTATAGACACATGATCCCATTGCAAGTGGATGTGTCCAGGAAACTAATCAATAAAAAATTAAAATCTGCAAGATATTTTCTCCCAATTTTGTAGAACTAGGATGGCCAAACGTTAAACCCCCCTGAGTTTGCAAACTCCCCTGATGCTTCTACAACAGATGTATATCTTCCAACATTTCAAATGGACAAACAGGGACACTTTATTTTAGGTGTGTCTGGTATGTGTGACCAGGGGCAGGGCTCTTCTGAGAAATTTTAGGTGACTTACTAATAACAATTTATGCAACTAAAATGTAATCTAGAACAGGAACAATGTATCTATCTGAGTTACACAGAATGATTTCTAAACATATTTATTGTAGTTTAAAGACACATTACTGGGAGTATTATTGCTGTGGAGCGCTGTTATACACTCAATATGGAGCTCCTAGAAACCAGGGACATTAGGATAAAAAAATAGGGATTTGGGCCAAAAATAGCATCAGTGTATATTTACATCTACTTGTAATGTATTGTGTTTGAATCTGTGAGTACAGTAAGTGTATGCAACTGTGTAAATGCATGCTGGGATAGAAGTGGTTATAGTAAAGGGGAGGGGGAAGGTTAGAGAGGGGTTAATGTCAGAGTTCGATAATATATGGCATTTAGTGTTAAGAGGGTTTAAAGCTTGATATGAGTTACAGTTATTATTGGTATTTATATAGCACTAACTAATTTTGTAGTGCTGTACAATATAATTAAAGGGACACTCCAGGCACCCAGACCACTTCTGCCCATTGGAGTGGCCTGGGTGCCAACTCTCACTACCCTTAACCCTGCAACTGTAAATATTCTACTAGACAGCCACTAGAGGGCACTTCTGGGTTTATAGCACACATTTCTATGTGAGGACCTCCAGCATTGCTGAAATCCCCATAGGAAAGCATTGAAAGCATTTTTCAATGGTTTCCTATGGGGAGGTCTAATGCGTGTGCGCGGCATTGCCGTGCATGCGCATTAGGTCTCCCCTCGCCGGCTGACGTAGGCGGGGGAGCAGCGTGGGCGGACCCTGAACCAGCGCCGAGGAATATCGGCACGGGATACAGGTAAGTCACTGAATACAGGTAAGCAACTTGGGATGGGGGGTGGGAGGGAGAGGGGACCTGAAGTGCCAGGAAAACAGTTTGTTTTCCTGGCACTGGAGAGTCCCTTTAAGGGGAATTTAACAAATTAGACCAAGTATTTTACATTTTGACAGGAACAATAGGTTGTGGAGGAGCCACTTCAAATGGGCTTATAATCTAGAGGAGGTGGGGGCATAAAAACACAATAGGAAGGGTTGTGGTATAACAGTTTTTTAGAATTATTGCGTTGAGGGTTAAAGTTGGGCAAATTCAGTATTGGGGTGCCTGGGGGTGTTTAATTTTTAAAGAGAAGCTAAATAATACAATAACTTAATAGATAAGCTATCAAACTGACGTCTGCTACGTCTGAATTGGTCCAGGATTGGTCTGTAACATTGTCACTATTCCTATAACCTCCATTACAGATCACCATTCCAACACTCGGTACTCGGCAGTTCCCTGAAGGTTTAGCGGTGACGTCGCAATGAACACTGGCATGCAGGATAGCGAGTTTCTCCAGATGGCAAGCCTGTGGCATGAGGAAGTGCAGAGTGTGCACTAATAGCCAGCAACAGTTAATGCTAGAGTTTCTCTCTCTATACATTATTATATATAATTAACTTTTCATGATAATGTCGTTTCCCAATCAAGTAGAAACGTGGTTTAGTCCCGCTGCACCTGGGTAAGAACTAGTTAATCTACATTTAAAAAAAAATATTATTTTATTCCATGTTATCAAACAATATAAATATACTTCCGCTTCCACTCGAGGTAAATAACAAAAATAACTAAAAAGGCCATTTTCAAAGAGTCTTGTCAGATTTTACTGTGCTTGTTTGCAAATTCTGCCCCAAGACAGTCTCTATATAAGGTTTAAAACAACAGGAGGAAATGAAAGAGAGAGACTGTATGTGGGATTGTGTCTTTTCGGAGGTTGCTTGTGGTGTTTATGTGTGTAGGATAGGCTACCTGTGGTGCTATGTATAGCCATGTGGGATTGTGTCTGTTCGGAGGTTGCTTGTGGTGTTTATCTGTGTAGGATAGGCTACCTGTGGTGCTATGTATAGCCATGTGGGATTGTGTCTGTTCGGAGGTTGCTTGTGGTGTTTATCTGTGTAGGATAGGTTACCTGTGGTGCTATGTATAGGCATGTGGGATTGTGTCTGTTCGGAGGTTGCTTGTGGTGTTTATGTGTGTAGGATAGGCTACCTGTGGTGCTATGTATAGGCATGTGGGATTGTGTCTTTTCGGAGGTTGCTTGTGGTGTTTATGTGTGTAGGATAGGCTACCTGTGGTGCTATGTATAGCCATGTGGGATTGTGTCTGTTCGGAGGTTGCTTGTGGTGTTTATCTGTGTAGGATAGGCTACCTGTGGTGCTATGTATAGCCATGTGGGATTGTGTCTGTTCGGAGGTTGCTTGTGGTGTTTATCTGTGTAGGATAGGTTACCTGTGGTGCTATGTATAGGCATGTGGGATTGTGTCTGTTCGGAGGTTGCTTGTGGTGTTTATGTGTGTAGGATAGGCTACCTGTGGTGCTATGTATAGGCATGTGGGATTGTGTCTTTTCGGAGGTTGCTTGTGGTGTTTGTGTGTGTAGGATAGGCTACCTGTGGTGCTATGTATAGCCATGTGGGATTGTGTCTGTTCGGAGGTTGCTTGTGGTGTTTATCTGTGTAGGATAGGCTACCTGTGGTGCTATGTATAGACATGTGGGATTGTGTCTGTTCGGAGGTTGCTGTGTGGTGTTTATGTGTGTAGGATAGGCTACCTGTGGTGCTATGTATAGCATGTGGGATTGTGTCTGTTCGGAGGTTGCTTGTGGTGTTTATGTGTGTAGGATAGGCTACCTGTGGTGCTATGTATAGCCATGTGGGATTGTGTCTGTTCGGAGGTTGCTTGTGGTGTTTATGTGTGTAGGATAGGCTACCTGTGGTGCTATGTATAGGCATGTGGGATTGTGTCTGTTCGGAGGTTGCTTGTGGTGTTTATGTGTGTAGGATAGGCTACCTGTGGTGCTATGTATAGGCATGTGGGATTGTGTCTGTTCAGAGGTTGCTTGTGGTGTTTATGTGTGTAGGATAGGCTACCTGTGGTGCTATGTATAGGCATGTGGGATTGTGTGTATAGATGGGGCTGTTCGCAGTCCAGTGTGTGTCTGGATAGGGCAGTAGTGTGGGGGTGGTGTAAGGAATGGGGTTGTGGGGTATTTGTGGATAAGGATTATACTGCCCTATTGTGTTTTATAACCAGCCTCTTCTAGACTGTAAGCTCATTTGAGCAGGGTTCCCTTCAACCTCATTTATTGTTAAATTGCCCCCTCCTATAATATTGTAAAGCGCTATGGAATTTGTTGGCGCTATATAATAATAATAATACTGCAGTATGTGTGTTTGTGTGTTCAGGGACTCTAGTGTATGGGAGGATACAAATAAAAAAGGTACACTGTGCATTTACTAACATAACACCAATAGGTAATATTAATTAGCAGCTACAACACATGTGTAAGTACACGCAATCATGCAACACATCAGAATGAACTAAATCCAGGGGGAGTGGGATGTTGCAGTCTCTCTTTTCCCCCATGTGGTTCTGCGTGTGCGCTGGGAGGAAGTGACGTGTAACGACTTCCTCCCAGTCCCAGCATTGGCCAGTCCTGTTTGCTGTTAAATGTGATCTGGTTTGGAGATATATTTATGTGTCCCCAAACAAACTACACAGTGTTAGTGGGGCCCAGCACTTGAATGAGCCCCTGATCAGATCACAGAATGAAATTCTACAAATGGGGATCTAAACCACTGTATGCTGAATAATCCAGAGCTGGTTTAAGCTCTATTGCATTTGAATTGCCAATTGTGGACCTATGTGTAGTGTGTACCTCACTGTATATTGTATTGTGTTGTGTGTACCTCACCACTGTATTGTGTTGTGTTGTTTGTACCTCAGTTAAGCTGGCATATTGCACTATCGGTCTTTCCTGTTCTTCTGCTTTCTCCTATTTGTTACCATGAAGTGAAGACAGTGTCAGACATATTGCATGAAAAATTGGGAATGGAACAGATACTATTTTGGGACTGGTTTTATATAACCTGGCACTCCAATTTTCTTGGCTTTTATTATTTTAAGGATATTATAGAAGTCTTACTGTGTGCTTCTTATGTGTATATTTTTTACAATTAGTTTTTTATATATATTCTTCTTTTGGCACATACTGATTTACGTTTTTCTTGGTTCTATTGCACGTCAGCGTTTTTGAGGAAATCCCCTAATTTCAGGTGTGCTGCCTACTTATTTCTTTACCCTTTTCTGTTTTTCTCCGATTCTACTGCCGTGATTACAGTGTGGGGTCACCCAGTGGGCCCTCACAACCCTACGGACCCTGATGTGTCTGCCCCAGCAGCATTGCCAGTAATTCCACCCTCACATTACTATCTATATTTACAACTATCTAACTATATATGTTTATTATAAACCAGGCGCTGACCTATTTTACCACCATAACTCCTCGCATTGTGATTCCTTGTGGCTTCTCATTTATCAGTTATTGCTTCTTCAACATTCACCTCATTCTCGATCATTCCCTCTCTCTCTCATGTGTGCCCCCCCTTCCTTGCTTTCATTGATCTCTGCCCCCCATCCTGCGATTGACTCATTCCTGCTTTTTATCCCACGTCACACAGCTGTGCTCAGTGCTGTGTGGGCTTTATTATATAAGGGACAGACTAAAGATCGAGATTAACTCCTTCTCTGCTAATGCATTGCATAGATCTTGTAACTGCCTGTGTCACAGTATTTACCTTACGGTTACCATGCCTGTTGTTACTTCAGCTTAAACTATACCTGTTCTGTAAAAAAAATTTTTTAAATTCTATGTTGTGTAACCATGAGTTTTGCATTTTTACTGGCTTTTCTGTAGTGTATTAATGTGTATCTGTTGTCGGTTTGGAACAGCTAAGCCACACAAGAATGTTGATAAGAGTTTCTGCCTGCTACACAAAATTTCTACAGCAGAGAGGCATTGTTTTAGAAAGAAAAATACTTCAAGAAGCAATCCAGGGCCCATATGGAGTACAATTGAGTTTGGTTATAGCATCTCTACCCAGCATAGTGTTTGTATACTTACCTGGGCACCTGCACTGCTCAGCTGATGCTCTCAGCCAATGAGAGTGGCCCTGCGTACCACTGTATAGCGAACTGGATTTATCTGTAAGGAGATCCAGTTAAGCTGTCAAACTGGCCGTACCCAGGTAAGTTGTCAAATCATTCTAAAACAGTTTGACATATTACTCTGGGAGGGCGACAAGGGACTCCACTCCTTACAACCTCTATAGCAGACATAGTGGTTATGGTGTTTAGATTGTGCCTTTAAAGTACAAATAGTAAGAATTATTTCCAGCAGACCACTGTCGGTTACCACTTTTTATCCAACAATATTTCCCATCCCCAGGAAATACCATTAAAGTTTGAAATTATAAAAACCACAGATTGAAAAAAATAAACAAACTCGTCTGAACATGATCCTATGGAATAATTTCTTATTACAATTTGCCCTACAGATCCATATGCTGGACAAATAATATGCCTGGATTCTCAATAATTAATAATAATAATTCCCTAATGGATTAGTCACAATACTCAATTTATGGATTTGTCAATTTTATTATTTATCAGACTGGCCGCATGTTATGGGTTATGATTAGGTAGGGATGACTGTATCCACAGCTGTTGCAAAACTACAACTCCCATGATGCTTTGCTTTGCCAGCTTAGATTCCTTAGCGGACTGGTTTTGAAACAATCTTTTGACCTATTGAAATCTGCCAAAACAGAATTCAAAATAAAAATCACCATGCAAATGAATCTGATATTTCACAATGTTTTTGTGATATGATTGATGCTATTTATATTTATAATGTATAAATGATATACTTTATGTGTGAATCTTTTGGGGGGAAAAACAGATGCAGCCCTTGGCTGCCTCTTTGTGTTTGTTTGTTTGTTTGTGGGTATATCACTGACATTGTTTGTTCTTGTGCTTTTTCTGCCTGCAAACACTGCTAGCAGAACTGTATGTTTTCGGTGTTTGAACGGCTAGAGGGGAGGTAAAACAATTATGTCAATTAATAGATTAAATTAATAATCAACATATCAGCTTGTGAGAGCACTGGGAGAGCAATGAGAATAAGTAATAACATGCATAAAGGGGGTAATTAGTCGCAGGCTTGTTAACTGGCATGCTCCGCCTCTCCTGAATAATCCTGCTGGTTATATAACAGGCATCTGCGGTGATTACGTTGAACGAAGCCTAGAGACTGGTCCTCGTCTCTCACTGGTTAAACAGGCTCGGAGATTGTCTGTGATTGGCAGACTAACCAGTCCATCATGCTCTCTGCCCCACTGACACACTTTATCGGATTCTATGTAACATGTTCTGTTGCGTAATCCACAGATTAGTTATATTAACCCAAGTCATGCTGCAGAGCTAAATGATCGTAAAAAAACAAAACAAAACTGTTACAGAGAAGCAGATCTGAACAAACGCACTGATGTGCTGAAGTGATCACATTAGTTTTTCTGTGTTAAGGGTGCAAACCTTCTCTTTGACATTTAATACAGATTAAAATACATTTTCCATGGCTGTCTTTTTTTTTTTTTTTTTATAGGCATTTGTCAGAGAGGGTGATGGTCTGACATTTTCAGATATAAAAGATTCAGAAATAAACAAGCTAAAAAATTTAACACTATGTGCAAGGACAATTTTAGTACAATTGTAGGCCATGACCCACACAAACTATTGACAGTGGCACAATGTAGCCTGACTTTGCCAGTACATAGTTGCTGTGACCATCTTTCTCGGGAATACTACATGTACTTCGGAGGTCTGGTTAACTTCCTAAAACTGGGATGGAAAGAAACAGAACTCCCAGGATCCCGCAGGCATATGGATCAAGTGCCAAAACCGCACCCTCCAAACAGAAGCCACGTCATCGGGCATATGGATGGGTGGGGAAAATTATTGGTTCTTATTCTCGTTTAGAAAGAAAAGAGACATCACTGTTGCTCATTGCGTTGCCATGCGCGTTGACGAAAATAACTTGTCAATGGCAGTATGAAACAAGAAGGAGCCTACTGATCCGTGGTCCTAATTCCTGATTTGTGGTTTCTTTACATGCATTTATAGATACATGTAATTGCCTCTGGGGAACCTCTTTCTTAGAGCCTGTGAAAAACCATAGGCGTTAGCAGATTTATAAATATGACAATGTTTCAGTTTATTATTACATTTCATCAGAAACAAAATAAAGTGGAATTTTGACATTTATAAAACATGCAAAAGGTTATTTTTATTGAAAGTATGGTTTTGTTGGAATTTGTATTAGTATGCTGAACATTGCATAGGGTAAAGAAATTCTACAGCAAGCATGTCAAACTCGCATCCAGCGGACAGCCCACAAGGAACTTAGTTTTGGCCCAGCCAATCACAGGCTTCGGTCGTGGGGGCACAAAAATCACTTGTCAGACTGACACGTGAGGCTCCATGCGGTTCTGCGTAGGAGCGCCGTGTGTCAGGAGACTACCCGGCGCTCAATCTGTCAGTGTGCCACCGGAGAGTGAGAGGCTTCCTTGTCAGGTAAATTGAAAGGGCAGAGCAAAACTGGTGCCTGAGGTGAAAGTGTGAGGGTACAGCTGCCTGAAAATAGGGAAGGAGTATAAACAGAAGGCATAGGAAGGGAGACATAGGGGAGTGGATGTGGAGACACATGGATGGAATGTGTAGGGAGGGAGACATGGGGGAGAGATATGAACTGGATGGAGGCAAGGGAGATATGAATGGAAGGGGTGGAGGGAGATATGAATGGAAGGGGTGGAGGGAGATATGGATAAAGGGGGAAGGAGATGTGAATGGGAGGGGGAGAGATATGAATGGAAGAGGTGAGAGGGAGATATGAATGGAAGGGGTGAGGGAGATATTGATGGAAGGGAGGGAGGGTGATATTGATGGAAGGGGGTAGGGAGATATGAATGGAAGGGGGAGGGAGATATTAATGGAATGGAGGAGGGAGATATGAATGGAAGGGGGAGGATATTATTGATGGAAGGAGAGGCGGGAATATTAATGGAAGGGAGAGGAGATATGAATGGAAGGGAGGAGATATAGATGAAGGGAGATATTGATGGAAGGGGGAGAAGCGAGATATTAATGCAAAGGAAGGGAATATTGGTGGTGAAGAGGAGGATGGAAAAGGAGATATTAATGGAAAGGAGGAGAATGGAATTAATGGAAAAGGGAGAGAGGGAGAAATATATGATATATAGGGGAGGGAGATATGAATGTAAGGGGGAGGGAGATATTGATGGAAGGAGCGAGGGAGATATGAATGGAAGAGGGAGAGGGAGAAATGAATGGAAGGGGAGAGCAAGATATTAATGGAAGGTTGAGGGAGATATTGATGGAAGGGGGGAAGCAAGATATTAATGTAAGGGGGGGAGATATTGATGTAAGGGGGGAGCGAGATATTAATGGAAGGGGGAGGGAGATATGAATGGAAGGGGGGAGAGGAAGATATGAATGGAAGGGGGGAGAGGGAGATATGAATGGAAGGGGGAGAGGTCTTCAACATCTAGTAGCTGCTGATTGTACAGACACCATGTGTTATTGATATGGTCAGAGGATGGCCCAGCAATACATTTTCCCGTAATCTTTTTACAGAATCTTTTAGAGAGAAAACACTAAAACATTCACGCATTGTCTTGCTTCTGCTGGAGGAAGTGCTGGAGGCAGGGCCGTATATAATATGAATAGGACCCTGGGCAAAGCATTTTCTTGGGCCCCCTAGGCCCTGCCCCTCCCCCCTCCAATTACGCCCAACCCCAATCACACTGACAGACCTACTGACACATACACACACAGATATATTAAAACATTTGCAGATACATACTGACACACAAATATATAATGGCAGACATACTGACACACAAACATACATACATACATACATACACACACAGACACATACACTGACAGATATACTGAAACACACACAGACACATACACTGACAGACATATTGACACACACACACACAGACATGCTGACACACACAGACATACTGACACACACACAGGCAGGCATACTGACACACACACATACACACACACACAAACATACTGACACACACACACACACACACACATCCTGACATACACACACACAGACATAAATTTAGCCACCCTCCAGGTTCTTACCTTTTTATGGAGGGTGGTTTACCTGGGGTCCAGTGGCAGGCTGAGGCAGATGGGAGTTATCTTGAATAACTCCTCTTCTCCTGCCTTTCTCCTCCCGGTTATTATAACCGGTGGGAGGAAGTGACGCGCAGCACTCACTTCCTCCTAGCCAGTACAGCAAGGGGCCCGGTCGCGCGGTTTAAGCGTCACAGCGCCCGACTGGGCCCCTGCTCACACATGCTTACCGGGTGGCCCTTAGTGCATGGGCCATTTGGGGGGCCTCCTTAGTTGGCGGGCCAGTGCGGCTCTGTGCAGCCGCACCGCTGGGTACATGGGGCTGCTCAAATCGCGGGACCCACGGGGCAGCTGCTCTGCAGCACCCCCAGGAGCAACTGGGCCCGGGGCAGCTGCCCCGTTTGCCATGCGCTAAAGATGGCCATGGCTGGAGGAAAACTCACAGGAGGCGAAATCGGGATAGTTGGGAAGCATGTAACATACATAACAGATACTAATCTCTCGCTGTCATCTTTCAACCAAGTCTATCTGTTCATCCTACAAGCCCTCCATCTCTCAACTCCTGTCTCTCACTAATCACAAAATCTGAAACCTCTCTTCACAGCATTCACTTGTCCACTTCTCTCCTTCCCTTCTTACTGGGAGGCAGAACGAGAAAGAGGCGGATCTAGTGAGTGTAGATGAAAGGGGCCATGCCACCCTGTTGTAGAGAAAGAAGCAGCAAGAGCAGTCAGCTTTACCTTAACTAATTTATAGTCCGCCAATTAACATGTTTCGTTCTCCTGCATCCCTCCTAAATTCCCACACCTAATTCTATCTACACTACATTATAGCACAATAGCAGGTAAAGTGTAGTAAAATATATATATATATTCCAGATCCAGACAGACAAGCAAGTACAGGCCAACTAACATGACATTGTGATGGTTGACAAGGAACGGAAGATTGCAGTAATGGTGGACGTGGCAATACCCATTGACTATAACATGAGGAAGAAAGAACATGAGAAGCTGGACAAATACCAGGGACTGAAAGAAGTAGTCCCAGTTGTGCTAGGAGCACTCGGGCTGTGACTCCCAAGTTTGGGGAGTGGCTTCAACAGATTCCAGGTGGGGATGGACGTCCAAGGGCTCTAGGCAGGGGCCCCAATCTGGCATACTGCCTAGGTCTATATGCTTTGCCAGCTAAACCTGCCATGTAAGAGTAATAATTAGAGGAAATAGTAGCTTACAGAGAGATTGATACAAGGCATTTCTAACTAAGTTGAGTATAGAGACAAAAGAACCTCAAAATGGGAGAGCGCCCGCTTGCAAGCTTACAATCCCGATCTGAATGTAGAAACCAAGGCACCAGCTTCACTGGGTTGGCAATACCTGAAGATGGTAAGAGAGTGAATCATATTCTGCCAACGCCCAACCATGTCTATAAATAGATGTTACATGGGTGAGGCACAAAATAATACAAAAATAAATATATAAATAAATACTTCACATTAAATTCTGCTCAAGCAAATGTAAGACTATGAACGTTCTGAGGTGTTCCACAGAGATAATAAGCCATGCTAACTCCAATACTTTCAGTGCTTAGATATGTTTTGAGGTTAATGGACCTCTACACTGAGTACCTTCTTTCTCTTTGACCTACAGATACCCAGTTGGACTGATATCTAGAGTGAGATCTGGTGACAAGATTTGTTAATTCGTTTTGCAATTCAGTTGAATTTAGGACGATTGTTGGATTGTTGCAATTCCGTAACTCGAAGCACCACATGGACTCAGCAAACGTCTCACACAATGGACGAGCATGCTCATTTGATTCGTGATTTGTGATTCGTGAGTTCTGTCATGGTGCCAAAAAAGAAGATAACTGATGGGAAAGAATATGAGGAGCAGTAAAAAAATAATAATAATAATAATATGTATATATATATATATATATATATATATATATATGTATTTTTTTTTTTAATGCTTCTTCTCTTTTTCACCTCTAATAGTAACTTTTTAAATAAAGGGGAAATGCGCCAATCAGTGAACGGCAAAATATATACATAATATGTCAGGTGTTGAAAATATTTTTGCATGGGTGATATTCAGACGAGCTGAACTGCCACACTGACGTTATTGGACTACCCAAACTACATTTTATTTTCAGACAAAATGATTTGGCCGAACTAAAGTTTTCTGCCATGCACAGGACTACTGGTGACTAGGGAGGCCACTTCAATAAGCTAAATCCACAGGCATATTGTAGGAACCTTCTCTAGATCATCTCAACCTTGCTACATTGTACATTGTGATGTTCGTAACGGCTTCAATGTGGACAGATTGAATGCAGCAGGATATCTGAGCGTTGTTGCAAAGAAGCACTCCACTTTTTAAGCAAAGGTTTTAAGTTGTGCCATGAAAGCATAGTATTATTATGCAATCACACATTGACCTTCAATATAAACATGTGGCAACATTGATAAGCATCTAGCATTAGTCAACAGAGCCAAATAGGAATCAGCAGAACAGCCAGTGTTTACAAATTATTTATTTCTTAGACTATTGCAGCGGCAATGTTTTTTATGTTTTGCAGAATGAAATGAAGATCTGTTAATTTTCACTGTGCATCAATGTTTGACCAAACTTGGCTTAAAGCAGAACTGGCGGCACTGTTGACACTGGACCAGAAGCCTGGAGATCTCGGCTGGTGCCGCATCGTACCCATGATGGGAGTGTGCTGACCACATGGCTGAAACTCTTAGTGTTGTTGCCTGTTTATTAATGCCCTCTAGTTTAGCAAAGCAGACTGTCTGTTGTAACCCAGGATCAGCCCGGGGTGGTATACTCTCTTAAAGTTTCCTTCATGTAGATTTAGCGTGACTACTTAATCGTTGTTGTTTCATGTATTCCCAGCTTGTTTACATAAGTCTACTCATTTATACCTCACTCAACTATCTTCATATAAAAATACTGTGCTGTTTCTCTCAAATGCCATGACATCTATTGTTTTTATCACGCTTTCTTTTGCTGTTGTGGCACAGCAAGATTGTCTGTAAACTCATGAATAGCAAAAAAAAGAATAAAAAATAAATAAATCTTAAAAAGCAGAATTGGTTGTTGTATATGGGTATATATATATATAAATCAGTGGCGGATCCAGAGCCTGATCTTGGGAGGGGCACTTGTAGATTATTTAAAGAAATAATCCAGGCACAATAACCACTACAGCTCAGTGTAGTAGTTATGGTGCCAGTAGTGCCAGGATCCCATGCCAGAATAAGTAGCCAAACCGTTTAAGAACAGTTTGACAACTTACCTGGGGTCTGCTGGGATATAGGGAATAGGAGCAGTGGTATGTGTGAGGGGTGATGTGTGTGTGAAAGGTGCAGTGTATATGTGAGTGCGAGAGGGCGGCAGTGTATGTCAGGGTTGCAGTGTATGTGTGGGGCAGTGTGTGTGTGAGAGAGCTGCAGTGTGTGTGTGAGGGGGGCAGTGTGTGTGAGAGTTGCAGTGTGTGTGAGGCTTGCAGTGTATGTGTGTTTGGGGCAGTGTGTGTATGGGGGCACTGTATGTGTGTGGGGGGCAGTGTGTGTGTGGGGGCAGTGTGTGTATGGGGGGCACTGTATGTGTGTGTGGGCAATGTGTGTATGGGGGGCAATGTGTGTATGTGTTGGGCAGTGTGTGTATGGGGGAGCACTGTATGTGTGTGTGGGGCATTGTATGTGTGGTGCAATGTGTGTATAAGTGCAATGTGTGTATGGGTTGCAGTGTGTGTATGGGGAGCACTGTATGTATGTGTGGGGCAGTGTGTGTATGGGGGATCACTGTATGTGTGTGTGGGGCACTGTATGTATGTGTGGGGCAATGTGTGTATGGTGGATCACAGTATGTATGTGTGGGGCATAGTGTTTATGGGGGGGTAGCAGTGTGTGGGGGGCACTGTATGTATGTGTGGGGCAATTTGTGTATGGGGGTCATGTGTATGGGGAGCAGCAGTGTGTGTGGGGCAATGTGTCTATCGGTGTGCAGTGAGTGTGTGTGGGGCAGTGTGTGCATGGGGAAAGGAGGGTAGGGAGGCTTTTAAATAATGTTTTTTTAAATTTTTATTTAATAATATAAATATACATTATGTCCCCCTCCCTTCTTACCTTTACTGGGAGGAGGGGGGACATTTCTGGATCCCTGGTGGTCCGGTGGGAATCCCTGGTGATCCCAGTGGTTAGAGTGAACTCTAGCCCGTAGCTCCAGGGATAGAGTTCACTCTCACGAGATTTGGAGCGTTGCCGTGGTAACCGTGCTCACGAGAGAAGGCCCTGGAGGAGCTGCAGGTAAGAGCTCCCGGGTCCTCTTTCCCTCCCTCCCCTGCCGGCTGCCAGCACAGTGCCTGCGGACCGTGGAGGGAGATCTGTGATTAGCCGGCAGGGGAGAATCCCGTTGCCCCCCCCCCCCCGGATCAGCCACTGATATAAATAAATATATATATATATATATATACATACAGTTGCAAGAAAAAGTATGTGAACCCTTTGGAATGATATGGATTTCCGCACAAATTGGTCATAAAATGTGATCTGATCATCATCTAAGTCACAACAATAGACAATCACAGACTGCTTAAACTAATAAACACACAAAGAAAGAAATGTTGCCATGTTTTTATTGAACACACCATGTAAGCATTCACAGTGCAGGTGGAAAAAGTATGTGAACCCTTGGATTTAATAACTGGTTGAACCTCCTTTGGCAGCAATAACTTCAACCAAACGTTTCCTGTAGTTGCAGATCAGACGTGCACAACGGTCAGGAGTAATTCTTGACCATTCCTCTTTACAGAACTGTTTCAGTTCAGCAATATTCTTGGGATGTCTGGTGTGAATCGCTTTCTTGAGGTCATGCCACAGCATCTCAATCGGGTTGAGGTCAGGACTCTGACTGGGCCACTTCAGAAGGCATATTTTCTTCTGTTTAAGCCATTCTGTTGTTGATTTACTTCTATGCTTTGGGTCATTGTCCTGTTGCAACACCCATCTTCTGTTGAGCTTCAGCTGGTAGACAGATGGCCTTAAGTTCTCCTGCAAAATGTCTTGATAAACTTAGGAATTCATTTTTCCTTCGATGATAGCAATCCGTCCAGGCCCTGACGCAGCAAAGCAGCCCCAAACCATGATGCCCCCACCACCATACTTCACAGTTGGGATGAGGTTTTGATGTTGGTGTGCTGTGCCTTTTTTTCGCCACACATAGTGTTGTGTGTTTCTTCCAAACAACTCAACTTTGGTTTCATCTGTCCACAGAATATTTTGCCAGTACTGCTGTGGAACATCCAGGTGCTCTTGTGCAAATTGTAAACGTGCAGCAATGTTTTGTTTGGACAGCAGTGGCTTCCTCTGTGGTATCCTCCCATGAAATCCATTCTTGTTTAGTGTTTTACGTATTGTAGATTTGCTAACAGGGATGTTAGCATTTGCCAGTGACTTTTGTAAGTCTTTAGCTGACCCTCTAGGATTCTTCTTCCCCTCATTGAGCAGTCTGCGCTGTGCTCTTGCAGTCATCTTTACAGGACGGCCACTCCTACGGAGAGTAGCGGCAGTGCTGAACTTTCTCCATTTATAGACAATTTGTCTTACTGTGGACTGATGAACAGCAAGGCTTTTGGAGATACTTTTATAACCCTTTCCAGCTTTATGCAAGTCAACAATTCTTAATCGTAGGTCTTCTGAGAGCTCTTTTGTGCGAGGCATCATTCACATCAGGCAATGTTTATGAAAAGCAAACCCAGAACTGGTCTGTGTTTTTTATAGGGCAGGGCAGCTGTAACCAACACCTCCAATCTCATCTCATTGATTGGACTCCAGTTGGCTGACATCTCACTCCAATTAGCTCTTGGAGATGTCATTTCTAGGGTTCACATACTTTTCCACCTGCACTGTGAATGTTTACATGGTGTGTTCAATAAAAACATGGCAACATTTCATTCTTTGTGTGTTATTAGTTTAAGCAGACTGTGATTGTCTATTGTTGTGACTTAGATGATGATCAGATCACATTTTATGACCAATTTGTGAAGAAATCCATATCATTCCAAAGGGTTCACATACTTTTTCTTGCAACTGTATATATATAGCTTTGAAAACCAGTGTTTTCACAAGGACAGCTATATATGTTCACTGTTAGCTTGACTATGCATAGAATACCTCACATCTTGTTTCTTGCCCTCTTAAAGGGATACTATAGTGTAGAATTTATTATAGTATCCCTTTAAGAGGGAAGAAGCAAGATAGTATAGTGTAAGGAATAAAAAGCTGTATTCCTTACACAAAATGTCCTTCTAGCCCTCCACTGTGAATTGTGCCCTGCCCTCCCCCCCCGGCTCACAAAGGGTTAATAAACCCTTTATGTAATCACCTGATTCCAGCGACGATCTCCGTCAGCACTGGGCTGGCACTCTGCTTCCTCCAACGTCATCCAAAAGAAAGGGGTGTCTAATGCGCGTTCGTGCCGAGTGATACCATCGCATTAGGCCCTCTCGATAGGGAGGATGTCCAGCATCAGTTAAGCAACCAAAAGTCGCCTAGCAAGCGGTAGGTGCCCTCTAGTGTCTGTCTGATGGACAGCCACTACAGGCAGTCTTAGTCCTGCAATATAATCATTGCAGTTTTTCTGGAACTGCAATGATTTACAGTGCAGGACTAAGGGGGACTGGGATATTGCATCAAGATCACTTCAATGAGCTGAAGTGGTCTGGGTGCCTAAAGTATCCCTTTAAATAGTTTTTCTTTTTCTTTAATTTGTATTTATCCCCATTACTATCTCAATTTCAGTGGGACATTCCTGATCTTCAGGTTCTGTCTCACAGACCCGACTTTGTTTCCTGGTATCCTGCTTTTGAGGACACCAGGAAACTTTCCCCAAAAAGCGCATCATTAGGCATTCTCACACTACACTCAGGGTTCTAGAACCTGGAACAGTGCTCCCTCCATGGTCAGTGCATTCATTCCAGGTTGACCTGCCAATAATTTGGACCCACTCCCATTACCCCATCCCACCAGGGCCCTCTTCTAGGGATCGCACTCTGGTTTAGCACCAATTTCCACTGAAATCGACATTCTTGTAAACTGTCACAAATGTGACATGTTCCAGATAAAGTGATTTAGGTGTGGCATGTTCCTTTATCAATATTGTTCTGTTTTGTCAGATTTAAAAATATTATAAGTATAAAAAAAAAAAAACAAGAAAAAAAACCCTTCCATCTTTTTAATAAACATTATTTCCCCATTCCATTTCTCCTTTCTAACTGCCAGCCAGTCCTGGAACCAAATGTGCAGAGAGTACTTTATTTGTAAAATATCTAACTAATCTATACATTAAATATATGTGTAAAGTAAATAAAATAGTACATGATGTGTAATACCAACCATATGGCCTCGACCACCATGCTGTGGGTGTCTGGTAGACAGGCACTAGAGGCTGTCTTAGTCCTAGTGAGACATTCCTGTGAGTATTATTGAAGTGGAGATCTGTTACACTCAGACACACCAACAATATAGAGCTCCAAGAAAAGATGGACATTAAGACAAGAAAGAAGGACAGAGGGACCTGGGCCCAAAATAGGGATTATTGCTCCTAAATAGTGACACTTGGGAGGTATGCATAAATCACCATAAAAATCGATTATATGAAAGGTTGGAAGTTACTTTACATACCATTTAGGGACACGGTTTCACCTAGTAATGAAAAATGTATTGGGTCAAAAGGTATCCACCACGTAATGAAAACAGGTCTTCTGGGAGAAATGTTTGGTGCAGATGAAGACAGACAACATTAAGGTTTGATGAGGGAACATTGAGGATACAGTAAATTGAGAGAGACATTTGGAGGTGGATACAATGAAGATGAAAACAGACACTTTGGGGGTTTGGAGATATGCAGCGGAGGAGAGACATGTAAGTAGATGCAAAGACAAGAGGTAGATGGAGGGAGATAGAATTGTTGATAAAGACATACATACATAAAATGAGAATTCATAATCAATTTAAAAAATAAGATAAAATTAGCCGACCTGGAGAGAATTAAGCAGTGACACAGAAACGACATGATCTATACGCTGAGACTGCTTCATCAATCTAAAGTTGCTTTGGTACATATAAAGTCCCTTTAAATTTGACAGTCACTATGAATTCTTACTGCAGTGAATAACAAAAGGGATAGATGGAGAGATATGCACACTCAGGTAAAAATCAAAAGCAACCATTAGACCAGGGCCACTGCAAGCTTGCAGGAACCAAATTTATACATAATTCTCACGGTTTTAGCCAGATCCATATTTTTTAATTTCCAGAGGAAATTGCTGGGGACATTTTTCATAAGGGCTAGTATTCAAGGGTCTCTGGATCATCTCAATACTTAGGTATACTACTAATTAAATAGAGTAATAGCTTTAAGAATCCACTGAAACATTCTGCAAGACACTATAAATTTGTAAAAATGTTTAAAGGGACACTATAGGCACCCAGACTACTTCAGCTCATTGAAGTGGTCTGGGTGCAGTGTCCCTATTGCACTTAGTGCTGCAATTTAAAACATTGCAGTTCCAGAGAAACTGTCTACCCGACAGCTACTGGAGGCGCTTCCTGGCTGTTAACGGATGTCTGTTCCAGCAACTGACGCTGGACGTCTTCACGCCCTGCATAAAGACATCCAGTGTCAGCCATTTTCCCATAGGAAAGCATTGATTGCACATTAGCATTGTCAAGGGAGTAGTGACCCAGCGTCACTGTTTGTTACATCTGTTTTTTTTTTTTTTTGTAAATCTGTTTTTATTGAAGATTTTGACAGTAGAAACACATAACAGTAAGGTATAACAGGTGGGACACGCAGGTCACCGACAAAGCAAGATCGTGAGCATTACGTTTGTGTGGCATGCGTTCTCGTAAGGTTCCCATAGGTGGCTTGTATATCTCTCTAGTTGTTTTAGCCTGAGGCCTCGATATGTAGATTCCCACGTGACCACTTCCCATTTCCGTAGGTGTTATGCAGTTTGTCACCTTTCCACTGGACTGGTTTCACGCATTTGCCTATGTTTTGGGCCTAAGGTCTCTCCCATGTATATTTAGAGCTGCCTCAACCCCGGTAGGATGTGATCCTATTCTGTCTTGTCGGTTGTGTTGTTACATCTGTTAAATGCTATCAATTATGTATAGTTAGATTACATGTTCAAAATACACCGGGTCTAAGTTTTTGCTTGTTAAAGGGACACTCCACTGTCCAAATACAATAAAATAAATAAAAATCACTGTTTAGTAGATATATCCCTCCCCTTGTAACCCCGCCCAGACTTTCTGTGACTGTCCAATCACAGACTTCCCAATGCATCTCAATGAGGAGTCTTTGCAAGGCACGTGTTCAAAGGAATTGCTGCCTCTTGAGTTTAAACAATTAGGAAGTAACAAAACCTGTTGTCTGCATGAAAGCCAGGGGTGTAACCAGGTTAATTTATGAAAGTGCCAATTGTTATAGAAATAATTTTTGTAAAATGAAAAAAGGAGGACACAAGTGCTTTAGGTGTTCAGAGTGTCTCTAACATTAGTTCTGAGATATATTTGCGGTAGTGAATGCTGTATTATGGCAGTGCAGGAAAATTGTGTCTATGCACAATCTGAAATATTATGTGAGGTTAAACAAGTCATTTTATCATTTATAAGAAATACAATTTAAGGAACAAACCCTATGTTTCATATTACACATGTACACTCTGTGGTGTAGAATTTAACGTCATGGGAAACAATTTTGCAATAAAAAACAAATCGCAGTCATATAGACATTCGATGAGGAGCAGTGATGTCAGTTCTCTAAACGCCGAATGATAGTTCGTTGTAAAGCAAACTACAACATTTAGACGACATTAGGTGATCTTGAAATATTTATCCCACGAAACTGTACTCACAGATTGACCATGTAAGCCAGAGTTTTCGTTGTGCTCATGCAATAAATAGGGCCTTTCATTTTGGTTTGTTTAAAACAGCTGTCAATATGAACGAGTATATTTAAAAAATCAGTATGTGAATACGCCCTTTTAAATATACATACGTACACGTTGTGCCGGTATTCTGATTGCATCACAATATCTAAATAAATCTCAAAACTCAATAATTATAGAGGAATGCAAGATATAATTTTCTAAAATGCATATGCATGTAATATCGCAGAGGCATTTATCTCTTAATAAAAGCACATGAGATAATATAAGTTCTGTAAGTCGGGCATAATAATTAATACATAGACAGACACGCATATGCAAATTATAGACTCATTAATGCTGTAGATCAGGATTCCTAAACTGCAGTAGGGAAGTGGGTGAGGACAGGGTGAAGAGAGGATTTGGGCGGCACAGAGAGTGGGGTGAGCTTCCCAACAGCCTGGATTTCATTGGACAGTCCATATTTCAGGGTTTTGTCTCACAGTCTCTCCAGCTTTTTGGGACAAATTGGAACGGTCCCCAAAAAGCGTAGTCTACTGATAAGCTCATGCTAGAGTCCGATGCAGAGAGCACTCTACCAGCGTTCCCTGCATGGTTGGCCCTTGGTGGGTCGGGCTGCTTGATTGTCAAGGTCTGGTAGCATTTACGCCAGGCTGACTTGACAACTTAATGGATCTGTGTCGTTGTCCCACCCTAATTTACTACACATACTAGTATCTAGCTTCAAGGCAATGTTGGGGGGTATCATGCAATGGCTGTCTGTCACCAGCATGTTATGCAAGCTGACAGCAGATGCTAAATATGTACAGAATTCAATGCAAACAAATGAAAGGAGAAGTTCACCTCCGACAGCACTGTGTTATATCTCTGTATGAGCAGTGTTTGAAATGTTGCATATACTGACTCCAAGCACCATGGCCACTTCAAATCAGTGTGCGGAGTAACCCTTTAAACATATTTTCTCTTCACATAGAGTTCAGAGTTTGGGTGCATAGATATACCAATACAAGAAAACTAATCAGCGCAATCTAGATCTACGAAATAAGGCCTGGCACAAAATATTAACAGGTATTCACTAAACTAATAACTGGACCAATTTAAAATCCGAATTGAAAAAAAACGTAAAGTGAAAATTTTTTGTAAAGCTACAACTTTAGTTGAGTTGGAATATTCTTTTGTATATCAGATATTTTTGATAAAATTTCGAGATTCCGGATGCATGTGTGCATTTGTGGGTTCGATGCAACACAATTGACGGCATATATTGTCATATTGGCATATATAGTGTCAGTGATATAGAATGTGTATTTGTGAGTGAAGAAGTATCAAGTTGAATTCAAATGTGTATATGTGAAAAGAGAACACTTGCTTATACACTAGGACAATGGCAAGTACTTAGGATATATATTACTGCATTGATACTAGATGTCCGGCTAATTAGGCAGTACCATATTTTAGATTTATTATACAGTCGTCCTGTTACATTGCAGGGTTAATCCAATCTCTAGTGGCTGTGTTCCTGACAGCCGCTAGAGGAGTTTCTGCATTTTTTGCATCCAGCATGCAGAACGTCTATAGGAAAGCATTGAGAAATGCTTTCCTATGGACTGTTTGAATGCGTGCGCGGCTCTTGCCACGCATGCGCATTCCGCTCCACTCGGGAGCTGACGTCAGAGGGGGAGGAGAGGTCACCAGTGCCGAGTGACCCAGGCGCTGGATTAAGGTACGTAACTGAAGGGGTTTTAACCCATTCAGCGTCAAGGGAGGGGGACCCTGAGGGCGAGGAGGTCCTAAGGATGATATAGTGTCAGGAAAACAAGCTTGTTTTCCTGACACTATAGTGATCCTTTAAGCCTCTCTTTCTTCTTACTAGCATGGAAGAGAGACTTTATTTGTGGTGTCTAGTGTTGTGAGCAAGCTGTCTCAGCCTTCTCTGGCAAGCAGTGACAACTTTATTGTACCCTTTGTTTAATCAGAGCAATGGGATTTTATGATATAATTTCATAGCCATTCACTCGGATTTGCTCACAGAGAAGGTAGGAAATTTCCCTTACAGTGTATTACACAGTGGGAATAATTTGATCTCTTCAACCTTCCCATTGCACAAGCCAATAGTCTACTGCGAGATCCACATCCCCAAAGAGTATTAGCCCCCAAAGTAAAGACACCAGCTCAGTATATGACTAGAGACATTGGATTCATACATTGCAAACTATGAAACCGAGGGGTCTAAATGTTGATTTTGATTTGGTTTGTTTTTTATGATTTTCTTTTTATTATTATTTATTTTTAATTTTATTTTTATTTTTATTTTTATCTTTATTTCATTTATTTTTATTTTTATTTGTATTTTTAATTTTATTTTTATTTTTTAATTTTATTTTTATTTTTATTTTTATTCTTATTTTGATATTTATTTATTTTTATTTTTAATTTTATTTGATTATTTTTGTTATTTTTATTTTTTTTATTTATTATTTATTTTTTATTTTCTATTATTAGTATGTATTATTCCCCTTTTTCGAAATTAGGTGATACTCCCCCCTTCTCTATATATTTGTATATATGATTACACATATGTTTATTTCGTTTTTTTTATATATTACGATGTGCTCTGGGGATGTATGTGTCTAACCCCGAGAATGGAACGCAAAATGGAACGCACATTCGTCTGGACTTCCGTTCAATTAGATGAACTTCAAAGTGAGGCTTGGACAGAAGTTCCGGAACGCAATAGGGGCGTATCCGGAAATACACCGAAGCCGAAACCCGGAAGTAACACGCACAGCTGATTTTCTTCGCGGCAAATTTGATTGTAGTTATAAAAGACGAGTGTTTTATGTATTTTTGTTTACAGAGGACTGGATGCCCCTGATGAAGTTCATTTTATGAACGAAACGCGTAGGGCTTGTTTCTTATATGCGGAGTATTTGTTTTTATAGATGTTTAAATGTATTTTATCTTATTTGGTTATTCTGCTCTTCTGATCCTGAGACTGGTTTGCAGCTTCAGCTGAGTTTGATGTGCCTTTTTGATACATCTTTCTTGTAAGTGTACCTTGTAATAAATTTTGCTAATTTTATTTAAGATACTCTGCACTATTATTATTTTCTATTCTTCCTCTTATACATGGGATTGACGTTCCACAAATCGAGAAGTCCATACATCGTTATTTATGATATGCCTGCAATCAAATTGGGTCTGTGAGTGTAATCATTTATTTCTACAAATTCCCAATACACTACGTTACTATTCTATGTCCGTTTCTATTATTTTGTGTTGTAGATTGCCTTCTGGTAGTATATCAATATTGTTCTAAGGACATAAGAGGAGTCCTTTCATCTACTTCACTTTTGACTAAGGGTAATTTTTTGTATTCTTACATTTATTACCCACTAAGTGTGTTTTCTACCTGCACACAGGTGTTTTTGTATCTATATTATATATTGTATGACTAGAGACAGCAGTGAAGCTCAGTGGCTCCAGGATTCATATATTTGGGGACACATGAGGTGCCAGTGATAAAAGTAGGGGGGTTGTTCTAAATCGTGTATATATATGTTTGTGTGTACATACATACATACATGTACATATATATATATATATATATATATATATATATACACACACACATATATAAATAAATATATATACACATACATATACACACATACACAGGGCTCGACAAATCCCAGACACCGGGTCACCATGGCAAATAGAAATTTCACCCTGGCGCCTGGGATTTGTCAGCCCTTTGCAAAGGAAACATTGAAGCTGGCCGCCACGACGAGCATGGAGGTGGTGCGCAAGGGAGCAGTAACCTTCCTGCAGTTCCTCTCTGCTCCCTCGCACGATGTTTAGTGCAATGACGTCACTCCGGCCCCAGCATCACTAAATAGAGCGTGCAGGGGAGCAGAGAGAAACTGCAGGAAGATCAGAGAGGAGACCCACTGGACGCCAGGGAAAGATCCACTCAGCTCTCAGCAAAGGTAGGGAGGCTGTGTGGATTTAAATAAAAATAAAAATAACTATTTGTGAGTGTGTGAGAAAATGTGTGTATCTGTCAGTGTGTGTGTGTGTATGTGTCATATATATATATATATATATATATATATATATATATATATATATAAACATATATGAGATTTGGTGTGTAATGGGGTGAAGTATGTATGTATGTATGTATGTATGCGTGTGTGGGAGTGAATGCATGTGGGGATGAAGTGTGTATGTGAGGGAAGAGATGATGTGTGGTATGAAGTGTGTGAGGGGTGCACTGTGTGTGTATGCAAAGGTGTACCTTGTTTGGGTGGGAGTGTACTGTATGTGGGGAGTTCACTGTCTGTAATGGTATACTGTGTTCTGGGGGTGTAAAGAGTGGGATAGGAAAGGGCTTTATAATTTTTACTTTAATAACTAACACAAACTGACCCATACACACACAGACTGCTGCCCCCCCACAGACTGACCCATACACACACACACACACACAAACTGACTTATACACACACACACTAACCCATACACACACAGACTGATCCCCGCCACAAAGATTGACCCATACACACACAGACTGATCCCCACACACACAGACCGACCCCCCACAGACAGACTGAACCACACACACACACAGACTGACCCATACACACACAGAGTGACCCCCCCACACACACACAGACTGACCAGCACAGTGCCCCCTCTGGCCGTAAGTGGGAATTCCATCTATGATTCAATCCTTCAAAGAACGATGGAGGTAGGGGCCCTGACGGACCACCCACCTCTGTACACTGCCGACAGTCCGGAGGGCCCATCAGGCAAGTGGGAACTGACAGCACTGCTGCTGCAGCTTGTGAAGAGAGACACAGTGCTCCCGTTCCAATTTTAATTGGGGGGGCACAAGAGGGGGGGCAATGCATGGCTCCCTCTTGCCCCCCCTCAAACACCCTAGCGACGCCACTGAAGCAGCCAGTTTTAGGAGGAAAAAAAATCGAGACAATATATATTTATTAAACTGGGATTTGTTGAGATCAGACAAATGAAATTACATTTCTTAGGCCTAAAAAGGCAAACTGGATATGTTATTTAACTTAATTGTCCGGAATTACTTTTTTTAACCTAACATTTGCAATTCCCTGCCAATTCTTCATACTTTCCAGATTGAGTATAAACCGCTCCAAAAGGCATTTCCTTCTGTGTTAAATCTAGTGTAAAATTTAAACTTTACATGTTATGTGTTATCATTTATGTGTATAGCACTAGTAAAGTACATGTTGCTATATACATTGCATATAGACGATAACAACATGTTTGACTGATAGCAATAAACTGAAACACTCAGGTCTCTATGTTTAATTACCAATTTGTGTGAAAGCGGTAATGTTAGGATCCATGGAACCAGAGCTTGGTAAATTAAAAGGACACTCCACTTCCCAAATATACATATAAAATATAAAACAAAACACTATTTAGTAGATATAACCCCAATAAAAACATCTCTTCTCATTTCTTCTCTGCTGCCTTTGCAAGCCCTTCCCTTCTAACCCACCCCAGACTTTCTGTGTCTGTCAAATCGCAGACTTCCCAATGGAGCTCAATGACAAGTCTTTGTAAGGCAGATGCTCTGGGCAATTGCCTGCCTTTTAGGTTTTGCTACACTGAGATAACCAACCAGGAAGTAACCAGACCTGTAGTCTGATTGACAGCCAGGAGGATGTAACAATGTTAATTTATAAAAGTGCCAATTTCTATTGAAAACTGCACTTTTTGTAAAATGAAAAAAGAGGAAACACTTTTCACATCAGCTAAAGTGCTTTAGGTGATTGAAGGGTTCTATTAAACCCTAACTAGCTGAAATCACTCACCAACTTTTCAGAGAGGTCCATGGTAGTCTTCCTGTTCAAAGCAATGAATGAACCGAAACACAGTGAATGTCAAACAAATTCAAACTAATTGGCTACCTTAGTGGGTGTATGAGAGAGCATTCTGAAGAAATACATTTTATGTAGAAGAAATAATAAGAATGCGTATGTATCTAAAGTTAAAAAAAAAACCAATAGAATATAGCACTGTTGTTAATAAATGCATTGTTACCAAAGATCACATTATATAATTAAACAGAACAATGTAATATGATTCATATGTTCCTTACTGAGATAATTATTATAATTACCGGTTGCGATAAATTAGAAATATATTCACCATACTAAAATTTATCCAATGTCTTTTCTAGTTATTTAAACTTAAACATTAAAACTATTTAAACTATTTAAACATCAAAATGCAATAGACAAAGTAATAATTGCACACGTGGGACTTTAAAGTCGACATTACATAAGAGTATAGAAGAATGCAGCTTTCAAACATGCATAATGATTTTTTCAAACGATGACACTCACTTCGATGCTATCCTATGAGAAATATTTGATTGGATGCACAAATTTATGAGGAGCATTGAATTGGACCAACGACAAGGAAGCAACGCCTCCCGGATGACGTCGAGGAAGGTGGATCAAGCAGCTGCGCCAAGGGGGTCTCAAGGCAGAAAAAAGGTAAGTAAAAACCTGAATCTAATTAGGGACAAAAACACTATGGCATTAGTAATACAGGCTTGTATTCCTAACACTACAGTGTTCCTTTATCATCTATACTATACTATCACTAATAATTAAAGGGACACTCCAGGCACCCAGACCACTTCTGCCCATTGGAGTGGTCTGGGTGCAAACTCCCACTACCCTTAACCCTGCAACTGTAATTATTGCAGTTTTCATAAACGGCAATAATTACCTTGCAGGGTTAAGTCCTCCTCTTGTGGCTGTTTATCAGACAGCCGCTAGAGGGACTTCTGTGTTCTTAGAACACGTAAAGTGTGTTATACGACGCTGGACGTCCTCACGCTATGTGAGGACCTCCAGCGTCGCCAAAATCCCCATAGGAAAGCATTGAATAATGCTTTCCTATGGGGAGGTCTAATGCACGTGCGCGGCCATTGCAGGGACATCGGCGCTGTATTCAGGTAAGTCACGGAAGGGGTTTTAACCCCTTCAACAACTTGGGATGGGGGGTGGGAGAGAGACAGCCTACTAGACAGCCACTAGAGGGCACTTCCTGCTTCATAGCAGAGGTTTTCTGTGCTAGAGCGTCGCTGGACGTCCTCACGCTGTGTGAGGACCTCCAGCGTCGCTCAATTCCCCAAAGGAAAGCATTGAAAAGCATTTTCAATGCTTTCCTCTGGAGAGCTCTAATTGTTTTCCTGGCACTGGAGAGTCCCTTTAAAGGGAAACTATAGATCGCATTAGGATTTCCCCATAGGAAAGCATTATACAATGCTTTCCTATGGGGTTTTGGGTGACGCTGGACGTCCCCATGCATAGCGTGAGGATGTCCAGCGTCAGACAGCTTCTAGAGGTGAAGTTAACCCTGAAAGGTAATTATTGTAGTTTCTTAAAAACTGCAATAATTACCTTTTCAGGGTTAAGGAACCTGGGACCCTGCACCCAGATCATTTCAATGAGCTGAAGTATGGGTGCCTATAGTGTCCCTTTAACTTATTCCATACACTCCAAATACCATAACCACTACAGCGCATGGATTGACTACTTACAATGGTGGGGAGGGGGGGCTGCTATGCCTCTTTTTAAACATGAAACTGAAAACATTGGCATTTTCAGGGACAACAATGTTTTCATTGCATGGGTAAAATGCTTCTGCAGCTATAACTGAGTTAGACTCAGTTATAGATCAAAATGACTCTTCTAGAGATTGGTGTAGCGTCTTATCTTTGGCGAAGCATTGGATTGGCTGAGATCATTTAGAGTGATGATCTCAGCCAGGGAGGTGGAGCATTAATGGGGAGAGCAGCGTGATGCGTGATGTACGGTAAGTAAATCTTACTTTAGGCAGGGGCACCTAAACAGGTAAGGAAACAATATAGCATTAGGAATAGATATTTCTATTCCTAATGTTTTTTTACTGTAGTGTTAAGATTGCCTCTAGTGGTCCCCCTGCTCGCCTCACATAGCAACCGCTACTGACCAGATTTGCCCTGCTTGGGGATGCATCGCACGCAGTGCAAATCAAAGAAGACTGCTGGAGGAGCTGAGAATGTCTTGGCGGTTGGTGTTACGCGAATAGTAACACCCACGAACCAAAGGTAGATCGGAGGAAAATTGAGTAAAACTTTATATTTTGCACTGAATACACCATGTATCTTTATAACATATGGTGTATTCAATATCTACGGGAGCAATTTCAGGCAAGTGACATTTTTTATTACAGGTTTATGTTAAATCTGCTTTACAATGGCTAAACGAAAACAACTTTAAGTTTTAAATTTTACCTTTGAAGTTCAGTGAGTGCCTCATCTTCTCAAATATTTATATATATATATATACAGCCAATGTAGCGAGGCAACCAGTGATCTATTTTTGTTTTCAGTGCTACTAATCTTGGAATTATTGTCTGTCTGTCTGTATATCTATCTGTCTGTATGTCTGTTTATCTATCTATCCATCCATCCTGGGCCAAGAGGCCATTATTTTCCTCTAATAAGTGCTTTAATGTAATATATCTTACACCTTCAATCTTAAGACAACACTGGGACAATTACACAAAATAGATGCTACACTATATACACAAAGTATCAGCTATTTCAGCTGATTTTGCGTGTGATTAGAGGCTTACAAACTTCATGGCGGTCATCTGTAAATGACTGCCTTTCATTACCGAAAATCACTGCACAGATGACCTTTGCCCCTTTATAATTTTAGGTCGATCATTTGATATATACATATATACACGTAAGAATGTGTATACACACACACACACATTTAAAAAATGGTTATCTATGTAAATATGTTTTTATTTAGTTGTTTTGCTTTTTTTGTGGTTTTGTCAATAGTTGGTCGTTGGTGTTGTGCGGCAAGGCTCGTACCATTTTATTTATTGCTGGGTGTACTTGAGTGAAGATACAGGAAGAGATTCAGGGAGATGAATCTTCCCTACTGCCAACTCCACCCTCACAGATCTGGGTCACTGGGACATTGTCAAATACCCAGCAGGGAATCGGCCTGCGCCACTTGCAAAACAAAGGGCCAGGAAAAGTCTACGCACACACAGTGCTCATCTCAACAGGGTCATACATTTTGGGTTGGTCTCAATCAAAGCTGGAAGTCATATTTTTCAGAAAAGGACAGATCTTGGATCACACAAGCTAAAGGAATAGAACGTCAAACAATTACAGAGAAGCCATTTCACAAAAAAGACGGCGGACCATTTTAGTTCCATTTTTTGCATTGAGGACGTACACGCAAAATAATATATGAGAAGAGAGTGCTTTGCCAGGGAACATATAAATAAAATTCTGTGATATGTCATATATTCAAATATAAAGGAAAAGGATAAACCATTTTTAAAAAAAATTACATTTCTTATTATATTAATTACAGCATAAAGCAAAAAAAAAATTGAAAATTTAAAAAAACATCTAATTCATCTAAAGAACAAAATAAGTAGTCGAGAAAAATCAAAATTTAACTTTACCATTATTACTAGAAAGCTATTACATAAATCTACAGCAATTCCTCATAAATATTACTTTATATATTGGACATTCACCCGTCTACGTAAAAGCTTGACATCTCGGATGAAAATCTTTTACCACCTAAAGCTTATTTTATGTTTTAATAATATTACAACAAGGGTTGATATTGCAGATGTTTTTAAAAGAATTTTTTGGAATTTAGGGAACACTAAACCCTGAAGATTAGGCAATGATTGGATTAAAATTTGTTAATGTAATTTGCCTTTTACAGTTAGGTAAATGTAAATGTGTAGCAGTTTATGTAAAGTACTGCATGATCAGAAAACTAAATTGTATCTTTGGACAATACACAACATAATTAAAAGGGATGAATTGCAGTAGGTCTACCACCCTCATCATACATGTTCTGTCCCACCCAGGCAGTAAGAACATATTCTGAGTTACTAGCCTGAATTAATAAACAAGTAATCAGTTGTATTTATCACTGACATTAGGTGACATTGCTCCTGGATGGGGGGGGGGGGGGGTTGGTAAATAGTAGAATGGCTCTAATTTAAAAATATGTTCTGGCAACAACAACAAAAAATGTGTGCTTTTGGGTTAGTGGGCATTAAGGGTGACCTCCCCTGCCAACTGAAAGTTGACAAACTTGTCCCTGATCTCATATAAAATATATTAATGCAAGCAAAGATCAGTCAGCTTGGTTAAACAGGTTGGCAGTGCCCAAACTCCTCCCTAACAACAAGGCTCTGTTTTTTGCCCATAGCACATTAACCCCTATCAGTTAAACAACAACAAAAACCCATGATTGAAACATAATTCCCAAATACATATACACTGTACCCATCAATATCAAATAAAAATTTTTGCTAGCATAGAGTATTTTTTGTTTAGACATATCAGGATCTGGTCCTGTCTTACCTCTCATGGTGATATTAAGCAGGAGATGTTTCATACATGAATAGGGTATTAGGAGATTACTAATTGGGTGGTACAGGCCCTCCTCAGTCTGAGTGGTGATCTCGATGTATCAAGTATGTTCTCCCTCAACGTTCCAAGTTGTCAAGTTGTGGAAAGCAGTTGGAATTCTCCAATTTCTCATGAAAATCAGCCACACTGCAGCAGCCAGCCCTCTTAATCTTCTTATCGCCAGCGACTTTAGTGAATAGGGGGAAGATTCTTGGCTGAGCAGCCTTGTGATCTGTCTTAGAGCCAAATGTTTAATGGGTGCAGGTATAGCATCAGTTAATTGTACAGCATTAGCAAATTGGGTGGAAAAACTGTAAGATCCTTATTATCATGTACTGTAAAAGTTACAGAATCTCCAGATATCTCTGTGCTCTAGAATCCGGCTCTCAGACTCTTCATAAAATCCCCTTGTCTTTCTCTGAGCCTCTCCGCTGCCAAACTACTTGTCTTCTTCAGCATGTGCCAATTCACATGACATGCCCACTGGGGGCACGCCCCTTTGTATTAGCAGACACGCCCCCTTCCATGTTTAAGACCAGAGAGACACACCCTCCGATTGACGTCACATGAGCACACCCCCATCAGCTGATAGTCCAGTGTTCTAGCATGCTGCCTGAAGAAAACACACACACAGACACTCAGACGTCATCAGTTAACTCCTTCATCACCGGGGTCTTTTGGGTAATGCTTAATATTAGTGTATTTCTATGGCTGCCCAATGTGCTATTTAATACAGAGTGTTTTATTGTGGATGTCAGCCATAACTGCTTAAATACACAATATTTTAATAATTCTATAATTATACAATGTAACCACTTACTAAGAGCTCAGCTCCACCATGTATCATTCTAATTGTTATGTAAACAGGTATAGGCCCATGTCTTATGCTGTTAGACCCTTTTCTTATTTTTCCACTATACTAAAATACCAGGTTCCCTCCTAAACAATACCAGATTCCCTCCTAAACATTAATTATTGTTAACCCAGCTACTGCTGTTAACTCATAACCCCCCCCCCCTGTCAGTTTTAGCCCCAAGATAGTCTGTATTCAACTGCTTGCATTCTCCCAGCCAATGCATTCTACAAATTCTTTCTACATAACCTGCATTTATGCATTACAATAGGTTAAAAGAACTGTCCAAGACCCATAAGCACTATGGCAAGCTATAGTGGTTATGGTGCCTAAAATACCCTGGAGCTCTCCCAAGGTCAGTAGTTAAATCATTTGACAATTTATTTGGTGTCTGCTGGGCCTGGAGAAAAGCTGGGATTAGCCAAATCCAGAGAGATTCTGGGATGAGGTGTCTAGCGGACTGCAGGTAACTTGTCAAAATGTTTGCAAACTTGGGGGACCCAAACACACTCTCCGAGCACCATAACCACTACAGCGCACCCTGGTGGTTAAAGGACTACTAAAGTCACGCAAGCTACTTCATGGCAATGAAATAGCCTGGTGCGGTGGTCCTTTAACACTGAAATCTAAAACATTGCAGTTTTTTTTAGAAACTGGAATGTTAACTTATGGTTAAGTCCACCTCTAGTGGCTGTCAGAGTGACCACTCATGACTAGAACCCCACTTGCACCCCTAAAATTAAAGTGTCCTCATTATTTATTTGAAATGTTGGGAGGTATGCAGAACGATATGGTCAATGAAGTGAGAATTGACTGGGTGGAGGCGCTATAATCACAACTGTGTCTACAATGCATTCACACCATGTATTTACCTCATTTCAAGTTGTCATTTTGCACACTGACATTGGACATAAGGGCTCTCTAATGTCCTTACTTATTGTAGGTCCTTGGGAACAAAGAGAGAGGAATATAGGTACACCTGGATCTCAGATACTGTACGAAGGCACCTGGGCCTGAGTACAGGCACTCTAAACACAAAGGAGTTTATTTTGCATTCCTATCAAGTATCTAAGCATATTTATTATTGAATGTTGTTAGGCCTGCACAAGTGGAAGGTATGGTTAACACTTACACCGTGCTGTAGGTAACTTGAAGGGGGAATGATTGAATAGGCCGGGGTAAAATAAATGGAATGGCATGGGAGGTTTTACAGGGATATTCAGAGTGAATTTCAAATTTAAGCCAAAGTAGTTGAAATAGAAAATCTCATCAAGTCAGTTTTCGCTATTCCAGCTTTAAATTTGAAATACACTTTACAGTTTACTCATTCGCGGTAATGGGTTGTCATTCACAGGGAAGATAATTGGAGGTGAATGGCTGTACGTGACGGATCCATGTGGGAAATTAAAAGGATACTCCAACCACCATGACCACTGCAGTGATTTGGGGGACCTTCTCCAAAGTGCCGAATAGGACAATTTACACAAATAAAATAGCTGTACTGGAAGTACAGATGTATTAAAGAATTGAATAATATCGCGTGTTTGGCTTTTTAGACCTTAAATTTAAAATTCACTTCAAATTCACTTTGAATTCTCACTTTATTGAGTAACCCTGTGTATAGAAACAACCAACAACGGCTGGCATTTAAATGCTTGCAATAAAAGAGTCTAAGATGTTACTTATTCTTCTCTTTATCACAGCCATTGGAGTGAGCTGTAGTGCTTATGGTGCGTGCAGTGCCACATTAAGGGAGCTTTGTGCCGATGTCAATTTAGCCAAGAAGCCATTATTTAAGAACACTGACAGATTTATTCACCAAAGTGTAAATGATCAGAATCTTCATATTTGATTACGAAATACAACCTAACTGGATGTGGGAGCAGAGCTACGTACAGCCATATATTGTCCGACTGTGCATTGGTTCCATCTCTGTGGAAGTAATCTTTCCAGCATTGCATTTTACAACATCAGCCCAAACCCACTAATGGCACTGCTAGACATATATCCAACTTCCATGCCCTAATCTTTTGCTCATTCACTATGCCATGTATTTTTAGCGACAAAAAACAAAACAAAAAACCTTGGTCACACACTGGGAATCACAAGAAATACCTTCCATTGAAAAATGAAATTCTATACTTTCTAGCACTAGGAAATGGGGAGAAATGTTGCAAAGTTGCAATCATAACCTACCCACCTTTCACGGGATATGGTCCCCCCGATGACTATAGTGCCATGAGTAGAGCCCAGTCCAAGGTGCATCACTCATGGTAAAGTGCAGCAGCATCACATTAGTTCTCTTGATTAAGTTCTTATTATGTTCTATTTGATTTGGCAGCAGACTGGTACATTACAAAAAAAAAATATTAGAAAAACTATTGTTTGATCGCCTGCATGACAATATCCTGGCTTGTCTTACTGCAAATTTATATTTGTGTAAAATCAATAAAATTCTCAAGTGAGAAGATGCATCTGTTGGAAGTTATGTAATATGGGCTTTTAAGGCCAGGGGTTTTGATTTTCTTAATAATCATGTGTCAATAGTTATATAAACAGTATGCCTTTTGTTGTTAATGTAAAACAGCTCCATTGAAACACATGAAATCTATATTGGAGGTGTCAAATCTATGAGAGTTTTCATGTCAATATTTTTGCCAAAAATCCTCTAAATTATGCCTTTTAATATTATGAGATGAAATCACTGGGACTAACACAGCCTCAAAGTTAATATTGCTTCTTTATGTAGCCTGGAGATTTGGGGGAAGGAGTATGAGACTTTTGAGGAAAAGTTAAAGGGACACTATAGTCACCAAAACAACTTTATCCTTTGCTGTCTCACTGCTCAATTCTCTGCCATTTAGGAGTTAAATCACCTTGTTTTGCAGCCCTAGCCACACCTCCCTGCATGTGACTTACGCAGCCTTCCTAAACACTAACTGTAAAAAGTCATCTAATGTTTACACCTCCTTTATTGCAAATGCTGTTTAATTTAGAATGTCTTATCTCCTGCTCTGTTAATAGCTTCCTAGACACTGCAGGAGCCTCCCATATATAATTAAAGTTCAATTACAGAGTAGGACATAAAAACTTTAAAAGTAGGTTGCATCTGATTGAAAATTAAACCATTATTTTCATGCAGGCTGTGTCAGTCACAACCAGGCGAGGTGTGGCTAGGGCTGCATAAACAGAAACCAATTTGATTTATCTCCTAAATGGCAGTGAATTGAGCAATGAGACTGCAGGGGTATGATCTATACACCAAAACTGCTTCATTACGCCAAAGTTGTTTTGGAGACTATAGTGTCCCTTTAAATTGCAATTGTAACAAGACTCAGAATTCAGACATTTCGATTGAGAAATGAGAGATGAAATGATGGATGGAGAATAAGGGATAGAGAGTGGAAGAAAACATAAGAAAAGACTGTGAGGCACATTAAAAAAGACAGCAAAAGATGGTAATTAAAAATGAAAGAGCATAAGCGGAGTGAAAGGAAGATTCAGAGAATACTAAGAAAATAGCAAAATCAGCTAGAAACAGACATGAGGAAGAAATGTGAAAACAAACTACAGCAATAGACAGAGATAAACTGGAAAAAAAAACATAGGGAGAAAAATGGGATGGTACAAAAAACTGAGCGATAGACCCAGAAAGGAAAAGGGAAGACATGGTCCTAAAGATACAGAAGAAATGGTTTTAAAGAAGAGAAAATCTGCTAATGCAGGGAAAAACTTGAGGGAGTCAGCAGAAGAGGAAATGGATGAAGCTCTTAGTGTTGGTCCAACATATTCTATCCCAAGGCCAGGCAACCTTCATCACTCCAGATGTTGTGGACCTAATTTTAACTAATGCTTTGCCAGCGTTATGGGTGATGTAGTCCACAACATCGGGAGTGCCGAAGGTTGCCTACTACTGTTTCTAGCCCCTTCAAGTCAAAAAAGTTGGACAGCCCTGGCCTACTGCAGAAACAATCAAGATAAATAGTTGGGAGTGCGTGAAAGAGCAAATTACAAACTGAATTAAAGGGTCACTCCAGACCCCTAAAGCACTTGAGCTTGCTGAAATACTTTATGTGTAAGGTGTGTGTCCTCTTTTTTTTCATTTTTCAAAAAGTGTAGATTTCAATAGAAATTTACACTTTTATTAATTAACCTTGGTTACACACACCTTGCTTTCAAGCAGACAACAGGTCCTGCTACTTCCTGGTTTGGTCAGCTCAGTGGAGCTAAACTCAGGAGGCAGCAATTGCTCAGAGCACCTGCCTTGCAAAGAATTCTCATTGAGCTGCATTGGGAAGTCTGTGATTGGACAGCCACAGAAAGTCTGGAGATCTGCAGGATTTGAAAGCTGGTTTTACGTATATCCCCCATGAAAAATTGCATAATTAAATGCATGCAAGGTTTATTTGGGGTATATATCTACTTGTGGCAGACCGCCTGGTACCCCGACTGGGTACCTCAGCCAAACACACTTCGTAGCTATCTCTGGGACAGCATCAGCACTTCAGCCCCTAGCCTCCACACTTTGGCTGGGGTCTCGCCGTTACTTCCCACCATGGCACAGGGTCCTGGAGCTAGCTTCCAGTTATCAGAGCGCTCCTGCAGAGAATATAGCTGTGTAGTAATTATAGCATTA